GTGAAACAGAGCAATCCCCCTTTGGCACAATGGCCAGTGAAGCAGGAGCCACTGAAAAACAGTGCTATTAGAAAGCTATTCCCAACGGATTGGATTAGATAGCCATTCCAGAAGGAAGCCATAGCCAGTGCTCTCCAAAGCCACAGAAAAGTCCAAGAGGACCAATCCGCTTGGACCTCTTCAGTTCCTCTCAGCAAACGCCACCCCAGGGGACCCAAGTCAAAGCATTAACTTTGAAAGGCATCAGAAGCTGTGAGCCTCCCTCCACGAAGGCATGCTGGGTCGCATGTACCTGCCCAGACCTACAGTCCTCTCCCGAAGTCCTTCCCTTAGCCTTATGAGTCCTGTAGGCAGGCTTCCTTCTTAGTCGCAGTGCCCTGGTATTGGTGAGCCTTCCCGGGAGAGGCTTGCCTTCTATCTGGGTTGTAGCATTTCCAACACCAGCTGAAGACCTTTTGCATTCCCAGGATTTTACATGCTTCATTAATTTTTTCAGAATTCTTTGCACTATTTTGTATTCACTAGAGACGCAGGTCAAGATCATCCGCACTATTGCATTTCCAATCACTACTAATGGGTGTGAAAGCTGGACAATAAAGAAAGGGGATAAGAAGTAAATTGCTGCATTTTAAACCTGGTCCGGAAGAACTTTGCGAATAGCCTGGACTGACAGAAAGACAAACAAATGGGCACTAGATCAAATCAAGGCAGAGCTTTCCCTGGAAGCAAAACTGAGGCTGCCATACTTGGTGAATATCATGAGAAGGCAAGACTCAGTGGAGAAAACAATAATGCTAGGAAAAGTTGAAGGCAGAATAAGAAAAGGAAGACCAAATATAAGATGGATCAATTCCATAAAGGAAGTTTTGAATTTACTAGAGCTTGTCAAGGGCAAGACTTTTTGTGGGGCATTCATTCATAGGGTTACCATAAGTTGATGTGCTGAAAGTACAAAATAACAGCAGTCTTGATGATATAATTCGAACATGAAAAACAAAATAACAGCATTTATTTTATTCATTTTTATTTATTAAAACATTTTTATGCCGCCCCATTCGCCGAAGCCTCGGGGCAGCTTTAATTGATCTACCCAGCAGGTGGGTTTAGTTAAACTACAATCCCTCTGTGAAATGGTCCAGCTTTGACCAGTTACCGCTATTAAGCCTGGAAAGGACAAAATGTTAAGGTTTTATGATCAATCCTGGTAACAAAGCAAGTGGAAGAAGTCTTCACAGGAGAAGACTTCCTGCATTGGATGGTTTAGCTTCTGTTGTTTCTAAGATCTCTCTTTCATTTAACATCTGCTCATGGAATTAATAAGCTGGTTTCGTGAGTTTGCTCACAAGCCCCCAAAATTAGCTATGCGTTTCTCAGTTTCACCCACATTCCTGCTACTGCTGTTTTTTCTGTAAAGTTATTTACATATTTATGAGTTTGTTCTGTCTTTTGTTCTACAGAACTAGTGCTGAAAGGAGGAAAACATTTTAAAAATTCAATTTCCCACATTCTGGGCTCCCCCCACCCTACACATACTCAACTAGCACCTTTTCTACTCAAAACAGCATTTTTATAGTCAGGTCCAGTTCAAGGAAATCACAAAAGTTTCCTTTTCACAGTCATTCTTGGACAATTTCATAATCTTGTAAATAGCTCATATTCTCACTTGGCAATGGGGAACCTAAAATTCTTTACCTTATGCAAAGCTGTCATATTCTCCCAGGTCCACATGCTTTTCCTGGCTTACCCAGACATAACAGTTTTTGCCATGTCAAATATTAGGACTTTTAGCTCTGAAATCTGTATTTTTGCCAGTGATCCAAACTGATGACAAAAACCCTCATCCTCTTGTGTCAGAGGCCCACATCATTGCATTATACACTTCCAGTGTTTTCAGAGGGGTAGCACTACTGAGCCAGGGGCAGTGGTGTAGGGAGAAATTTTGAAGTGTAAGTGCTCATCAAGACACTTCCCACACCTGCACCTGTAAAGCAAGAGCAAAAGGCTGTTAAATGATATGAACAGATCAGTATTACATAAAAGTTAATGGTCCGGTCCTAACTGCCCATTCAAGATTGGGTCATCCCAAACTACTTTGCATTCAACAGGTAGCAAAATGCAGTTACTGGAAAAATGAACCTTAACCTTAGCTTTTGTGAGAAGCTTGGTGGTGACAGGGAATTCTGAGGGGGCAGCAGATGACATCAGCATCCCTGCAGATCAAAAAGCCCTGGCTACCATCCAGGGACAAAGCCTAGCTCTACTGCCAGGTAAGGAGAGCCGCTAACAAAAGCCCTCCAACCAAGCACACAATGGCTTGCCCGTTGGTTCTGGTCCCTCAGCCTATACATCTACTCCACCCAGAAACCTCAAGAAGGAGCCAATGATCCTGAGGGTCTCAAATCCAAAGACCAGGCAAGTCTATCTGCTGCCCTATCATAACTGTGCCATTTGTTACCCAGCATGCTGATCTTAACCCGTCAGGGTTATACAGCAGGCAGGCCTGCTTGATGCAACCCTAAGCAAAAACAGTGGGATTCTTAAGCCCCTGGCTGACTACTTCTGTACCTCATAGGCTGAGCTTGACTTGGCAGTGCTGCCTTAGGGTTTCACAAAGCCAATAGTCCAAGGTAGACTTGTAACTAATAGCATTCATGTGAACGCGCTGATTGCATGGACTTCTACAAAGAGGGTGAATAGTCAGCTGTGGCATGTAGTGATCCTGGAAGCTCAATGCCGGTCCCTGTCACAGGACTGGAGTGGGTACACTGTAGTTCCGGGGTGTGCAGAATCAAGGCCTGTGGAATCTATGCTGCTTTTATTAGAAACCTGAGGTCCACCAGCCAAGCCAGGTGAAAAATAGTACGTGGAGCAGACGACAGACATACACATAGAATGAAGGGGCAGCATGCCTCTGAGTGCATACTTATGCCAGGAATTTGTTTGCAGTTGCAGGACTGAGCTCATAATCTTTGTACACACAGGCATCTACTCCTAGTCTGTCCCACACCAAACGTCCTGCATTTCATCAGCATAATTTACAAAAGGACAACTTTCATGTTAAATACATGGAAATCGGAAACCTTTGCTTATTTGCCGCAAATTACCCAGAAACCTATCAATAGGTTCAGGTTTAAGTCCCACCCATCTCTCCTGTCGTTCTTGTGCCAATACTCTCCTATATTTTATCATGCCATTTCTAATCATCACCTTCATCACATAGAAAAGTTTGCCTGGCTTCATTTAAAACACTTGATTTATCTACACCAACGCAATGTCGCTCAAATTCATGAGATATAGGCCACTATTAAATAGTATGTGAGATGCCTCAGATAATCCACAGAGACATGAATCACACACCTTTTCTTCTCTTTTGGGTTCTCCTCCATGGAGGAGAAAGTTGGTTTGGAGATCAGTTCTCAGACTTTTTCTGTTATGGACCAGTTGAAAATTGCTGTAAACTTTTCTAGATTTTTTTCTTCAGCGTCATATTCTTCCTTCATCTGCAACAAAAACAGAATTATGAATTATTTATTTATTTATTTATTTTATTAAAACATTTCTATGCCGCCCCATTCGCTGAAGCCTCGGGGCGGCTCACAACATAAAATTAAAATACAAGAAATAACAATATAAAATAAGTCGCCCTGGCCAGATAAAATCCAATAATATTGACAATTAAAATGATGCTTAAATAAAAAGGTCTTCGCCTGGCGCTGAAAAACAAATAACGACGGCGCCAGGCAGACCTCTCTGGGGAGCGCATTCCATAACTTAGGCGCCACCGCAGAGAAAGCCCTCCTCCGAGTACCTACCCTCCTAATTTCTTTCACGGAGGGTTCCCGGAGAAGGGCCTCTCCCGCAGATCTCAAGGGGCGGGCGGGCATATATGGACGTAAGCGCTCCTTCAGGTAACCAGTTTAAAATTAGTTTAAAAGAGTTAACACCTTCCCTTAGCTGGTACATTTTTAGGGACAAATTAATAGACTGTATCAGCACCTGTTCAGTAAGGTGGCCCTAGTCAAAACAGCCTCAATATTTGTTCTCAAAATCATTATCATCAGGTGCTGGGTAAGTTCAGATCCCTTGATGGTTCAGCAACCAATTGTACACAATACTGAGAGCTTTATTAAATCTACACGAGACATCAAAGGCTGCTGTGAGGGTTGGGCTGGAGAAACCGGAATTCATATTGCGAGTGTCACTTTTGAAGGGATGGTAAAGGGTGCATTAATTAAAGCAGCCGAAGAAGCAAATTTCCAAGTTACAATTAAAGCCTCTTTCAGCACAATCCTAAACATGGCTTCTCAGAAGTAAGTCCCATGGCGTTCAATAGAGCTTTCTCCCAAGTGGGTGTAGGTTTTTAGAAGTCCTCTGAAATGGGAGCAGTCTGGGCGCCCTTTCCCTGCAGCTGTGCCGCTTCAACTGAGTGGCACATGGGTCCCTGGGATGCGTGCCGACTGCAGGTGGGGCGAGGTGGGGACCAGCACCCAACGAGACCAGAAAAGAGGAAGGCGCCAAACCACGTAGGAGCCGAGAAAGGTGCGCTTATTTAAAGAATCCTTCCCGGGTTTGATTTAAAGAATGAATCCGGGGCGCCTGCCGCGTCAGGACAGGCCCAAGCCTCCCTCCCGCACGAGAGCGGCCGCCAAGTGCGCTGTCTGCTGGGGCGAGGCCACGGCAGAGCCCCCGAGGGAGCGGCACGCGTGCGCCCACAGGCCGGGCTCCCCCGAGGGCCGCCCGCCGCACCTCACCTCACGGCGCTATCGCCCGCGCGCACGCGGCCGGCCAGCCGCCCGTGATTAGCAGCCCCAGCGGCGGAGCTGCGCGCAGCAGCGCGACGCCGCGGGGCCGGCGGCGGGCTGCACCGGGCGGGCTCTCGCCTGAAGGCAGGGCTTATAAAAGGAGGTGCCGCACGGGCGTGCGAGCGAAAAGCTGCTGCCGCCGCCCACGGGAACGGGCTTTCCGGAGGAGGACAAGGAAAGGAAGGTAAGCATGTGCGCCCTGGGCTCGGGTGGGGGTCCCTTGGGCGTTTGCCTTGTCTGCTGCTTCCAGGGGTCCTATTCGATAGGGGCGGGTGTGGATGGCCGCAAGCGCGACCGCCTTGCCTGGAGTTTCTACTTGCGGGAAAGTATTGATATGGAGAGCGTGGAGCTCTGACGTTTGTTCACTCGCACCCCGTCCGCTCCGGAAACTTACTGTAGTCCTAAACGAGGGTCTCCTCTAAGCTGTCTCCTGTGTGAGCTCGCACCTTAGGATGCCGCAGGCAAGGTTTCACTGGTGCCTTCGGGGGAGTTGAGAGTGCTATCAGAGAGAGCGTCTGTCGCGCAATTACCCTTCTCATTCGCAGAATGTCGTGGGCACCCAGTCCATGGCATCCCATATTCGTCTTTCGGTCTTTCTCTATTGGTCTCCCATCTTTTTTCCTTGCGAAAGACAACCCATGGGGATAGAGGAAGGGCAGAAGAGCTGCACGATGCGTCTTGGGGGGATCTGTCTGGGACTGCCTCGTTCCTGAAGAGGTGGCTTCTTCGGCGTCCCCGTTAGAGCCGCTTTCCCATGACCCTCCCGGGAGGCCGTGCCTTTCGCTTGCCTTTCTATCTATCCTCTTTCTTAGACGTTTGCGCGAGAAATAGTGAGTGCAGTCCTAAACACATTTGTTTGAGTTAGTTCTGAAAAATCTGTAGCATACTTCTGCGTAAGATGAACAAGACTGAGCCGAAAGTAGAGTGAGGACCCAAGCTGGGAACGGGGGAGGTAGTAAAGCCACCCTGTGGCGAGGGTATGGAGCAGGGCTTGTCTAATAAATAGAAATGCTCAAGCATTTGCAACGTCTTTAAACATTATTTATGTGTTTTAAGAGCTAGCTTTTGAGTTTTACAGAATGTCTTCTCAAGCTATATGTCAAAAAGAAAAGGAGTTAGAGGGGCATTAGTGGTGAAGGACATGATGGCTGCTGCTTTGTAATATGTTACCACCTTTAGATTCAGAAAGTTTCAAATAGCCTGCAGAAGTGTCATGAACTCTCGGAGGAACTCCATCATGTAGGTTAAGAGTAGTTTCAGGCAAGGTTTTTATTCAGCCATTAGCTTGCATCACTCATGGGATTTTTTGAGGAAAGGAGAATCGGTGTCATTGTATTCTACTCAAAACTCTCCTGTTCAAACTTATTGCTGTTGCTGAAAGAAAAATCTGCTGAAGACGGCAAAAAGTGCAGCTACACAATATCTTTTGGCAGGTAGCTGTCTGGCAGGCATCCTAAGTCTATACATGTGAACAGCATCTATAAAATATTGTTTAGCAGGGCTAGGGAAGAATCTAGACTAATAAGCGGGTTGGATCTTGATTGGCCTTTTCAGGAATGGAATGGGATCCAAAGGAGGTTCCCTGCTGGATGAAGGAGGTGGGGAGGAGATCTTCACCATCTCCTACTGGTCCAGAGGAGCCATGAGGAACAGAGGTTGCAGGGTGGAGGAGGAATGGCAAAGATCACCTTTTCACCCCCTTCTCCAGGGGAGGTGGACCTCTAAGGACTAATTTGGCTCCCACCCACTCTGTCTAACAATGCTCATAACTGCCCAAAATAGTAGAGTGAATGAGACCATATTCTGCCGCAATGAGTGATACCCAGATGGGTGTCCACTGCTGGAAGGTGTGCAGTGGTGGAAGAGGGAGGGACAATTCTTTGCAACCACTTCTCACCCCTCGGTCTGTTCGAAAGGGTTCCTCAGATTTCAGGGGCTGAAGGGTGAGGGGCAACTGTGAAGAATCAGCCCCTCGTGTTCCACTGATGATCCACCTTTTGTGCAGGAACTCCACATGCAGAGAAATCAATGTTGGGTTCTCAAGCTTCTGCCTATCTTTAGTTTTGGGAGGAAATATCTTCCTAGGTAACTTTCCTAACTACTTCCAAATTGACTGGTAAGGATGATAGCTCCACAGATTAGAAGGAAGGGAAATAAGGATTTGAAGATTAACACCCATTTATGGTTCAAATACATATTGCTCTGGACAGTAGTGGATACCCTGTGAGTGGATAAGGTGCCCCATATACAAGCAATGGAAAGAGGGTGTAAGGCTCTCTTCCTAGCCAAAGAGATTTGGATGACCAAAGCTTGTCTATGCCTAAACAATACATAATATAATGCAGTCAACTAAGTGGTGTATCTTTAACAAGATGGCAAACAACAAGCAAAGCACATATTGTTAAATGAAGTAAAACTCTGAAAGTCAAGCTCTGGAAGTGATGAAAAGGCTTACTAAAGAAGCAGGAAATGGCAAAGCTCTAACTGTTGTTAGCTCCATATCTCGAGGCATGGAGTGTTTTGAGTAATTTAGATCATTGCTACATCGTGATTCTCAAAATGAAACAACGGGTGGTGTCAAAATGGTCCTGAAAACCTTTTATGAATCTCACAATCGCAGGTTTTCTTTGGACTCAACTATGCTTAGGATATTTATGACTGTTAGACATAGATTAACAGGTGTGGTTCAAGAAGCAGTAGAGGTGGAAAAAAGGGCACCAGTGCTAATATTTCTAATAGCAATGATATTAAATGCTTAGCTAATCTAGAGATTGGCACTTGTTAATGAACCCTAGGATATTTGACAGTGCACACAGGAGCTAATTCCTAATTCAGCATCCATGCCAGCCTTCTGGAGCAGACTCTGAAAAAAAATCTTTGGATTTTTCTGCCAAAGCATTCAAGATGACTTCTAGGTCTTGAGAGTCAGTTGCGTGATACTTCAGCTTGGCCTGGGTGATGTATAATAGAATCATAGAATAGTACAGCTGGAGGGGGCCAGGGGGGCAGTGTGGCATAGTGGCTAAGAGCATGGGACTGGGACTCAGACGATCCGGGTTCGAGTCCCCGCTCAGCCATGGAGCCAACTGGGTGACTTAGGGCCAGTCACAGACTCTCAGCCCAACCTACCTCACAGGGTTGTTGTTGTGGGGATAAGATGGAGGAGGAGAATGATGTAAGCTGCCTTGAGCCCTTTGTAGGAAAAAGGCAGGATATAAATCGATAAATAAAATAAAACCCCTTGCTCAGTGCAGGACTTTGAATTACACCATCCCTCTCAGAGGACTGTCCAGTTGCATCCTGAATGTCTCCAGTGTGGAAGAACCCCCAATCTCCCCAGGTCGTGGGTTCCATTGTTGTACTGATCTAACAGTCAGGAAACTCTTCCCGATGTCCAGCTGGAACCTGGCTTCCTGTAACTTGAGCCTCTTATTCTGTGTCCTGCACTCTGGGATGATCGAGAAGAGATCCTGTCATTCTTCTTTGTGACGGCACTCTTCAAATACTTGAAAGGCTATCATGTCTCCCCTAAGTTTTCTCTTCTCGGGGCTAAACATACCCAGGAGGTTGAATAGTAACCTATGTAGTCAGATCACAGAACACATTCCACATATAATGAAAAAGTTTTCTGGTGCTCTTTTTGCCAGTTCTATTAAGGAAGCTCCCGATCTTTGGTTCCTGTCAATTCTTTAAACTCAAAGTCCCAACATACAACATGGAAACTTGCATATCAGACAGAATCTGGGGCTGTGTGAGCAATATTTCTTGCCTAAGGGCAAGCTGCATTTAAAGATGTTAAAATGTCATCTCAGCTGTTCCCTGTGGCATTGCTGCTTTGTTTCTTTTGGTTAGAACAAGAAATGTATCAAGGGCCCCCTTGGTTTTCTATTAATGAAAATATAATGCAGGGCTCCCAGCCTTTTTGGGCTAGTAGACACAACTTAAATTTTGAGAGAGTATCACGGGTGCTGTCATAAAATGGGTGATTACCTCTTCGCAAAATGCTGTGCACCCATTTTTTGGGAGACAAACTACCAAGGGTGAAAGAAAAGCAACTTGTCCAAGAGCCCATGTACAAAGTAGGAGAGATGGAGCGTGAGCTCCAAAATCCTCTTGAATCCATGTTTTATTGCTTTGCACCCTAGTTCCCAGAATGCAAACTGATGAGGTTTGGCAAAGAAAGCAAGCGCATTGTAGAGATGGAATCTCTACCCTAAATACCAGGTCAAATACCTGCTTTTTTCAGAGCAAAACCTTTTCATAGAAGTCGTACTGGTGATGCTCAGAAAAAGACACACAGATGCATGTAAGATACCATGTAGGAACCAGAGTCATTAGGGGGAATAAAGATGGCATTGGAGGGTGATGCTTTGCCTCATAGCATGCCAGCCTTTTAGTTAATTTAAAAAATAAAATAAAATCAAAAACGTGTTTAAAACAGGAGGGGCAGGGAGCTTTACAGGCAATCAGTTTGGGTACCCCGGCTTTAAGGATTAAACCTAGAATGCAGGCATTTGTGCACAGGGAGGAAGTGAAGGTGTTGCTCGTTGCTCATATCCACTTTTGCCCAGTGGAGGATGATTCCTGCACATATTAGATTTGATCAGACTTATAGTAGACATAGAGCGGCCAGGTAGCCAAGTCCCATTTGTTTCAAGGGTTCAGCTCTTAAGTATGACTAAATCTGGATTCAATCCAGAAAATGCTTGTTGGGTTTTCAGCATTTTGGTTGTAATTTGAGTGATTATTTTATAAAATGCTAGTTTCAGATGTTTGTAAGCCATGTAGAGAGAGTGCTGTCGTATAAAGCAGCCTTTAAATGAATACAATAAGTGTGTTGAATCAAGATTTATTTATTATTTGTTTATCACAGGCATATATATCCTGTCCTATTGCCAAGCGCTCAGGACGGCTTACAAGATCTAGGTGCAGGTAGTGGGGCTGGTAGAAGCAAACTACCTTTTCCTTTCCTCGCTTCCTAATAGTCCCTGTCCAGTTCCTCTATTGCTTCCATTATTAGAATATTTACTTTATTGCTATATTAATAGCAATATTTCATTTGAACGAATTGTGAAGCATTTTACAAAAATGCAAAACCATATATTAGAGGTTGGTTCAAAAATAGCTTGTGACTGGAGGAAAGCCAAACTAAACGCTTAACGTTTTCAACAAACATCTGAAACACACCTGTTCTACTCAAGCTGTTTTTTCAGATGAAGGAATGGGGCAAATCGGCCATCTTTGACTTGCTTGTAACCAACAGGGAAGAGTTAGTTGATAAGGCCAAAAGAGTAGGAACAAAATAGGCCAAAACTGGGGGAGAAGGGCTGTATAATTTTTGCTTCCAATTTTGCCCTAAGGGCAGTTCCACCCAGAGTCTATCACAGCTATCAAACCTCAAACAAGTTTATTTGTGGTGGACTCATGGGCTGCACAGTAGATTGGGGGACTTCTGTGATAAGACTGGTGCAGGATACTGTGTGGGAAGGGGATCCACCCAGATGAGTTAAAAGCACATTCCACAAGCAATTAATCTGATCACAGAAGGTGCCTTGGACAGATTTTCAGGGAACATCCGCCCCCCCACTCCACACACACACACACACACACACACACACACACACACACACTACATGTTGTTCCCTTAGTCCTTTGTTCAGCACTGACAGTAAGCTAGAGAAGCTGCCATCGAAAAGTGGACTAGGAAAGTCTGCTTTGGCCAGTTTCATTGCATGTCTCAAAGGCTGGATCTAGCCCCAAGGTCTCAGATGAATACTAGATATAAAACACCTTTAAGACTTAAACTTCTCTTAATATTATAACTCAGGCAGGAAAGACTAAGAAGAACAAATGCAGGTGTTTCTCAGATCATTCGGAAGGGAATATGCAGCAGCAGCAGCAGCAGCAACGGGTACTTAGGGGAACCAAAGGTACAGAGAAGGACACCCATTTCCGTTGTGGCCGTGAGTGGAACCTGAAGAAGCAGGGCTGACCAGTGCAGCACGGGACCAGTTACCCAGATTTTGGCTATCCCATTTAGGGCATCTTACGGCAAAGTCTCACATTTGCTGGGGGCCTGTGATAATCTGACAACAGCATGTTCTTCCCTTCCAGCTCAAATCCTTGCCCACAATGGCAGACAAGAGGGACACTGCTGACCGCAAGGCCTGCAGCGTGCTGAGCTGGGATCAGGTTAGCCGGCTGCACGAAGTTCTGTCAGAAGTGGTGCCAGTTCACGGGCGTGGCAATTTTCCGACTTTGGAGATTACTCTGAAGGATATTATCCAAACCGTTCGCAGCAGACTGGATGACGCAAGCATTCAGGTTCACGATGTCCGGCTGAATGGTTCCGGAGCTGGTCATGTCTTGGTCAAAGATAACGGACTGGGTTGTAAGGATCTCGATCTTGTCTTCCAAGTGTCTCTGTCGAATGAAACTGAGTTCCAGTTAGTCAGAGATGTGGTTTTGCAATCCCTTTTAGACTTCTTGCCTGAAGGAGTAAACAAACTAAAAATTAGCCCTATGACCCTGAAGGAAGCTTATATTGAAAAACTGGTGAAGGTGTACACAGAAACCGACCGATGGAGTTTAATCTCCCTCGCCAACAAGCATGGCAGGAATATAGAGCTCAAGTTTGTGGAACGCATAAGGCGACAGTTTGAATTTAGTGTGGATTCTTTTCAAATAATCCTAGATTCCCTGCTTTTTTACTATGATTGCTCAGAAAACCCGATGTCTGAACACTTTCATCCAACTGTGATTGGAGAAAGCATGTATGGCGACTTCGAGGCAGCCTTTGATCACCTTAAGAACAGGCTGATATCTACTAAGAACCCTGAAGAAATTAGAGGAGGGGGACTCCTAAAGTACAGCAATCTTCTTGTGAGGAATTTCAAACCAATGGACAAAGAAGAGATAAAAATCCTAGAGCGTTACATGTGTTCTAGGTTCTTCATAGACTTTCCAGACATTCTGGAACAGCAGCATAAGTTGGAGGCATATCTGCAGAATCATTTTGCTGCAGACGACCAAAGCAAGTACGACTATTTGGTGACCCTGCACCGTGTGGTGAACCAGAGCACGGTGTGCCTCATGGGGCATGAGCTACGGCAAACATTGAACTTGATCTCCCTTCTGGCACTCAGAGTCCTGGTAGAGCAAAACATCCTCCCCAATGCTATGAACGTCACTTGTTATTACCAGCCAGCTCCGTATGTTAGTGATGCCGACTTCAGCGCCTACGATGCTGCAGATGCTTCTGGCCTGTCTTATCCCACTTGGCTGCCTTGCAACTGATTTCTTGCTTCCTGCTTTTCTGTGATCATTAGCAGCCTGAATAGAGGATCTTCTGGATTCTTCTTGTATATAAACTAGAAGGACTGCTATCCATATTTGTTAAATACTCCAAGTCTTAGTCAGGTCATAAGGTAACCCCACCAGTCCTAAGGAATATTTCCTCTTTCAGCTGGAGTAACTGCCTCTCTTTGTCCAACGTTTCTTTAAACTGAAAACAGAAATGGCAGAGCAGTAACAGCTGCATGCCTGCTTCCCTGCAATCTTGCTTTGTGAAACTTCAAATGCCTGCAGGTTCTTTTTGCAGCATACAAGGACCATGAAGACTAGTCTGGTATGACCATGAAAAGCTATGACTATACACAGGCTGCTCAAAACTCCACTGATGCTAACTGGATTTAAACAGTTTAACTGTGTACAGGAGTGCATTCACTTTCTTTTTTCCTGGAAATCCTTAATTAACATTTGTCTTATTTAGTGCTGCAGCAATAATGATGAATTTCAGCATGGAGAGAACAATACCTAGCCATAAAGAATTTTACAAACTCTATGGCATTTGTAATTTAAAGAAATTAAGGCCATTGATTAACATGCAAGATAATGGAATGCCCCACCTATGGAATGCGCTCCCTGGAGAGGTCCGCCTGGTGCCGTCGTTATTTGTTTTTCGGTGCCAGGCTAAGACCTTTTTATTTAAACAATATTTTAATAACTTTTAATATCTTCTATAGGTTTTAATTTGTAGCCAGGGTGAATCTGGATTTTATTTGTGTTATTTGTGTTACGTTTGTTTATTTTATGTAAGCCGTCCCTAGGCTTATGCGATGGGACGGCATACAAAAATGCTAAGTAAGTAAGTAAGTGCAGGGCAAGAGGATCCAGGAAGCTAACCTTTCTCACCACTCCTTTTCCCATGTAGTTCCCCAAAGATACTACGTAGAGGATTCAGGGAACCTCTTAAATGGTGTGGAGGCTGAAAGGGACACTTGATCTTCGGGGCATTCCTCCCTCAGCCCCCTGCACCTTAGCTCATCCCATACAGGATCCCTCCCAGTCCTCTATAGAATTTTGGGAAACTGGTATGCTGGGAGAATGAAGCAGTGAAAAAGACAGGTTCTTGGAATTGTTTTTCATTGTTGTGTTGGATGTTGCCTATTCTTAATTGAATCCAAAATTGTGATGGCTTAAATCTCAGTCTTTAAAAAAAAACAAAACCCAATGACTAGAAATGCTTATACAGTAATTGATACTTCAACAATATTGTATATGCCACTGAAACTTGGCCTGACCTGTCAAATATGTATATAATAAATATATAACAAATCTCTTTTCTAGACTTCTGCTGAAACTATGTAGGCTTTTTCTCTGAAGCTAATGTTGTAAATAAATGTCTAATGGCTGGGACACGAGAATAGTTTTGCCTTGATGTGTTTTCTGCCTAGGGATTTCTAGAGTCATGGTCTTGAAGAGTGTGATCATGCCTACTTAGAATAATGGCTCAAGGCCTGTAAATATCAGATTAGGACAGAGCGTCTATACCTTTAATCTTCCAATGGAAGAGGATTCCTCTTGAAAAAATGAGCAAGGTGGGCAATGGTTGGTTGGTTGGTGGCTGGATTATTTTGGGAAGCCTTAAAGTTCAGCATTGGGAGGCTTTCTCACTTGAAGGTAAACTGGGTGGCTTCAAGAAAGCTTCATATAAGGAGGAAACTTGCCTGGAGTGCTGCTGCAGCTCCACTATCCTCTTCAAAGAGTATTATGCAAAATAGATGTAGCCAGCATTGCTTGCGCTAGAGAAGTATTAGAGTACTCAAGGAATTCCTACGCAAGGAATCACATTCTACAAATTAGTATTGGCTTACCAAATCCAGCCTTGGCATTCCTTAGCCCTTGCTTAGTATGTGTGGGCAGGAAGTAGGGCTGGCTCATTTTCTATCTATATAGTTTTCCACGGGCTCCTTTTGCAAACAGTAATCCATACGTGTAGATATCCAGAAGAAGGAACAAAGCAAGGCAGTTGAGAGGAACCTGTGGCCTGCTAAATGTTGCAAGGATACTGCACCCATCATTTCTGACCACTGGTCATGTTGGCCAGGGCCAGTGGACACTGAGATCCATCAACATTTGGACAGCCCCGGGTGGCTGCCACACTTGAATTAAGGTTAGGTGCATGATCATAATTAGAAGCACAAATTCTGAAGCAACACCATATGAGTGTAGCTCTGAAAGCACTTGTCAGCTCTTCAAAACATGAAGTCTTTTGTGAGCATTTCTCCTGCAACACAGAGATAGAGTATCTGTAAAATGCAGATGACAGTTTCTCTCCGAGAGCAGCTGAACCTTAAGCAAGCGCAGTGCTGCTGAATCAAATGGGTAAGCAGAAAAATGTCAAGTTTCTATTTGAGCATTGAGTACCTTAACTTTAACTGCTCCATATGTCTTTCTGCCACTTCAGAATGCTTAAATGTTTCCAAACTTAGTCACACTCTTTTGCCTTGTATTACCCAGAGACCAAGGCGCATTATTGATATTAATGTAAATCCTATGTAGTATGTAGCAGCTGCTAGACTGGTTCCTGTTGTAAGATTTACATCTGGTGGTGTGGGGAAAGGCTGATCTGTTGGAACTAAGTGGTGTTTAAACATTTGCTTTTCAATGGTGAACTCAAAAGTTGAAAGAAACTTTAGACTTGTGAGCAAACTTTCTTTTACACTGGAGGAAACTTACTCTGTGCGCAATCTCTGGCAAACACACATTTCTTTACATTATGGTCCATTGACAGAAAAGACACGGAAGACCCTGATAGGCAACTTGTTTTGTTTTTCTGAAAGTAACAAAATAAAGTTGGCCAATTTATGAATCTGCTGCTGTCCTTTTCTTCACCCACTCCTTGTTTTTAAGGGCCTTTCAAAACCCCACTGGCAGTTTCCAGTCTTCCCTCTAGTTGTGCAGTTCCAAATTGACCCATGGCCATTCTCTTTGTCTGGTTTCTTTTTACCACAGGATAGGTATCAACATAGAACCAGTATGCTCTGTCTCTTGAACACATCTGCTCCGGCCAGTTATGTCTGTGATCTACTTAAAAAGACTGCATTAGTGGTAAACTAAAAAAGTTACACGACGTCCTGACTCAAATGCCTGGAGCTGATTAGGCACATCAACCTGCCAGAATATTCCAGAGTTTACTGTCTCTACTTCAGTGGTAAAGAATCCAAAAATCCTCCCTTCTGTATGATGTAGTTGATGGGATTCTTTCTGCCCACCAGAAACCAGCTGAACGTGAGCTTGGCTATTACTACGTAGCTGTGGAGTCCAAGAGTGAAATCTTGGTGTCCCTTATGGGGTGGCACAGTGTTTTTGAAGGCACACAACAATGTGTTTACAACAAATGCTGCAGCTTTGATCAGCTTGGAAATATCCTGTGAGCTCTTTTACGCTCAAGGTATAAAATGCAACAAGCAAATAGCCTGGCTAGTTGGGAACTAACTCATATTTCAAAGTTGCTTTGTTTAGCTTCCAGATCCTACGCACTGAGGCAGACCTGTCCTTTCTTATAATTCCTTCTTTTGCCCATAGCCTTACTGCCATAGAAATTGTTAACACATCATATTCTCCCATCGCAAAACCTACTTTATCCAGAAATAAGAGACAAAATATTTACCACAGAGCAGATTAAAATTCACATTAATATTGCCCTCAATTAAAGCTTTAGCTTATCCTGCTACTTAAAAATGTTTAAGCTTACTCACAATTGAAGCAAAACAAAGGAAAGGAAGAAAAAACAGTGCTAATCTAAGATGCAAGGACAATAGGATCTGAATATAAAAAGATTACAGACCAAGTAAATGTCCATACAATTGACTGAATTTTGCTTTCATGTAGAAGAGGAATTCTACAACATGGAATGATAAATGCTATTTTAAGTGCTAAACTTTGCAGCTAGCATCTTCTCTCATCATGCAACCATCAGAACTTTTTAACACATTGTATTTTCTCCACTGGAATATTGCCGTCAATTAGACTGGGCCACATAATATAGCTTATGTAACTATCCAGCTCTAGTCATGCAAGTCTTGCTTGCTAAAGGGGACACTTTTCTGTCCAAAAACAAGTGCACATAAAACACACCTTGCCTGTCCTAGCTAGGCTAGAACCATGTCCTGACATCCAATTTTCCAATGGGAGCCTCAGAGTTTTCTGGAGAATTGACAGATTAAGCTCCTCTTGCAATTTGAAGTCCAGACATGAGAGTTCACTACCCACCACCAACGAGCCTTCATTAATGTGCTGACCATATTTGTTCAGTTTTCTATTTTTGCTACATAGAAGCGTCTCAGTCAATAGCTTTCAGAACAATTTATTCTGAAGGGTGAGAAGCAAACGGCCGTTTTTGTTAAGCCTGGTTTCAAGCACCTGTTGGTTTCATATTTAAATCACAGAATGGATGTTTTGGTGTGTTCAGACTCATGTCTCTGAGCACTACCATTCCAAAGGCAACATGCACCTATTTTTTTTTTTTGCTAGTACACCAGTTGCCGGGGAACTTGCCTGGGAGGGTCCAGTTGCACTCACATCCTGCTTGCGAGATCTTCTGGGCAGCCGGTTTACTGCTGTGTACACAGAATGCTGGACCAGAGGGACCACTGGTCTGATTCAGTGTGCCTCTTCTGTTCACATTAAAAGCAAAGCAAAAGCAACACCCCAAATCCAGAAAAGTCAATTCAAAATCAATAGTTAAGCAATATCTTTATTAGGACCAATGAAAATGCTAAAAACGATTGTGCAAATTTTTGGCTTCTTCCAGAAATCTGGGCACTATGAGAAGCAGAAGACGAAACAGAAAAGTTCAAAACTTAGGCTGAATTTTAGACGCAGGCGGAATTTCAAAATTGCAGACTGAATGAGCCACTGATTGTTGCTGTCAGATGTTCAAACCTTCAGCAAGGATAACTTCCTGCTTGTGACAATGCGGCACATAGCATTTTCTTCATAGTGGGAATCATGTTAATCTGTTGCAGCAAAAATCGAAGTCTTATGGTACCTTGGTAGTCTGACAAACTTATTTCTTCTGATGAATTTACACACTGTCTACTTTATCAGATGCAAGACCTTTTATTTTCTTGTCTCGTGTGTCTTGATAGAAGAGTTTTTGTTCTACGATTTCTAGCAACCCGTATGAATGGAACCTTATGGCATTTTTCATTCCATGCAATGTTGCTACCCTTAAAAACAGAGTAAGAGGATATGATGGCAGGAGATAGTGACTCTTGTATCATACACTTTGAATGGAGAGAGGAATTTTGTTTGGGAGTAGAATGTGACAAAATATTAAAAATGTAGAAAGATAATTTTGCAGAGCGATCCTATGATCCCAGCTCATGAAGCCACCTTAGCTGAGGCTGACGGTGGCACTTCCCCTCCAATATGGGAACACTACTGGCATGCACGGGTGACAACATGTACTGCTCACATGTTATCTGTGCCTGGAAGAAGCCAATCCTCACAGGGCAACCTGCAGGGCCTGACCTACCTCACAGGGTTGTTATGAGGAAAACATGGAGAGGTGGAGGACTGTGTCCAGCTGCCAGACAGTCATACCTGTGCAACATGTGCAGTGCAGTATGCCAGACGCCCCACGCCCCTGCTGGCTTTCTACTTTCATAACTTAAAAGTTACTGGTTCAGTTCATGTGGAATATTCAGTCATTTGGCAAGGTAAGTTAGAGAAATTCTGCATAGTTGTTACTTTATGGTTATTTAGCAGTAGATGGAAAGGAAGGGTTGGCTGTCCTGGTCTCCTCCACATAAATTCATAGGTGCTTAACTTGCATGGGTCGCAGCCTCAGTAACAAAGCTTAAGCGCCCATGCAAGATTAGCAACTGAATGAGGTGGCCAGGGTCAGCTGATGCTTCCTGTGTTGCCCCTCCCAGGTAAAACCCACAGATTTCAGGTGTTCCTCATGCACCAGTTCTTGGGTTAGAGACAGATGGTAGCAGAAATCATGCATACATTTAAAAGAAGCACTGAAGATTGGCCTGCCCCCTTTTCTATAAATCTAATTTGAAAACAGCAAAGAAATTCATTCAGAACTTCTCATAGTTAAGCGACCCATAGCTTAAAAATCAAAATGAGAAATTAACTATAGTTGTCTTCTGGTTTAACATGTAACATGAGTATATATTTAATGGTTTTTTATCCTGCCAACAATATAGATCACAGCAGCAGCTTCTTAGAACATGTCTGCAGAGAGAAAATCAATGAACGTAACTCCTTCCTTAACCATGCATGAGACACAAGTCTGCGTATGGCATTCAGATGTTACCTAACAGAGGTGGGGAACCTGACGTCTTCAAATATGTTGGAAATGTAAACATAAATTGGTACTTTCTATCATATGTGGTGGAGTTGCAATAATGTGAAAAAATATTGGATTAAAATACATGAATGTGTTGAGGAAATGTTACAAAAGTCTTTAGCTTTTAAACCTGAAGTCTTCTTATTAGGCACTATACCTATTGATGTTAGTAAACAAGAAATGTATTGGATTTTATATGTAATTACTGCGACAAAGATTGTATTTGCTCAATGCTGGAAAAGTGAAGAACCACCCACCGATGAACTGATTCTAAAAAAGATCTTGGACAGTGCAGAAATGGATAGATTGACTTTGTCATTGAAGGAGAAGGAAGATATTGATTTCTATCAAACTTGGGACTCTTTATTATTGGCTAGAGAAACGGAACTTTGTATAGATTTAAATCTGTTTTTAAGTCATCATAAATGGAAAAAAAATGTGGGGGCTGACCCAGTAGGCCCAATGTTTTTGATGATTGATGTTGTCTTTTAGTTAGGGTTATAATTTTGAATAAAACTTATTATAAACAGAGGTGGGAAACCTATAGCCCTCCAGTTTGCACTGCACATCACTGGTGGCTTCGTTTTCCACACCACCAGCTGTGCTGGCTAGGGCTGATGAGCACTGCAGGCCAGAATGGCTGGAGGGCCAGAAGGTGCACATCTCTGTCTTCTCTTCTGTTTCAACAGGAGCACGCAGTAAGAGCTCCTGCAGTAAGCTCCTCATTCATCCACTGTGCAAAAGACTGTGATCACACTCTTGTGTAACCCAGTTCTGATTACCCAGTTCTCTTCTTACTGAAGAGAGACCAGTAGCTAAAAGTGTGACTGTTCATTCACACATGGAATTCAAACACAGTCATGTCTCACTCTCAGATAATTTCTTTGCTCCGGTTACCCCACCCATCTGCTTTTTCCAGCCAGTCTCCCCCAGACAGGTCTTAAGTTGGATTACCTACTGGAAAATATAAGAGAAACAGCTTAAGCAACTATGAAAGCTCTAATGTTTTTCAAGAGATGTTACAGGCTCATTCTAGAAGGCAAATATAAACCTATTCTTTTCAAAATTAAGTTGCATTATTGATTTTCTCCTTACAATAATCCATAGTTAAAGCTGTGGCTGGCAAGCTACAGTATTCCCATTTCTTCTTCATTCAAAGATAAATGCAAAAATGCCAGGAACTACAGGAGATTTTAATGATTCGTTCTTCCGTTTTATTCCGTAAGAGACCAGGAGCAGCACCTTGACATCTCACATTATCCAGCAAAAGAAACAGAGGAACAGATTCCCAGCTAAGTAGCATTTTACAAGGCTGATCTTTGTAGTAGCTTCAGGAGTCATAGCAGTGCTTTGCCCAACTTCCAGATATCCCTACTGGAACTCTGCAAATGTATCAGCACTAACAGCAGCTTCAATATGCAAAGACCATAAAACACTGTCGAACAGATACTGTACCTTTCTTTCAAGACAAAAACCTGGTCCATGAATCTCTTGGGAACATGGTATTCACTGGGGGTGGGATTGGGCAATCATGCTATCCAGAAAAAAATCTATTTCCATGTCCATAAATCAACTTTTCCACTGGATAGATAGATCTGAAACAGTTCATTGTGATTTAGTTTTCTGATTGTGTCCTTGCAAACATCTCATTGTAAAAAAATAACAGAGGTGAGGAGGAAACCCCTTTCTCTGATCTCTGTAAATAGATTGGGTCAGCTTGGCATGTATGATATTGGCAAGCAGTATGTCACAAGGTGTCAGAAAACCAGAAACAGCAGAATCAGAGGTCTGGAGAAGAGGGATAAGAATAGCATGTCCCATTTTCCTGCAAAGAGAGAAAGAATAATTGGTGCAATGAACACATGTACTACAAGACCAAAAATGTCACTTCTTAAATCTTTCTGCATGGAGCTTCTCCCCAGCCACTTTAATTTCTACCTATTTAACCTGTGAATAGGATACTATGACTGGAATAACTTCCCAATGGTGTGAAGGAATCCTTAAGCTCTGGGCTGCAAGGCCCTTACCTTGTGCAGACCGGAGAACTGGGAAGTAAACTACTGCGCAGCTTGTGTGGTCTCTTCAAATGGCATCTGCAGTCCTGAGCAGCTGCTTGCAAAAATTGCCTTAATTACTCTGACTACTAATGCTGGATCTTCTGCACTCAGGCTTAAGGCAGTCTGCAGGGAGCCTAACATTGCTGAAGGAGCTGCCTCCGTTCCTTCAGAAAAAGCAGCTGGAAAACAAAACCGCTCACACTGCTCCCAGCCAGCCAGCCAGCCAGCCAGCCAGTTGTGAGGAAGAGCATTGCTGCTGCCCAAGGCTCGCCACCCGGAACTTACAGAACTTGCCCCAGCTGGAGAGATGAAATCCAGCCAGAGAACACCAGGAAGACACCAAGGGTAGTTGGTTTGCAGACTGTTTTTAAGTCAACACCAGCTATTTATCTCCCTTTGCTTGGAAGTCAGTATGCCTCTTATTTTTCAAAGGGAATACTTCCTCGGTCTATATTTAAATGCACCAGTACAGCAAAAGAAGTTCTTAACACATCTGTGCTTTTCAGAGCAGAGAGCAATTTATATTTATGAACTCACATACAGAAAAAAAGGATCTGGTGGGGCTGCTGAAAAATCATGAGACACCCAGTAATTGCACTGCAGAGAAGGGTATCCAGGTACTTAGTTTACAAATATTTGAAGGAAAAGGCACAACTTCTAGGTGCTGATCTTTTGAAATCTGCTAAGAAAACAGGACGACAGACTTTCGGAGGAGATATACTTTATATCAGAACCCATGAGATGGGGTGAGGCTGTGCTCCGGGGAGTTCCCACCCTGGCTCTGTGACCCACCCTCCCCAGAAAAAAAATATATCTCCAGTCATTTGTTGGCTTGGCTGCTGTTTTGTTAGCAGGGAGGATTATTGGCAGGCTGTTGGCATTGCATAAAGTGAATGGATAGGCTGCTGAATACTGGAGCGGTGCGTGTGAGCATGGAAGACCTGAAAGCATGCAGGTAGATTGAGTGAACAGTTGAGAGGGTTGTCCCTAGAGCAGCGGTTATGAGCCAAGGGAAATGTGGTCCTGGCAAGAGAATGTAAGGGGCACATACATTGGTCTGACTTTCCCCACAGCCTATTCCCTCCTTCTGATCTCTCCAGCTGATAGATCATGGTTTCCTCTAGCCGGATGCTAGCCTGACATTAAGAATCGGCTCTTCTCATAGTAAGACCTCACTCTTCCATGACTAGATTATGGATAAGGGAGGCGAACTAGCAGGCAACACCAAGACCTGGGTTGGCACGCTAGAGTGACCTTACTCATCGGTGTCCACCAAGCCACTTAGTGCAGCACCAGGGTCAGGAGGGGAAGTCACCACGGCCCACAAAGAGCCTCACAAGAGATATGAAGACCTGGAAAAGCTCTCGTGATTTAAAACAACAAAAAATACAAAGGAGCTTCATTTTGTGGACAAGAGGACACCTGAAGATCAGGAAAAAAGGGGGCCAAGCTCTTGTAAGGGCAATACAGTCTTGTGGAACTGAACGTGCGTAAGAGGTGAAATGCTTTTAAATTACTAAGATCAGCATACTGTTTGCTCACCAGGCACTCTTTCATTTCAGCAAGCCTCCTTTAGAGTTGGAATACGAGCACAAAACAGAATCAGTGCAAGCAAACATCAACAAAGCACCATAGCTTGTAGTGCTTACAGATGGACAAATGTGAGGGGAGAAGGAATCACAAAGTTTGTGATAACACTACCTCAGCTAAGTTTTTTTTTTAAACAGATGCATTGATACGGGAGGTATCAATATTAGCTGATTTTATATTAGTTGTAAAATATATAAAGTTCTACAAAAAATTGGGAGAATTCAGGTATTTGCTTTGCTGGCTGACAACACAAGATGAAAGCAGAATTGAAGACAAGCATCTACCTACTACTACAGGATGTCCATGTTATAGGCTAAATTTGCTTCCTAATGGCATCACGAACTGGACACCCTCTAAAAATTTATCGACAAACAACTTCAGTTATAAGCCTTTGTAGCTTAACGTACAGCTATTATAGCTGCAGTCTTCAAGGAGGAGGAGGAAGAATGTAAAGAATGAAATAGCGGCACTGAAACACGGTAGTAGAATTTGATGGGGTAGAGTGTTGATCTCTGTGGAAGTTTACTAAAAAATGAAGCAGCTCTTCAAGAAATAATACTTAAAACTCTTAATTTACCCAGCAGCATAATCGATATTGCCTTGAAGAGGATGTCTTCTGGGTTCAGCTGTAGAACCCCTGAGATTCGAAAGCCCATTTCTTCAGCAGTCATTGTATCTGAATCAGGCAGTGCACTTTTGTCAGAACATCAGGAGGCCATCAGGGATTGGTCCAGGGAAGGTGTCTGGGATTCTGCCAGGCGCATCCCTCGTGCAGCATGGTGGCCGGCCCTTTCACAGCACAGCCCCCGACTCCTCTTGCTTCCCACCTACCTCAAATTCCTCCCATCTTCCGCAACATGTGGAAAAACTGGCTGAAGTCTGGAAATACTCACACCAGATCAAGAAATAAACTGATGTGTGAACATGTATAGAAGCTTGTTTCAATCTGGGCAGATCTTCAGTTTATACAAGCCCCTGATAACTAAGATGGAGACAAGGATGAATAATCAGACCTTGAAACTGATAGTAATAGCTCAGAAAATGGGACTAATTAAATTTCGTGCATATGATTAATTTACAAATGGCTGCATGAATTACAATCAGTTATAAATGGAATCAGGAAGATACCCTGTATGCAAAAGAATGGATGATGAGAGTCTTAGAAGTTGTGTTTGTACTGAAATTCACAAAAGTTATTAGAATTAGCAGGGGGTAGACAGGGGAACAAAAGCTTATTGAATAGTCATTTATTTTTGTTATGTTTAGGAATATTAATGTACAGGAGAAGGTGCAACCCTATTATGTGTTAGGCATATTATAAATAGGAAAATGCTACAGAAATGCTATATATTGTCATGCCACAATATAGGCAATTAGTAATTGACTGAGATATAGTGTGAAAAAATATACAATGAAGATGTGTATTAAATGACACAGTTAAAAATAAAGTAACTCTTCACAGTTAATCACAAGATATTCTTTTTCTCCGTGTGTGTTCACTGAATACAAGGAGTTAACTGAAGCTGACTGAAGCACTGCACAATCAGCTTCTCCAGATCGTAATATTAGCATCACCATGGGTATTGCTCTCTACTCCAAATATGCCATAAAATTGCTACTTCTGCATGCTTGGAAAATTGTGCAATACGGATCATGACAAAGTGTATTTTTAAGTGTTGCAGCTTTATCAAAACAATGCAGCCAAGGCTTCTTTCTGTCTCTTCTGCATCTAACCCCTTTACACAGCCTGTCTAAAGTAGCTTCAAGGCACTGGCTGTTTCGAAAGCAATCCCCTCAGATATCTCTTCAAGCATGAGGAAGACCAGACTTCATTTAGTCTACTAGTCACTCTATTCAGTCACTAGCAACCTACCCTAGAATCATATTCGAGAACAAATGGGGGAAAGTCAATCTGTTCAGGGGGAATGGCTGTAAACAGCTGCTGGAGGCTTTCCACATGGTGGACTTTGTCCTTTAGACCAGAAACAGTAAAGGTTGTGAAAAACCATGTTGAAACCTAATGGATAAGAATGAAAAATGAATACTGTTGCAGAACTTTTAACTACGAACATTTGTCCAGTTGAGAGTCCCATAATCCCTTCAGCATTTAAATTGGCTGAGGTGAGCACACACATTAAATTTAGATAGCTAGTTTAGCAAAATTATATAGTCAGGATCTAAGGTTACTACATACAATGCTGAAGCTATTATGTTGTCTCATTATTTCAAGAACTATACAATACTTCTATGGTGACATAAGAAACACATTTCATGTAATTGTTAATGTAATGTAATTCACATATAGATATTCCCTTGTCCACAGCCCACTCTGGGCCAACACAGTGCTGGTCTGTCTTATCCCAACTCTAGTCAGTATTTAAGGTATGACTCATGTAGCAAGCATTGTTATTTATGCAGTATACGCTGTGCCTTAAGAGCTTTGCTGACAAAACCAGACAGGTCTTTCTCTGCCACCTAAAAGTGATAAGAAAAATGAGGGAAGGAGAATAAGAGAAGAGGGGCAAGAGGTAAATGTCAGAAAATGCAGTTACTGCACTTAGGCTGCCATCAGGAATATGAATTTAAGCAGTTAAACCAAATCTCCCAGGGAAGATTATTTCAAAGCGAGATTTGAATATTTTGTTCAACTCCCACCCACCGCACAAGTCAACAGAGGTTATATGACAACCTTTATCTGGCAGGGGTGAAACAGATGAAAGAATACTAAGGATAACTAAAAGGCTTAGATGAGAAGCTACTGACCAAAGAGCTGTCTCAGAGACAGCACTAGCTACTCACTAAAATGTCTGGCTATCGTAGCTTGACTTACTATCAAATAAGTTAGGTCACAGTATTCATAGCATCAGGGTTTGTACAAAACTATTACCTTTCCCAAGTAAAAAAACTGCCCATTATTGTAGAATCACACACATTTATTACTACATAATAAAGAGATCCTCCCTCTTTCTTTCTCTCCATATATTCCACTTTGAAATAGCACACTTTACCTTGGAGCGAAATGTTGGATGGACAAAGTAAAGAGCCTTCAAATTTCTTTTGTACCTGGGTTAATGACAAAAGGGGTAGATTTCTCATGTTTTAAACAAACATTTTGAGAATCACCTAAGTTCTTAGCAATCATGATCAGAGAATTGAGCTCTAGATCAATAAGGACACTTATTCCAAAACCTAATTAAAAGAAGTACAAGATTCTCCTGAATCATTTTCTTTGGTAAAGCTCTACAGCAGAGATGGGTAACTTGCAGCCTTCTAGATGTTTTGGCCTACAACTCCCATTATCCCTTACTATCAAATTAGTTATGCTGGTTATGGTAGCCAGGACTGATGCAAGTTTTAAGCCAAATACATTAGGAGGACTTATTCAAGCAGCCGAAAGTGCTACATCCAAGTAAATATGAGTGAACTGACATCTTCTGAAACTAGACCTCAGTAGTACAGAGAAGTGTACACTGATATCCATAGCGATGTTTAGTATCCTAATTTGGTACTCATTATGTCATGTCTCCCTCCACCCATTTTTCCTAAAGCAAAAATGTCTTTTTGAACCAGAAGGGAAACAAGGAGAGAGCACATGAAGACACAGGGAAGAATACTTACTTGACATCAACAATGTCAGAAAGCTTCTTCAAGAAATCTGAATCTAAGTGATTGTAGACATTAGTGAGCGTATGGAAATATACAATGACATATTCCTTTGCTACAATGTGGTCCATCACGTGGATAAAATACAAGAGAGCCTGAGACAGAGAGAAATCACAAAGGTCAGATTCACTGTTTCAAAAGAGAATTGTAGCACTTATCTTCCCATTACTCCAATGCAGCCACCCCCAGGCTGGAGTCCTCCAGATGCTTTGGACTACAGCATTCCTGCCCACTGGCAAGGTCCTAGCAGGGGCTTCTTGAAGATGCTTCCAAAACATCCAAAAGGCACCAGCTTAGGGAAGTCTCATCTAGAAGCAAAGTACCAAGGAGACTGATTGATTGATTTCCTCAAGAGAGAAAAAGAGTGCTTTACTATAGGGATAGGCAGAAAGAACCTATCTGGATTTCAACTCCCTGATTCCTGACAATTGGCCATACAAGCAGGGGCTTCTAGAAGCTGAAGTCCCAAACATCTGGGGACTTACCTTCTGCCCACCCCTATATCACAATACATTTTTATTCAGCACAACTAATTATATACTTTCCTTTGCAATCTAGAAAATCAGTGTAGTATAAAAAGAAATCCAGATTCTGAGGTATAGCAACCAGAATGGTGGACTTGATTAGAAGCTGGGTTCAAGTCCTCCCTCAGCCATGAAACATACTGGGTTGCCTCAGCACCAATCACTGGCTGAGTTCACATGGCATCACAACCCACCCTGGCAATAACCCATGTTGGATTGGTTGTTCCACAGAGGTGCTTGTTTCATAATGAGATGGACAATTGGGCTCACAACGGGAACTGCATTTCCTCCCTCCCATTCCTCCAGGCAGGATCCCAGGGGAGACCACCAGAAAGAAAAATGTGACAGCAGTGACTGAGAGCCAATTCGCTGCAACTGTCAGAATGTCCTCATTGCACAAACAGGGCTTGTGCACTGAGGTGCAGCATGGAGAACTTCCAGCCTTAGTTGGGACAATGTACAAGCTACTGCGCCACTCTTCCTTACCAAGAGGGTGCAGATCCCATCGATCCTTGCCAGTGTCTTGGGAAGCCTACTCTCAAGCAAGGATGGCCATTTTATGTTGCCACGGGCAGGAAAGAGCTTCTGACAGCAGCCCTCAAGTGATGCTTGGGCGATTTGGAAGTTACTGTCAGTGGTTCTCACACAGTGGCTGCTTGTCAGAAGTGGGAAGAGATTTTTGCCACTCTAGCCAAGTGTCTCTCTGGCTGTTAAGAGTTCACCCACAGTGGCACATGTCATCTAGCTCTAGACAATGTAAAGTGGGTAACACTTCTAGAACAGCCTTTATGCCATGAGCCCATCTTCTTCCCCTCCTTCCAAACAGATCAGGAGAAAGGACTCTTTAACTAATGCCTTTAATGTTAAAGCTAGCCAGCTTGGCTGGCTTTATGACACTGTAAAGTATTGCAAGTATTGCTGGCTTTGTGAGTATTGCAAAGTCAGTCACAAAAGACAGAAGTGAAGTTGGAATACTGGTTGGTAGGGAAATGCAGATTAATGCTGCAGCTTCCAAAAGGAATACCTCTCCTCCCTTCCAAACTGAAATGAGCCAGCTTCTTCTGTTATTTCTTCTCTACATAGATGGAGACAGCCCATCACCATCCATTGAGGGACTGGAGACAAATTATGACACCAGTCCATGATGCATGCATGTGTCTGGAGCAGTAGGGTGTTGTCAGTTTTGTGTGTTAGGAAGTCAGGAAAAATGAAAGAAAGTATTAAGCTTCTGAAAATGCTTCTGTGGGATATGCAGAGAGACATCACAAAGGACATAATACACACACAGATGGACAGTCAGCTGAGAGGGATGGTTTAACCTGGTGTCCTGCTCTGGCAAAGGGTTGGACCTGATGGCTTTCCACTCCCAACTCTACTATTCTATCATTCTATATGAAACAGATCATTCACTTTAAGCATATTGACTTACCACATGTACTCATTCTAAATCTAAGAATATCTGAAGTTAAGAAGCTCAAATTTAGTTTGACTATTTCAGAAATATCCCTGGGGATTTGAATCCTGAAGTTAAGTTACAGTCTTTAGATCTAGATCTAGAGAATAAGTTATTCACCACATTTATGCCCAGAAGCATCAATTTAGGCTTTGCTCAGACATGATACGTCCAGAAAGAACTCCAGATACTTCTTAGTGTAATAAGCTACGGAACTGACACCTCAGCAATGTCAACCAATAGCAATATGTCATCTGCATATAATATTGTTTTATATTCAGTGAATGCCATGAATGCCATTATTCTGGTACATATTATTATGGTATAATTATCCCATTATTATTCTAACCCTCTTCTGGTACCCCATTATAAATTAAAGGATAAACTGATAATTCTTTTGGTTATCACCTGAGATATTGGTAAGAGATACAAGATTTTAACCAAATTTAAACATTCATTTGTGGGGACAAATATAGCAGGATTCATTGTGATGAACTAGCAGAAGACATTGTGAAATGCCTTTTCAGGGTCTGATGACACTACTGCAGCAAGTTCAGATTTCCAGTGATTTAGGACCACTGACTTCACTAACAGCTGAAGTTTCTCAGTCCCTTGACCTCTATGGATAAAACCAAGGGATGCTGCTATCTTTAACAAAGGTGAAACTGGTACAATCTTGAAGAAGCACTGCTATTATTTAAGTTGTTTCTTAAGATCTCACCTTCTCCATATCTATAAGAGTTACAGGAATATTCCTTCCAACTACTGCTATCACGGTACGACCACAATTATCAACGCCTACAAAAAAATGAACATTAGATAGTTAGATATCATTTTAGATTGACAACCCCCCTCCCATCTCTACATGCAGCAATCAAATTTACTGTAAAAACTCATAGTTCGTTAAGCTATGATTTCAGCAATCACAGTAAGGGAAAAAAAACATTTAGCAAAGCACTAGCTTTCATTCACAGCACACTCTTTCTGTGTGAGAATCGTCTGGGAGTACACAGGCATCAGAACCAGCAAGTTATCTCTCATGTACACCAACACTATGTTCTCTAACCCCTTGTCTGGGTAACAGCCACCTGTTTCTACAGCTAACAAGTGTTTTCTCACTGAAGTGAGAAACTTCTTACTGAAGTGTTGAAGCTCTTGCAATACTTGTCAATATTCTTTGAAGAAGTAAATGTACTTCTACACAACCTGCCCTTCCAATGTGTTAAAGGTAAATGTATCAAATATTAAATAGTTTCAGTGTAGCATTGTGGGCATGGATCTGTTAGGAGCTAGATTTCTCCCTTTCAAAGCAAAAAACTGTTGCTTTACAAAAACCCTTTATTCTCTAAGGTACATCCAGCAAGCACAGTCTCCACAGAAGAAGTCTCTGAACACGTCCAAAGTGGTTTGTTGAATGCAACCTAGCAACTACTTGCAAGAACTCTCTTTTTGAGTACCTTCTGGAGGCAGGCAAGCCTCTTCTCTGTCCACTGCCCTTCTAGTTGGCTGATCTGTCTCTCGCAGTGCCATGTTATAGGGTCAACAGTCATACCTGGCTCAGCCGGATGCTGGAGTTCTCCTCCCCCCAACCCCCTGGAATTGCAGGTCCTGACTATTCTCAGTCTCTGCCTGAACACCTAGGGAGGGCAACCCTGAGACAAGTCCCTCTGCTCCTCCCATTCCCACAACTGAGGATGCCATTTTCCAGGGCCCCTCCCCATCTGACAAGTTCAAATCTGCCCCTTTTGTTCCCAACAGGATGACATTTCATTTGTACAGTGCACCACAATATATTTATCAACAAGGAAGAATTATGGAGCAATTAGTATTTGGGGCCTCGGATTTACCTGTTTGGTACAAAGCTTTAAGGGAAGCGATATCAGACAGGTCTTCAGCTCTCGCCCGACAAAGCCAGCGGTTGTAACTAGAAAGCAGTTGCAAACAATTTCAGAACTTTCTAAATGATCCAGTACTGAGTTTAGTAAACACATACAGTAGCAGCAGAGACATATGATTAAATATGTCCAAATAACCTGCACTATTTATCATATAACATTATATCTCATCGTTCACATAATTCAAGAAGAGGATGCTAATAAATAGAAGGTGAGTTAATTTATTTATATTTCTGTATCTCAGTAGCTAAAGTGCTCAGCGCTAGCAATAACCAAAGTAAGCCACACAAACTTGCTATCATCTTATGCAAAGCGCAAAATGCTTGCCGAAACAAGTTAAATAAATCAGGCTTTAAAAGTCTGATACAACGTAACACATCATCCAGTGGTCCATATGCATAGTGCAGCTGCTTCCAAAGATTTAGGACTGCAGACCAATAGAAAATGCATTGCAGACATGAGTGCTCAGTTTGAAATAGCCTCTTACTTTCTCTGATGTTGCTTCTGCAGTGCTGCCTCTGAGAGTTGCCCTTGAAGGATGAGACGCCGCTGTTTATCAACATCTCCCTCCATTCGGGCAAAAGCATGAGAGCCAATAAACGAGAGGTCTGCTTCTAGCCCCTCCTCATCAGAATTGTCTGCAAAAGATACAACAAAGAAGCTGCTCATAATAGAACCACAAGGCAAAGCCATGACTGGACAGCTGTGGCATCTGTACACAGCAGCTGGAAAGTATTGTAGTATAGTAAGAGTCATGCAACAGAGTTCAGCAGTATCTCTTTCCAGGTAGCTTGTTTTCTAGAACTATCTTTGATTCTTGTTCTCCGTACTACGGAGCCTTAGGCTTCCAATTCTGGAGTAAGTAACAGATACAATAAGAAAAGGAAGGTGCCAAGGGTCAATCCACAAATATAACATGTAAAATCAACATTTAAACACATTCATGGAAAAATTAAAATCTCTATCAGCTATAATCCCATCAAAATATTTCAATTCTCAATAAAAATTTGTCCAGTCTATTGCTTTGAGTTTAAAGTAGAAATTATAGACATTTATAAAAACTGTATTTTCTTTAACTATTAATTAAATTGCTCATTGTAAGCTTTCCATCTAAGTAAATTCTTTGACTGCTCTTCTGTTAATGTAATTAATTTCACCATTGTTGCATAGTCAGCTAACTTGCTTTTCCAGTCTTCGACAGTTGGACAGTCTTCAGCTTTCCAGTTTAAAGCAATTATTACTCTTGCCGCTGTTGTCGTATTTAACTAACTCTGCCATAGGTAAATTTCTGACAGATTAACTGTGCTCTGAGCTTTGCCTTGCTATCTTGGCCACTCTTACTTATACGCCGCCTTTTTGCCTTTTAAGGAACTCAAGGCGGCTTCCTAATTTTCTCATTCTTACCCTCACCACAACAAGCCTGGGGGGCAGGTTGGGCTGAGAGTCCATGACCAGCCCAAAGTCACCCAGTTGGCTCCACAGCTGAGCTGGGGACTAGAACCCAGGCTGCCTGACGCCCAGCCCAGCGCTCTTAACCACTACACCACACTCATACTTTAGCTGAACCCTCAAAAGAAAGAAACCAGTAGAGATAAAGGAAAAATGGAAAGCTACCCCTAATAGAGTTTAGTGGTGTCGCTTTCTGTGAAGCAACCAAAACAAGTCAAGTCATGTCTTACTATTCATAGTCTAGAACAGTGGTGGCGAACCTATGGCACGCATGCCGCAGTGGGCACACAGAGGCCTCTCTGTCAGCATGTGAGCCAAGTCGCTCTAGCATTTCCCCAGCAGCTGTGCATCAGATAACAGCGTGCATAGGGGCCATGCGCATGCTCAGAAGGAGCGACTTATCCGAGCTTTTGCATGACCGGTCAGTGCGCTGCCAAGTCCAAGTCAGTGCGCTGCCAAGTGTGTGTGTGTGTGTGTGTGTGTGTGTGTATTTGCTTGGACTGGCTGTGAGTTGTTTTTTCTAAACTCAATCCTCAGTTTTCAGGTTATATTGCAGTGTTGGTCCTTTGTGATAAATAAGGGGTATTGGCTTGCAGTTTGGGCACTCAGTCTCTAAAAGGTTCGCCATCACTGGTGTAGAACATCGCAAGGTTCGAGTGTCCCTTCTCCTTGGGGATGGGACAACAGCCTGTGAAAAGTCAATCTCCCCTTCAGCCTTCTGGAACAAGGCTTGCTTTGATTTTTCTTTTCTACCGATACAGAATGTGGGGGAAGAGTTCCTTCTCAGTTTAAAATATGTAAAATGGGAAAAAATGATAGAAAATATAGTACTTGGTGTGTATACTGTGAGAAAGGAGACTGCCTTTCCTAGAGCAGCAGAAAACCCCCAGAATCATTCTTGCCAGGTCCTCCAAAGGAGAGACACATCCCTCATCTGAGATGGAATTGCTCCTGTTGGGCAAGAACTCTAGTACCCTCTGCCTGGAGGCTGCCTCAAAGAAGGAATCAGGTGAGTGTGTAATAAGCAATAAAGAGCTGAATCCCACTATGTTGGATTATTATAAGCCAGTCCCTAATAATCCACTTTTGGGCAAGCTATTGGATCATGTGGGGGTTCATTCCTGGATGAGGTGGAAGATCTCGATTCTTTTCAGTCTGGATATGGAGCAGAAAGAGCTTTGGTCCTCTTGGTAGAGGACCTGCATCAAGAACTAGGGCGGGGGGGGGGGGGGAATGTTCCTGATGATTCTACTGGACCTCATAGCAGCTTTTGATACTATTGCCAGAGTATCCTTCTCAGTGGCCTCACTGGGATGGGAACTGGAGGCTCTATTCCTTCCTGGAATGGCAGACCCAAAAGGTCATGGAAAGCGGTCTCCAAATCCATGTGGAGTTTCTCATGGTTCCTTCTGCTTTGTCCCAGCGCTATTTAATATATACATGAAACTGTTGGGAAAGGCATCCAGGGTGTGGAGCTTCAGAAACTCTGTTTCTCCTTTTCTCTTCATTCTAAGAAAGCTGTTTTGGTGCTATTGGCAGTAATGGACTGGATTAGGGCAAATATATTGAACCTTAATCCAAAACAGACAGAGGTGTCCCTTCACAGTCAGAAGGCAGATCAAGGAACAGTGTTCTGCCCAATAGTGCAAAGAATTCTGAAAAAATTAATGAAGCATGTAAAATCCTGGGAATGCGAAAGGTCTTCAGCTGGTGTTGGAAATGCTACAACCCAGATAGAAGGCAAGCCTCTCCCGGGAAGGCTCACCAATACCAGGGCACTGCGACTGCGAAGGAAGCCTGCCTACAGGACTCATAAGGCTAAGGGAAGGACCTCGGGAGAGGACTGTAGGTCTGGGCAGGTACATGCGACCCAGCATGCCTTCGTGGAGGGAGGCTCACAGCTTCTGATGCCTTTCAAAGTTAATGCTTTGACTTGGGTCCCCTGGGGTGGCGTTTGCTGAGAGGAACTGAAGAAGTCCAAGCGGATTGGTCCTCTTGGACTTTTCCGTAGCTTTGGAGAGCACTGGCTATGGCTTCCTTCTGGAATGGCTATCTAATCCAATCCGTTGGGAATAGCTTTCTAATAGCACTGTTTTTCAGTGGCTCCTGCTTCACTGGCCATTGTGCCAAAGGGGGATTGCTCTGTTTCACAGGAATGATCTTACCCAGCTCTGCAGGGCTGTTTTGCCGCTCGGGTTACTTAACATCTCCATGAAATGGCAGGGACTGGATCTCAGGGAGGTGTGTGAGGTTGCTTGTCCTTTGGGCAGCCACAACTCCCAGAGCAGAGATGTGGTCTGGTAAGCAGGACAGTTTCTGAGAGTGCCCACTGTGCCCAAAAAGAGCGGGGGACCAGCACACATCTCCTTGCTGTACTCTTGAGCTCTCTCCCCCAGCTGCTCTGCGGACTGTTGAAGAACAGGCTCACCCTCCAAAACACCAGGCTTCTCGCTAATTCGGATCTGCCGTTCTGGCACCACTGGCTCCCCTTCTGCATTGCCAATATCTGCCGGGAGCAAAGGCAAGGACCGAGTCTCCTCTTCCAGCGATCGTGGGAAATACAGGGGCAACATCTTCTGGTAAGTACCCTGTAGAAGGAAGAGAGTTGTCGAGTGTGTGTCCTGGACCTATGCTTTGCAGTCCAGGTAAGAAACCTGATGGGTGACAAAGGCAAAAACCTGCACAGAGGAAAGAAAGCATCCCCCTCCACCTGCTTTCTCAGCTCAGAGTACTTTCTTCTGGGCAAGCAGGCATGGTCCTCCCCTCCAGCGCCACATCGTCTGTCCAGAAGCCCCTCCATTCTCCGCTTGCTGCATCTTGCCTCGCACGGCTCAGCTGTTGAGTGCATCATTTGCGGCTGAGCTTGCCCGCAGGGGCTCAGAACCACACACGGAAAATTCTCTGCCCACACATTTCCCCGCTCTTTCCAAGGGAGACTAGATTGCCTTGAGCAAAGGAATGCTCACTCATGGAATGAGTAGAGCCCCAAACTGTGGTGTCGGGGTGTTCCGTAAGATCCCCAGCAAGCATTTCCTTCATCGACGCTAGTTTGCTTTACTTACAGAAGGCTATTGCGATACCCCATGATTCAGCCGCACAGTGTCTGCAGATTTACTCCCTGCCTTTAATGTGACCAAACCAAGGGGGCCCTTCAATATCCTATAGCCAGAAAATACCGACACTCCAGTAACTGAACCATTTGCTGGTTAGAAACAAATGTCTATCAAGCCACTGGCTGAGGATATATTTGACTTCAGAAAATAAGAATGAAACAGTTTTGAAATTCAGTTTACTGTGCACCTTCGGGAGAAGTTACTATCAACAGAGCATTAGGTGTTGCAGACCAAACACCTGCAGGCACATACAAAACAATCCACATACCTCTTCAAGCTCAGACACTGCAAACACCACTTTTTCAAGAGTTTCCCCATGAACCTCCAAAAATCGCCTGACTGTTCCTGTGGGGGGCGGGTGGGGGGGAAAGCAACACAGTCAGTCTACCCAGAAGGGATGCTCATGCTTACCATACACGAGTAAAGCAGAAGGCCTCCCTTCTCCATTTCAGCATTGCCCCATCTGGAGGCCAACTCTGAAGTCAAAGGGGTTTTTTAGCCATATGATGAAGTCAACAGAAACAGCAGAAAAAATCATTGTATTTTTGTCAATGCATAGGGATATAGATCTTCCAGTTTGTTTATGCCCCTGCTGTCTATCTTTCTCTGTAATGCCTTTAGCAATGTTCACTGTGTTCTTAAAACTTCTATGCTGGTAAATCTCCTCCATCTTTGTTCTAGAGCAGTGATGGCAAACCTTTTAGAGACTGAGTGCCCAAACTGCAACCCCAAACCCACTCATTTATTGCAAAGTGCCAACCCTGCATTAAAACCTGAATACTGAGGTTTTAGTTTTGGAAAAACAACTAAATATGATGCTGCAGATTCAAATATGCCAGGGGAACAACACAACATTAAAAGAATCTCAGTCTCTTAATTAGAACATCTCTTTGCTAAATCTTAGATATTAAATTTCAATTTTTCATAAGAAAACTCAAAGTTAAAATCTTGTATTAATAAAAACGAATGTATTAAAACTCACAGCCAGTCCAAGCAAATCTCCCTCTCTCTCTCTCCCCTTGGCAGCGCACTGACCAGCCATGTGAAAGCTCGGACGAGTTGCGGCATATGAGATGCGGCTCGTGACGTCATCGCCTGGCGCTGCTACTCCTTTCCAAGCATGCGTATGGCCCCTATATGCGCTATTATTCGATGCTCGGCTGCTGGGGCAACTTGGCTTGCATGCCGCCAGAGAGGGCTCTGCATGCCCGCTGCGGCACGCATGCCATAGGTTCCCCACCACTGCTCTAGAGTATTGATCACTAGTTGGCCTAGCCAAAATCCTGTTCCTGGGCAATAGGTGCCAACATCCCTTTACTAGGCAAAGCGCTTGAGCAGGTGGTTTTCCATCAATTCCAGGAACAGCTCACAGTAACCTGGTCATTCTGTGGGACAACCTTTGCTGAGTAAGGAACAAGGGGATTATACACATCCTGATTCTCCTGGATCTTTTGACTGCCCGGATATCGTAAGTGATAGTATCTTTCTGCACAAGATTTCTGGGTTGAGAATCAAGGCATTTTATTCTTTTGGTTTCTGTTGCTTTTATATCTGTCAGTGCTTTTGAAAGTTGTGTACTGCTGCTGATTTTTATTTTGCTTTTAAAGGTTGTAATTTTAAAGGTTTATTTTTTTTTGTGTGCTCTGTTTTGTTTTTAATTGCTGTGAACTACCTAGAAAGCTTGGGCTATTGGGAGTTATAGATGCGTAATACATAAATCAGTAATAAATCAACATGAACTTCATAAAATCTTACGTTTTGGAATTAAGTATGAACTTAAAATATCCACAGGTGGCAGAACAAGAAGGGATTGCTCAATAAGTTGCTATGGATCAATGGCAGCTGCATCACTGCAATGGTTGTTCGTTGGCACTGTTAGAGCTATAAACCTGCCTATTATAGCACAGAGATAAAGCAAGTAACAGCTGCCATAAACAATCATACAAGGCTACAAGTCGTACAAGCTAATAGGGAAGGTTTTCCACTTCTTTTGCACTGCCTGCATATACATCCAAAAGGCACAGACAAAACATTATCAGGTACCTGAAAAACCTTTCATGATGCCTGACATGTTTCAGGGAAGACCTTCCATCCTCGGGGGTTGTAAGTGAAATTTCACTGCAAACAACATTAATTGTTTAAAGCATGTCTAAGACATTTAACTATGTCTAAGTGGTTCCGGCAAATTAATTTACTGTGTGTATATAAGCCAACTTGTGAAAGGGAAGCTTTTTATTTCATAGTGTACGTGTGGTTTAATATATAAATAGGTACAGCCAATAATTTTGAACCTTTATCTAAAGAACACAAAGATCTATATCTATATATAAATGATGATGTCTTGCAAGTATTGTAAATTGTGGATACACTGCATTATGCACACATTTAAGGTGAATCTAGAGTTGTCCAGAGGGCTTTTCTGCTGATGGACAGCATATAAATTTAATCAATCAATCAATCAATCAATCAATCAATCACAGTAGGCTGCTTTGACTGATAAAACAAACCATTCTACCAGTTCTGAACCTTTATGTCAAGGGTCCTCAAACTTTTCCACCAGGGGGCCAGTTGAAACCTGCCGGTGCTGGGCACGGGCCAGAAAGGTGGTGCTGGCGGTGCGTGCGGGCCGGTGTGGTGCGTGCAGGTGTGTGCGCTGAAGTGGGGCTGGGGCGCTTGGCAAGGCAAGGTGAGGCAAGGTGCGGGCGGGGGCGGGCACGCACCGTGCGGCGGGCGCATGAGGCAGCTGCTTGCTCGCTTGGAGATCGTTTTCTCTGAGCGAGCAAACCACTGCCTCCCTGCACGTGGGGCGAGGTGGGCAGCGGCAGGTCCAAATGGGCATGGCGGGCTGGATCCAGCTCCTGGGCTGTAGTTTGAGGACCCATGCTTTATGACTTCATCATAAATCTCAACAGAAACATTTTAATATATTTGTATCATCACATAAGTATCTTTTCCTATCTGCCTATATCTAACCTATCAAGTATTAGCCATGGCCTTGACATGTCACATTATGCATTGCCTAAGGTTTGTTTAGGAGTGGCAGATAGAGAACTGGTTCGCAAGACATAGTAAGTCCTCTGATGCACCTGACAGAGGGTCAGGCAAATTGTGGGTACCAAACCCCCTCTCTTGGTCCTCCCATAGATAACCCATGGGTCACAGTGGAAGGAATTAGACTTCCCTCCACCCCTCTGCAACTGCCCGCCCCTTACTCCTTCTTTTGGAAGCTTGCACCACCTTTTGTGACCACCATTTTACAGTCTCTTGGGATACCTTGGAGGGGCTGCCTGTTGTTGCCCACTTTTTAAAAAAATGGGTGCACAAAATTTTGCATTTTTGGGGGATGCCAAAACTGAAAGCCCAACCTCAGGAGTGGCAAACTACCCCTGCTGCTCCCATTGTGAGGCTCCTGAGCAATTACTAGTGCCAGCCGTGTTTTCCCCAGCATGTCCAAATGGCAACTTGCAGGCTTCTTCCCCCATTTCTATTTCAGAGCCATATTTCAGGGGAATACACACCATTCTTGCTAAACCCTCCCCTTTAATTCACAACCGTCAACGCTTCAAAGCACTTAAAACCTCCCCAAATTGGTTCCCCTATGCAAATTAAGGAAAAAAATAACAATGACAAAAAGGTTATGCTGAAAATGAGATATAAACTGAAAAACACTCTCTAGTGAGGCAAAGATCCCATGTGGCTTCGTTTTCTTTTAATAACTTGGCATCTACAAGCTATCAAGAAAAACTGGGATGTGGGGTGGGTTTTGAGCCTCAGTTTGGCAATGTCTAGTGAGGGTTCCTGCTGTCCCTTTACAGCAGGCACCTGCACTGACATTTGCACAACTGTGATTAAAGCTGTTAAAAAGATACAAACTTGCCATTGAGACAATCTGAAAGGGCTGCTTATGGCTTCCTCCAAAGGGATTGCAAATGCTGGCTGGACAGTCAGCTTTCTTGAAAAAAGTAGTGGTAAAGATAAATGGATTGTAAAGGTTTGGGGCGGTGGGGGGTGGGGTGCTGTGTCACCTGCCCCATGTGCCACTTAGAAGGCAGTTAGCACTGGCATTTCTCTGGGAGCTGCTTTTGGCAGAAAAATGTTTTAAAGAAAATTAATGTTACACACTTCATTTCATGTACCCAAATTATTTTAAAAGAAGCTGGGCAATCATGGGCAGCTTCTTCAAAGGTCCTACTGAGGCACCCTGAAATAATTACTTACGGCTGCCAAAATTGGGGTTGCAAATTGGTTTTATCCTTGTTTTTACTACTATTTTAAATACACTGTATGTTGTGTTATGTTTTTGTTCGTGGTTTTCTGTTCCCTGTAAGCCATCCAGAGACTTTTTAGTAATGGATGGCATAGAAAATTTTTAAATATATAAATTGGTTATTTATTTATATAATCGGTAGTATGTAAGTAAATACATAAATACTACAGTCAACATAATTTATGTTGTCCAAGCATAATTAACCTCTAGCACAATGTCAAAAACATTTGCTGGTTTAAAAGATTTCCCAAGAATTTAGGTCAGTAGTAGTGTCAAATTGGATATTGCCCCATGTTTTACTAGACACTGGATTTCCATCAAGTGGAGGTAGGTGTCGTAATATGAAGCAGACATATGACTAAGGAACAGGGTGCCTCTGTACACAAGACTGGTGAAGCAGGAGTTCACAAGACCTTTCATGCAACAATACATTCCTGATTTTCCCCGAGTGTTCTTTACAGTGAACTAGTTTGATGGGAAAGCATTTTATTTCTTGCTTTTTTAGACAACTGAAGGTCAGAAATGCCTGCCAGTATACTGCTAATCACCTGGAGCAATCACCTCAATCATGGTTTACCTGCTCCCCACCTCCTGCTGATGTCACATATTCTTCCCCTATTTATCCAGCCTTTCATTTTTCCCCCTTGCAGTTTCTAGATGGCAAGTCATTAGATGCAGAAACCTGTTTTCTCCTTCTTGGCAAAGCTGAATATAGTGCAACAGAAACAGCATTTTTTATCAGGGTACTTACGCAGTGCTATGTGGGTGGCATCCACTAAAGGGTAACCTCGTTTCACAGTGTTTATCACACAGAATCCAATGGAGGACATTGCTTGCTCCCTAAAGTCAAATCCATAAAGAAAGATGCAGGTAAGTTCTTGGCATGCCAATGCTACAGAAGACAAAGCAGGTTCGTTCCAGCTTTCCTATTTTAAAAAATTGTGTTTATTATAGTAGCACAACAGTGGTGAGCAAGATGGTAAGAGTTAGTCAAAATTAGCAGCTCAGTTTTGTGAGGCATCACCATAGAACCAACTGCCTAGGGAGGTGATGGGGTCTCCATTGCTGGAGGTATTCAAGCAAAGATCAGACAGCCAATTGTTGGGATGTTTTAAATTGGACTACTGTACTGAGAAAGGGGTTAGACCCAATTACCTGAAGAATTCTTCCATTAGATTCACAGAATTCTACGATTCTATAAACAAAGTATTTAAAATATATTAAATATTCATTTAATATTATATTAAGTAATCCTGGACGGAGAAAGGAGCTGGACTATTTGTCTCATTATTTAAAAACTATTTATTTCTTTAAAAACTTTGAGAGGACAAAAAGCTGCTATCACAAGTAGAGGAATCCCATCCCAAGTACCTATTATAATCACTGTTGATAAGGGTTGCTTATGTGTTCCCACTATTATTTTTTTATCTTACCAGCTAAGACTTATTAAGTAATACTTTGCAGATCACAAAGAGGGAATATAATGTCAGAATGAATAAGAGTAAACTGCCTCAGAAGATGCCAGGATGACCTCTAATGAAAATGGACAACGTACTCATTATAAGAGATACAGAAGCACTAAAATATTTTTTAAAACACTACAGAATTATTGTTAATAGTAGCGAAGAAAAAGGTGATTCTTCCAAAGTTATGGACACTGGAGGAGGCAAAACCAACTTCGAAATAAACATATATGTGTCACTAATTTTCATTTAAGTATTCTGACAGTTATGACTTCAAAGTCCCTCAGCACAGGAGATCTTAGAACAAGATCCATTGAGTAGACAATGATGTCAAAGGGCTGAGTGAAACAACTTTGAAAGGAACTCTAGAGGATCATGCATACTGATTCAGAATCCTAGAAACTAGTGTTTTAAAGCACAAAAATAAGAAAAACAAAATTTCAACATCGTAAACAAGTTGGTTTATACAGCAAAATCAGAAGTATTGTAACCCCATTCAGCACAACAGTAGGTGATTCATCCCTGGATATGAAGGACCTCCTATGTGGGTTAGATATAGGAGATAAAGAGAGAATTTTGTGAGACCACAATACACAGGTTTGAGAAATTTATCTGCCCTGCCCTATAACCTGTCCAAAACAAGCTATTAATATGGAGGAAAGAGAGGGAAGAGAATCAAACTATTTTTTCACAAGTCACCCTGTGATGGGAGGAAGTTAATGCTGAGGTCTGCAACTGAGTGTCCATGAGAACATGAGTTGGAAAAAGTGCAGAGGGAGACTTCCGGTTGACATCGCGGCGAGACGGCTGTGGAGAACTGGGATCCCATACTTCACGTTGAAAACCGTTCCACAGAGGGCCCTGGGAGGCCCATCCAAGCCCTGTCGGGGCAGGGATTAGAAGCCCGAGCATACTTCTGCCTGGTGGGGGTGGCGGTCCCCCACCCACCGGGAGAAATTTGGGGAAATTCTCAGTGAACTGAGAGAGAGGGGTCCACCCCTCTCTCACAAGCTGCTGCCACCGGATTAGTAGCGAAGAAAAAAAAGAAGAAGCTTAAAAGTGGGCACTGGACCTGCTGGATAAGCATTCAAATCTTTCAAAATACTGCCCGTGAAAGAACCTGTGAAATAGCTATCAAACTGAAAAAAAAAAAAAAAAAAAAAAAAGCCCTCTTGATGGAGGGAGGAAACTTCTCCCTGTGGAGTTCAAGTGGCGACCAATCTAGTGGGGATCAAGTGAAACTGGGGAAATTTGAGACTTGGAAGAGATTTTTTTTTTATGTTTAATCTCCCCAGGGGTGAAGAATTAAATTTGAACTTATTGTATATTAATTGGTAGAAAAAGTTCTCTTTCGTTTCTGTATCTCTTTTGATATGGCGATTTGATTGTTCCAGTTTTTGCAACAAATAACCTTTTGCTGCCACCCTGTGGTAATTTTATCCTTTAACAGATACATTGTTTGCCCCCCCCCCCCCGAAAATCTTTTTTTCCTCTCTTTGTGATTTGCTGCTATTTAGTGGCCATTTAGTACCACAACAGGTCATTTAAAAATTGCTTCAATTAAACTTTTCACTTTCATCATGGAAAAAATTCACTCATCATCTTTGGCACCTACGTCTGCTTCCCAAAGCCCAACAAATCAGTTAAAAACTGTGGATTTGGGAAAATCTCAAAAAGACATACAAATGACACTTCTGGCAATACAAGCATCTCTAACATCTATGGAAGCATCCCAAGAGTCTATGCAAAATGCTATGCAAGAATTTGCTTTGGAACAAAAGGAAAGGCTGGATAAATTGGATAGTCATGTCTTGAAGATAATGAATCAACTTGCAGGTTCCTGTATTAAAATAAAACAAAATGAACAACAGATACAAGAAGTGAAAAAGAAGGTTGATGATTCTGATAAGAAAATTGAAAAGATGGATCAAGAGAAGCAACATCTAACACAAACAAATAAGTCATTATGGGATTCAGTTGCTATATTGGAGAGATTTCAGAATACACCAGAAGCAAAAAATGAAAACTTAAGTGGTTTAATAAACATTATGCTAGCAGATACTCCTGCTTTGGAAAAAGAAGAGACTGATAAACAGCTTGACTTGGTTTATAGAGTCAACTTAAGCTATGTTAGAAGCCATAAATTTCCAAGGGAGAATGGATAATTCTAAGGGAATTTTATATCTTGAAGAGCATGATTTAAAAACAGGATGGCATGCTTATATGTGGAAAGGGTATTGACGTTTCTTGGTGGCACAAAGTTCAAATATGATCGAGATATGTGAAGACTACAGAATACATGATTTTTATAAAGGAATCAGCAACATTTGATTAAAAGATTTTAAAATTGGATGAAAGAATGATTAAAGGATTGTATAACTTTCTTTTGGGTATAAAAATGAAAGATGAATGAGTTAAGGAAACTATGATAATATGGGCAAAAAAATGTTGGATATAACATTGAGTTACAGAAATGGCAAAAGCTGTGGGAAAGAAATATTAAGGTAACCTTAGCAACTTCATATAAAGAAAAGCTATATAAATGTTTTATAGTTAGACAGATAGATGTAAATGTTTTATAGATAATTTTTATCGCTAAATAGATTAGCAAAAAATGTTCTCAAATATGTCAAATAGATGTTGGAAATGTAAACACAAATTTAAACCTGAAGACTTTTCTCTTTTTTGTTATTAGATATTAGATATTATTCTTAATGATTTTGATAAATAGGTTATATACTGGATCTTACATGTAAGTACTGTGGCAAGGATTCCATTTGCTCATTACTGGAGGAGTGAAGAGCCACACACTGAAGAGTTGATCTTAAAAAGAATTTTGGATTGCACGGAAAGGGACAGATTGACTTTGTCTTTGAAGGAGAAGGAGGATGCATATCTCTACCAAACTTGGAACTCTTTTTATTATCAGTTAGAGAAACGGGACTATGCATAGATCTGAATATGGCTACTGACTGTTAAAATGAGGAAGGTGTCAACCCAGTATATCCAATGTCTTAAATAACTGTTGTTTTTAATGTTTTTGTTGTTGTTGTTTTTTATGATTGTGTTGTTCTATTATATATGTTGTTTTTTATGATTGTGAGCCACCCCAAGGCTTCGGCGAATGGGGCGGCATAGAAGTTCTCTAAATAATAATAAATAATATTAGATTGTAGAAAAAAATAATAAAATTTATTTAAAAAGAAAAAAAGAAAAAGTGCAGAGAAGGGCACCAAATAATCAGGGGGCTGGAGCAGCTTGCCTTTGAAAAGCAGCTTTGACAACTGGGAGTGTTCAGCTTAAAAAAAGGGTAAGTAAGGAGAGACATGGTAGAAGTGTTTAAAATCATGAAAGTATGGAGAAAGTGGAGGGAAAATTTTTTTCTCTGTGTTCCATAACACTTGAACCCAGGGTCATCCCATGAACCTGACTGGTGAGAGGTTTAGGACAGAGCAAAGGAACTATCTGTTCATACAAGATATAGTTAAACTGTGGAATTTGCTGCTTTGGGAAGTGGTAATGGCCACCAATTTGGATGTTTTTTAAAAGAAACTGGACAGATTCATGAGGGAAGATGCTAACAGAAATGACTAGCCTTGTTGGCAATGGGGTACCCCCTTTAGCAGAGGCAGCCTGCCTGCATACACAAACCAGTTGCTGAGGAGCTGGGTTTGCACCCATCCTGCCTGAGCGCTCTTGTGGATGGCTAGTTTGTCAACGATACACTTGATGGCTGGACTAGATGGACCTTGGAGCCAATCCAGCATGGCTTTCCTTATGTTAACCCCTAGCCCAATTTTAAAAATTATTTCCAAATGAAACACACAGACATTTTTAATCAATCAGAGTATGTTCTGCAGTGAAGTACCAGACTCTAGCTGCCATTTTCATTCCCACAGATACCCTTTGGGTGCCATGTGGGCTCATACACATGCTCCTATGAAACTACAAGAGGCTGAAGGCTCTGCTTTGCAGCATGTCCTTGCCTGGAAAATACTGGGAGAAAAGAAAAAGGAATACCACTGTGATCATATAAGCTAGGGAGAACTAACTGAACCATATAAACAGACTGGGGTACATTTGCCTGATTTTGCAGGGCAGGGGGAGTTCTTCCAGTTAATGTGGATCCAAAGGAACTCTCACGAGTCCTTGGGAAAATTTGCCTTCTGTGAAATGGGGGTTTTATGACTTGCCACACCTACCACAGCGCCCATTTTGTGCAGAGCTGCCATGTGCAAATATACCTATTTCTTTTGAGAGCACCCATGACACTTTCCAAAAATGCCAGATATGCCCGAAAAGTCCGAGGTCACTTATGTTCAAGGAAAACAAGTACCTTCATTCTCAGATTATCTGAATGCTACGTTGCAAGATACTATTTACACTGGCTGTGTATTCTGAAGTTTTACAACATGTGTGCACGCGTGTGTGCAGGGGAGAGAAGGGAAAGGAACAGCAGAAAAAGATGCGGACAGGTATGTGACATATGTACACCCACTGTACTTGCCTGCCATAAACGGGCACATACTTACCGTGCTAGCTGAAGGATGTTACGATAGCAGCTATACAATGAGCTCTCGGCTGCTGTTCGGTATCGACTTTTGTACTTGGGTCCCACAGTGTGTATGATGAAACGGGCAGCGAGATTATATCCCTTTGTCAGCTTTGCCTCCCCAGTCCGACAGCCTAAAAAAAACCCCCAGAATGATAAAACATTCTCAGATCAAAGGAAGGATGAGCATGGAAGTTTTAGATCCCTCTTTATACTCCAGGATACCTTCAGAGCTTTCTGGATGATATCCACAGTACTTGCTAAATCTAGGAAAGTTTAAAAACTGGCTTGCAGAACACTGTAGTTGGGAGGAAAGAAGCACAGCTATTCAGGTGAAGCAACCCTCAACTATAATGGCAGCCCATTGTTCAGAATTACGTGAAAAAACTGGGCTCAAAGCCCATCCATTCCTCTGGTACAAATCAAACTAGGGGCTTTGAAAGCTTTTGCTTCTGGTTTTGACCAATCACAGCAGGTAGACTTGGCTTGGAATATGTGATCAACTGGAAGGTGTGTGTGTGTTTGGGGGGTTTAGATCTAATAAATTTTCATAACTAGTTCCCTTTGCTGGCTCTGCATGGGCACTGACTTGCTATGGTGCAAGGTAAGCCTGTGGTTTTCATGCTTTAAAAACTGCTAAGGAAATCTGTGTAAAATTGTCAGATCTGCGCAAATTGGCAACTGAAAATTATGTTGTCCTTGCATAATTTGTGAAAATTACATGACAACCACTTGCTTGCAGGTGCTGATTTGCATAAAATGTGCAAAGTACCATGATTTATGCAAATTACATATATTTGGACAAACAGTGTAACTTGCCCAAATTTCTTCACTTCTTTAAAAAATGTGCAACCTGTAGCCCATCTTAAAGATGGAAATTGGTGGGAACAAATTTGATTTGATCTGCTTCTGATCACTGGATCAGAAATGGGCAGGAAGTTTGTTGACTTCAAACAAGACAAACTTCCTTGACTTAAATACATTTTACTAAAATGAGTTAGAAATCATGGCTTGAAGTCAACTTTTTTTTACTAACCCATAACAAACACTGCAATTTAAAGAAGTTTCAGACATGGCTTCTGAGGGCGTTCTGCTGTGTGTTTTGTATGGACTCTTGCTTTTGGAACATCAGTTGGATGTTTGGAAACAAAGCAGATTTATACAGTCCTCACCTTTGAGTTTCTGCAGCTCAGCCCTCAGGTCAGGTCCTGCATGCATATAAACACTTTCAGACACAGGATTTTTATCCGTGAGGGATTCATTGCTTGTGTTCACTATGGCTGTGCAGTTCAGCAATGCTACATCCCCCTTCCTAAGGAAAGATCACCGCATAAAGTGAGCGCCACAGAAGGAAACCAGAAAAAAACCCATCTCCAAAATATCACACACAGAAAAGGAAGCTCTTCACACTTCTGGTTTAGATACTGCTGTGTAGCTTTCCCTTCAGCAGTTTCAAGTAGTGTGGAGTAACAAGACTGCAGTGGAATAGTTAAATTCACTGATCATACAACGCAACTCTGCATAAACAAAACTAATAAACAAAAAACTAAACTGAGAACAATTGGGATTTTCATACACATTTGCACATAGCCTTCACATTCCAGATCAATGTTGGCAAAAGGTTGTATAACTAAGAGCGTCCTTCCACAAAAAAAGACCAGATTCCAGCAGTTCAACCAAGTAATAGGGGCATGTTTATGAAATACACTGCTGTGTGAGTAATTAAAATGGATCTCTGACCCACAGGCAGGGGAAACACAGAGAGCCTTACACCGAGGCAGACTCTTAGTTTATCTAGTCAGTATTATTGACACTGACTGGCAGCAGCTGTCAGGATTTTGGACAGGATTCCTTCCTAGCTCTACGCAGAGAAGCCAAAGATGAAACCTCTGATTTTGTCCTGCAAAGCAAGTGTTCTACTATTGAATTAGCGCCTGCTGTTAAATGTCTACTACAAATGGGCATCGCTACCACCGGATCCTCAGTTTACACCTCTTCCAGCACTCAGCCCCATTGTTCCGGCCCAACATGGCTATTGACACCACTGGGGAATCTTCCTGCAGCATCTCCATGACTCTGTCACGCCAAGTATAACCTCCTTTTGTGCCTTTGAAGTTTGTCCGAAAAGTGTAAGAGTTCTGAGCTCTGAGCCCTCAGTGTGCTGGTTCACCAGAAAAACTCTATTGTCTGTGAAACCAGTAATATTATTAGCAGGTCTACACAAGACCCTATATAGCCACCCAAGGCTTAAGATAGCCTGGGGCCTCTGCTTTGCTGAACAAACAAACGGTAGTGCTGAGGAGACATATGAACCTGGCCAACTCTGAGGTTTTTGCAGCAATAGCAGTCTTTGGTAGTCCACTCCAGTTTCTACTCCCCATTCTTTAAAGTGGGTTTTAGAAGGGGTTTCAAAGTTGTTTGGCAGGGACGCAGATAATGTAACAGTCAATGTCTGTGCTGCAAAACAACTCTGCAGCTCCTTCTAAAACCCACTTAGAGAATAGGGTGTAAAAAGTGAGGTAGCATCTCAAACATCAGAAGATCTAAATTCCCACAATCTGACCTCCTATAAAAACACTTAAATGCTGTGCATGTTCTGCTTGGCTAAACTTCTGCAACAGCTCTACATGAATCTCTCAGTGTAATGAATGTTTATTTTAAAATGCTTGAATGCATTTAACTTCCCTGTTTTGAAGAAGTAACTGTGTTTCCTCCTGTCAGACACCTACTGACAAGGTTAAAAGCTGAAAGAAACTTATCTTGCAATGTGCAAGTATTTAAACATATGTAGAAGAGCGCAAGAAAAGGTAACAATTCTCAAAACCTCTCAACTGTGAAGGTACAACCTATTTTAATCTAAACCATGCACTTCTGCAGAATTGCCTTTCTGGATTGGACCAAGAACTACAAGTCAGCATTCTAATGAGCTGGTTTGTTTACTCTTGCTCTAGACTTCATGCACGTTAGCCTTCTGCAGCCTGTGATTCTCCAGATATTGTGCGCTACAACTTCTGGTGGCCCACTTAGCATGACCAGCAGTTACAAAAGACATAAGTTATAATCAAAAATGCATGGCGGAGCCTGGGTTGGGGAAGGCCAATGCAGACCAAAGTTTTGTGCTGCTGAGTACAAATAATGAAATACAAAATGATAAAATACAAACTTACCAAAATATTACTTTTGCATTGATGTCTTTCCTGTATGGGAAGGGAGATCGAATATCAACTTGCTTGTTTTCAAATGGAACTGGACTGGTTTTCAATTGGTCTGCCTCATAAAGATCAGCCCATCCTGGCAATGTATCGATATCCACAAAATGGGAAGGAGCACCCAAAGGATCCATGGAATGAAGAGGTCAAGACTTATTTCAGTTCACTTTATAGGCACTCCACTTCTAACTAAGGTCTTGCTGGTACAATGGATAAAAGATACATAAAGTTAAAAGCTTGAACTCTTTATTAGTTAATGTTATTGCAAGTGCTTTTATTAAAAACACAAAATAGCCATAAATTTCCATACAACCACTTCAAATATCTATGTAGACATAGCTGAGTATACATACATAGGTTCATTTTTATATATGAAAATTATAGAGAAACATGTGCATAAAAAGAAATGTATGCTTGTGCAAGAAATCATAAATAGCAACACCTAAAGCTACAAAATGAAAAAGAACTTACAACTATAACATTTCTGTGAAAACATGAGATATGCAAGTGACATGATCTGCATTTTATTATTTATTTCACTTCTGTACTGCTTGTAGCTGAAGCTTTCTGGACAGTTAACAAACTACAAAAACAATGAAATGCACTAGATAAAACAACATTAACACTAACTTAAAAGCTTTAAAATAGTGTAGAATACGTTAAAGGACAATAAAAGACCCTGCCAAGAATAAAAGAAAGGCACCTGGATTAAGTGGCTCCTAAATGACTAGGAAAGTAAACACTAATAGAACAACAAGTACATAAATATTACAGATTAAAAATTAAACAAAAACAACTTTAAGATTGTAAATCGATAGCATTTTAAACCGGATGCAGTGTCGGTGGTCCTTTCCTTTGATTTCTGATGACTAAGTACAATGCACGATTCACTTTTACTAATAACCCTGTTTCCCTAGCTCTTCTCTGCACCTGTGTACCTCGCCTGCTCAGTAATAACAGAACTTCACGCAGCTGCTGAAGCTTTCGCGGACAACAAGCGCTCCCACGACTGCGCAAAGGAAGAAACCAGCAGCTCTGCTACCTCGGCACCGGAAAGCTAGCGCCTGCTGGCCCCTGCGTGCTCTTCCTGCCGAGAAGTTTCCTTCCTCTTCAACGCTCACTCCCCACCTTGCAGAGCCCCCTCAGCCCGCGAAGAAGCGCGTAGCGGAAAGCCGAGGCGAGGCTTTCCTCTGCCACGGGGGATGAAGCGCGGGGCGGAGGCACGAGGGGCCGTGGGCGGCTGCCTGGGCAAGGCGTGGCCAGCTCGCCGGGCGCGAAGCCAGGCGGACCTCGGCCGACGGCGCGCACGCGGCCCTGGGCTGCGCGCCACTCGCGGCCGCCGCCGCCTCCGCTGCCCCCACCGGCCGCGCCAGGACGTGGCCCGAGCGCTCCCCGGCGTCATTCCTCGCACGGGCAGCCCGACCAAAGGCACCACCAGCAAGCCCTCGACCAGCCGCTATGACTGCCTGGCTTTCTGGTGACCGCCCCGACCCGTCGAGACGCCTCCACACGGTTTTCCTATCCAGCGGTTACCGTAGAGAAATAGGTGGAGTAAAGCGGAGGCACACGTAGCGATGCCGTCTTAGACCGTGCTTGCTTCTCCCAAGGGGCCGAAAGGAAAAAAAGAAAGAAACCTAAGATTTTAAGACTCGGCAGCGCCCACTCCTCTCCTGAAGAAGGGGTAGTCGCAACTAACAGATTTCATGCCTTTTCTCATTCTGATCTCGTTTCTGATGTCTGGGAGCTTTTCAAAAGGACTTAAGACCTGCTATGCCTTTGTCATTCCAGAACCCCAGCCTCATATTTCAGGCCTGGGGAAGGGGCTGTAGCTGCGAGCGGCTTACAACAGTACTGCAAAATTCACTGCCAGTGTTGCAGGTTAATATTGCTGGATTGAAGCTGGTGGTCCTCTCCAGTTCCAGTCCCTCGACGCAAAATATCCCTGTCGTTGCACCAAAGCTCTACATCTAAATCGACCGTCTCCTCTCCAGCCCAAATCAAAGAGCTCAACTGCTTACAGAAGCCTTGTACACCATTGGTTTTCATTATGTTGTACTTTCAAACACTTAGAAATGCAAAGAAACCCGATCTTTTCCCCGCACCAGCCATACAGACTAAAGGCGCTCTCCTATGCCTGTTTAGACAAAAATATATCCTACAACTCCCAGCACCTCAGAAAGCCTTGCTATCTGGGGATGCTGGGAGTTGTAGCACTTACTTGCCTAAGCATGCCCCATATTAGAGCAAGCGGTCTCCTTTGCGACTATCTTTTGTGAGCAGCGGGTTGGGACACACCGCTACACAATCGTCACAACAATACAACCTTGAATTTCTCTGTTGATTTATATGGGAGCGCCCACTTCCGTCCCGCGGGAGTCGAATTACGGCTTCCGACGCGAACCCGGGAACTCTCCATCTAAACGACGAAATAGGTTCCTCTACCGTTTTTGTGAGGTCGTGACCTGAGCTGCCCCGTTTCCGGTTCCTGCTGCCCCGCCTCTTCCTCTTCCCATGCCAGTGGCGATAGGGCGCTCGGCTCCTCGCTCAGCCTCTTTCTCGTGGCGAGCGCGTGTGGCAGGCGCCCGTCGTCTCGCGCCGCAGTTCTTAAAGGGCGCACGGGGAAGAGCGCGCGCGCGCGCGCGGAGTGGATGTGGCTTAGCTTTGCGTGAATGCTAGCAGGAGCCCCGCAGATCGGGGTAAGCTTCATTCGCAGTGAACTTTCTCGCTTTGGCCCCATTGCTTAAAGGAAGTGTGCCCCTTTATATCGAATCCCAGACAGGCGTGCGGAGGCTCCAGCCCGCAGTGGTTGTCGAGTTCCTTTAATTTGGATCTCTGGGATATTGTCGGACCCATATGAGTTCAGTAGCTGTTGTTATATTACATTGCATTTTCCTCTTATTTGAAATGTAGCTTGGCTTACACAGTCCTCCACTCCTTTTTATTCTCACAGCAGTCTTGTGAGGTGGGTTAGGCTGCGAATGAGTGACTGGCCCAAAGTAACCCAATGAGCTTCATTGCTGGGTAAGGACTAGAACCCAGATCTGTGGCTCTCCCAGGTCCCCATTCCAGGGCTAACCAGCACACCAGCTCTCACGTACAGTCCTGAAAAAATAATTCCTGTGGTTTCAATGAAACTAAATATGCAGATGGTATCTGAGTAGAAATACCCCAAAGGCAATGTTGGAAGTATAATACCATGTATACGTGGAAGAGGGCACTGCAGATAAAGAAGGCAGTGCTTCTGTGTTGCTCCCTAGAGGCAGAGCAGCAAGAACTGCCTGAGAGCCAGTAGTAGCATCTTTACGTTGCCAGTTTTACTTCAGAAATAATGCTCTCTCTCTTTGTCCAGGCTAGTTTAACCCTTCCATGGGTCTCACCAAGCAATATTTGCGCTACAAAGGCCCTGCCCTCTTTGGAGTGGTTGCTAGCCAGAAAGGCAATATTGTCTATGTGACTCTGCGGGGTGAAAAAGGCCGTTATGTGGCAGTTCCAGCCTGTGAACATGTTTTCATCTGGGATACACGGAAAGGAGAAAAGGTAGGCAATTATTTTAGCCTTCAGAAAGAATGTACAGCAGTCCAAAATGCTGTCATTTTATTTCATATATGTATAATTGCGTTTTCTTGTTTTATGATTAGAAGTTGGCGCGAATGAGACTGTAATAATGGTGTGTGGTTAGAGAGAGCTGTGATGGGGCATGATGATGGTACAGCATAGGAAGGCCTTGCTGACATATCTTTTGCCATTGTGGATAGAACCCATACATGCTGCACTGACATTTCTGAGTCACTTTTTGGAGCTGAAGCTTTACTGATGACTTCATAGAGCACTATTACCTGTTCCTTTTTTTTGTAACTACATCAACCATTTTATTCATGCCAATAGCAATTTCATTTTCTGAATGTGGATCATTATGTAGCCAAAAGGCACTATTCCTGAGAGGCAGGTGTTAGTGACTTATATTATATTGTTATTTCTTGTATTTTAATTTTATGTTGTGAGCCGCCCCGAGGCTTCGGCGAATGGGGCAGCATAGAAATGTTTAAATAAATAGATAGATAGATAGATAGATAGATAGTGGGTCCAGGGGAATTCTAAGGTAAAGAGAAGTATAAAAAATACTAAGAAATTAACTCAAGTGGGGTGGAGTCCCCAAGGAGGGTTAAGCATGTTTAGTAGCTACAGAGTTCTGACTTTTGGGTGGGAGTGGGAGAAAGGAAATCTAAGAGAAATGGAGAATTCTGGAAAAGCAATGGATGGTTGGTCGGTCGAAACCCTGAACAGGAATACTTTACACTGCAGTATCTTAGTTCTTGCTTGTTAGTACACCTAGCTGTCCCTTGCCTTTCTGTTTTTTAAACCTTTTGTGTGTTCTACCTGAGGTGGAGATTGATACAAGTTACTTTAGCATCACTAAATCCCGAACAAAGAGGGGGATCCATACAGTAAGACACATTATTCCTTTGGACTCTGGCAGTGCTTTTTTGTGCTGCATGTGCCATGGTTGTGCAACCTACATCCTGAGAGTATTCATGGACTTCCTCTCACTTCAGGTCACTTTCCAAGACAGGACTGAGCATGAGAGGAAGTGTGCAAATGCTTGAGGGATGGATTTCATGGAGCTTCTTCACAGCCCTACTGTGAAAGAAAACAGTTCCAGAAAATAGAAACCCAAGTAAGCGAATGATATTTAGACCATCAGTCCTTTACTGGAAAGTACCTGGCAGCGCTGCAGGAGTGATCTGCAGGTTTGCCAATGGGAAGAGTTCTCTCTCCCATACACAGACTTTTTATAGTTAATAATACAGAGCAAAGTATAAAGACTTAAAGAGGTTATTTGCAAATATAAAAAAGAGAAGTTACTTTAACCTTCAGTCACCCTACATTTCATGATTTACTAAAAAATATTTTTTACTGAAATCTACATGGCTAAACACTAAACATCCCTTCACTGTCTGCCCTTTGCCTTACTTTCTTCAATAAGTCCTTTTTAACTTGCCCAAACTGCTGCATTTATGATCTAGGCTTCATTAGTATAAACTATTCTTTTGTATTGACTTCAGTTGATTAGTTATGATTAGAAAAGTTTGCTTCCGTACTACCCATGACCACCACCATACTCACACAAACCAAATTATGTGAAATTATTGAAATGGATGTTGACTCTTTGCAGAAATAATATATTCTAAATGGTTTCATGGTTTATCATTTGGGGCTGAAAGTGAACTAGATGGCCTTTCTAGCAAATAATGGGGGAGGGAAGAAAGCCTCAAGATAGCTTGTTCCATGGCCTCTCCAGACTCCTCTGTCCCATGCCTGTGGTAATATGGCCCTTTCCCCCTCTCTTTGAGGCTGATTTTCTCCTTTCAGAGAGCAGTTGACATGGATCTTTCCCTACCAGCTGCAAGAGGTCAGCTGGGAGTCAGATCTGACTTCCCTGTCCAAGCTTGACTGCTGTCTCACACAATGTCTGGGGGCCATAGGATTGCTCCCTATAGGTCTTTGTTTGTGATACACCAGGTGCTAGAAGGTATTTAAGATGCATGCACATTTCCTCATATCTCCTTTTGACTGTTTATTTTATATAATTTAGTTAGATAGCATGCATTCACTTATACCCCAAACTGCCATGGATGCATAAAGATGGTTCAGTGTATTAATAGTTTAAAAATATGTGTTATGAGCATTAAGACATACCATGTTTAATTAAAATGTTGCTTTTCCAAACCTTGCCATATGAACCTTTTTACTGTATCACATTACAAAATTTTCCTGGCTATATTTCACCTGCAGGTTCTCATCCTTCAGGGCCAGAAGCAGGAGGTTACTGCTCTCTGCCCATCCCCAGATGGTCTGCATTTGGCTGTTGGATATGAGAATGGATCCATCTGTATTTTCAGTCTCTTAAGTGGTGAAGGAAATGTCACTTTCAATGGTCATAAAGCTGCTGTTACTGCCTTGAAATATGATGACCTGGGAGGGAAGCTTGCCTCAGGATCAAAGGTGAGAATTCTTTGGAGGACTGACATGTGACACATATGTCAGTGATGGGGTGCAATGTGTTGTAAGAAGCAAGCTAGCTGAAGCTGCATTCTTTTGTATTAGTTGAGAAGAACTTTCCTGATGGATCACACCAAAGGAGCAGCATCGTATTTCCAGAAAAGGTCAACTTAATGTTTTGCGGCAGCCTCAAAGCAGAGCAAGGGGACAAAAGACCTCATCTGTTGTCTTCCTGTAGTAACTGGTGTCCAGAGTTATGCAGCCTCAGAGAGGTTACATTTAGATGGCATGGCAAATAAGTCATGCTCCCCCTCAAGATTTTGTCTTCTAATGCAATCAAACTGTTTGCCATTATTCCACTTCTTGAAAGTGTATCCCACCAGTTAATACATTGCATTGCATGAAGAAGCACTTTCTCCTCTCTGTGTTGAATTTACTAGCAGTTGGTTTCACTGAGTGATCCGAGTTCAAGTATTATGATAGAGGAAAGAAAAATTCTCTCTTCTGTTTATTTAATGAGCCAAATTTCTTACTTGATTTTAGCCAAGAGAACTCCAAAGTACCTCATTTCAAATACTAGCGTGTGCTAGATCAGGGAAGGGGAGCTTCCAAAACAGCAGGGGTTTTTTTGCCTGGTCCCACCTCTTCTGCTGCAGAAAGAAAACTGCTTATTTCCAAGCAGTGTAAAAGGTTCCTGTAGCACTTCCCTCAGCTGTAGTTTGGAGATGACAGTTTTACCTCTGGACTGGAGGACCAGGTCAGAGTAGAAAGCCATTGAGTGATCTTGTCCTGCTTTGTTCTGAGAGTTTTCCCATAAAACTTGTCATCATCTTTCCTTCTAGGCTTTGCAGGCATAGTTAAGTGAGGTTCAAAAATGGACCTCTTTGGCTGAAAGAATTAGCTATCAGAAGTGGTAAAGTGAGATTGTACAGTCAGGGAAATTGCAGATTGGTTTTTCCTTATTTGTCTGAGGTGATAAAAAGACAGGAAATGTATTGGATACTTTGCTAAAATTAGTTTGCAATTAATGTGGCTAAGAAGGTAGCAAGTATGTGTAAGCCTCAGAATTTTTATTTTATTTTTAGGACACAGATGTCATCGTTTGGGATGTGATCAATGAGAGTGGTTTGTATCGACTGAAGGGCCATAAGGATGCTATTACACAGGTGCTCCTCTTAAAGGAGAAGAATATATTGGTTTCCAGGTAAAGGTGCTTGAATTGGATACTTAATAAATCCACTTAAATGTGTTCCTTGATCTAATACATGAGTTAATTTTAAGTGCTTCATTAATCTTGCTGTAATAACATAGCGCAGACCTGCTCTCTGACTCTGATATGCTTGAGGATTCTTGTTAATGTGTGCCTGCCTGTTGTCCACTGATTCACTAGAGCAGTGATGGTGAACCTTTTAGAGACCGAGTGCCCAAACTGCAAACCAAAACCCACTTATTTATTGCAAAGTGCCAACACTGCAATAAAACCTGGATACTCAGGTTGTCATTTAGAAAAAACTCACAACCAGTCCAAGCAAATATATATATATATATATATCCTTGGCAGTGCACTGACTGGTCATGTGAAAACTCGGACGAGTTGCAGCTCATGAGTCGTGACTCGTGATATCATCGCCTGGCGCCACTACTCCTGTCCGAGCGTGCGCATGGCCCCTGTGTGTGCTGTTATCCAATGCTTGGCTGTTGGGGCAGTGCAGGGGCGACTTGGCTCACGTGCCGACAGAGGGCTCTGTGTGCCTGCTGTGCCACGCGTGCCATAGGTTCGCCACCACTGCACCAAGGTATCTCATTGTATTGGATTATTGATACAGATAAGCAGTTTTCTGAAGAGAAGCCCTAATGCAGTGAAGAGATGCCCAACTTGCATTAGTTGCAATATGAGCTTGAGCAAAGGTTATATAATACCCAGAAAGCAACAAGCGAACATTTTAGTGTACCAAGATGATAGTCCTATTTCTGGCCCTAGAGTCACTGTATTTAAAAAGAAGTCAACATGTGGCTGGAATGCAGTGCGAGTGAGCAGAGGAGCACATTTGATGCTCCTTTGTATGACAAGGGTATTCTCCCCAAAATAATGGTTCCCCTCTCTTTTCCACCCTCCACCACACGTTATCCCTTTTTCGCTTGTACAGATTGAACACAGTGGCTTTGTTTGCTCGTTTGAGGCATTTCTATCCCACTCTTAGGTCCAAAGACTGCCAGAGCTGCTTCCAAGGGAAGGGAGAGGCCACCCTGGGAGCTTGGTGGTGGCAGCTCATCAGGTGGTGTCTGCTACGTCTCCCATTCCCTGGGTTCCAGTGTTTGGGTTCCAGTAGGATTTATTGTGTTCCTAGGCATGCAGACCTGCTTTTTGCGTCCTTGGGCCTTTTGCTATTTTTAAACAAGTCAAATGAGTTAACATTAATTTTAGTGTTAGATTGTTGGAATGTGATACCAATAACATTTGATGTTTATGCTAAATTGGACTTGCTTTAAATTCATTATTTCTTTAATTTTGGTCAGGATGCCTCCAATTATATTGTTTTTCTATTGTTGTTATTTATTGTTGTGAGCCGCCCCGAGGCTTCAGCGAATGGGGCGGCATAGAAGCTTCCTAAATAAATAATTTGAGGTAGGACTTAAGAGTGTCTCTTAGATTCCAAAATCAGATTGATATTGTAGAAATAATACTGTAGGAGGTTTAAGATGCCACAGAACACTTCATTATTCATTTTTTTTATTTAAAATGTATTTTAATTGTTAAATTATTGTATTTAGTAGGATTTTAAATTAGCCGAGAATGCACCGGGGGGTTTTAAATGTTATATATATATATATGTGTGTGTGTGTGTGTGTGTGTGTGTGTGTGTGTGTGTGTGTGTGAGCCGCCCTGAGGCTTTGTTGCAATGGGGGCGGCATAGAAATGTTTTAAATAATTAAATAAATAAAATTATTTTTTCTGTAAGAGATGAACAAGCCTTTTGTTTGGAATGAAAAAAACCCCCCAGAAGGTCAGTGTTCTATTAGCAGCATGGGGATCATTTGTTTTAGTGCTAATAACTTACATGAGATGTTCCTACATCATTCCTCTGATAATAATTCCTGATGGGTAAATTGAGAGAGGCATTCATTTTTCTCCTTGATCTACTTATTATATTTTTATCCTGCTTTTCTTCAGACACAATTCAGGGCAGCTGATAACTTTCATAAGCACAATACTGCATATGAACACCTTTAAAACCATAATTCTAAAATGACAGATATATAATAAAATACAGTAGGACATCAACAAAAGAAACCATAAGGAAGCACTTGCCTATACCCCCACTGCTTGCATTGAATAAATGTGTTTTCAAGAGGTGCCTAAACCATGACAGCTGGGGGGACAACCAGCTCTCCTCTGGGAGGGGATCTTCATAGTTGGGGCTCCCCCATCAAGAACGCCCTCCCACATGTGATTGCCCCAGGTCTCATTCCTTAATGGCACCAGGATGCAGCTGCTTTCTCCTATATATGAATATGAGGGGTATATACAGGGACAGTTGCAAATTGCTCCATGAAAGTTAATCTAGGCATGAGACTTCCTTTAGCTTTGTTCTTTAAGGCCCGCAGAACTCGGAATGCATATTTCATTTCACATAGCATGCTGATATTATGCATATGCTGAGTAATGAAGCTGAACCCAGAGCATTTAATTTTAACCTATTTAGTTATTTAGGGTGAAATTGTTGCCATTCACTGTGTAACTTTTTTCCAGTGGGAAAGACACCCTAGTGAAATGGTGGGACTTGGATACTCAGCACTGCTTCAAAACCTTGGTTGGACACCACACTGAGGTAAATGGAATGCAGAGATTCAAGTGAAGAGAGGGAACAGAGGCATGATGATCGTTATACTTTGCTTTTTCTGTATTTATTTTCTAGGCAATGCAGGCTGGGAAGTTGTGTGTTTGATAACTGTTCAGTTTTGAATACCGGCAGGCCAATTCTGTGCATGTGAACCAAGAAGTAATTACACCCTGAATTTGCCTGAGAGTTACATCGTATTATTACATTGCATTTATTTCGTACCTTTTTCCCTCTCGTGAGGAGCCCAAGACAGCTTACACAATCATTCTTCACTCTGTTGTATCTTTTAACAACAACCATATGATACACTATGGCTTCGACAGAGTGAGAGGGGTGCCAAATTGAAGTTGATTGATGTCTTTGACTTGTCTCCTTTAATAGTAGTGTCTGCTTATAACTTGGTTCTGATGCTAATTTACTTTTGGGTTTAAGAGTACATATTGTGCCTTTTAGATAGGGTAGGATAGGATAAATGTTGGGCTTGTGCAGTGTGCATATATGATAAGAAAGGTATTTGTGGTAAAACTTTTTATAGCTTGTGTACAACTTCCTTAGATAAGATGCAGCTTAGCGAAGTGTTCTGCAAATTCTATTGTGCATAGAGTCTGTTGCCAATACTGTTTTGGCTTCTCTCATGTATATGGAAACATGTTGTTGAAGCATTCGGTACTCCGGAAAATTTAAATTAGTCTAGTTCTACCAATCTAACATAACTTTTTTGTGTGTGCCTTTTACAGTACTCTTGCTTGCAAAGGTGTGTGTTTTAGGACATTTTCTTGGTATCTGTTATATGAGGCAATATGTATTTGTTTTCTTTCCTCGTAAGATACCGTACTCCACTATACAGGACCAATTCAGATTAATTATGCATTGTTCCCCAAGTGGTAAGAATCCATACACAGTCCTAGTCCTTCCTTCTCCAGGGCGTAGGGTGTTCTGCTCCTTTGTTTTTTCTGTTAGCCTAATGGCCAGATTGTTCCTTCCCCTGAAAGCATCAGGAGGAGAGCCTATAGTGTCTGGGACTGTTTAGTTTAGAAAAAAACAAGTGAGGGGAGGCACCCTTATTGTCTTACTGTTCAGCCATCCCAAGACTTCAGTAAGGGGTGAGCTAAAAACTTTTAAATAAATAAATAAATTAAAATGCTTGGCAGGTTAGGGGGAAGGGAGCCTCAGAGAAAGGGGGCATTTTTCTGGAAGTTGCTGCCAGGATACAGCAATGGCAAGAAAGCCTTTAACAGTGGTGTGATCCTGTCAGACAGAGCAGCCAAAGCCAGTCAGGCAGGACTGGAGGCCAGGAGCTAAGCCCAGTCATGCAGTGGGGCCCTTGATGGGCTTGTACAGAACCACGAAAGTCATAGGGTGGGTTCGGAGGTTGTGACAATCCATCATGGTGATTTGCCATGTTTACTTGAGGGTAATTGAGTGCAAGATACTGTGAAGCACTCATAGGACTAGCTGGGGGGCCTTGGATCCCTGTGGTGTCCTCCTGTATTATTATTATTATTATTATTATTATTATTATTATTATTATTATTATTATAGCATTTCTATGCCGCCCCTTGCCGAAACCTCGGGGCAGCTTACAACATGATAAAATACATTGAAATACAATAGTACATAATAAATTACCATTAAATATAAAAATACAAAAAATACATTGATTTACAAAAATAAAATTAAAATTATCAGTATAAAATAAAAATATAGGAGGAGAAAGAGAAGGAAGAAGTTGCCCTGGCCAGATCATATGTTTTAACAATTGAAATGATGTTTAAATAAAAAGGTCTTTACCTGGCGCCGAAAAACCAGTAATGACGGTGCCAGGCGGACCTCTTTGGGGAGTGAATTCCATAGGTTGGGCACCACCGCAGAGAAAGCCCTCCTCCGGGTACTTACTCTCCTAATTTCTTTCATGGAGGGTTCCTGGAGAAGGGACTCTCCCGCAGATCTCAAAGGGCGGTCGGGCATATACGGACGTAAGCGCTCGTTCAGGTAGCCAGGACCCAAGCCGTTTAGGGCTTTGTAGGTCATAATCAACACCTTGAATTGGGCCCGGGCTTCAATGGGAAGCCAGTGAAGCTGACGGAGGACTGGAGTCATGTGAGCATAACGCCCCATCCCAGTCAGCAACCTGGCAGCTCTATTTCAGTATTCCCACTGAAATGGATTAATGGCGGCTTCTCCTTGTGGTGACTAGGGTTTGTATGGAATGTTAATTTGAATTAGGCCTGCTGATAAAAATAGGTAGGAGAGTAACCCACAAGCAAACCACTTTGATCTACTGAAAGAATGAGCCTGTCATGGTAAAATCCTAATGTGCTTATCTCAAAATTTTGGGAATCTTTAAACTCTGTTGTCTTAATGTTTTGTCTGTTAAAATGTGTGTATCCTACAAAAATGAGAAAAGCACATTTGTTTTGAATTGTTTGTTTATTGCTGTTGATGGAGAAATTTGATATTGAAGAATAACCAATGCATTGGCATGTTCTTCTTTAGGTATGGGGATTAGCTTTGGTTTCTGAGGAGAAACTTCTTGTAACTGGTTCTGCTGACAGTGAACTAAGGGTTTGGAACATCAACTATATCCAGGAAGTAAGAGCTTAATTATTTTATCTTCCTAATTACTGTTTTGTGCTTATCATACTTGTGCTTGTCATTTTAGCTACCTTGAATATGAGAACTAAAGGTGGGGTGGATGTAGATATATATATATATATATAAAATACTCATTTCCCTTTGCTTGAAAGTATAGCTGTGTTCAGTGTGGTTCCAGGAGGGCTACTGCTGAGTGATACAGTCATTTGCCTGCCCTCTGCAAGATTTGTCATTGTGGATGCATATTTGCAGGCATGTGGTCCAGTCCTGGAATCCCTGTGCAATCTAAAGAATGGCCTGAATTATAAAGCAGGCATGTTGCTTCCTGTATTAACCCTGGTGCAACTTGGATGCAAGGAATCATAGACTCAGAGAGTTGGGAGGACCTAGCAAGACCACGGGTCCAGTGTGCTGGTCAATGTGTTAAAGCATCTGTGCAGGGGAAAAGTGTCCATTCAGCACCTTTTGTGCCCAGCCGCCCCGTGCTCAGCATCGGTTGTACCACTCATTTAGTTGCCAAGCAGTTGCCTGTATTTTAGCTTTATGTGACCATTTATCTTGTACAGACGGTTCTATTCTACACGGAGAATGAGGAAATGTTTTTCCTGAAGAAAGCGGGAAGATGGAATGTGAGCCCCCACCTTTATTCTAAGTTTATGGTATTATATTTGGCACTCATAACAGGACCAAGACCCGAGTGAACCGGAACAGAAGAAAAGCAAAGGACCTGCAGAGAGCACGGAAGGATCTCCTGAGGAGGACAGGGGAAACGATCAGGATGAGATCCAGGATGAGGTATTTTCTGATTGCACTCATGATGATAAAGCATGCATGAGTTCATTAACATATTAAACATAGACTAAGACATTCTAATCTAAAACATGAGTTGCCCACTTGATGCATTAGCAGGTCAATGCCCATTTTATCAGGATGCTGTTTCCTCCTTTGTATAATTCATTGTATGCTAAGATTTGTTTTGAGGCTGACTTCTTCAAAACAACCCTATATGTTTCTGGACCCACAATTTTGAGCAGCTTGTGTGTAAATGTCAGGTGGGGGCATTTTGCCTGGCCCTTCTCACAGTCCAGGGAATCTCTTCTCTTTTCACTCTGTCTTGTGTGTGTATCTGTGTCTTCTTTGAGCTTCCTCGCTCTCCTCCCCATGTTGTTCGCACCACTCTGGCAGTCTTCAGCAGCCAACAATATGTTATCTTTCTGTGCCATCCATGCTGCTTTGGCAGCTGCTGTCTCTTTTTCCTCCTGCAGCGTTCTCTGCTCTTCTTTCTTCAGCATCCCAGTTGCTTCCACTTCCTCCGCAGCGGTGGCTACAGATAGCAGGGATTATCCAGTCTCTCAGTGCTTTAGGAAAGATGACAGGAGCTGCAAAGTTGGATGAAGCCGGAGTCAAAGCTGCATTTGGCTTCCTAGCTGCAGTTTGGTTATCCAGGGATGTAGCTCAGAATTGCTGTTCTCTCTCTCTTGTTTTAGCTTTGGTGGCTTTGTTGAAATGCAAATACCTGAGTTGTTTACACTTCTCTGATTCTTTTTAGCGCATCCTGAGATGTCAGAAAGCTGGTTCTGTCATGCGGGAAGGAAGGGACCGAATTGTTAGTCTTGGCACTGACAGGACAGGGAGGATTCTCGCTTGCCATGTAAGTTACTAGTGCTTGGAGCCCCTTGAGATCGGCGGGAGAGGCCCTTCTCTGGGAACCCTCCGTGAAAGAAATTAGGAGGGTGGGTACTCGGAGGAGGGCTTTCTCTGCGGTGGTGCCTAAGTTATGGAATGCGCTCCCCAGAGAGGTCCGCCTGGTGCCGTCGTTATTTTTTTTTCGGTGCCAGGCGAAGACCTTTTTATTTAAGCGGCATTTTAATTGTTAATATTATTGGATTTTATCTGGCCAGGGCGGCTTATTTTATATTGGTATTTTTGTATTTTTAACTTAATGTTTATATTTTTTTAATTTAATGCTGTAATTATTTTTTAACTTATTGTTGTAAGCCACCCTGAGGCTTCGGCGAATGGGGCAGCATAAAAATGTTTTAATAAATAAATATAAATAAGTGGAAGCACTGCTTTGCTTTTGGCATTCTGTTATATAGAGCTGCAACTTAACCCTAATCTATCCTTTTTCAAGGGAACAGATTCTGTCCTGGAGATGTTCTATGTCCTTAGTGAGGAAGAGATTCACAAGAAAATGGAGAAGAAAATGAAGAAAGCAAGGAAAAAGGCCAAGTGAATGCTTATTGGAAATATTTTTTTGGTTTACATACTGCCAGTTAGTACAGGACGTAATCCATTTTAGGGTGCAGACAAACTGTCATAAGCAGAAGACTGTAATTCAATATCAGAATATGTGACTTTTAAATCTGTGGGTTTGCAGCTGGAATAAATTATGCATAACAGCCCAATTTAGTAAGTGCTCATTTTACAAATTGATAGGGGGCTTGCTAAAATGAAATTTCAAAGTATTGCTTCTGAAATATTCTTTAATTCTCTACATGGAAGGCCTCTTATTTAACATATAATATAACTGATCTACCTTAGTCTCCCTTAACATGCTACCTGCCAGATTTTTTGGGCTTTATTTCCTATTAGTCCCAGTAAGCATAGTCAGTGGTCAGTAACTATGGAATGCGCTTCCTAGAGAGGTCCGCCTGGCGCCGTCATTTTATGCTTTTCGGCGCCAGGTCAAGTCCTTTTTATTTGATCAATATTTTAATGTCAATTAATTTTAATTGTATATGATTTATCTAATTTATTTTAAATATGTCAGTTTTATGCTCAGTTCATGGTATAGCTCATTTGTTTTGTTTGGGATTTATAATATTCTGTAAGCCGTCCAGAGACGACAGTGATGGACAGCCTATAAATTTCCTAAAAATAAATAAAGCTGTGAGTTGTGGGCCAAATTATCTGGAGAGCATCGAGTAAAGAAATGCTGGCTTAAAGCTCTCTTAGTGTTTTTTCTAGCTGTGCCACAGAGAACTTAGTTTTCCTTGCTACCTTAACATAGAGCTTTGGGAGTGAGATGGAAGGTCTCAGCATGTTTGTCTTTGTTGGCCTCTTAAGGGCTAGTGGCGGAAGGGGCTATGGCAAAGAACCTTATAGCTGCTAAAACAAAACCAGTTGTTGGAGGAGGGGGAGAAAGCAAAACAGGTGCTCTCTCTTGCTTGTACTCCCTCTAGGTGGAGAGGCAGCTTGGAGCTAAGCAGTGCCTCATAGGAGACTGCGCTTGGCCCAAGGCTTGCCAGTTGACATCTCATAAAAGTGGGTTGCATGTACATAAATAAGCTATACTATATGGGTTGTTTAACAAACAACTCACATTACACCCAACAGATGATCAGATGTGTTGTTGGTTGCTCTCTCCCACCTCCTTTTTTCCTTTCAGACATACAGTTTGGACCATAATTTGTTGAAATTATATTTTCATACAAAATTCACTCTTATGCACATAGACTGCACAATTTTTCATACGTTTCAGCTATCAAAGAAAGCACCCAAGTGGAGAAGATGACTTACAAGGAAACTGACAAGGGACTGCCTGTCTACTAATTTGTGCACAGTTGCAAAGGGCTTTGCAAAGGACTGGGGGAGAAAGAATGGAAAAGAAAAGGAAGGACCCATTAGTCCTGTTCAGAAGCTCTGAAAGGCGGGTGGGGGAGTTGTGGGAATAGACAATATATCTCCCTTGTCAATGTGATCCTCTGGCTTTTAAGTGTTGACCTGGCAGTTCTCAATGTCTTTCAACTTTCGAATTTCCCTCTTCAGCTCTTCCTTTTTTGGAGATATTAATGCTCCCTTCCCTTTTTGCAGTGTCTTCTCAGAGCACTTAGTGCTGTGATTCCTCCAGTCCCCTGACAAGGTTTAAAATTCTGAATAGCAGCTGCATGAGAGAGAGTAAATGGGGTCCTGTATGGGAAGCAGGTGTAAGAACTGTTGTCTCTGGCTCCTTGGTTACTCCATCTCATTCAGGCACCTCTAAAGTTTATGGAAATAGCTGCACGTGTTTGGAGGCTGGGGAGATCAGTATATGCAAACCGAATGGGGAACTCTGCACACCAGCAGTAAATGTGCAAGCATTCCAAACAGTTTTCTAAAAGAACCCGTAGAAGAAGTTGACTGAAGGAAGCACCCTCCAGTCAGATTCAGGGTTTGACGATGATGGTGATTTACAGAAATATCAAGAATTGCAGTAACTTGCACCAGTAAGCACTCCCAAAAGGAGCCATAAAAAGTGCAGTGGATTGCTGAGTGGGAGATACTGTCCTTCTACCGTTAGTGCACTTCTCCCCGTTTTCCTCAGCTTCAGTGCTTTTTCAGGGGGCAAATGTGTTCCCCCACCCCATTCCCTCCCTCATTTTCTCACTTGTCTTTTGTAACTGTGCACAAATTAACCCATCACTTTGTAAGCTTCTTTGTATATTGCCTACATTGCCTCACAGCTTCCTTTGACAGTAGCAGCATCCAACACAATTGACCAGGAAGCATATCAGAGAGCCACAAGTGTATTTTTCTCAGGAACTGAAAAGGTTTTAAAATGTTGGCAGACAAATGATGGGTGCTCCAACCTGTTTGTGTGTTGGTGGAGGCGCAGTCATTAGCAGTGGCAATGATGAAGTCAGAGAAGCGGGGGCTTTTCTGGCATGCTTGCTTGTGGCTCCGAAGCCAATCCTGATGACCCACAGTGGAATTGCTGTCCCAGGTTTGGATGATATACCAACTTGGGGGTACAAACATCTCATAGAACAAGCCATGGGTTGTCAGAATGGCTTGCTTGCAAAAAATAAACAACCCTGTGAAGAGCGTGAGAATCCATCATAGATAGCTCCACAATGGACTGAGTTGTGCAAATCCAGTCAATTTGTTTATGTCAGTCTAAAACAAGATAGATTTAAATATTTAACTGTTTTTCCATCTGTTCTAGGCAAAAGGCAAATGTGGAGGAAGAACCTGAGATCAATGTGGAATGCAGTCTGCAGGAAAAGATTCAGCGTCTCATTAGTATCAAAGCTTCAGCTAAAATCAAGTGAGTTCAGAGTGGCCATAATTTAGGACCTTACTAGTGACTATGTTACAGGGCCTTGCACACTGCCACCCGTCATCTCACTGCTTCAAGCAAATGTGCTTAACGTCTCAGTTGTTATCGTTTCTATACTGCCCAACAGCAAAAGCTTTCTGGGCAGGCAAGTGCAGACAGGAAGTGACTGGGTTTGCATGAGTGACGGCAGTCTCATTCTCTGAATTTTGGCTGCTTCCTGCAAGGTGGCTTAGCTTTGGTTTGTTCTCTGGGTTGCTCGATGCACGATGGGCTGTCAGGCCAAATCCAGGAGACCGCTGTGAGTAGTGAGGATCAGCCAGTGAACCGCTGGGCAGGAGTGGCAGAACCCTCCGCCGCACTCGGCAGTCCTGCTGTTGCTGCCCCTCTGCTGTCACCTGTGCAGCACTTTAGAGTGACCATCATTGGTTTGCCAGTCTTGTAAAAAAAGTTTTTCCATTTTTGTTCACTGCTATTTTTTTCCTGGAGCCTCAAAAAACACAACTGAGGGTCAGGATTTTTTTAAATCCCCAGAAAATTGCTCTTTCTGGAACAACTACAAACTTGGGGAGGGGGCAGGATTGAAAGCTGAGAACTGTCAACACTTTAAAAGCCAGAAGATTACATTGGGAAGGGCATGAGATTTTGACAGTTGGAAGTTGTAGGGCAAGATTTCATATCTCAGACAACCATAGATGTGCATTTGCACACCTGTGAAAGACCACCAGCACCACCCCCACTAAGCATAATCATAATGACAAAAAGAGTTTTCCACTTGTCAGGGGCCGACAAATTCCCAACTCCAATTGCTTTTTTCCCCTAAGCTCCTGAAAATAGGAATTAAAAATGGCAGAAATTGATGGGTAGCAAACAGAAGAAGAAAGGGGAGAAAAGATGGGTTCTGCCACAAAGGAACTCGGATCCTGACTGGAGAACCAAGAGAGAAGGAGGGGAAAACCAGGCCATGGAGAACCTGGTTGCCAGACACATTGTGGTTGTTCAGTGTACAACCTGTTCTGCCTAGTGTTTTCACAGCATGGCTTAAAGTGTTGTGCAGATATGTCCAGTCTGTTGTAAAGGTCTTTAAAGAACTAATGCAAATGTTGCTTGTGTTTGTTCCCCCTTCCCAGCTTTATCTGTAGGACATCCCTTTCTTTGGGACTTTGCGTTTTACCCACCTACCTATTTTATATGCCCATTAATATCTTTCTAATAGTAGTTATTTTTTGAAACAGGTCTTTTGACATGATACTCAGTCCAAGAGGAGAACTGAAAGCTATTGTAATGCTCCAGAACAACATCATTGAATCATACACTTTGAACGCATCAGGGCAGTCACCTCAAGTCGTGCAGATGTCCAAGATAACTATTGGCGGTCACCGCAGTGATGTCAGGACAGTAGCGTTCAGCTCTGACAACATTGCTATTCTCTCTGCTGCTGCTGAGTCAGTTAAGATTTGGAACAGGTATGAAATCCATTCTAAATGAAATTGCATTAGATGTTTTCAAGGAGTCCTAAGTGACTCAACTTTGAACGTATATGCTTATTATTGAGCTTGAGAAGAAAACTTTTTTTCCTACCATTGATCTCAGTATCTTCCTGTAGTTTAGGAATAACTACAGATGAATCCCTGAGCTTGAGCTTCTGCAAGTCATTGATCAAAGTTGACACAAGCCTCCTGCTTACTTAACCTGCTTAATTCTAACTTCGCAACACTGTGAACCTTGCAGTTGGGAAAGTGTTTGGTTCCGTTATATTTTATTTTTATATTATTTTTTCCATTGAAAAAGTGATCCATATGTTTGGCTGTGCAAACATAGTAAAAACCATAGTAAAACAAGTATAAAAATGACACAGAGACTAAACAAGGATAACAAACCATATGTTACAAGCAAACAGCAGGAAGTAAAAGCAACTGACTTTCCTCTTGAAGGCAACGAAAACCTTGGAAGGAAGAAGCCACATGAGGCTCTCCAGCTACGGCATTCCAAAGGCTGGATTTTTCCTCTGCTGCCACAGGTCTAAAACCAGGGGTCATCCAGTGAAACTGAATAATGGGTGGAAATATTGGGAACAAAAGGAAGTACCTTTCACACTCTTTAAACCATAGGATTGTAGTGATGGATGCCAATTTGGAGAACGTTAAAGGGGGATCAGGCAGATAAAGTAATCAGTGGCTTCGAAATCCGTTTCAAAGCTATGAGTTCCTGAAGGGCTCTGCATCATCCAGGGCTTGAGCAATCAATGCCAGCCCACTGAATTGGGGCTGAATACTGTTGAGGACCAGGAAAGACGGTACAATGCTGATATAAAGCCTAAATGTCAGAATTTGGACAAGCCATAATGACGGAATGTACTCATTTCAGAAATGCCCAAAGGCAGACCCTTTTTAGAGTCCTTTGGTTGTAACCAGTTGTTCCAGTCTGTCATGGCAGAGACACAGCTAAGCAGAATTGATTACCCCTCTCTGCCACAGGTCTCCTACCCTAAGTCTGCTTTTTTGGGTTGCAGGACTCTCCAATCGATTTTTGGGTACAGCAGGGAGAAGGAGAATATGTCTTGTTGGGCAAGCAGAAATCCAGTTGTTCAACACTGAGCAGAACCCGTTTCCTTCATGCTTCCTCGAGTTATGGGAGCTTTATTATTTCTTGATGTAACTTCTGTGGCATCCTTATTTTTAAAAAGGCAAAAGTAAAACTTGGCACCTGAAAGGTAGCTTGTTGGGAATCCTTTCTAGCACTTCATAAGTTCTTACAGGGCACCAGCTTGCCTTGCCTTTGTGGCCTGGTTGAGCCTGTTACTGTCCTGTGTGGACCTGCAGTTGCTGTTTTTTCATTTGTCTGATAGAACACTTTCCCAAAGTTCCCCATACCACAGAGTTCAGCGTTTGCTGCTGGGCATTGGAGCAGCTTCCCGTTTGTTCTCAGAAGTTGCTCTATCTGTACTACTGACATTTCTTTGAAACTTCTGTTAATTGCTTCTATTCTTTGACAGAGAGATGGGAGGTAAGAAGAAGATGCCTCTCTCTAGGTCAGAGGGACACTTGGGCCTGCAGAGGCCAAATTGGGCAACAACATGATTTTCGCCATGTTACAAGGGAGGTTACCTTGTTCTGAATGGTATTTTCATGAAGCTGCCTCCCTGTGTATGAGATGGATATTTTTATATGTTGTTTTTATTCTCAGGTCTACATTGCAGTGTATCCGGACTATGACGTGCGAGTATGCCCTTTGTTCAATCTTTGTCCCTGGAGATCGACAAATCATTGTAGGAACCAAGGTAAAACCCCAGCCCTTCTAAAGCACCGGGAGGGGGTGGACACAACTGAACAATCTCCTTAAGCTTCATTAGTCATCTTTGCCTGGAATTGTAATTAACAAACATAGAACTGCTTCATCTCCTTGCTTTGACACAAAGTGTTGTTCTTGGAACAGCTTTTCTCCAAATGGAGTTCTAGAAGAAGATGCCTAGTATCCATCCTGCCTTTTTCCTTTGATGGAATTTGAAGCAATGTATGTGGTGTTTCCAAAGCCTATATGAGCCCCAGACTTGTTTAACTTTAGCCAAGTTGCTGCTTCATACATTTTCAAATCACTCCTTGGATGTCTGTGTCTTTTTCGACTGTATTTGTATGATGCACTCTTGCCCTTATTTGGAAAGTTCCTTGACATAGTGTGATAGTAGCCGTATAGCAGCTTGGTTCTCTTTCAGAACTGGTTAAGTTTGGAGTGGATTCACTATATCCTCCCACTATATCCTAGCATAGCCAAACTAAGGTAAAACAAGCGATGGGTGTTATGCCCGCTTCCTGGACTAAATCCCTCAAGATATTTCTTACTCACCAGCACTTGAAAGTCTTAAGTGTGCTGGCTGTTTTGTAATCCAGTCAAATGCAGCAGGAGAGCCATCCTCACTTACGTTTCTGCCTTTGAATCTCGGGTCCTGCCCATATGCAGCAGAATGAATTGGAAGACAACAGTATTCCTCCCATTTCAAACCATTTTAGTTGTACTTTCTTCACTACTTGTGAGATAGACAGATTCTCAGAAACAGTTATCTTGGCTATTCAGTAAGGGATTTCTGATACAAGTGTTTTGTCTGATTCAGATGTGGTGATTGCTGAAGAAATCAGCTTTAGAATCCTCAGGGAATTCTGCAGCTGAACCCAGGAGGCATTCTCATCAAGGACAGTGTTGCTTACCCTTCTGGCTACCTTCAGATCCTCAACTATTATTTTTTCTTGAAGAATGGCTTCATTTTTCACTACTCCCTAGAACACAGCCTCAGTGACACCTTTTTTTTTTTTGCATTTTTCCTAGCTGCTTCTTCAAGACAACAGCTAAAATTGGAGTAGCTTTTACATGCTTTAACTTAAGTTGCTTGCCTATAGATTTTTTTTTTAAAGAGGGTGTCCAGTTCATGATGTCATTAAGAAGCATGGACATCTTACTGCAGTCGTATGTAGTTACTTATCCATTCTGCTCTCACATTACTTGCATTGACAGTCAGCAAAGCAAACACTTGACCACTCCCAATTTTCTGTACAACTTTATATATAATTTTATATATTTTTACAATGAACGTGTCTCTTCCCTCCTGTAACAGTGTTTCCGGAAAACGAAACAAACCCAAAACTGGTTTATGATTCCATCTCCCTTTACATTTATCCATCCACCTGTAGGTACCGCAAGACAGAGTGGTTTGTAGATTGTCCTGGCAGAGATTCCATTACATTTTCCTATTCCAGTTCCAATGCTGAAAGAACACCTGCTGGGCAAGCAGTAGGATGGGTTAGGCTTAGTAATTTAAAAGCCTTCTGCCACTTATGCATGTTAGTTACTGACCATGGGGCTCCAGAAGAATATACTGCTCTTGCAAGAGCTTGGCCAGTTTTTTCCTCATCTTCAGGGTCATCTTGTCTACAAAACTGCAGAGTGTTTTGGGTACAAATATTTGCAATGTTTCTTCACCTGAAAATGTTGCTGCTGATCTAGGCACAGGCCTGTGCCTTTGCCACTCAACAAAGTAGTTGTCCCAGTTTACAACCTAGGACTTGCTCATTCTCTCTGCATAGGAATTGCAATTATCAGATACACAGTATTATATACACATCTGTTGCATTTTAGAAAACCTTTTGGAGGAATAAATATTATTCTGTTACATTCATATCATGTCCTTTTCCCTTTTGCAAGGGATCCAAGGCAGCTTACATAGACCTCCTCCACTGCATTCTAGCCTCAGAAAAACAAGCCTGTGAAGTAGGCGCGGCTGAGGGTGGGTGACATGCCCATCGTCACCCAGTGAGCTTCATGGCCCAGTGGGGCCTAGAACCCGTATCTCCTGGTTCCCAGTCCAACACTACGCCATGCTGGCTGAACACAGTGTCTGAACATTTTGATCCATCATTCTGAAAGTAAATGTCCCATGATCCAATATTTCCATTTTTCTGATTTTTTCCCCCAGAACAACAAAGCAGCCATTGAAAAAAACAGGAAGACATCTTTCTTCCCCTTAATTTTCCCACTTTTTTTCCCCTGGGCCTTCACATCTTGATCTAGGTGGTACCTGGGTGGGGAAGCTGGTGGTTCATGATTAGAGCACAAACCCATATTGCTTTATGCAGTGCATGTGTTTGGTTATGTTGCTTTGGCTAAAGTAAGCCTTGGGGACATGGGAAAAGTGCACTTGTATGTATGTTGCAGTTTGCCTTGAGGACGGAGAAGAAAGGAGACTTTCGTGTTTAATACAAGCATCTGGGAACTTGTTTGAAGGAGGAATGCTTTCTGCTTCATTCATACGTGACACTGTGACATGTGTCTCAAACAGGACGAGTTGTACTGCAGCTGACTCCCAAGCATAAATTCAAGGGTTTTAGGGACGATCGATATACCCGTGCCTACTCAGGACTTAGACTGCAGGCATGTTGAACTGGTTCGAGGCTCCCAGTGCTCCCTAACATTGGAATTAATAATGATTCAGATTTTTAAACTCCTCTTCTACCCACATGGGTGTGCTGGAAGCTTAGCTATCAATGAAAAATACAGCAAACTGCTTCAGTATTGCTCTTCTATCCTCCATCAGGAAATTAATAACGAGCAGCTTTTGTCACGGCATGGGTTTAGTTTCTGCATTAGTTTTTTTCCTTTTTTGTGAATGCTGAGAAACTGTAAGAGCTGACAGCTGGTGTAGCATTGTGGCTGAAGCAGGTTGGAATCTTGGCTCAGCCATGGACTCCGTGGGCTCTTTCACAATAACCCCTCCCCTTAAAAATAAGTTGTGGATGGGTGGGTCGGTTGTTCATTCAATTAACCTTGCTATTCCTGGCAGACAGTCAGGACTCCAGGGCCTGCTCGGGCTTGTTTCCCCCCTGGTCCTCCTGCCTGTTCTTGGCATGTATTCCACCTGCCTTTCTGGTACAGCCCACTCTGTCAGTGAGTACAAATACCCAGAGGTGATGAACTAGAGAAGTAGATTGACTTCATTTCAAGACCTAATGGAAAGAGAATGTCATTCATGAGATTGGAAGGAGCAACCAGATTTTTCATCACTCTTGTCAAGTGGATCTGTAGCCCTTTGCAATATGCAAACCCAGCGTAATCACAACAAGCCACCCTGGCCAGTCTGGCAACAAGCCATGGGTTCTTAGGGTGGCTTGCGCATGGTTGACAGATCAGGCTGTGGAAACCACACCAGTTTCAAACCCTGAAACAGACAAGGCTGACAACCTAGCATGGTTTGTCACATCATGTTTACATGGTCAATAAAGTAGCACTCCACAAGCCTTTCTTTCCTAACTTGGCCCTATTTGTTATATGGATAACGATACATAATGAGGTATCATTTCACAGGATTACAAAGATGTGGTGCAGGCCAAGTTCTTTGAGATTCCTCAGTTACTCTTCTCCATCCTTCCAGTTGTGTTGGCCTACAATTGCCATCTTACCCAGACAGTATGAAGAAGGTGCCTCTAAACAGCCATACAAATCAGGAATGAGGAATATTTTTGTCTATTGCAGGCTGTGGTCCCTTAGGAATAGCTTTTCGAAGAAGAGTGTTGACTGTAGGCGGAGCCAGTCAGTGTGACAGGAGGAGCCACAACTTTCTTCTCTTTCTACCATCTTCTTCTCACGCCCCCTTTTATATTTTCCTTGTAGCCAGCTGCTGTGGGAGGAGCATCTCTCGCCAGAGGTCTGAACTGCTTGTTCATAGATTAATTCCAAAATTAAGCTAAAGAGTGCAGGTGTCTTACACTTGATATAAATGCTGATGTTGGAATTGGATCAGCATTTGGGATGCAACACCCAAGTTCTTTTACTTCTTTTAGGTGGGCCTATAACCATCCCACTTCTTTTTAGGTGGTTGTAACTAAATCTGGCAGAACCATCCCATTCTCTTTCCTCTGAATCGTCACACTTTATCATTTATTTTAGACTGGGAAGCTTCAGCTGTTTGATTTGGCTTCTGGAAATTTATTGGAGACTCTTGATGCTCATGAGGGAGCCCTCTGGTCCATGTGTCTTTCATCCGATCAGGTAGGTAATGCCCACCTTCTATTCATTTTATCTGAGTTTCACTTTTAGTCATTGTAAATGCACCTCCCACCTCTTGTCTGACTGACTGAGATAACTGCAGTATATTGCAGTGCAGGAACATGCTCACAGGCCGTTGCGTCTTGGCCCTCTGGCCCGTGGATGGGCAGGAGCAGTGGTGGGGATGGCCATCCTCACCGCAGGGATTATCAGGCTGGCAGACAGAGTACAGGCGTTGGAAAGTAAAGCAGGCTCTTTTGCTGTTTGAGTTAGTGGTACCTTTATGCCAACTTTTAAAGTAGCCTTTGTAATGCTACGCTTTGCAGGCATTGTGTGTGTTTGGAAGATAGTACTGGAAGATTCTGGATGAATTTCTAGGTGCAATGTCAAAGTGAAATGGGTTTACCCATAAATGTCAATAATCCACGCCACTTCATGCTAGTAAAATATTTCATGATAAATGGGCATTGGAGGTCACTCAGCACTAAACTTAAGAGTGTCATGCAGAATATAAGAAGTTGAGCATTTTAGCTTTTGTTTTTGGCTCGTGGTATTGTAGAATTCTGTGAGATCTTTTCTTCACCACCTCCCTCTGCACACACTATTGTGGCTGCATCCAAATATCCCTTTGTGCAGTCTCCTTGGAGTCAGTTTTCACATGGCATGTAGGCCTGAAAACCAAAAGACCAGAGACCCTCACACCCTCTCGAGGGAAAATATCTTCCATTTATGCACTTACCTCTGGATTTAAGCCTTTGTTTCTTGCCAAAGTGATCTCTGTTTCTGGAAGGAGATTTTGCACGTTCATTTTCCCTGGAAGAAAGGGCGAGTAACTGTGGTTAGTTTTAATTCAAATGTTTTTCTTGTTCAGCGTGGCTTTATCACAGGCGGTGCAGATAAATGTGTCAAGTTCTGGGAATTTCAGCTTGTGAAAGATGAGAAGAGTATCCAGAAGAGGTGAGGATGTTTTTCTGGAAAGAAGCTATATTTGGGTTCTTCGCTGTTCTCACTGCCTGGGATCTTGGCATTCAAGGCTCCCTAGAAAAGAGAGCATAACGTGTTGGCCAATCAGGACTGGCTTTTTCGTTGTGGTTTGCTGCATGTGTGTGGTTTCATAATACAACTGATTGCAATGTTTTCTGATGTACTTTCCTCATTTTTCAAAATATTAAATAAGGGGTGTTTTCTTTACATGTCCACTGTTTTTCTGACTTGGGAGAAGTTTCTTCAGCATCTTAATTACTATCACATTTAAATAAATAATTGTATTCATCATGTACCTCTGTTTTTTCTTCTTTGCACTCCCCCTTGTCCTCATCCTTTATTTTTACTTCTTGCATTAAATACAAATATATTGTCATTTAATTCCAGTTTTTAGTTAGATGGATTTTTAATTTTATTTCTTACAAATAGTAAATAACCTGGATGTAAATTTGTTAAGCTGCTTGTCAGTGCATCTAAGGAACACATTTTCTCCTATACTTGAGCCAGGTGATTTAACATAGAAACATAGAAATAGAGCAAGTCAGAAGGGGTCCCCCAGGCCATCTAGACTGACCCCCAGCTTCAGCCAGCTCCTTATGACATGCCTGCCATTTGTAGTTTATGATCACCTGTACCACTCCTAATGAACCTTATACTGAATTAGACTATTGGTCCATGTAGCTCAGTGCTATCAATTCTGATTAGCAGTAGCTCTCTAAAGGCTTGGCTAACAGCTTACCCACCCTTAGATCTTCTGAACTGGAGGTGCTGGGATCGAAGCTGGAAGCTGCAGCTGAGCTGTGACGGTTCCCCGTGGTTTCCTTTTTTGATAATTGCACATATATCCTACTGACTATTAATTTTCTGGACTGTATTGTGGACTTGCCAGTCTTCTTACAGAGAATGTTGTACTATGCTTTCCAGGTTGGCTTCCTAAATCGCAGTGAGCTACTCCTGCTAAAGCGTATAAAACCTCATGGGTGACTGGGAAGAGTGCAAACAGATTGAGGGGGAATTGTGCCCACTTGGCACACTCTGTAGGGCAACAGATCAAGTGGATGATCCTACCATTAGGACAGGTAGAAACAGTGCAGAGATGGAAGTCCAGCCCTTGAGGATAATCCAGCCTGCCTTTGTGCACCAGGTTCAGTACTGCAGTTCAGACTGAGCTCCTTCTCCTTAGGCACAAGTAGGAGGAATGCAGTGAAGAGGTGGGTGGCTGTAGAACCTCTGAATGGGCACTAAGCATTCGCTTTGCCTAAACATTAGCAACAGCCTTCACAAAGCTTTCTGAATTTGCTGTGCCATTTTAATGGTTCTTCCCTCCTAGGCTGTCTGTGAAGCAAACCCGTGTCTTGCAACTGGATGAAGATGTTCTCTGTGTCCGGTACAGCCCTAACCAAAAACTTCTGGCAGTAGCATTACTGGACTGCACTGTAAAGGTATTCTACACTGACACACTCAAGGTAAGGAATCCTCCCCTTGGTGGGTCAAATCAGAATCCTAACTTCTGCTTATGGGGATGCGACACGCAATGCAGATGGTCATGCAAGTTCTGTGCGAGAGTCACAGAATCGGGGCACAAGTGGAAGAACTGCCTGAGCTCTAAGACGGGAATGTAACAACCCGATATTAAGACAGGCAAATCTCAGTCTGCCAGATCCTGCACCCCTCTGTTGTCCTGTGCCAATCCGGGAACCAAGAGACATGTTTCATTACTGGGTGAGCTGGCACTTGGCAATCCTCTGCGAAGTGTGTGAAATGCCTCTGTTGAAAACTGTGTGTATGAAGTTACGATTGCACACATGCAAGCCGTTGGTTGGTTGGGCAATGGACAGCCATGTATGAGACCTTGCCCTTGGTCGGGGCAGCCAGTATCTCCTCTCGTGAAGAGATCTTGGCAAGTCCAGCCCTTTCCGGCATGGCTCCACATGATTGTGTGCCGAGCTGACGTCAGGCCTGCATCCGAGCATGTAATCAAGCAGCGGGGTTGGGACTCCACGGCAGAGCACACGCTTTGCATGGAGAAGGTCCCAGGGCCGGTCCCAGGCAGTTCCATTTGAGGGGGGGGGGCGTGTAGTGGGTGGAGACTCAGTCCCTGGAGGTGCCATTCAGAAAGCTAAGGCAGGTGATGAATAGCCTGACCAAGCATGACAGAGCTTTCTGCTTTCTCCAAAGATGCGGCTAAAACCTAAAATGCAGCAACTTACTCTTGACTGGTTGGATTCTCAGGCACCCTGAATAAGTCAAGGGTACATCTAGGAAAGCTGTCAGCTTTTGATTGTGGGCGATTGCTGGGAAGATCAAGACGCATCACACTGTTCTCTATATTTTATGTGTAGCTGACATAAATGTCTTCCTCTTGCTTTCCAGTTCTTTCTGTCTCTGTATGGACACAAGTTGCCAGTGCTGTGCATGGATATCTCCTATGTAAGTATGCTGTGTCGGAATGATAGTGACGGGTCTGCTGCATGGTAAATGCACAGAACACTTTCTGTCCTTTATTTTCATTACTTATGGCATGGTATTGGCCACCCATCAAAGACAGTTGCCCACTTTGGTGTGGTTTGCTGGGGGGAAGAAAGGCGGCGGGTGAGTATAGACTGACAGCCTTCTGACAGCCTAAGCGGACATCGTTTGTTTGTATAATGATACCTATGATGGTGCCTCCTGAGCCACGGGAGCAAGACGTGTAGAGTTGGCTGCATGGTGCTGACAGCTGAAATGACTTCCCTTGATCCCAGCTTTTGAGCATAGTGCTCATCAGTGACCCATTTCTCTCTCCTGTCCCTGCTGCCTTATAGGATGGGGCGTTGATTGCGACTGGCTCTGCTGACAGGAATGTGAAGATCTGGGGCTTAGACTTTGGGGATTGTCATAGGTCTCTCTTTGCTCATGATGACAGGTAGGTTGATTTTTTTTGTTATACCTGTAGGACTCGTAAAATAAGGCCGTTGCCATTATAGCCTCCCCGCCATGCCCTCTCTAGGGTCAGTTTGAGCCACGTTACTGAATCATGTGGGTCAGAGGCCGAATCATCCGAGCTGAAGTGTGAGGTGAGCACAGGTCATCTGCACAGGTCGGAGTTTGTCTCCATGAAGTTAGGAATAGTCACTGGTTTCCCTTGGCAGGCTCAGGTCATACTGTGCTCATGCTGTTTCCTGAGGAATGGGCCAGGGGTTGGATTTACTGCGAACATAACTGGGACAGATTGCAGCTGGGCAGGAGACAGCTTTCAGCAGAATCCCCACACATGCTCCAGTCTAGAGCAGGATCATAAACTGGATGAGGACCTGCAGTGTTCATGTATGTGAGTCCTGCCACATGGCAGTGTCCCTGCTCTAATCAAACAGCTGCTACGGCTGCCGATAGACCTGAGTCATTAGTTCATTCGGTGTCAGTGGGAGATGGTGTGGGTGGTGTTGCAGTCAGCAGCTACTGGTCATAATGTCGTCTCATATTTCTATACCTTTCGTATCTTCTCATAATTAACATTCCCCCTTTTCACTTTTTTTTAGTGTGATGTGTCTCCAGTTTGTACCCAAGTCCCACCTCTTCTTTACAGGAGGGAAAGACCACAAAATTAAACAGTGGGATGCTGATAAGTTTGAGCACATCCAGACCCTGGAGGTAAAGCCTGGCGGCTCGTGGCTGGGAGCAGTGGCTTCTCCTGCAGACGGTGCGCTGCAGAATCCTCTCCCCGCTCCCATTCACATGCTCACTTTTTTCATTTCCAGGGGCATCACAAGGAGGTGTGGAGTCTGGCCCTCAGTCCCAACGGCGACTATCTCATCTCCTCCTCTCACGATAAATCGTTGCGTCTCTGGGAAAGGACAAGAGAGCCACTTATTCTGGAAGAGGAGAGGGAGATGGTAGGAGAAGCGTCCTTAGGTTCTCTTCTGCGGCCATCCTTGACTGTCAGATTCCAATTTCTCTGTTGCCTACAGTGCATTCTAAACATAGCCAGATTCAGCATTTCCATTGCTCCCTGGAGCAGAGGGACTGTTCTCCTGCCTTCTCAGGCTGGCCCTGCCCAGTGGCGGCCTAATAAATCAAGCAGCTGCTTGATGATGGCAGTAGTAGCATTCCGGGGAAGCCTCAGTGGAGAGCTCGGTGGAGCACGTGCCCCTGGAAAGCCCACCTGAATATCTCAGAGCCAGGTGGGAGGAGGGTCACGGTGGCAGTTGCATTGCTTCAGGGATGCTGAATCTTGGAGGCGTTTGGATGTGCTTGCTAATGCTGATGCACTGCACAATTTTCCTCTGCAGCAAAGAGAAATGGAGTATGAAGACAGTGTGGCGAAGGAAGACCAGCCTGTGGTATGTGCCATCCGTGTCCTCTTGCTAGCCAGAGTGTCCTGGGCCCCTCGGGGAGCAGCTCTCCAGTTACGGTGCGGGCCTGATGTTTCAGCGTCCCACCCAAACGAGACGCTTGCTGACGGTTGCTTTCTTGGTCGTGTTTGGCCTTCGTGTTTGAGTTGCCTGTTTAGGATTAGTGTTTTAGATTGAAATGGGTGCTCATTCAGGATGCCCAGTCATTACCCTAGTGATGAAATCGCCCATTCTAGTTTTTTGCTTTTTGTAACATGTATAAATCTATCAGGGTTGTTTTGTCAGTCTTGTCTTGGATCCCAAGAAGCAGAACCTGTGCTAGAAGGTTGATTCTGAACAAGCCTTTTCTTACAGGGCTCTAATCGAGGAGTCCCAGAGTCTCCTCCCTTCACCCCTTCAGGACAGCACAACAATATTATCTTGCTGCATTTTAGTAGCTTTTCTAAAAATCAGAAATTTTGGCTGTTCTCAGAGTTAAACTTCACAACTCTCTGGAATTATAGCCATGAGCTGCTTTTAGCTTTAATCATCCTGCTTTCTGATTGATTTTTTAAATCCAGAATTTCAGTTGGATTAGTTAAAGGAGGAATCGGCTCATCTGTATACTGAACTAGCTTCAGATGATGTTGGGTCTTCATTTCCCCACCCAGTTCTGCTCTCTCCATATATTTGTCATAAATCAATTCAGTGTGTTGTGTCAGTCTAGAAAATTTACCTTTAAGCAAAGTAGTTGAAAATCCTGATCCTATTAGCTCTTTGTTCAACAGATCAGTTAATGAAATATGCTAATCATGCAGCTGCTAACATCAGAGAATAGGTCAGAAAATGTCTAATCACAAGGTCTCCTTTGCCAGGCTTCAGTACAAGAGCCCCTGCTGCACTTGCACAGCAGGGGGAAGGTGAGCAGGGAGGCAGGACGAGCACCGGAGAGGCAACTGACAGCCCAGCCAGCTGTTGTGCTCCCTCTGGTTCCACCCCTGCATCCACTCTCTCCATTTTATCTTCCTTGGGTTACTCAGTAATAGTTGTCTTGCCCCTAAAAAGGAGGGAGTATTTTTACTATGCTATCACTTTGTAACCCTGTGCTTTTGAGTTTTTTTAACACTTGAATTAGGAGTGGTTAATTAAGATTGTTTTTATCTGTATTTTATTCTTGCTAATCATCTTGGGTACTCTTTTTTCCTGTTTGCAGAAAGGCATGGCATGCATTTAAGAGAGACAGAATGATGTTACAGACAATTGTCTCTGCACAATATCCTGGAAATTACTTACTGCCATTCAGTTTTAAATGCAGAATGGCCTGGGTATTGGAAGAAAACTAGTGATGAAGCTGTGACAGCTATGAGTATATCAGTTGCGAAGACGGTGTGAGGTGTGAGGCACGGTGTGAGGTACCTTCACAGCATTTTTATTGCTTTCCAGGTTGCTGGGGAGACTCAAGGAGAGGCAGGATTAGCAGGGAGGAAGACCATTGAAACTGTCAAGGCAGTAAGTTGGATCTCTCGTCTCTAATGCTTCCTGGCCAGCACTCGCCCAGCAGACTGGGGAAAGAGTTTCGACAGCTTCCTCCTCTTTAGCAAGTCCTGGCAAACTCCGCTTGCATGCTCTCCTCACAGCTCTCTGCTAGTGCACTCTTACGGCAGCACGAACTTTCTCATACATTGACCCCGTTTGCACAAGCATTGCCTTCCTCAGCAGCTGGCAGCGGTGGGCTGGAGTGTACGGTGGGCTGTTTTATTATCCGAGCCACACCGTGTTGTGCCATCCAGACCCAGTGGACGGGGGTTGCACCATGGGCCACACTGGGGATGGTTCACCTTTGCGCAGCCCCTGCCTTCCAGCTGTGGCCGACTCAGTAAGCAGTAGCCGCTGTGTCCGTATTCTTGATGACTGCCCACTGTGGCTCACCTGCGCGTATGAGCTGGCCCACTGAATTCACTCGCATGCTTTTTCACCTTGGGGCTCTTCAAGAAGGGAGGGAATTTGCTGGTAATCTGAGAGCATATTCTGTGGGTGAGACTCCCTGGTCAGATGCCAGCAAGAGGACTGTGCGCTTGGCTTTTCTGGCACTGGTATCATCCTATGGGAAATGGCATTGCTATGTCTGCCACGCCACAGCTCCTTTTACCAGGGGAGGCGTTGACTGTTACTGGAGGCTGCCGGGCTCTTTGAGGAGTGTTGGGTTATTCCAGCCCCGGGTGTCGTCACTCTGCCCTGTGCTCCACATTGCCACACTTGGCCTTGTTGGGCTGCTAATGCGCTGGTTTTGTCCTTGTAGGCCGAGCGGATCATGGAAGCCATTGAGCTATACAGGGAGGAGACTGCCAAGCTGGAAGAGCACAGAGCCATCTGTAAAGCTGCTGGAAAGGAGGTGAGGAGGGGATTAGGGTTGATTTGACATTCGGTGCTGTGTGACCAGATCTAAAGAACTCCCTGCTCAAAGAAAATACTTGAAAAGCATTTCAAAAGGTTGGAGACTCATAGGCTTGTCCAGTTAACTCTTGTCCCGATCAACACATAAAGTGCAATCGATATTGCAGTCAGCCCTTTTGTGCCTGTTGAAAATTATTTATGGAAATTCTCCCATTTGTAATGTCCCCCCCCCCCATATCAAGGGAGATGTTAATGATTACTGTGTAGTGAGGCATTTTAAGATATGACTTCCGTCCTTCCTTCCTTCCTTCCTTCCTTCCTTCCTTCCTTCCTTCCTTCCTTCCTTTGTATGCTGTGGTTGTGTTGCAAATGATACGATGCAATATTTTCATCTTTTCAGAAGCAGTCAGCTTAGCAAGTAACTCGGAGAAACCCAAGCACTTCAACCAATATGTCTGCCTATAAGGAGTAGACTTTGCTAAATTGTTGTCGATTTTCTGTCAATAGGTTCCTCTTCCTGTAAACCCAGTTCTCCAGGCTTACGGCAATATTTCAGTAAGTGTGATAATTAGTCCTTTTCTGGAATGTTAAACTGTTTTTTCTTGGTATGAAAGCAAACTGTATGTTTGGAATTGTGTATGATGGTGATGAGTGATTGGCTGTGGTCATCGTGTTGGGTGTTTTTTGTCTTTTGACTTACACTTCTGTAGCAGTAAGTTTTACTTAACTTTAGGTTTTCATGTGTAGGATTACCTTGCAATAGCTTACATCCATTCTCTGTTTGAGTTTCTGTGGGTAAATGTGTCTGGAAAAACTCTTGTGTGTTCTCTTTCTCTAGCAAATTCAACTTAAAATAAAACCCAGAAATCTTCCTTCTATCTCGATGTCTCTGTTTTTCAAATTCCCTTTTTCTTCTTTTGGGTACAAGATGCCGGTTGGATCACCCAGTCACATAAGCTTCCAGCTGGGATTTGGAAGTGGTATTCTTGCCGCTTTGGTGGGAATGAGCCTGATTCATAGCTGCTTGCAAATGCTACGGGCAGTTCAGGGAAAGTGAGGGAAGCAGAGCCCTTGCATGAGTTTTGAGGCACTGGCCAAGTGGCAAGGCTCCTGCACGCATCCCCCATGGGCAGCTACAGCTGCCCGGTGAGCTGGACCTTTGCTTGTCTCACCTGACACTGTAGTTGGGTGAATTTTTACTGTCTCTCATGATATAGTGTTGCTATTGGTTGCAGAGGCATGGTAAAATTAGTTTTGCCATGTGGCTAGATTACCTTCTAGTACATCACCCAGCAGTAAGTTTTCAACTGGTTGTCTGCATATATTTGCATTCCAACGTCTTTGTGAAATTTTGGGAGAATTAATAAGCCTACTGTAAAATGGTATCTTCATGCGCCATCAAAGAAAAATAAGTTTTAGAAATTTTTTGCCTTGAAAAATAGACATTCGTAAGTAATAAAATACTTAGCATCCTAAAATTCTGCTTCCTGCTTACTGAAGCCATGGTACAGATCTTCCCACAAAGAATTTGAATCAACAGGGGCATTCACTCTTATGTTTCTTACAGCCTTCTGCTTATGTACTAGATGTTCTCAAGAAGGTGAAATCAAGGTGAGTGCCTGAAAAGCTCTTGCTATCAAAAGCTTGGACTAAATGCACAGAACACGACATGTTGTTCTGGGATGCCACGTTGGGTTCTTGTAAACCTGGATCACATCCTGCAGGGTGGATTTGTTGAGGGACAAACCGTCCTGACAACCCATGGTTCCTTTTAGGGGTAGCTGCATCCATAATGGATTCTCATGTCTTCCAAACATGGGTGAACAACACCATCCTGGGTAGCAGCTAGTGAACCAGTTGGCAAGAGCCAAAAAAACCCTTGTAGCCCTTGCCAGTGCCAGCCATTCCACCAAGTGCTCAAATGGCACTTTGGAGCATTCATAACTGGTTGCAAGTCCCTTTAGTGTTCTTGGGCACTTCTCCCCGCCCCTGCATTTCCGGTAATCACTTTTTGGAGCTCAGACAGACTTTCTTAAAGGACTAATGAGGGGTTTTTCACAGGGACAAATGCATGTGCCTGTGAAAGATCCCTGGCTAGCCCTGTCAAAAGGAAGCCTGAGTTTTGACAGCTGTCAAAACTCTGTGCTCCCATAAAGGAAATGGATGGAATGGAAAAGCTGTATGACATTGAGAAGAGCCAGATCCAGCCAGGAAACACTGAGGGTCTCACTGTGAAGTGGGTGATCTACTGCCTTCGCCCTTTGTAAACACGTGCTTGCAGCTTCTCTGGGTCAATGCCCAAAGCTGACACTTGCTGTACTTTGACAGTAGGTACCCACCAGGATATTTATCAGACAACTGTCAGTAGGAAATAAACTGTCCCCTTATGCAGTTGCAAAAGATGAAAAAGTGCACTTCAGGCTCACATTTTCTTTAAACAGAACTGGCTAGCCAGTGAGTGAGCCAGTGTGTCGCTTGGGCATGTGCTGTTCACTAGGCAATCACTGCGTGTTTTCTGTGGGAAAATGGGGTGGGGTGGAAACACTTGATGAGAAAAAAATGGGTTTGGGGATCAGGGTGTGGTGAGAGGAGGCAAGTTTATCCTCCCATGGAGTCCCCTGGGATACCCGCAGAAGGCTGGGGGGGGAGGTGGAGGCTGTTGGGCAGTAGGAGGTCTGTCAGGCACAATGTGGGTTGTTGTTCACTCACAGCATCTTATTGTCAGGGTGGGTTAACTTGCCACATGAGCCTTGTGCTTTGAGTGGGTTAATAAGCAGGACTGATTGGAGCAGCTGTCAGTAGGAAATAAGATGGCTGCAGCAAAGAGTGTAAATTTTGTACAGAAAAATCCAAGTTGTAGGTTCAGCATCTGTGCAGATGTGTCATACCTGCAGGAAGTTAGTGCAGTGATGTGAGTTCAATAAAGCATTTGGATCTGAGTTCAGTCTGGAGTGCAAGGTCTGTGCAGGTGTGGAAGATCCTGGCAATTGTTCCTGACGTAGAATCCTTAAGCAATAGGATTTTAAGTTCTTCAGCTTAGGCTGTAGTTATGCTTGAAGTGGAAGAAATGCTGGCAGCCTTGCATTTCATTCTTCCCCACAGCGAACTGGAAGAATCTCTGTTGGTGCTTCCCTTCTCATATGTGCCTGATCTTCTCACGCTCTTCAATCAGTATCTTGAGTTGGGTTCAGACGTAGAACTGCTCTGCCGGGCTCTCCTGTTTCTGCTAAGGTAAATCTCATTGCCCAAGAAAGTCTCTCTTTCTCCCTTGGCCCATTTCTCTCTTCACTGGTTGCCAGAGCAGGAGCTGATCGCTTACAAGGAGCTTCCCCACCCTTCATGCTGTCCATTTTGGGTCCCCGATCGCCTCATTCCTTCCCCTGCTTGTCAGAGATCTGGTCTAATCATTTGCGTAGGGCTTCTTGCCCCTTCTTCCTTACAGCATTACATACATTTGGGGCACCTCCCATGTTTTTTTCCTCCTCCTTTCCCTCGGAACTACGCCCATGTGCATAAAATTAGGCTGTGGACTGCAAATTCTTGGCCCCTGCTGTAAGACAATGAGTCAGCTCTTGCAACTTTGGGAGGCGCCTCTTTTATTCCTGCAGTCAGGAGGCAAGAAAAAGTTGATTACCTTTTGAGAAAAAGTAGAGTTTGACAAAGGCCTTGGTTATCTAAAAGCTTTTCTGGGGTTTCTGCATCCACCTCCCAGGATTCACTTTGGACAGATCACAAGCAATCAGCTTCTTATCAAGGTGATGGAGAATCTGAAGAAGACCACCATCTGTAAAGTCAGTCAAGTGCGGGTGAGTGTTTCCCCTTGATTCCCGTGGCTGCAACAGAGTGAGATAGCAAGTGAGTGCTGAATATCTCGCCCCACAGGGCCACCCACTGCTCATTATGGGCCTGAACAGATGGAGAGTCATCATCTAGACTCATGACGTGGTATCCGATTCATTGTGCACTGTTTCCCTAACAATTCTAGCGTGCTTTTGGGGAACTAGCTGTGTCAGCAGCCCTTTCCTGGAGCAAGCTGCAGTGGCTGTGTGAACTGCTCCATGGCAAGCCATCCTTGGCCCGGTTGTAACTGAAATGGCCTCTTCTTCCACTGCCTGTTGGGATGGGCTGAAAGGCTAATGCTAGTCCAATACATGGAGGGCACTGGAATGGAGATGCCTGCTACTGAACCTAATTCCATCCCCATCCATGCCAGCACCCTCCCTCCACAGCTGCTACAAGCATGGAGTGGGATGAGAGAACTCGCAACATGTGAGGGCAAGTTACACAGCAAGTGCTTCCAAATGCTATGGCTGAAGCTGGGATTCCTGGCTGGGGCAGCTGTTTCAGAAGTATTTCCATTGTGCCAGCAATGCGTGCGTGTTGTGATCCGAAGTGCTGGTGTTAATATTCAGAACCATAAACAGCTTAGGGCCAGGTTATCCGAAGGCTCAGCTCTTACATATATAACTGCCTGGCCCCAAAGATCATTTTCAGCAGTCCTTCTCTGGGAGCCTCTGCCAACGGAAGTGTGGTGGGTAGCTAGTAAGAGGAGGGCCATTTCTGTTGTGGCACCCCGATTGTGGACTGACCTTCCCAGAGAGGCTCATGTGGTGCCTGCATTGTGCATTTTTCAGCGCCAGGTGATGCCCTTCTTTCCCTAGGCATTTGGGCTTTGTTTTCAATGTCACTGTATTTTAAATCCATTTACTGCTGCTGGCTTTTATTTGGAGGTTATTCATATTTTATCCTTTAGTTTTATATTGCACTTTCTTGTGTGTTCTATTTTATAGTTGAGCTTATTGTGAACTGCCCAGAGAGCTTCAGCTGTTGGGCAGGACAGAAGTGTAACACAAAGACAGCTGTGTGAGCTCAGCCTTGAACTCTGGCCAATGGCCTTACTCAAGCCACTTCTTTCATTCTCAGCTTCTCACCTGCAACACAAGGAGGATAATGTTGGCAAACCGTACAGGATAGGATTGCTTAGGTTTAGGACGATGTAGACTGAAGTAAAGTTTGTTTTGGCAAAGTAGCTTGAAATCCTTACGAATAGCAAGAACAGAACCACTGAATGCGTAAGTGTTGCGAGCACATCCCTGATACGCCCTCCCTTTCTCACCTCTGCATTCTTATTTTTTGTCTCCAGGATGTGCTGGGGTTTAATATGGCTGGTCTCCAGTTCCTAAAGAGAGAAATCGAGGCCAAAGATGAAGTGACTTTTTTTGCTGATGCTACTGACCGATTTGAGGAGAAAAAGAGGAAAAGAAAGAAGAAGCAGAGGATGATTCTTGCAGTGGCCTGATTAGGACAGTCTGGGGAGGGAGGCGCTGCTCTGGTGTGGGTGTGTGGGATGCCATGAGTTTGGGATTGGGCAAGAAGGTTTGTGCAGAAACACAGTAAAGCTGTGTTGAATTCTCACCCATTTCAGGTCAGAAAAGGGAGGCTGCAACTTCACTGGCAGGTTGCTTTTTTCCTACTGTTTGCCATTGCCTTTTCTGATACGTGGTTTGGTGCCTCCAAACCAAGACAGAAGGGGCCCTTTGCTTCCTAGCCACTCAGGATGCACCCAGGCAAAACGGTAACTTCATTTCAAACCATCTAGCTTCTTCCCACCCCCATACATCTTTGTGAATATAGTAGTGTGCAGTTAGAGCTTGCAGTTTACTTCTAAAGCCCTTTAAAAGTGATAGTGCTGGATAACTGCATTCAAAGTGTTTGGAATGGTTTCATTTTAGGTTAACTAAAGTAAACTTCTCTAAAGATTTGAAAAAATAAAAATTGCACTCCAACTTTCTAGGCATTTGCAACAAAGTAGTGGCAACAAACAGGGCAACAGAACTCTTGTTTATATAGCACTATGGTGCATGTGCAGGACAAAAGTGGCTCGCTCTTGTTATATGCTCTAGTATGGCATACATTGCAAATACAGAACAGCAGCCAATCTCTAGTTGCTTGCTCTCAAATTTAATAGGAAACAAGCAACATCCTTCTCTCTCCCCTGGATGTACATGTTGCAAATAGAAATTTGAGTTCTCATTGTTTGCTGCTTTATAATCTCCAGGGAAATAGGTGAACTTATGGGACCAGGTTTCCTCTCCATAATCACTCTTTGCATTTGGCTCCCTTAATTGTTGCAATCTGTATTAGGACAGACGTCCCAAACTGTACGTTGCTCATTCAAAGTGGTAGACTATGAGGCACATACATACGCACCTTAACTACCCTAGTCCTGCATCTTGAAGGCTGTTCTCAAAATCACATTTTAACTGGCACACGTTATGAACTTGCCTTGTGCTCTGGGCTCATTTCCACATCTGGACACCTCAGTGAAGCTTCTTTACAGGCTATGTACTTAGAAGCTGATTTCTGGGCGTTGAACATGAGTTCTTTGGATGTGGAGTAACAGAATGAAGATTAAGCATGCAACAGGCTGCTTGTCTTGTGGATCATGGGCACTGAGGGACTTGCCATCCCGAGGACAGTGCCTGAGAGCAAATGGTTTCTCTTCCCACTGGAGAGTTGAAGGGCTGGCTTTATCTGTTTGGGGGTCAGCTGCATCCTATCTGTTGTCAATGAATCAGTCATATTGGCACACAGCCCTGCTGTTTTCTTTTGCTAAAGCTCTGTTTGGTGATGGCATTCTTTCAGCAGAAAATTAACTTCCCAATTCCCCATCAAAATTCCAAGCTGAGAGCCCATCATAATGAAGTAATTTTTATTGCTACAAGTTTATGGCTAAATATTCATATTAATAGGATGACATGCTGGAAAGTGATCAACTCAATGGGTGGATACTAGTAAAATCACTTAAGGAGATTTTTAACATTTTAAATAATCAGTTTAATATTCCTGCTAAACTTGAGCCGTATCAATGTCATGATGTTGGTATTTTTATTCCAGCCTGCCATTGTCAGGTCTGCAAAATTAAAAAATAGAATGCAGACTTAAAATATATCCGGATATGTACAGTTTGTACTGTAGTTCTTGTTCCAGCAACGAAGCATCCTGATTAAGACAGTGTGGAAGGTATGGAAGAGATTTGTCAGCTAGGGCGATGCCAAGGTTCTGCCAATGCAGTGAGGCAAGCAGGGTGCGACAAGGAACCTACAACCGGGAGAATTGTGCAGTCTTGACCACTGGCTGCTGCGTATGTTTATATTTCTAGAGAGAGGGAGAAATGCAACAATTAGATCAGCTGAATTTGCTTTCCAAGGATTCAAACCCACCTGGCTCCCCCCCCCCCCCCCGGCATGCTGACAGAAGTTCCTGTCTCAGCCACCGAAGTAGTTTAGTCTCCCTAGCTGGGGAAGAGAGACTAGAGAGGCACCCTCTACAGAGAGAATACAACCTCAGCTACAGTGGGTTAGCATTCTCTTCTCCACTGCTATGCCACTTACCTGAGTAACCTGGGCAGTGCCATGTCACCTCTGCCTCCCTCTGCGTGGCACCACACAGCACTGAAACTATGCATGAGATTCGGTGAATAATACACTGCAATGCCCTGGATTTAGATGTTTGGGGGTTGGCACACCTTGTTAGAAAATCCCCCCCCCTTTTTTTTCAAAGGATTGGCTTGAGGAAAGATGATGTGATTATGCTGTACAAATAACAGGCATGGAAGGGCAATATGTAAAAGGAGGAGAGGAATCAGAGGAAATGTACAAAAATAATGAGGCTTTTAAATGTTGAAACATGTTAAATTTAGAATGTTACTGATGAGGAGCATGTGCTTCAATGTTTCACACTGATAATGCAGCTATGGCTGGTTTATTCCTAGAATTTGTTAGCAGCACAAAAAGAAGCTGCTATGCAAGAAGTATCCTCTCTCTGTTAAAGAACTCATTTCACCCTTAGGATCATAAGGAAAAATGCTCATGCTGTTCAATTCACCATAACTTTACTTAGCATTTATGCAAGATTAACACTTCGAAATGCACAGTAGAGTCACTAGTAATTAGAAGGCTGTATTGTGCTATTGAAGAAAAGAATGTGCTTAAATGTAATTACTTACATTAGCTAGGAAGCTTGTGAGGTAGTATAACCCTAAAGTGAGGGCCGGGACTTCCTGAAACCAGCCGGACAGAGGAGGCCTTCTCCCCCTGAGGGTAGTCTGGTGGTCTGCATTCATAATGGCTGGGTGTTAAGACTGGTGGAAAGCTTGTTAAGGATAGACATCATTTTTCACAGTAGAAGTCTGAAATATGCCTCATGGTAAAGAGAAACTTTAATGGCAGCAAGTGATTGGGCACTAGAAACTAGCTGGACAGATGCTAGATACTAGTCCTCATATTTTAGGGATAGTTAAGCAGGGGGAAAGGGTCCTGTTCATCAATGGGACACAAAATGGATTCTCCCAGGGGAATGACTTACAAACCTTCACCTCCAATAGATGATGAAAAGTCGCTTCTGTGAAAGTGGGGGCTGATTCATGCTACTTCCTATGCTGTTCCTCACTGATCTGCACATACTTGTTTTGGTCTATGAACCTTGATTCTTGTCCACCTTATCGAAATTTAGCATGCATGTTTTTGTGGTTCAACTGAAGTAAGAGAGTTCTGCAGTATCTTTTAGTGATGCCATTTTCCCATCTTGTCTCCTTGCCCCACTCAGACAAGGCACAAGTGTAGAGCTGGAATGTAAAGGAAATTTGGAGGATCTTGCAGGAATGACCCCTAGTGCTCCTTAGTTCAGCTCTGAAACTGAAACTATGGCTTGCAGATGGACAGGGCAGTAGAGCCCCTTAACTTCAGCAAGCTTTTGTTGTGCTGGGCTAGCACTAACTTCTAGTTGTTCTTCCCACTGCCCCAACAGAAGAACTGGATACTTCCCGGTTAATGGTTTTACCAGGGAACTCCAGTCCTAATACTTTGGGAAATTATATCAGGACCAATCCAGAGTGCAGTGTTCTTTGCTAGTGTTTTCTCCTAGCAGCCTGAAGGGAGGAGCAGAAACTTTTTGAAAAGTTTGGTGGAGTTCACTGAATCTTTGAGGGCACAGCTGTGTACTTGTTTGGCAGTGTTTCGACTTTGGTGTCAGTCAGCAGAAAGCAAAATCAAGGCCTTAAATGTTTTTTATTCAGCATATTCTCTATATTCATCCTTCTCAAATATTGCAGGGTTCTTAACCAGAGCCACCACCTTTATACTATGTCTGCTTCATACAATTACCCACAAACGGGATAATGAAGGCAACCTTTTCGGAGGCTTCCAACTATAAAAGCTGCCCCTACAACACGTTGGTGGGTATAAGCCCCTCAGAAGGGTATCTGTCTCTGCAAGAATTAACTCTTCCAGCAAGGAGAGAAAGTTTAGGCCTTTGGGCAAGTTACTCTTCTTTTAGTATTACCAGGTTGCCTTCTGGTGAATGATTATATCCAGCACAGCAAGTCATTTTATGTATGATTAAACCCATACATGGCAACACTGGGTGAAAACACCCACTACATCCTTAATATTTCAAATATCACAGGAGATTTGTAAAGAACTATGAACACTCCTTGAAAGAAAGGCAGGATTAACTAATGTAAAATTTACATATCATGTATGGTCAACGGTTTAGGTGCAGCTGCATCTTTCACTGATGTTTGTCTTACTGTGTTTCCCTTCCCTCTAATCCTAAAGCTAACAGGCCAGGAACTCTCTTGATAGGAAACTAAGTTCTCCATGCATGATGTGAAGAAACCAAACTGACCTCCAATTTTCTATATAATTTACCTTTATTTTTTGGCACCAAAAGGTCAGATGTTCAGGCCTAATAATACATAGTAAACTGTGGGAAAAAGTTGTTAAGCTTGTGGCCCTTTTCTTGAGTTACATAACCCTCGCCTGAAAGCAAAACCACACACTAAAGTTTTGCAAGGTTGTTTGGGAAGGCAGCCAAGGAAAAGAAATAGGTCTACTTGCTGGAAAGGAAGGCATGGGGAACTCCATTCAGCCTGGTCTCTTTCCATTCATGGACTGGTTCTATGAAATGTACCTTCTATCCAGTCACTTGCAGGGGTGGTCAAGTGTCCTAGCATTACATGCTATAAATTTGTGGTATAAGGTGGTGCTTGTGCTATGCTTTTGTTACCAGTAATAATATAGTCCTTACATTTTTCAGAGAATTTTATTTGTAGATAGACTTCTACAAATAGCTACATTGCAATAAGTAGGCCACAGGTGCAGCAGGACAACTGGAACTTCTGACAGAGCTATTCTAAAATGTTAGCTTTTTGTTATATTGTTTTAAAATGTTTTGAAGTTGGGGAATATGGTTGACTTAAAACAACCTGGCTCTATTTTTCTAGTTGTATCTAGGATAGAGATCAGGCACAGAGAAATCTGGATTCTCAGACAGGCCATCAGCAACAGCTTGACCTCAGCTGAAAATCCATTATTATTATTATTATTATTATTATTATTATTATTATTATTATTATTATAACATTTCTATGCCGCCCCTTGCCGAAACCTCGGGGTGGCTTACAACATGATAAAATACATTGAAATACAATAGTACATAATAAATTACCATTAAAATCCATGCTCAGATCCCCTTCCCCTCCTTGTAGCCTTTCCAATGTCAGAAGATTCATCTTGCAAAGGAGGCAAGGGATGGGGAGGGGAAGAGACTGAGGCCACTAAGATACCCTGACAGCACGCCAGTCTCCTTTCCTTTCCCAGCAAAGAGCTGACATGCAGGGCAGGAGGTGTGTGAGTGAGTGAGTGAGTGAGTGAGAGAGAGCGAATTGAGTATTTTTTACCCCGTCCAATACCCAACGGGTCTCTGGATGGCTTACAATTCAAAAGATCCCCTCAGCTGTAGCTCCAGAACTACTCTGGGTGCTTGTAAGCCTCTGAGTTAATGAGCTTTTGAGCACTAAGGGGGGGGAAGTTGATGGGAGGGAGCCCAAAAAGCTTTCAATAGGTGCTGATAGGCACATATGGCTCTTACTCTATTAGATTTCAAACAACCCTGGGCACATTTTATTTCGAACTGCTTTTAACTATTGCTGCTCATTTTTTCAGTTTTATATTGAAGTTCTATGTGTAATGGTTATGGTATTTGCAGCTATAGGGAAAAAAAATATCTTGAAAGGAATTGTAGAGGTCTCTGAATGCTTAAAGAATAAATAGTCTGGAGAGAGGCTGGAACCCTTTAATAGATGTCAGTAGAGTGGAGGCCACCATTTCATCCTGTGTAAGTTGACCATAGAGAAAAAGTAATAAAGGATATTTGCTTCCACAGGCAGGAAGAGTGTTTCTGTTTCTGTGTAAATTTCAATCTTATGGAAAATTCTGCCCATGCCCTCATCTCTCTTCACTCCAATAGCCATGGCATATATCTCAACTTCCAGCTCAGTTTGGAGCCCCGCAGCCACCTAGAAACAACAGATTGTGTACCATGAGCAATGTCTGCTATCTCCCTGCCACCCCACTCTGCTCCACCCTTTTTAATGCTGCTCTTAAAGTAGCGAGGAAAAAGATTCTGTTCTTGCTTTGATCAGTGCCCAGAGTTTTTTCACCAGCAGCTTTCCTTGCCGGCTATATTCTGGAATACAGCCTGCATCAGCTCCAGAGAGCATGGCCAACGTAGCACAGAACATGTACGGGATCATGTTGCATGTCCCCTTAATCTCTCTACACCCTGTCCTGTATGGTGGATGGGATAAGGCAAGAGGTAAATATAAAATTAGTAAATTGGGAGCACTGGGCTGTTGCCTATGCAGCAGAATGCGCACGCCTTCTCATGGCTGACATCCAGTCAACCCTTTCAGGAAGCAGCAAAGCTTGGTAAGACATGTCAATCACTCAACACAGGTTAAATGCTGAAACTGGCAATATTATGGGCTTCCTACATCATCTCAGCACTTGACTGTGTTAACAGTTCCACACAGTATTCCTAAAGGTGAAAGGTGTAGTAGTTTAGCACATGTACATGTGTATACGCACACACAATGACACGTATCAAGTTAAAGACAGTAAGCTAGCCACTGAAGATACTGAGCCAGGGGTAGGGACATGAGCAGAACCCTGGAGTCTCGGAAAGCTGACTGAGTGTAAGCATAAAGCCACGGGAGAATGCCAGAGGCTGGGAAAAGGCCCAAAAGTAGATGGCCTACATGGAAGGCTAGTGTGGTCTTTGAAACCTGTCTGGAACGGAGATGGAATGTGGAAACAGGCAAGTCAAAGAAGCTGGATTGAGGACTAGCGGTCAGGCTGGCCAGCTGCAATCCACTGCCTGACCTTTCTGTGCATTTGTTACCTTGGAAAAGTGTGTCCTAGGTGTTTTTGCTAATTCACAGGGTATGGATGATGCTTGGTGCAATATGTGAGGAAAGCAAAGTGTTCCACAGATCATTCCTGAAGCTACCAGGTCAGAGCTGCTCAGCCACCTGCTCAAACTGCTTCCATACCCCTAATGAAAAAGGGAAGAAGTTTCTCTTGGTCCTTGGGCAGACATGCACAGGCCTGTTCAGGACTGACTGGAAGACACTGTGCAAGGTTTTCAGGAAGCAGGAAAGCTTGGTAAGAAATGTCCATCACTCAACACATAGGTTAAATGCTGAAACTTGGTTGTTTCTAGGGGTCCCCACTGCTGCTAAACAAATGCAGAAATGACATGGTGTTTTGTTTCATCTTCCTGCTACTGAGGACATCCCACCTGCCCTGCTTCTGAATTGCTCATCTGGAGAGCACAGAATCCACAGGGATGCAGCGCTGCTACAAATTTGCCCTCGGACCCTGAGGTCATGAGAAGTTACTCCAAGCCCCAAGACCTGGACCTCTGTACCTTAATGTTGAACAACCCTCACAGACACAGATCAATAAAAACCTGAGTGATAAAAGACAACTGTACAACCCAACGCTGCCCAACCCCCACATGACTTACGGGCCCGGGAGTATAGCTCACTCGCAATCCTGTACAGCGTGGTGGTTGCTTCACTCGGAACCTGCCATTAACAGGAAGAGTTAACTTTCTGGAATGACTGAGCTAGAGAGGTAGGAAAGTACCACACCTAGAGTATATTGGCTCTCATGGTTACCAAGATCTTTTAGCATCCCTCTATTATATTGTGCTACTTTCTTATCTGTCCTACCTTGTAGGAACATTGCTTATCTGTCAATTTTGTTTCAAATGAGAAGCACATATTTTACGCACGAGCTCAGTGGCTGTATAGAATACCACCCTTGATTCTTCTTGATCCCATTTCATGGTATTCTGCAGCTCCAGCTGCTGTCTTGGAAAACTTGCTTATTCAGATACATTAATGAAGGGTTCAGCTAGAGCCATCTCTGGGATTTGGAGGGCCCTTGGACAAAGCACCCTCCATGAGTCCTTCCCCCTCAGTGCATTTGTCTTCTTGCTGCCATTGTGCATGTCTGCTTTTGCTCTTCAGCTCTCACACCTTTGGTACTGCTAGTATGCATCCTACGGGGAGCCAGTGAGCAAGGCAGTAGCTGGGATCTGCTGCTGCTCTACCTCACCAGTATCATGTTCTGGGCCAGCCCGACAGGCAGGTGAACAAGCAGTGAGCAACATGGCCTCTTGCTAGGAGGGCACGTTGCACACGGTTGCTCGGGCCCTTGGCAAGCACCCAGCCATGCCTACCCTTGACACCACCCTTGGATTGAGCCTCATGAAACTGTGACTTCTCTTCTGTATTTTTAAGTAGCAAAATCTTTGCCAAAAATCTAGTCCAGAGGACTTGGGTGTTCTGCGTGATGATGATGATGATGATGATGATGATGATGATGGAGCCCTAGCAACAGCAGCATTTATATATTATACCTGAATGGCAAAATGTTTCAGCTAAAACACCTTTTAATTCTTACAGCTTCCTGGCAAGTTCTACTATTGCGCTAGGTCCAAACCAAGTAACTACTAGGCTTTATCATTTTAAGAAATGGAGCTCATGCTTGTCCTAGGAACCTGTATTCAACCTGCAATTTTTCTTGCACACAGTGAACCTAATCCAACTACATCTGCCTGAATTCACCTGTGTCCCATCTGGAGAGTGCAGACTCTGCATCAGTAACACTGTCCAGTTTCTGGATATTCTAATGGTCCAAGACAGCTACTTCCAATGGTTATGTTTCCTCCAGCTAAAACTATTTTTACAATTAGACTATCATAGAGGAATGTGCTCGCGCGCGCGCGCGCGCGCTCGCTCTCTCTCTCTCTCTCTCTCACACACACACACACACACACACACACACACACACACACAACCCGATTATTGTTAACCTATGCAAACCTGCAGAAATCCATTCCAACGTTCTTCAAGGCTACTGTAGCTGCATAAGTGCAGCCCTCCTTAAGCACTCCAAATGTCACCTTCGGTGGGATAAGAAGGAAGCCTGACAGTTGCTGGGAAGCTGCAGCAACAGAGCATGTATGGACTCTGCCAGAGACAGGATCTTCACCCTTTACAAACGAGAGGGGTTGATTAGAGAGTTGAATCATATGTTGCACGCCTAATTTGAAGGCAAATAGGCCGTAATAGTTATTATTTGAGCTATCCTATTAACATGCAAATTTGCATTTACAGCAGTTGATACTTTTAACAGTGAACTGGGGGCCTGTGTCCAGAATCCATGGCTAATGCACCTAGTAGGATAAGAGAAATGGCCCGTGTTCCCTGGGAATAGGACAATTTCTGCTGATAAAAATGAACATGCCGATCTTTTTAAGGGGCTTTGTGTGTGCCAAGCCCATCTTTGCAAAAGTGGGGTGAAATCCAAAAATGATGGCTCAGGGTAGCATAAAGGAGTGATGCAAAATGACATGGGGGAGGGGGCCCATGATAAGCCACACGATGTAAAAAGGTACACAGTGTGGCCTGTAAGACAGACACGTTGGGGTACTTGGGAATAGGCTGAAGCAATGGCTGCTCCCATGCCCCCCCCCATTTCTATTGCCAAAGGGTGGCGGGGGGGAGGGAGTCTCACTGCTCCTGCCAAGCCCCCTGGGACATCCACAGGGGGACGAAGGTGGGAGGAGGTGGCCCCTTTGTGCCTGATGGTGTGCTGGGTGCATCGGGGGTAGGGTGGCTTACAAGGCACGCCATGTCTGCTTCTGCACAGCCTTGCTTACTGCTCCATGTGAACCCTCCCCCTGAGATAGCAGCAAGTGCACACGAACTGCTTGTATAGAAGTAAACAAGTGATGCCGTCTCATGCAGTGTCAGGCTCTTAGTGCATCTAGTGAGTACTGTCTGCACTGCGACAGCTTTGCAATCTCTCTTGCAAGCTTCTCTAGAGCTAAGAGACTGAACTTGGGACCTGCAGCAGTGCAGCCCATGCTCTCGCCCGCAACTGCAGCCTCTCCTCCTGCATCTGCCTGACTCTGGCAGCTGCTTCCAGGCATTCGCAACTGTAGGTGCTTTCACTGATGTGCTGTTTTATTTCTGGTTGGAAAATGTAAGGCTGCCTAACGGCAGACAACACTTCAGAAGAATGTGGGTGATGGTGTTACACCACCACAGTTTTCCTCTTTTCCCCCATTTTTGGTTGAAACCAATTGTGCAGGTTTTGGAACTGGGACAACAACTTGTAAAACCTGACGATGCTCCTGATGATGCTGTGATGCACCTTCCACACTGCGATTACCCAAGGCCGGCCTTAACTGGAAGGACCAAAGCAAAGCACGCCACACCAAGCCAGAGGTGTTCAGAAAATACACACCAAACAATCAGCAACACAACTGAGAAGACAGGTTCATGGCGTTACTGTTCAAAGCAGAGTAGAAGTGACAGTACAGGGGGAAATTATTTTACTTACCTTTTTTCTGGGTACAGATTGTGGCTTGGCTCTCTGTATGGATGAGGGCAATTTGACCTTTTCTTTTCTCGGGGATCCTGCAGCATCCACAAGAAGAGACTGGAGTTTTCGTTGAAATAAGATTTCCAGTCTAGTTTCAGTTACTTCAGCATCTGATTTAAAAAAAAGTCCCAATGTTGATTTACAGGCTCCCCACAGATCCAGTGCTACAACCCTTTGACATGGGTATGGTGGGAGGTGGATGTGAGCAGAGTGTCATCTAGTCACATTAACATGATTAACTTTCAGTCAGAATGTGGACAACCTGCTTGGAGGACTGAGGCCTGCCACTTGCTCTTCGGGCCCTTGCCCATCCTGGCTTGCGAAATCAAGCAGAGCTGGGTATTTGGAATTTGGAGGTTGTTATGGCCTCCGAGGGAAAAAGTGGCCCTTGCTGCTTCTGACGAAGCAGTGGTGAAGCTACTGTTGAAGAACACTAGTTTACTTCCACTGATTTCAGATAATTTCTAATAATTGTCTGCTGCTTGAAGACAAGCTGTTGGGCCACATGGTGGCATGTGTTCGGCTGATGCCAATTTGCTCTGCTGTGAACCACCCAGAGAGCTTCTGCTGTTGGGTGGTATAGAAATAAAGTAAAATAGAACAAAATTTTTAATTCATTCCAACCTGAGCTCAGGCCTGGTCTGGGGATAGAAACTGCTTTGGCTGCCCTGCTAGATGACTTAGGCTAGTGAATGGATGACGGGAGTGTGGCCCTGCTGCTTCTGCTGGATCTTTCAGTGACTTTTGGTGCCCTCAGCCCTCCTTCTGGATAATTTTTCTGGGTCAGGCAGTGGAGCCACCATGGTACAGAGGTGCCAGTCTTTCCTGGATGAACCCTCTCAGAGGGTGATGCTGGGGGATTTCTGCCCTGGTCCCTTGCCAATGGCATGCAGCAAGGCTGCTTTCTTCCAACATTCACAGAAAATTATTGGGAGAAATCGGGGAGATTTGTGCTAAGCTGCCATCAGTATGAAGACAACACTCAGCCTTGCATTTCATTCCTGTCTAGTGATCCTAAACAGGCTGTTGAATGGAGGAAGGGCAACTTTGGGATGGGTGAAAACAGACAAGCTGGGACTTAACTGAGACCGATGGGAACCAGGCAGTCGGCTCGCATGACAGTACTGTGCCAGCTACACAGGTTGCCAATGCATATCTGCACCCAATTTACAGTGCTGGCTTTTAAAAGCCTGGGCAAAGTTATAGGAAGGCCCTTTTCCTTCCATAGCAGCCTGGTCACATCCTGATGCCACCAGCAGAGATTCTTCTCACCTGCCCACCACCAACAGCAGTGAAGTTGGTGAGCACAAAGGAGAAGAGCTTTTCAAAGGTGGCCCAATACCTCTGGAATGTGCATCTCAAAAGGGTTTGCCAGGCTCCATCTTTGCAGCTCTTGTGACATTTGTGCCTACTTGGAAAGAGTAATATGAGCTGTAAGACCATTGAAATCTTCAGTGCTGTCTCACAAAAGGAAACTTAATCTGTTAAGTTTAAACTGCTCCTAGATCTTTTTAGTGCTTGGGGAAATATAAAAGGAAACATTCTCTTACATGCAGAAAGACAGGAGGAAATGGGTTCCTACATTATTGTTGGTCAGATTGCTATCCCACCTTTCCTTCTAGAGCTCAAGGTGACATACATGATCCACCTCCTCTCCATTTCATCTTCGTGGCCCTATGAGATAGCCTGGTCTGAGAATCAGTATCTGACCCAAAGTCACCCCTCTGGCTAACTCCATTGGCCAGGCACATATAATCTATAGCCTGCTAGTTTATCATTCTGTCAACATATCAACCAGCAGATTCTCGAGAGCAGGCACATTGTCTTTATTGCCAAATCGAATGCATGATTGCCTTTTCTCGACAAAGCCCTAACATGCTTTACCTGTCGCAGAGAGATCTTGACAGATTTCAGCGTGGTCTGAAAAACTGATCAATGAGTTTGGCTCAACATCTCCGGGATGCTTGCTTCTGGCCAGGTGGTCTCGAGCTTCTACAGAAATAGAATAGCTATTTTGATAGAGCAACATTGCACATGCTACAATCAAGGAGAAGGTTCCTCCAAGAAATTCTTCTGTGGACATCTTGCTGCAATTAATGGGAGCTACACATGACAGTGTGCTTCGTGAATTTCAGTGGCTTGTGTGCAGGGAAATAGCTTGGAGATGTGCTCACTGCTGACGAGCACCCTAACTGACATCCATGGTGTTTATTAAAATGTACAAGTTTTCCCCCCTGTATACTGCTTATGAGGGTCTTCCTAATTCAGTGCTGGATATATACTTTGTATGCAGAAAGTCCTTGGTTTAGTCCCCCTGCATTAAAAAAAAATTGAAAACCTGCTTGGGAAAGCTGTGTGTGGATAAGCTGAGCAAAGTAATCACATGTAAGCCCCCTCAGTAGTAATTCCAACTGAGATCCATATCAGAATGCATAAGATTGCAGCCTTAAATGGGTACTTCCTGTGCTCCTGTTTGGTGGGGATTGGCTCTGGATTTCAGATCCTTCCTCCACTTGTACTTCCTGCATGGATTTTCTTTTGACTAGCAGACTCTGCAGAAGCCATTATGTAACCAGAAGATGCTCAGCAGGAACTATTTTGTGGTGGTGCTCAGCCTGCAGCAGATTTTCAAATTACCAGACGTCCCTACTGGTCTACAATAGCTGGATATTCCTGAACAAGACTAATCAAGGTGGTTTACAAGAGTGCAGTCATACTCATCCCATTCCTCTTCCTACTGAGGTTTCAACAACCATTACTCATGCTTTTTAAAATGAAAAATGACATCCCAAGGAAGCTGAATTCTGTGCCAATGGGGCATTTTCTGTGTTTTTTTTCCTGCAGTTCCACCAAACTGGCACATGCACACAGATCTGGTCTGAACTTGCTTTTTCCCATACATCCTCTTTCTTTCCTATAGAGCTCAGCCTTATTTTAGTCAAGATTCTAACATTTACATTTCCTGCAGCTTCCTGACTACAAATGGATTTTCGGGGCACTAATTACTTTTACAATTCCCTTCCTGCTCCTCTCTTCAAATGCTTCCACACTAATAGCCTATTCCCAGTATTTCTGTTCTTCAAAAAGGGATTAGCAGTTTCCTGTGTGTGCAGCCCAGTAGCACAGTCCAGATGTTTTCCCCTCCCTCTCATAAAAATTTATGCTCTAAATCTTAGTCATAAAAAGTCAGGTTGATACTAAGACTGATCTCCAGGATTTCGGATTTCTGAGAATGCCAAATACTAGAAGACCCCAGAAGCACTGGCACATGAGAAACTCCCTGGGAAGACAGCCAGACAGAACACACAGAACAACTCATATTGCACCTACATTATGTCAGCTGCACTGGCTACCAGTGTGCTTCCCAGCTCCAACTGAGCACTGACTTTGACCTTTACAGCCTTAAACTGTCTGGGACGAAATGACTAGAAGGACCACCTTCACCCTTTACCCTGCCCACACTTTTAAATGAGCAGCAGAGGCCCTTCTCGTCTGCTTAGCTTAGGTGGGTGAATAGATGAGACAGTGCCTTCTCTAGAGTAGTCCCACCACTCTGGAATAGGTGGCTGTTAGTGGTCCACAGGGCTTTAAGGGAGGAACGAAGACTTGTCTACTCTGGCTTTCCCCTGGTTAAGTTTTATTGTTCCAGTCTGCAACTGCAACCAAGTTGTGCATTTTGTCTTACACCCAGTGTTGTGGTAGTGACAGTCTGAACATCTGCTTTTATTAAAAGAACGTCATTATAGTAAGCCACCTTGGGCTAAAAGGTGGTCCAGAAAGATTTTAAATAATAGCTAAAGATGGGAAGCATTCAGAGAATCTTTACCAGTACATATTTGAATTGTGTTGGCTGTTATGAGCCAGAACGATGACAATGAGACTTCTTCTCTGGATGATAAGAGTGTTGTTGTCAGTCACGAAGTCGTGTCCGACCCATCGTGACCCCATGGACAACATTCCTCCAGGCCTTCCTGTCCTCCACCTTCCCCTGGAGTCCACTCAAGCTCACACCAACTGCTTCAGTGACTCCATCCAGCCACCTCATCCTCTGCCGTCCCCTTCTTCTTTTGCCATCTATTGTTCCCAGCATTACATTATCTTTATTATGATGGGCCTTGCTTTGCTACATGACCATATGATAAAAAGGGGCACTTAATAATGATTCCAAAGGAAAAGACAATGTGTATATTTGTGGAGGAAAAATAATGCTCTTCCATATTTTAAGGGGAAGGTAAACCCAGGTAAAATTTGTATTTCATTTAAATTCCTACAGACTACACTACATAAGTGAGGCTGGCCTGGGAATGCGGAAAGGTCTTTCTCTGGCCTTCTGCTGTGATGCATCCTAAGTGCCCAGTTATGCTTTGTAGCAACATAACAAAAGCACGAGAAAATGCCACTGAGTCCAAACAAGATGACTGTTCTGAGCAGGTATGAGGGATGAGGTGGGGGAAGGAGACCAGTACCCTGTCATTTCAGAAGGAAGTTGTTCAATATCGTAGTGTTACCTAAATCATTCCCAACACTTCTGTTTTCATTGGATTGTGTAATATTGGCCAACAGTAGTTCCTTCTTTTCTTTCTTTGTAAACGGAGGGAGCAGTTTGGAAAAATGTTCAACATCAGGAAGCTTTAAGGGAAAAACAAATAGGACAGTCACTCTCTAACAAAAACACTGCCAACATGAAAAGAACAGAAGCAAGCATCCTGGAGATAGGTCAACCAGGGTTTGTTAGTATAGCCAGACTGCTTTCTCCCCTCTCAATAGGTTTAATATATGTACCTACAAACTCCTATATATGTTCAACATATTGAGGAAAAGCAAGCAAAGAAATGACTAGAAGGGCCTAACATAATTGAGACTTAGGTGCTTCAAGGAGGCAGCAGGACTGCAACCCTAAATATCAGTCATCATAATACTTATTCTTTCCTCAGACACACAAATAGTGTATTCCTATAATTCAAGGCCTTCCTGTTCCATTGCATCTCTTTCCCCAGTCCCATTTCTCTTAACTTAGGTATTCTCATTTGGGAAAAGAGAAGTCTCATCAGGGCTTACAGGGACATAGGAAATCACCAAAACAACCATAATGAAAAATATAGCTAAAACGAGCTTTAGAAATGATCTAATGGAATTTACATTCTTTAGAAATGATCTAATGGAATTTAAAGGCAGTAGAAAGTAAAAACTTCTAATAGCAACCTGAAATTGAATACCATAGTCCAAAGGACCAGGAGTGAAATATATATATATATATATATATATATATATATATATATATATGCGCAATTATGTGCATGTGGAAATAATCTTCTTTCTTTTCTAATATATGCATGAGAATTGGCATAACAGTGTATGTGGCAGTTCATGGTTACTATGTACTGGAAGCTTATTGTGGAAGTAGTAGTTCCAAACTCAAATTCCTGAACATTTAGTTGCTTTCTGGCAGCTAAAATCATCTACAGCAGTCCTGTACCTCTGTGCTCCCGCCTGCACATCCTTCAACGGAAGTGGCCAGTGCTAATAGCATTGCTTCCAGTACAGAGACACCCAATTCCTCATGTTTCAGCAAAAAAAAGCCAAGTAATTGGAGCAGGCTGCAGGTTGCTTTCCATGATCAAGATGAGATGCTTGTGCTAGCTCAAATTTGCCAAGCTCCCACCACTCAATTACCTCCTCTTCCAGAAATGCCATGCCAAATTCTGATCTGAAGTAGGGAGGGATGATTTTGTCCCTCATCCTCATAAGACACTTCTTTCCATCCTCACGTTCCTGCCTAAAAGGGTTTTAAATGGGATTGTGGAAGGGAGAAAAAATCATAATATGTCCATCATTTCATATTATTTTCTAATTATTTATCCAGGGCTTAGTCAGGCTTAGAGCAGACCAACTGAAATCAAAGAGACTTAAGTTATTCAAGGCTTACTTGTTTCACTGATTTCACTGGGTCTACGATAAGCATGACTCATTCAAAACCATCAAGTGCCCAAGGTCGGGGGGGGGGTTGAAAAAAAAACCCCAACAACTTGGCCTTTCCTTCTTGTGGAATGCTATGATGAGGTTTTGAGGTGGCTAGACGGAGGAGACACAGTGGATGTGCTTTACCTGGATTTCAGCCAGGCCTCTGACAAACTGCCTCATGATAACCTACATAGTTGAGGCATTTGGGATAGACGAATGCATTGTCTGATGGATCAGGAGGAATCATCGGGATGGTGGCCAGTGATGAACGGGGTCCCCCAGGGCTCTGTCCTAGGACTGATCCTGTTCAATCTTTTCATCAATGACCTGGAAAAGGGGGTGACCAGACTGCTGATCATATTCACAGACAATACTAAAATGGGGCAGTGGCTACAACTGAGGAGCAGGTACTCTGGATCCAAAGGGATCTGGACAGACTATGGAAGTGAGCAGGGGACAACAGGATGGAATTCAGTGCAGATAAGTGCAAGGTCTTCCACTTGGGGCATAGGAATGGGTGTCATAAGTACAGGTTTGGGGACAAGTGGCTGGAGAGCAGCACATGCGAAAGGGGTCTCAGGGTACTGGTTGACTGCAGACTGAACATGAGTCAGCAGTGTGACGTGGTGGTCAAAAGGACAAATGTTACCCTCAGATGCATAGCCAGTAGCCTGGCTTTTAGATCGAGAGAGTAATTACTGCCACTCTATACAACTCTGCTGTGCCTGCAACTGAAGTATTGTGTTCAACTCTGGGAATCACATTACAAGAGGGATACAGGAAGGTTGTAATCAGTGCAACGAAGGGCCACTAGGATGGTGACTGGTTTGCAGGGAAAGCCATATGGAGACAGAGGAAACTGGGTCCTTTCAGCTTAGAGGAGACTCCAAGGGGATCTGTTGGTGACGTATAGGTACCTAAGGGGGTGTCATGCAGAGGTGGGTCATGACCATTTTTCCCCTGCAGTGGAGGGCAGGACACGCTGCAATGGATACAACCTCAAGGAACCAAGATTTAGGGTGGATGCCAGGAAGTACGTCCTGACAGTCAGGACTCCTAGGGGATGGAATGGGCTTCCACAGGAGGTGGTTGAAGCCCCATCAGTGAGGGTGTTTAAGGATAGGCTGGACATGCACATTGTAGGCATGTCATGAGTGGAGGCGGCTGGAACTGGGGGTCAAACTAGATTGCCCAGGAGATCCCTTCTGACTCACTCTGTTTCTATGTTTTTATAGATTTTATTAGAAATTTTTCAATGTTACCAACATAGACTCCAATTGAGCAAAACTCTCGTACAGCCTTGCTAATGAATGTGTGGCTTTTGCTTTCCATGTTGAATACCAATGACCATTTGCCATATTAGAAGTTGTTTCTGCAATCCCGGTAAGTAAAAGAAGCTATTTTTTTTAAAGAATCCAGGGAAAGCCCTCAATCCACCATCCTGTGCACTTCTCTCTTTCAAGGCACTGGGATGCCCAGAATGTACTATTTTGCACTGAAGCAAGCATCCTGTTTTCATTTTTTTCTCCTGCCAAACATTATGCACAACTAGAGAAAAAAATAATTGAAGATTGATCAGAGTGGCAAACTAATGCTTAGCTGTAGAGCCTTCCCGACATCAGGCCCCAAGCAGCCCCTATGTGAGATGCACGGAGAGCACAAAGCAGAACTATAAAGAACAAGGTCTGTCAAAAAAGGAGGGGGGCACTCTGGTTCAAGAACATTTCCAAGCTCAGATATTAAAACATGTATACAAATGAAATAACAGGATATTTATCCTGCTCAACTTGATCAAGAGACACCTTCCACCTTCTGGGGAGGCAACTGAATCAGCCAAGACAGAACAGATGCCATAGCTAAGGAAAGTGATTCATGCTTCTTTGAGGGAGGGGAGGGTTCATTCTTCCTTAAAAGAGGCAGTAAAAAAGTTTTAATTAAAGAAATATTTACTGATCCAGAAGATTGGTCAAACTATAGACTGGTTTCAAATATATCATTCTTGGCTGAGGCTGAACCCTGATAGCAGAGGTGCTGGTCCAAAGAAACCCCAGTCAGGGGTTTGGATTTAACCTGTTTTGGAAAAGCCTGTCTTCCCCTTCTCCTTCCACCCCTCACGGCTTTTAGTTGCCGGATCCCGAATCATACCCTGAAACTCGTGGTGGTGGTGGTGTTACCTGGCCTGGGCCAACTTGGTCTCCCAAAGAGACAGCTGCACCGCCCCTTCCTGGCTGCATGAGGGGGAAAGGAAAAAGCTTGTAAAATGTTACCATTTATCTTTGAGCTGAGACATGAAATATTTTAACATTCCACTGTTCAAGTTCTGCATTGCAGTACAATACGCTGTTGTGAATATAAAGAATGAAAACTATATATGAAATATTAAAATGTTACATTCTTGCCTGATAATTCTTGTAGCAGGCAAGTGACCAAAAGAACACTTGTGCATAATGGTCAGTAGCGACACTTTTTAGTTTAATAGCATTTCTTTCCTCAGCTTCTTGTATGTTTTTCAAAAATTCAACCTAAGCCAAGTGTGCTGTTTACAGCCACACTGGGCAAGATGCTGGATTGCCAGTACCTTTCCTGCCAGAGGGGAAGTGGTAATCTGAATAGTGATCACAGCATTGGGGAGGGAAGCTTAACCCTTTTGCCCACCATGGCCTGCTGATCAAACTGTCCTCCCCAGTAGCTACTAGCCCTGCTAGAGAAAACCGGCATACACCGGGAATTTTTTAATTAATGATTAAGCCTTCTTCTCTGAGTGACACAGTTCTGGTTCAGTCTTTCCTGCAGCTACAGTTGGCCAAAACAGAAAGAAACGGAAAAGCAAATCATAGTTGCCATCATTTTTCAAGTTTGTTTCTCAAATAGACAAAGACTTCCTATGATCCTATATTCAGAGTTGCTGATGCTTTTTCTATTCATGTCTATGGTCATCACCTCCTTAGTTCTCTGCACTTAGTTCTCTGGCACTATCCAAGTCAAATTCAAGTTACTAGCCTTTATATTTAAAGGACTAAATACACAGTCTTGGCACAAACATATCTTATAACATTAGGGAGTTTTATGGCTAATGGGGAGGGAAAAAAGTCTAATCAATAAATAATAAACTATATTTTGCTCTATTGCTGTAAAGAAGGGGTGAGGTGGGGATGGATGTGAAGCAGCAGATGAGAGGCAGGCAGGAAAAGCAAGCAGAGTCCTTCCAGCATCTGCTTATTTTGCCCCTGGAACTTCTTCCCACCCAGTATGTTTTATCCTAGTTGGCCTTGAAGAGTGGCTGGGGCACTGGGCATGGGAAGAAGGCGGTCCCTCTCTCATCATCAGTTCTCTGATGTACAGCACTCTCCCCAGCTTTGCTGCTATATGGCAAACTCTGTTCTAAAACATGCCAAGTTAGCACCTATGAGCATACAGCTTATCTCCTAATTCCAAATACTCCCCACCTAATCCATATTAATGAATTTGTCTCCCTCCTCAGCCTCACTACTCATATGTTTCCCTGTGCCTACCGTCAAGCTGCTTTGTGTGCCTGAGCCAATCTCCGCCATCCTTCCTCAAAATGTGTATTCAGCTAAACACTCTTTACCAGTTTATTATCCTTTCCTTTCACCTTTCTCCTAACTAGCTCCCTTTCTGTGAAAGCTATGAATGATTACCTCTGATTACAGAGATTACTTCTGTGGACTTTCCTACATGAGGCACTGAACCTGTTACTTTACACAGGTTTCTTCTTCCATTTTCCTTGCAAAAAAGCCTGTTCTTTACACGGTTGCTCCCATTCCCCAGTCAGGTTTCTTTCCTCGGCTTCCTATACAATGACCACAAGCTGGCACTGTAGCATGGCACAATTTCAGAAATCATTTTAACGTTGCAGCTAAATAATAGCTCATCACTGATATCCTCATTCAAAAACTGCATAGGGATACTTGAAAAGCACGATGACATTGTGTAAAGTCATTGCATCCCACTGTAACTGAGGAATCACAAGCGTGCAATGAACGCCTCATGTAGAAAAGCTCTTGTGTGAAGCCTCCATTTCAGGTCATAAACTCTAAAAGGGGTTTAGATCCCCCGATATTAGCACAAACAGTTGCATGTGCCTCAGCAAATGACATGCTACTGAATGCTGTACATGCAATTCTAAGTTAGCCCCTCTCCAGAACATATGCGCACTGCACAGCATGAAGCGCACTCCAGTGCTAAGGAGACTGCAGGGCGCCCTCCCATGTACGCCAGCCCAAGTAAGCAATGCTCTAATGCACTGCTGTGCATCATCATCTGCTGTGCATCATCAGCCCACAAGCCAGGAAAGGCTAAACTAAGTGCTATGAAAAGGTCCAAAGAAATCTACCTTTCTCGAAGCAGCCTTTCTTATTGCCAAAAACACTCGGATGCTGTGATTGCACCATGGTTCCAAATAGCACACGATAAAAAAAGAGAAGAGGACTCCAGAAACATACAGAAATTGCAAACCTCCATACAGAAACAATGACCTCTTCCCTTCAATTTTGTCTGATTAGTCGCTGTTGCTAGGGGCTGCTACTGGCTCAAGGGGGTGGAAAGTCTCTCCAAATAAGAGGTGTCAGGGCAGTATTTGTTATGTTAGTCACAAAGTCGTGCCGGACCCATCGCCACCCCATGGACAACATTCCTCCAGGCTCTCCTGTCCTCCACCATCCCCTGGAGTCCACTTAAGCTCACACCAACTGCTTCAGTGACTCCATCCAGCCACCTCATTCTCTGCCGTCCCCTTCTTCTTTTGCCATCTATCATTCCCAGTATGAGAGTCTTCTCCAGGGAGTCCTTCCTTCTCATTAGGTGGCCAAAGTATTTGAGTTTCATCTTCAGGATCTGGCCTTCTGAAGAGCAGTCAGGGTTGATCTCCTCTAGGACTGACTGGTTTGATCGGTCCAAGGGACTCGCAGGAGTCTCCTCCAGTACCACAATTCAAGGACCTCAATTCTTCGGTGCTCAGCGTTCCTTATGGTCCAGCTTTCACAGCCATACATTGCAATTGGGAAAACCATAGCCTTGACTATATGCACTTTTGTCAGCAGGGTGATGTCTCTGCTTTTTAGTATGCTGTCTAGATTTGCCATAGCTTTCCTCCCCAGAAGCAAGTGTCTTTTAATTTCTTGGCTGCAGTCCCCATCTGCGGTGATCTTGGAGCTCAAGAAAATAAAATCTGTCACTACCTCCATTTCTTCCCCATCTATTTGGCAGGAGGTGATAGGACCAGATGCCATGATCTTAGTTTTCCTAATGCTGAGTTTCAAGCCAACTTTTGCGCTCTCCTCCTTCACCCGCATCAAGAGGCTCTTTAGTTCCTCTTCACTTTCTGCCGTGAGAGTGGTATCGTCTGCATATCTGAGGTCACTGATATTTCTCCTGGCAATCTTAATTCCAACTGGTGATTCATCTAGCCCCGCCTTTCTCATGATGTGCTCTGCATATAAGTTAAATAGGCAGGGCGACAGTATACAGCCTTGCTGAACTCCTTTCTCAATTGTGAACCAATCAGTGGTTCCATGTCCAGTTCTCACTGTTGCTTCTTGACCCATATATAGGTTTCTCAAGAGACAAATAAGATGGTCTGGTACTCCCATCCCTTTAAGAACTTGCCACAATTTGTTGTGATCCACACAATCAAAGGCTTTAGCATAGTCAATGAAGCAGAAGTAGATGTATTTCTGGAACTCCCTAGCTTTCTCCATGATCCAGTGTATGTTGGCAATTTGATCTCTAGTTCCTCTGCCTCTTCAAAATCCTGCCTGTACTTCTGGTAGTTCTTGGTCCACATACTGCTGGAGCCTAGCTTGTAGGATTTTGAGCATAACTTTGCTAGCATGTGAAATGAGTGCAATGGTGAGGTAGTTTGAACATTCTTTGGCACTGCCCTTCTTTGGGATCAGAATGTAAACTGACCTTTTCCAATCCTGTGGCCACTGCTGAGTTTTCCAAATGTGCTGGCATATTGAGTGTAGTACTTCAATTGCATTGTCTTTTAGGATTTTGAATAGCTCAGCTGGAATACTGTCTCCTCCACTAGCTTTGTTGTTGCTCAGACTTCCTAAGGCCCATTTGACTTCACATTCCAGGATGTCTGGCTCAAGGACAGTGACCACCCCATCGTGGTTATCAGGGATGTTAAGATCTTCCTTGTATAGTTCGTCTGAGTGATCTTGCCACCTCTACTTAATCTCTCCTGCCTCTGTTAGGTCCCTGCCATTTTTGTCCGTTATTATGCCCACCTTTACACGAAACGTTCCCGTCATATCTCCAATTTTCTTGAAGAGATCTCTGGTCCTCCCTACTCTATTGTTTTCTTCTATTTCTATACACTGTTCATTTAAGAAGGCATTCTTATCTCTCCTAGCTATTCTTTGGAATTCTGCATTCAGTTGGGTGTATCTTTCCCTTTCTCCTTTGCCTTTCACTTCCCTTCTTTCCTCAGCTATTTGTAAAGCTTCCTCAGACAGCCATTTTGCTTTCTTGCATTTCTTTTTCTTTGGGGTGGTTTTAGTTGCTACCACTTGTACAATGTTGCAAACCTCCGTCCACAGTTCTTCAGGCACTCTATCAGATCTACTTATTTGTCACCTCTACTGTATACTCATAAGGAATATGATTTAGGTCATACCTGAGTGGCCTAGTGTTTTTCCCTACTTTCTTCAGTTCAAGCCTAAATTTTGCAACAAGAAGCTCATGACCTGAGCCACAGTCAGCTCCTGGTCTTGTTTTTACTAACTGTATAGAGCTTCTTCATTTTTGGCTGCAGAGCACAGTCAATCTGATTTCTGTGTTGATCATCTGGTGATGTCCATGTGTAGAGTCGTCTCTTGGGTTGTTGGAAAAGAGGGTTTGCTATAACCAGCATGTTCTCTGGACAAAATTCTACCAGTCTTGCCCTGCTTCATTTTGTACTCCAAGGCCAAACTTGCCAGTTATCTTTTGGCTTCCTACTTTAGCATTCCAATCTCCCATGATGATAAGGACATCATTTTTTGGTGTTAATTCTAGAAGGTGTTGTTGGCCTTCATAGAACCGGTCAACTTCAGCCTCTACAGCATCAGTGGTTGGGGCACAGACTTGGACTACTGTGAGAGCCAGTGTGGTGTGGTGGTTTAGAGCATGGGACTGGGACTCAGACGATCTGGGTTCTAGTCCCCACTCAGCCATGGAGCCAACTGGGTGGGGCCAGTCACAGACTCTCAGCCCAACCTACCCCACAGGGTAGTTGTTGTGGGGATAAGATGGAGGAGGAGATGTAAGCTGCCTTGAGTTCTTTGTAGTAAAAAGGCAGGATATAAATTGAAAAATAAATAAATGAATAAATAAATAATATTGAATGGTTTGCCTTGGATTCGAACTGAGATCATTCTGTCATTTTGGAGATCGTATCACAGTACTGCTTTTCCCTCTCTGTTTTTGACTATGAAGGCTACTCCATTTCTTCTGTGGGATTCTTGCCCAAAGTAGTATACTTGTTGGTCATCTGAATTAAATTCACCCATTCCTGTCCATTTTAGTCCACTTATTTCCAAGATGTCTTTGTTGAGTCTTGTCATCTCCAGCTTACCTTGATCCATAGATCTTACATTCCAGGTTCCTATGCAGTATTGTTCTTTACAGCACTGGACTTTTCTTTCACCACCAGATACCCTGACAACTGAGTTTCCTTTTGGCTTTGACCCAGGTGCTTCTTTCTTGCTGGCACTACTAATACTAGCCCTCTGGCTCTTCCCCAGTAGCACACTGGACACCTTGCGACCTGAGGGCTCATCTTCCAGTGTCATATCTCTTTGCCTTTTAGAATTGTCCATGGGATTTTCATGGCAAGGATACTGGAGTGGGTTGCCATTTCCTTCTCCAGTGGATCAGTTTTTGTCAGAGCTCTTTGCTATGACCTGTCCATCCTGGGTGCCCCTGCACGGCATAGCTCATAGCTTCATTGCACTACGCAAGCCCCTTCGCCACAACGAGGCAGTGATCCATGAAATGGGTCAGGGCAGTGGAAGTACTCTATTATTTTATTGAAGTGCTCTATTATTTATTGTTTTATCTTTTTATATGATTAATAACTGTTTTATTGCAATTTATGTATTTTCATGTTCTAGTATTATAAGCAGTCTAGAGAACCTTTGGGTTATAAGGCGGCATAGAAATTGAATTAAATAAATGAATAAATAAACTTGGTATTCACATCTTCATCTGGATATCACAAGACTCAAATGACACTTCAAAGGATCTGCTATATGTCTAGCCAGCAAGAAAGACTTCCAGATGCTTCACTGGCTAGATGGAATACTGTATCTTTGTCAAGTATTTCAGTATTAGTTTAACTGCCTAACAGGGATAATTTCTGTTCTTCAAACAGGGTGTCACATGGAGGTCGGTAGAGCCCTGTGGAGGAGGGGAGGATGCATTCCAATGGAGCAAAGCTCATGGAACCAAGATACCAGGAAATACTTCCTAACAGTTAGAACCCCTGGGGTATGGAATGGGCTTCCACGGAAGGTGGGTGAAGCCCCATCCGTGAGGGAGTTCAAGGATAAACTGGACAAACACATCGTACACATGTCATGAGGGGGGTCGGCTAGAGCCGGGGGTCAGACTAGATGGCCCAGGAGACCCTTTCTGACTTGTTTTGTTTCTATGCTTCTGTTTCAAACACGCATCCCTAACAGTGGTAACACATCACTTTTGCAATCCCTGGTCAAATCTTATAACACAGTATTTTCTTACTGGAAACTCTGCCAAAAGTCTTTAGTTTCTTTTGTGAGTGCCTCTCCTGATGGAGTCTGGAACAGTGAAGTCATGGCCTGTTCATACATTTCCACAATCTGAGCTGCAAAATCATGAGAAATATTTCAAATTACTCAATTATTCAAATCTCAATTGATTACTAATCACATTTTCAACATGTAAGGCTGTAGATGTGCTAAATTGTGCTTGGAATGGAGATTACGAGTAATTAAGTAAAGCTCAGTCCAGACACTGTAGGTCTTATGATTGTACAGTTGGTGTTTATCCTATTCTGCTTGCAGTTGCACATCCACTGAAGAAGCAGGTATGTAATGTCAGGTTCTCATGAAGGCAACTCTGCACCTGAGGCTCAGGTGGCCTCAGTGGCATGGAATACCTTCTGTACAGGGATAACCTAGTGCATCAGTCCTCTAGAAATCTGGTTTGGTTACTATAATGCACTGAATATGAAGGTATCCTTGAATACTGTTAAGAAGCTTCAACAAAATGTAGCAGCCAAATTAAGAATGAAGTCCAGAAGGGCCACTGAATTGTACAGAAATGAAATAAAAATAAATGAACACACCAGCCTTAGATCTTCAGTGGATTAAGGTGTGATATATAAAAACATAAAATAAATAGCAATAGTTGCAAGTAATCAATATAGTGAAGTTACTTATATTAAAATATTAAAGCTCATTTAAGCATTATGGATTTTAAATCTGTTTTCAATTCAATTTCATGTCCTATGTAAGTAGGACATATTTACTTACTCAAGATGCAGAAGTTATTAGCCTGAGAAATAAAATCCCAGCTACACCATCAAGGAATTCTAGAGTACTTTGGCTGTGACCCTTTGCTAACAATTTTGGGCCACTCATAAATCATTGTTTTTACTTTATGTAACTATTCCATGATATTGTTTAACCTATTAAATAGGCAATGTTGACTCTATTATACCACTTTCAAATCTTAAAACCTTCAGACTATGTCTAAATTTAATCTTTTAATCCAGTTACAGATTTCAAATTTGATTGCCTGCCAAATTACTAATTACATTTTAATCATTGTTGATTACACCAAGTTTCCTTGCATATGTATTCTTAGAAAGTATCCTTTTAAAGAAAAGGGCTAGCAAAATAACAAGGCAGATGGAGGCAAAATATGATACAAAAGGATCACTAAAGAAAACAGGCGAGGTCTTACCTTTAGTGCAAATATCTGAAGATTCTTCCAGGCTAGGAAAAGACTGCAATGGACACAAACAGTTTTCTGAGACATTTCAGTCATCTAAAATGGCTTGCAAACAGCTAGCACTGTAGGGTTTATACATCAAAGGATCTTCACAGAAGATCCAAAACACTACAGAGATATTAGCATATGCAATGCAAACATAAATGAGTAAAACAGAAAACCTTCTATATTTGTCAACTGTGAAATCGTCTCTCCTTGCTTCCCATACTACGGAACGGTTATCAAAAAACATTAAGCTGGAGGATGTGTGTGGAGAGGATTTCATTTGTATACACTGCTGCAAATTGGTTTTGAAATCCACCTCTCTCATTTCCAGAAGCAGTACCTGGATGTTGCATGTACCCTCCAGCTAACTGCACTTGGTGCCACCTTGGACTATAGCTATCAATCTTTGAAGCTCCCTATTCCTAGACAAAAAAGAGAACCAAATAGTTATGGTTAGCCGACATTTATTTTAAGGTTGTGGAGATGGAGGGGACCCTTCACCAGGTGTCTCTGAGGGATGTGCAGCAATTTTCTTTCTTGTAGCAGAACATGAATCCAGCAGTTTGTGTTTGGATTGGGGTGGGGGATGAGGAAGGTAGAAGGGCCAACATCTATTCCATCTTTAATGCATTTAGCTGGCAAGAAGATTCAAGTGGACAACGGATGTTTTGTCTTGAAGCTTGGGAGTCAGAGGGGCTTTTTTGCTATGACCAAGACCAAGAATATCTCCCCTATAAAGGTGGAATGGGTGGCTAAGTGACATAATTACAGACAATTAAGACGTTGTTTGAGGAACAACTAGAAAAACATCTGATGGAGTATATCTCTCAAGAAAAATTATGAACTGCTGATTACATATTTAGTAAACTGAGAGATCCTGTAAATGTTTATTTCGTATTATTAAGGGGAAATTTAACTACTCTGTAATTTTCATTTGTACCTGAACTTAATGAATTGATAGACAATTTATTCAAAGTCATTAGCCATTGGATGAAATACTATTAGTAGTTTACAATAACTGGAATGTTAGTAACCTCATGAACTGAAAATGAAAATCAGCAAGTGATGACATTTGCGATTGGTAGGTGACATGCTCTCCTTTGGAATTCCTTATAACCTTAATTTTGGACTGTGTAGCTCTCCAACCTGGCCCACTGAGCTTCCTGGGGTGAGCATCAGACACAGAAGGAATGCCCTGCCTCTATCTCCAATATGAGATCAGAGAGAACAGCAGGGATTTTCTTCTGGCACATGCCAACAGCAAACCCCCTCTGGCTGAAGATAGCAACAGGGATGCAGGGGCAGTAGGCTTCTCCTCCTAGTGTGGGCCAGATCCAGCACCCCATGTCCCAGATATATTCTCAGATTCACTGTGCACCAGCAGCAGAAGCTCTGATCTCAGATCAGAGGTAAGGGTGGGGGATGTGGGACAGCAAGACTTAGCCCATGCTGGGGCTTCAGAACTTAGAGGAAATAACTTGACAGAATCACAGAATAGCAGAGCTGGAGCAGGCAAATAAAGGCATCAAATCCAACAACTTCCTGCTAAGTGCAAGATTCCAAGTTAAAGCATCCCTGACAGACAGCAGGGCCTCCAGTGTCTTGCAGGGCCTCCAGTGTAGGACAGCTCATGATCTTCCTAGGTTCAGAACCAAGAAGCAAGATTAGATCAGGCGCTAAAGGAAAGAATTCTAAAAATTGGAATTAAACTGGAAGACTGAGAAAAACTAACTTGAATTTTATTTAGGTATTTGGTATTTGGATGCAAAGCTTTCTGATATTTTTGAGAAAGTATCTAGAGCTAAAACAGAACTAAGAAAGCAGGAAAAAGAAATGAATTGCGTGAAAATAGCACAGGATAAATCTCATATAAAAAGGCATGCAAGGAAATCCTTGAAGAAAGAAAGGCACCTGCTAGGTATAAAATGAAAGTAGAAATATTAAAATATAAAATTTAAGAAGCTCAAAATGAATGTAGAACCCAAAACCTTATATTTTGAGATGCCCCTTAATCACTGGAGAAAATTGTCCTACCAGGACTTATGGAGAGGTTCTTAAAGATTTCTTGGTTTGGATCAAATGGCGGTAGTGGGCATAGAAACTGTGATTCAGACTGTACCACAGCCAAAAGCTAAATAAACTGAGGAACAGATTAGTAACTTTCCTCACTTTAAGGATGGGGAATGCAACTGTATCTATGGAGATGAGAGAACAGATGCAAAATTGTAAAGATAATCCTGATTTTTGTGAAGGAGAGTATAGATGCCTAAACGTAAACCACTTATAATGAAACAAGGAACAATAAAATGTGCATGGTCCTCACCAAAACTAACTTGAGTAGGTCTGCAGTGTTCTCCTTCTCCTCTTCCATCCTTGGATCTTTAATTGTCATCTCTTGCATCTCATCTTCTTGCTTCATGATTTTGTCAATGTATTCCTTACATGGCAGTGGAAAAGAAACAGGTGAAATAAACTTTGAAAAGGGCATATTTATTTATTTATTTAAAACATTTCTATGCCGCCCCATTGCAATAAAGCCTCGGGGCGGCTCACAAAACATCAATAAATAACAATACAATAAAACCCCAATACAATAAAACCCCAGTGCATTCTCAGCTAAAAATTAAAATAAAAAAACCTAGTTAAATAAATAAATTAACAATTAAAATAAGTTTTAAATAAAAAGGTCTTAGCCTGGCGCCGAAAAACAAATAACGATGGCGCCAGGCGGACCTCTCTGGGGAGCGCATTCCATAAATGGGGCGCCACCGCAGAGAAAGCCCTCCTCCGGGTACTCACCCTCCTGATGTCATTCACAGATGGTTCCCTGAGAAGGGCATCTGCTGCTGACCTCAAGGGGCGGGAGGGCATATATGGGAGCAAGCGTTCCTTTAGGTAGCCAGGTCCCAAGCCGCTGAGGGCTTTATAGGTCATAACCAAAACCTTGAATCAGGCCCGGACTTCAATCGGGAGCCAGTGGAGCTGATGGAGAACTGGGGTTATATGAGAACAACGCCCAGCCCCCGTCAGCAACCTGGCAGCTCTATTCTGCACCAACTGAAGTATCCAGACTGTCTTCAAGGGTAGCCCGACGTAGAGCGCATTACAGAAATCTAATCAGGAAGTTACCAGCGCGTGTGTCACTGTCGGCAGGCAGTCATTCTCTAGGAAGGGACGCAGCTGATGGATCAGCCGAAGCTGAAGGAAGGCACTCCTCGCCACCGCCATCACCTGGGCTTCCAGAGACAGCTCAGGGTTGAGGAGCACTCCTAAGCTGCGAACCCTGTCCCTCAGAGGGAGTGCAACCCCATTTAGGACAAGGCCCAAGTCCCCCATCCCAAGGTCCGAACCTCCCACCTACAGGACCTCCGTCTTGTCTGGATTGAGCTTCAGTTTATTGGCCTTCATCCAGCCCATTACCTCGACCAGGCACCAGTTCAGCACAGCCACTGCCTCACCTGGATTGGTAGAAAACGAGAGGTAGAGCTGGGTATCATCAGCGTACTGATGATTCCACAGCCCACACCTCCTGATGACCTCTCCCAGCGGTTTCATGTAGATGTTAAAAAGCAAAGGGGACAGAATGGACCCCTGCAGAACTCCATGGCATAACTGCCATGGCGCAGAGCCATAGTCCCCCAGCACCACCTTCTGAAATCGGCCATTGAGATAGGAGCGGAACCACCGCCACACGGTGCCTCCAACTCCCAATCCCACTAGCCTATTCAGAAGGATACCATGGTTGATGGTATCAAAAGCTGCTGAGAGGTCCAGGAGAACTAATAAGGACGCACTCCCCCTGTCTCTCTCCCTGCACAGGTCATCGTACAGGGCGACCAAGGCAGATTCAGTGCCATACCCAGGTCTGAAGCCGGACTGAAATGGGTCCAGATAATCAGTTTCATCCAAGAGTGCTTGGAGTGGTCCCACCACCACCTGCTCTAGTACCTTGCCCAGGAACCGGATGTTGGCCACCGGTCTATAATTGGCGGCCACCTCTGGATCCAGGGATGCCTTCTTTAGGACTGGCCGGACTACCGCCTCCTTTAAAGGGGCAGGTACCCAGCCGTCTCTTAAAGAGGCGTTGACCACCTCCAGGATCCAGGTCCCAATCCCATCCTTGGCTTTCTTAAGTAGCCAAGATGGGCATGGGTCTAGTAAGCAAATGGTAGGACATACTTGTCCAAGCACCTTGTCCACATCATCAGGCCGCAACAACTGAAATTCATCCATTAATTGTGGACTCGATGGCGTCGATGGCAACTCCCCAGTGAAATCTGATTCAATAGCAGAGTCAAGCTTGTGGCGAATCTGAGTGATTTTCTCCCTAAAATGCTTGGCAAAGTTGTCACAGCGGGCCTTCGAGGGGGGCACCAGATCTCTTTTTGGGCCTGGAGGTAACAGCCCCTGCACCACCCAAAAGAGCTCCGCTGCACGGCATTGTGAGGAGGCAATGGAAATGGAGAAGAATTTCTTCCTCGCCATCCTCACCGCCACAGCATAGGCCCGATAATGGGCTCTCAAGTGTGTTCGATCAGAATCACCCTGTAATCTCCTCCACCTACACTCTAGACATCTCCCAACCTGCTTCATCGCCCGTAATTCAGGCGTATACCAAGGAGATGAATGGGCTCTGCCAGGTGGGAGAGGACGCTTGGGAGCGATCGTGTCAATAGCCCTGGTCATCTCCTCATTCCACAGTTCAACCAGGGCATCAACAGGATCACCAGCCTTGCCAACTGGAAAATCCCCCAGAGCTTCCAGGAATCCATCAGGATCCATCCGGCTCCGGGGGCAGACCAATACAATCGGGTCCGCACCCTTGCAGAGGGAAAGGCCACTCTCGAGCTCAAACCTTATGAGGAAGTGATCTGACCATGACAAGGGCGTCAAACTTAAATTCCTCACCCTCAGATCACCCTCTTCCTGCCCCATCGAGAAAACCAGGTCCAGAGTGTGTCCACGTTCATGGGTCGGGCCTATGACGTGTTGAGACAGCCCCATGGCCGTCATGGAGGCCATGAAGTCCTGAGCCGCCCCGGTTAGAACCGTCTTGGCATGGAAATTGAAGTCCCCCAGAACCAACATCCTGGGAGTCTTCAGCACCAGGTCCGAGACAATTAAGGATGTTTGAGGGATCTGATGAGGGGGAGAATCTGATGAGTTTTCTCAATTTGGTCTTCCAATCCAGATTCTAATTCTTTGCTGGTATCAACTCACTACGGTGTTAATTGAGCCAGTTTATGGGCTTCCATCTCTAAGAGATAACTTCAGAAATTCTATGGATGACATCTGTCCATTTTCCTCTCCCTGGCTGTGCAGTACTAGTTGCTCCATTCATATCTTCAGCTGAACACATATAGGTTGGGGGCAGGAAGAATTGGGTACAATCCTGCTCCTCTATTTCTTTCAGTAATTTCAAATTATTACACCTAGCTCCTATAGTACAAGTTTTCAAATGGGCCTAAAACTTAACTGTTCCAGACCACCTTTTCTTGAGAGTATTCTGTGCTGCTGGGTTTTATGCTATTCTGAGCTATTTTTGGAATTGCTGTTATTATTTTTACTATGCCACATAGACTGAGCACAACACCACCTAAAATACAGACAGCAATAAACCACCATAAAAAGCTACCATACCAAATTTAAAATACAATTTAAATCAATGTAAAAGCTACAATAACTTATACAAATTAATTCATAAGTCTTGCTCAAGCAGCAAGCTAGCAAAGCTCCCAGTATAACAGCAACTCAATTAAATGCCCTATGGTGGAAGACAGTCTTAACCTAGCAGTATAACCTGCAGTATAACAGCAACTCAATTAAATGCCCTATGGTGAAAGACAGTCTTAACCTGGCACCAAAGAGATTGAAATTGAAGTCAGGTTGCAACCTCAGTGAGGAGCTTGTTCCATAACTGGGACGCAGCCATGGAAAAGGCCCTTCACCTCATTGCCACCATTCAAACCTCCCTCAGAGTGGCCACTGGATGCCCAGATCTTAATCACAATGTGAACAATGGGTTCAGTTGCTCTTGGGGGAGGCATCCTGCCAGATACTGTGCTCCCAAGCCCTGTAGGGTTCAATAGGTTAAAACCAGAACCCTGAATTGGAAGCATATAGGCAGCCAATGCAAGTGGACCAGAATTGGTGCTTTATGTTCAGACCAACAGGTTCCCGCTATTATTAATTTGGCTGCCACATTTTGTACAAGCTGCAGCTTCTGAATAGTCTTGAAGGGCAGCCTCATGTACGATGCATTGCAGTAATCTAGTTTAGATATTACCAGCATATAGACTGCTGAAACCAGGGCATATCTGTCCAGAAGGGGCACAGTTGGCCTACTAGCCAAAGCCGAGAGAAAACACTCTGTGCCACTGAAGGCACTTGAGTCTTAAGTAGCAAAGATGGCTCAAGGAGCACCTCCAAGCTATGAGCTTATCCAGCTGGTACTACCCTCCCTACTCGCTTTTATTAGCCAAGATGGGCAAGGATCCAGTGTGCACATGGTCGAAACTGTCTAAGCAGCTTGCCAACAAGATGCAAAGTAATTCTTTTTAACTTCACAAAAGGTACGAGCTGTCTCACAATAACATATCCTAATTTGATTTGTCTCGGGTGCAAAAACCTATCAGCAAAACAGGGAACAATTTCCTGCATTTTCCTGCTCCCTGCACTCTCCTCCAACTTGCACCATTCCCAAATCTATCTTAGTGGGTTCACCAAAACCAGGGGTTACTGGTGCAGGAGGCATTCTAGCTCGCACACCAACAATGTCTCTGACTACACCTTTTTATATTCATCTCCATTATTGCCTATGGGAAAAATTAAATAGGTATCATTAGGTGAAGCCCTGTGCTGACATCAGAGGCTCCAGCAGCAATTAAGAGATGTGCAGGCACAGTGAAAACCACATCACCCTGAACACTGTAAAGTTTCAGTGTTTCCATCAAATGGCATTCCTGTGATGCCTGCAGGTATGCATGGAATTACCCAAAATCACAGACTGATTGCAAGAACAAAAGTGAATGGCCAAGAAAATTGGCATAAGAAGTTTATGTGAATAAACTAAGTAATTCTAGGATGCACTGTGTAATCCAAGAAATTCTAAGAAAATGAGTGTAACTTTAAAATCAGTTTTCATTCAATTGCATTTATTATTTTTCATTTATAGCTAAGGAACACACAAGTCAGCTGTGGATCTACTTTGCCAGGTTTTCGCAGAGTCTGCCTTACCTTGACAGAAAGCTGCAATTTGTGTCTCAGTTCATCACTGACTGGTTCATATTGGATCAATCGGCGAACTTGCAGCACATTTGGGCATTTTTCTATAGGTGGAGAGGATCCTGCTAGCTTCTTGAATTCTATGTTCAGACCTTTCCAAGCATGCATCCCGAATGGAGGGCCTGGAATTCTCCTCTGAATCCAAACAACAAAGAGAAGTCTAAGATCTTACTTATCCTTCTCAATGGGACTTTCTTTCAAACACATGTTCACAATACGCTCATACTCAAAACTGCTTTCATCCAGACATAGGGCAGTTTACCATCTATATAGTGATACCAAGGTTTGGGATAAGACTGAAATATTTGATCCCAGGAATATGTTGTGATTTATCATCAGCACATTAAATAGGGTTTTTATATGATTATTCATTTATTACATTTCTATACTGTCTGCAGCTGAAGCTCTTGCTGCAGTTTACAACAAGGTGTAAAAACAATAAAATACAATATATAAAAACAATTCACAAGAATTAAAAAATAATTTAAAATAGCATAAAAACATCAAAACATAAAAAACAATTTAAAAGACCCAGCCAAGAGTAAAAGGCACCTGGATGATTGTGTCAGGCCCCTGAAAGACCAGAGGGGCCTTTAAAAGCCTCTGCAAAGAGGGTTGTCTTGACCTGGCAATGAAAAGATGGCAAAATTGGTGCCAGGTGGGCCAGAACAGGGAGTTTACTCCAGAGATGGGGGACTATCTGAGGGAAAATTGAAAAAGGTTCTTAAAAGAAAAGTTAGGAGACATGCTTTGATTTTTCCAAATGGATACATAGAAGCTGAACTTTACATGCCTAAATATGTAATAAACATTAGAATGAAGGTGTCTTCCAGGTTATAACTGTGCTACTTAATCTATCTTCGTTCTCCTCACTCTCTTCCCTATTATGCAGATTCATTCGTTTATTAGATGTACATATATCTTGAATTTTTTCTTACAAACTCAAAGTCGTTTACATCATTTGCCTCCTCCTGCTCTCAGTCTTATCCCCACAACAACAATCCTGTGAGGGAGGTTGGGCTGAGAGTCTATGATTGGCCTGAAGTCACCCAGTTGGTTCTATAGCTGAGTGGGGACTAGAACCCTGGTCTCTTACCCATTACCCCCAACTGGCTCTCATTCATTCATAACAAAAGACTTTCTGGTGCACTAGAAAATGGATGGGGACAAAACTATGTGCATTCCTTGGGAAAATGGTTTAATTATACAAAACCAAAAGACTACTAAAAGCTCAGAATATAAGACAGAGCTCACAACACTTAAAAAACCTTAGGGAAATGGTTGCAATAAAATCACCTCATTTTCATCTGCTTAGCTGGGTGCTCTTGCCTTCTGCGGAGGCAACTCCACAGTTCATGGGAAAGATGGGAAGAGGCAATGCATGGACTCAGCTCAGGTTCTCCTGCCCTCAACAAATCATTGCCACTTCTTTAGAGTTTTATTTTCTTTCCTGCTTATACAGAGTGTATCTATAAGGAAACTCTAGATAGTCATAAACCTACATGCTACATAACAGTTGTAAATGTTCACTAAATAGGCATTCAGCAACTGATAAAGCCTGCAAATGCAGTGGCACAACTTCATAGCTAAGCACTGAAGAAAAAATTCTGAAAACTGTACCTCAACTGGAGGAAAATTCTCCCAGGCTCTTGATTGGAGATTACCAGGGATGATAGTGGCAGAGTCTCTCTTCATCACCCATTGAGACACTTCAGTCAAAGGGTGAAGGATAGTAATGCTTAGGACTCCTGGATTGAAAGACAGACAGAAAACCCAGTGCTGTCACTCATCCTACCTCTAAGTAAAATGTAACCAACCATTAGCAACTCAACTGTATAATAAAAATTATTAGATTAAATAACTCAATAACCTGTATTACCATCTGATGAGATACAAAAGTGCCTCTTCCTTAGAGCTAACCTAACCAATTTAACAGTGCAGTATGTCACAAAATAATCTGTCGCATTAATTATTGTTTTAAAAGGACTTTACATGAGCTCATTTAATTTTCTGTGCCTATAATATTTTTGATAAATACATTTCTGTCTCCATCTGAACAATCCCTTTGATCATGGATTTCATCCATCAAGGTAAAGTTGTGGGGTGGGTTGCATGCAGCCTGTGGCCCATGCATCTCTTCCAGGGTGGCTCTCCTATTTTTTTAAATAGCGCTTTTTTAAGATTGGTTTGTTTACAAGCTTATATTGACCCTCTTGTGGATCTGTAGTGTCTAGGGACACCATTTTCTTTCTCCCGTTTTGCTACCTGTGGGTGTGGGGGAGTGCTGCCTGCAAAGGGGTAGCCAGGGAACAAAATGGTGATGTTGCTTTCCCGTGCTGTAAAGTGTCTCGTTAGAAATGTGTTCACATTGCTCCCCTTTGACTGACTTCTGAACTATTTTGAACTCTTTGATGCATGGATTTGACCTCTGAGTTCTATTTTTCAAGGATTCTATGTTGTCTGTGAGATCTCTTTTGAATTTCATCTATCTTGTAACTGTTATTTGTTTAAATCCAGCTTTGAGAGATTAATTCTTATGTCAGAAATGCCAGATGCTGGTTCAACTTCTCTTTTAGAAACTAGATGGTCTGCGCTTATTCTTGTCATATCTTTCCCTGGGTCTGTTGTTTCTCTTGGAGTCTTAAGTGGGATTTTTCCCACTGTTGAGCTATTTCATCCTTTTCTAGCCTTTCATTGTACCTTTACCATGCATGTAAGCTATTCATCTATGTTCAATGGGATGCTCTAAAGCACTGACCATTCTCTATTTTCCTTGGACTGTTTGGTATGTTTGTTTTAGTGAGTCAGATCTCTGGCTCAAACTGCCTCCTTATTTTGATGTTCTTTCCTTCCATAATGAGCAACATTACTGCTGCTGCTATCACATTTATATCATGTTTTTTTTCCTCCTGCAGGAAACCTCTTGGTATTTGACTTTAAAAAATAATTGGAGTGCAGTTCCATGCTTCAAAAACACTGATTAATCTGTCACAAAGAATGCTTTTGGATTTCCTAGTCCAACCTAAAGCAAAAAGTATTATACTGAAAGAATATCAAATGAAAGAGTTTTAAAATGAAAAAAGGATATAATAAAAGAGCTCATTGGAAAGTTGTTTATAATTACATCTCAGAAATGCACTTGACATTCATGTAACCAAAAGGCACATTACAGAGGGAGCTTTGTAAGCCACCCAGAGAGCCTATGGCTAGTGGGGCAGCATAAAAATTAAATAAACAAACTGTATTTACAACAGTAAATAGCAGATAGTTCAGTGGGAAGTATAGTATCTTCACATAAGCAGAATATTGTTCTTCGACTATTCAAATATCTGTGGTAAAATGGTGAAGGGATTCAGCTATGAAGTAGGAAGCCCCTGCTTTGAATCTTGCCTCATCCATGAACTTGCCTTAAGCAAGTTCTTCTCAGCCTCAGTCTCTACATCTGCAATATGGGGATGATAATAAGGATCTACTTGGTCAGTTTCACACACAAGAAGCACTCTGAACCCTACAAAACAAAATGAAGCACAACAAAGAAATGCAATTCTGAGTCTGGAATATAGACTGTTCGTGGCATATAATGTCCAAAAACCTCATTTCCCTGGGAAGGAAAACTAATCTAAATGAAATTATGTGTTCCTACCTGGACATTCCTGTATGGGCTCTTGTAAAACTGCTGTAACTGGATCACCATATGCCATAGCCAGGTATTCTTCTGTTTCTCTAGTACGGAGTAGTTCAGTCCCAGAACCATCAGCATAGACAATGAAGAATCTAAATCACCAACCCATAAACCCAATCAGTTCAAGTATGTAAAACATATCATGAGAAAGGGGAATTCCAGGAAAATCCAAGCTAAGCTATTAATAACGTTCCCTTTAGAACACACAAAATGTATTGATTACATACCTGGGTGCATGTTCTCCATATATAACTGGAGTCTTTATTTCTGTAGGTTCCAATTCCTTTATATCAGAATCAATGTTGGCAATGAAGACAAATGTGCTGCCATCAGCCATGACCTGCAAAAAGGAAAACAAAGTCAAACCCCAAGTAATTTAATTTATAAGCATTGTTCTCCAAGTACCTTCTGGGTGCCTTGATAGTACACATACAGAAACTGCCGTCAACTGAAATTATAGACAGAACTTGCTTATTCTAGTGTACTGCTCTCATCCCTTCTCCATAAGTCTCTCTTCTGGCAATAAATTATGCATTAAAATAGAAAACATTGTTTTAATTTGAAGACATCTGAGGAGAAGTTGTACATTTACAATGCAAAAAAAAAAAAAAGAGTGGCATTTGGGTACAGTCCACCCAAATACTGAAAAGTTCAAATGAGGCCAGGGGGCATTGCACAAAACCAGTCCACAGAGAGAGAGAAAGAGGTTTCCTACTATCACTCTGGCATGCTTATATCAACATACACATGAATTGATCTTTAACTGGAGACGCTCACGTTAACAGAAGACCAAAATATGGAGCAAATAATAGAAAGTAGCATCCATGAACAAGGGGAAGAAGGGAGAAGTTTGGTTTTTGGTTTTGTCTGAGATGAGAAGACATCCCTTCCAAGTCCCCCTTCTGTGCTGAAAATGCTTGCACAAGGACATTTTGTCTACTTCTAATTTAATGCTTGTAATCTTTCCATCTAAACCAATGACATCAGTCCTCATTCTCTCAAGTGTGTGGATAGCTGGGTTGGTTAAAACAGGAGCCTGAAGAAGGCTGCAGTGGGAAAGAAGTGGAGCTGATTAGAGAAAGCCTGGAATACCCTGCATTATCCTCAGACTTGGCCTTCTTGAAACCACACACAGATTGTACACTAACTTTTCTTATTGGGCTTCTTGTGTCCTGGAAAGAGTTATGCACTTAGGAACCAGGCAGGAGGAAGGCATATATAGAGGTTTTAGGCTGTTATGTTTATCTGATGAGAGTTCATCTGATGATTAATGTAGTTGGAAGCAACAACTAACTGTCTGGACTCTCCTCAAGCCTCTGCTAAGTTTCCAAGGACAAAATGGAAATCTGGAGTCAACCAGCTATGATAGTTAAAGAAGTGACACTGAACAACTCAATAACAGGGAGAGGCCCAGTGTCCAATGCTGCCTGTTCAGGACCAGTTTTACAGCTTAGTAAACTAGTCTCATTGCTCACGAGATGAAAATCAGAGAATCAGAGCTCTTACTGAAAGACAAATGGGACAACACAGGACAGGAACAGTGGGACAAACTACTGTGCTGCCTAAGCATTTTTTAAAGGCTGCATGCAGTTATATTATCACTCTGTAACTTTTCTTGGGTAGGGAGATGCAGTCATAATTGCCTTTCCCAATTATGACTGCAGGGGGACTACATATATAGTGTGGAGGTCACCAGACTAGAGAGGGATGCTCTAATAAAAGAGAAGTAGGTGGCTTTAAGTTGTTCATAAGTTTTCCACAACCCCACAGTCACCTCTGCACATTTTGCCCCCTTAGGAAGGATATGGTATTAAGATTTATAAAACTTGGCTCATGAAGTAATTAATCTATAGTCCAGATACAAGAATATAAAATATTGCCTTTTAAAAATAGGAGCTTTTGATCAGTGATAAATTCTTTCACTCAGAAGAAAAATTGTCCTTCTTCAACATCCTCAAAATATCTGTACTGATTTTTTTGTAAGATACACATTTATTTCAATGCATTGCAATCAATTAAAAGTTAAATGATGACCCTATTAAAAGGTTTTAATCATTACAAACAAGTCACAACCAAACTTTATACAAATTCATACAATTACATGAAAAATGAGAATGGCTTCCCAAAGTGGTGTGCATGACACCTACTTTATATTCTTTTCAGTACAAGCTGAGGATCTTTCTATTTTTCCAGCATTTTAATAATATAACTTTTTAACTTTGTTTTTATATATTCCATTCTATTCTGTATGGCTGCTATGTGTCTGTGTCAAACAGTACCCATTACAATTTTAATTTAATTTGTGTGTCCTTTAAACTTTAATTTTAACTTTGTTAACCATCCAGCAGGCCTCATATTTGCATGTGGTAGGCATGTCATGAGCAGAGCCAGCTGAAGCCAGGAGTCGGACTAGATGGCCTGCAAGGCCCCTTCTGACTCACTGTTTCTATATTTCATATAAAAATGAAATAAACAAACAAATACACAAGAATATGTGGGGGTTACCTTGAAAATGTTTCCTTCAGGTTCCATCACTTCACAGGCAATGCTGGAGTTGTGTTTCATAATGTATTTCCCTATCTGCTGGTCCTCAGCATTAAATGTAAGATCACAGTCACTTTTGTCAAATGCTTCTGGGGAGTAAACTGCAGAACAATTTTCATCGATGAAGAGGCAGCCTTTGTTAATGGGCAATATCTACCATAACAATAAGGAAGGAGGTTAGCCAATCATTGCATATGATATGGAAAAGGAGAATAAGGAAGTACAGTAATTAATTAATTAATTAATTAATTAATTTCTACATCGCCTAACAGCCAAGGCTCTCTGCTTGGTTCACAACATATTTTTAAAGCAATGTAAACTATACCATTAAAGCATATTAAAACACCATAAAAGTTACCAAATAAAAATAGAGAATTATAGGTTGAGAAGACCCTGTCTAACAACCACCAGACCCCAGTAACTAATTAAATGCCTGCAGGAGAAAACAACTTTTACCAGACACCGAATTAATAATCTGAGTTGATACCAGGCAGGCCTCACTGGGGAGCGGATTCCATAACTGAAAAGGCTCTTTTCCTGTCTGTCACCATCTGAGCCTCCCTCAGAAGTGGCAACTGGAGGAAAGTCCCACAGTCTGATCATAGTGCCCAGGTAGATAAAGGTTGGGAGAGTCATTTGGTCAGGTATCATGGCCTGAAGTCATGCAGGGCTTCATAGGTCAAAACCAGCAGCATACTTTGATCTCTTGTGTAACCAGTCATTTTTGTGCATCTCTTTTTGCCCACCAGCTATTCATCTTCTTTTTATGTGTAACAGTTCAATTCTACATTAATTTTACGAGTTTTATATTATTAACTTCATACTGAACTTCGGATAACTGGGTTTGGGAAGCAATGGGGCACAAACAGAACACCTAGGCATAAAGAGTTGGAACATCTCTGCATATAATATTAATTTTAGACTCACTTGGTATGTTCCTTGTGGCTTTGATATAATTGAGGTTCCATCAGCAAAAATAGCACAACAGGTGCTGTCTTCACAGTTTGTTATGACAGTTGCAAAGTCTGGATTTTCTACACGTGCACACTTCACTTTCCTTCTGATGGTTTGGGGGTTAGTGTCTAGAAATGAAATCAAATCAGTATAGCTCAGAAGAGCAATTATACTGAAACACAAGGAAGTATATGCTGGGCAGTGAAACAAAGATATTTCTCATAAGAATGACTTTTGAGCACTTGTCTTTTACTGGAAAAGGCAAGAGTTCCTCAAGGCCATATGCCACATTTGAAGAGTCACATATGGTAAATGTCCGATGTTTGAGAGCTGTGAGCAGATGCCTATGGGTGCCTGCAGCGGCAAGCTGCAAAATAAACTCAAAGAGTCACAGGCATCTCCCAAGCATCAGTTTGGCCACCCTTGTCATATACTCTCAGGGAGGAAGTAGATGGAGGCTATACAGAGAGCTGGGGATAAAAATTACCGCCTTACGACACAGAAAAGCACAAATAAAGATTGAAATACAGCTTCTTGGATAGTTATTGCCCACCATGCTTATGAAAATTAAGATGTATTATTTATGCCATCAGTATTTTAAAATTCGAATTAACTTATGCTACTAATAAGTGAGAGAGAGAAGGAGCATACATAATGGCATGCCGTTCAATCCTACATCTGTCTACTCAGAAGCACGCCCCTTTGCTTACTTCTACGTAAGTGTGCATAGGTCTGCTACTGTAACCTTTATCTGTTGTCAGGAAATATTGATTTGGGGCCTGCTTTTTCTTGGCAATTTCAAGCCAAACATGGAGTGGAAAGCTAATTGCAGCATAAATGTCCCTGGTTGGCTCATGTGATCTTATTCTCAAGCAGTCTCAGAATTATCAGATATCCATTGGTTATTGTCACTGGATGGAAAATATATGCTGTTCAGGTCTAACTGTCCAAAGTTTTTCTTTCTTTGTTTTAAAAAGGGAAAGCCATGGTTGGGCTGGGGATTTTGGTTAGCAAAAAATAAAATATCTTTAGAATCACACTAACAAAAGCATGTATGAACCTTACACATTTGTACCACATTTGATTTTCAGGAGATCATTACTCTATCACCTAGATTAAAAGCTGAATATGTAAAATTAGCTGTATAGAACTATGCAAAAGAGAATTAACAGGTATGATCTTTGATGAAAAAGCACGATGGAGTAATGAACAACTAACACATGAAAATATGATAAAGTAATGAACATACAAGGAATTGCTGGCTATATTTGATGAAAATGTTCTCCTCTTCCTAAGCTTCTAAAAAACTTCTCCAGAGGTCCCCTCAACCTTCCAGAAATTTTGAGGACATGCAGGGAGGACAGTGTGGGAGGGAAAAATCACCCCCGTTCTACAAACAGAAGTTCTTCTGCTAGGAGGATGAGTTACTTGAACACCACTCTTAGGCCTTATGCTCATACCTGTTTCTTCATTATCATTAGGTACCAGTTCAACACAATCTTGGAAGAAGGTGGTTATTCTGGTGCCATCAGCATGATCTACGATCCTGTAACCATCTTTTTTTTCCACCACAACTACTCTATCTTCTCTCGTTATCATTACCTGGAATATACATGCAAAGAACGCAAATGAAGTTTTAATGGATGAATTCTGAACATTAAGTCAGACTCTTTTAATATTCAATTATCAAAAAACCTAGTTAAAAACGAATTAAGGCTCAAGTTCCATATAGTCAGGAAATTGGATGCAAATGCTAATACCTTAACAGATGCCTTAACAGAGATGTTCAGTGATCAGCAATGCCACAAACTGTACTTGTTTATAACTTACCCCCTTTGAATAAATGGATTAATGAGATTTCTTGAGATTCAGATAAATGGGCACTTTTAAAGCTGAGTTCATGGGATAAGGCAATTAAACCTAGAAGTAATACTATATCCCAGATTATTTATGTTGTATGTGGGATTCTCTTACCTACATCTGGCAAATATTTTCAGAAAACAAATGATTTGTTTTGTAAGTTTTGGGGTGAGGTTCCTTGTTGCCAAGATTATCTCTGAAAAGGATACAGTTTCCAGTTATTGGCATCTATAAATGTCATGTCTATAGATCTTAGACTGCGTCTTATTCAGCAACAACTATTGTTTCATGTCTAGTATCTCTCTAATAAGGGATTGTCTAATTTGGCTAACTGCTGACCCTGCAATGCATCAAATGCTTCTTTTTAAAATACGCTCTGGCAATGTCTGGCAGTCACGTCTTTCTAGGAGGAGGTCATTCTATGGATAAATTCTGCACTGGAATAGTCTTTAATATTTGCTAGTATCAATTATTTTATGCATGAGTAACATTATGACATTCATTTATTCATGAAAATTAATCAATAGTCAGTATAACTGAATATTCCATAACTGTCTGGCAGTTAAAAGACTGATACTACAACACTGACCTCCTATAATACTATGGATTGAGTTCCTTACAATGCTCTCAATATTTGAATAGGTGGCATATAGACAGAACCTTCACAAGATACCTAATTTGAAAAACTGGCCCATTTTTGCTGAAGTTTATGTATTATTGCTGGTAAGTTGTATTTTCATATGTATACATTTCATATGTATTCATAGCCATTAACTCATATGCACATGCATACAAAAAGTGGGGGACCCTTATCCTTCAGGTCTCCACATTCTCCTTTTCCTTTCAGGCCCAAATCCAGATGGGGAGGATGGAGTGCCTGAGACCGTGCGTGATTGCTCAATGCTCCTCTATTGTCATATGAAGCAGCTGACTATCTATGTTGCTGTCAACAACCTACCAGGTTGCGGAAAGGTAGTACTAGATAACCTGAGAGTTGGCTACCTGTGAGATTGCCTCATCTCTTATTTCCCAGCCTGGTCAGGAATATCTGTGGTACAGCATTTAGTGCTGCAGGGCCTGCCTTCTAGAATATGCTCCACCATTAACATTAGCCATGTTTTGATCTTTAGACACCTATTTGACTTACTTCTCTATGCTGTCTTTCCCTGAAGTGCCACTCAAAAAGATAATTATATCATTTTATTGTTGAGCATTGGTTATTTTACTACGATATTTTAGTGATGCTAACTATTTTTGAAATTTTACTGGAATCAGAGTACAAATTTGTGCAAAACATAAAATAGAGCATGAACACACATTTAGTATGAGGCATAATCCTTGTACAACCTTTTCCTATCACGCAGAAAAGAACACTAAGGGTGGGGGGCTCTCACATTGTCTTTCTATCTTCAGAAAGTCTTCAAATGGGCCTCATGTTTCCCTCACCTACTATGGAAAGGAAGATCAGGGATTAAGCCCTACACCTCTCCTTTCAGAGTCATATGAGGACCTAATCCTTTTGCTTCCCTCACTTGTGCATTCCACATACACCCAAATCCCTGATGAACAAACTACATGTTATTTTGAATTTATAGTTCATCTCTCTCTTCTTTTTACCCAAAAGTAACGGCATGGGACCTAATAAGAATCAGCACCCTCAAGGGGGTGATAGAAGTTTTAACTTTCTGCCCTAACCTTGTAATTCACATCACATTACAATGGTTGTTTGATTTGTTTTCGGGAGGGTAGGGTAGGTGCAGGGCAGCTTCACCCAGACTGGGACCAAAGCAGGGGTGGGAGAAATCTTCCAGTAAGCATATAGTCAGCATGACAGAGAGATATGAAAACTTAGGACAAATGATGCATTATTACCGTTCCATTAACTGGATCAGTGGCCTGGTAGGCCAATAGTGGCTTCAGATCAAGTCTTTCTGATCCCTTGGTGCCTATTTGAATGCCTAATGGGGTAGTGGTTATCCAGGTACCTGCAAAGGCATCTGGTGTTTGTTCTCTATCAGAAAGGTGATCTTGAGCAAGTAGTTCAGCTGCCTCAGCTTTTGCTGCAAGAGAACCCTTGGTATTTTTCCCTAGAGAATTAGAAGAAAAAGAAGTTTACTCACATACAATCATATCCTTCTAAGTGCTACTACTATCATCATTATTCATCATCTGTGGGTCAGTTGCAGGGCCAAGGTTTCTTCTACCACTAACCTCACCTCTCCCAAAACCTACACTGAATGACAGGCAGGGTCCCTGAAGTGGAAGACTCATTTTTTCCTGTTCATTGGCTGGTCTTGTCTAAGGACAAAACTGGTTTCTAATAATCCATGGCTATTGCTAAGGACAAAAAGATGAATGGAGGGGACCACCACAATCTCTCCATAGAATTGATTAGATCTAGAGGCTTTGCACTTGAAGGTTTGGGACCTTGCCCCAGTCCAGCAGGGCCTGTGACACTGAGTCTGAGGCAGAGGGGGAAGCTGCCGAGTCAGGCCCAAGCCATGGGAAGCCAGATGCCTGTTTTCTACCAGGGCTGGCTGTTAACTTAGCAGGGAGTCAGGTGCAGAATGCTGTGACAGCCTATCATCCACAGCTGGGAGACCTAATCTTGAAGAAGGCCCTCGCTTATTGACCAGGAACAGCTCCTATGTGGGCAGAGCAATATGAGAAGAACTCTGCAAAAGAGGGTGTTTCAGACCTTTCTCCTCCAGTGCGATGCCCTTTAAAGAAGACGGGGCAGAAGCATCCAGTATGACACAAAACCACCTGAGAACCAGGTGCATTTATCAAATACCTGCTAGTGAACGTTAGTGGCCATTTCCCCATGTTTAAGGTAAAGCAACCTGCAGTAGGCCTTTCTGGAAAAACCACAATGGTAACCTGGAAAATGTCTTGCTTTCTTTGAATCTGTGAAATTACTGGGACTCATTTTGTGTATTGAACCTAGACAAAGTGGATCTTCACTGGGGCTGTAAAGGCTTACACCTAATTACTGGAAGTACTGCAAGAAAGGTTTTATTAAGATATTTTCCTTGGCTCCAGGAAGTCAGGTTCTGATAACACATTCAAGAGACACTATTGATGTGATGAGGTTGCTATTGAAGAGTTCTTGAGGTTTCCTTGTCCTTTCAGTTGCTGAGAATCAATATCTTGGCTACAGCTTTCAATACAAGCTAGAATGCATTTTGGCATCTTCAAAGGGTGTGTGATACACTTATCTTCCAGAGTCAGCAATGCCAAACTGTTTTATTTATATCATAATTGTACTGATCACAACTTTTAATTAAATTAGGCTACTCAGCACCTGCTGAGAATTCCATTTTTTCATCTGGTCATTTGAATAAAATGTGTAATGATGAATGGTCTATCTTCACATGTGAAAATATGTGTGGATGCAATTTAATTTTCTTTAATATAACACAATGTTGATGGGTGAGCCACTTCGCAAGATGTTATCTTGTTGAATCATATGAGTATATTATTACAGGTACCTCAGGCATGATTTGAGCAGCTGCTTTTTTTAATCTAGTTAAAACCTAATGGTTCACTGACACTGTTTCTTTTTTTGCATTTCAGATCTGCAGCAGACATAGCTTCCTCTACAGTAACAGTTTCATTAAAACTTTAGAAAACCTATTTATTATAGCCTGTTCGATTAAGCCAGATTAGCTCTCAGAACAATTTACAAATCAAGAAATCTAAAAACATAAAACATACAATATGTTACAAAATATCAAAATTAATCACACTATATTACAGAATGGTAAAAGATTATCCACAATAACAATAAAGAGCACTAAGCTATATAATAAAACCAAATCTCACCATGATGACTAATAAGATAAAAACCAATATAAAATCCATGAATTAACAATTAATTTATCAGTTACATTAAACATTAAAACACTGGGAAAATAAAAAGGGTTTAACCTGGCGCCAAAAGGCGCACCTCCCTGGGGAGCTGGTTCCAGAGTTGGGGTGCCCATTGTGGCCACCTTCCTTACTTCTTTTGGAGGTGGCTGCCAGAGAAGGACTTCCATAGATGACCCTGGGTCTGGGCAGGTGTATATGACATAATATTTTTATTTATTTATTTATTAAAACATTTTTATGCCGCCCCATTCGCCGAAGCCTCGGGGCAGCTTACAACAAAAAATTAAAATAACATTTTAAAATATATACAGTAAAATACAAATATATAATATAAAACATACAATATAAAACAAGCCGCCCTGGCCAAATAAAATTCAATAATATTAACTTTTAAAATACTGCTTAAATAAAAAGGTCTTCGCCTGGCGCCGAAAAACAAATAACGGCGCCAGGTGGACCTCTCTGGGGAGCGCATTCCATAACTTAGGCGCCACCGCTGAGAAAGCCCTCCGCCAAGTAACCACCCTCCTAACTTCTTCCACGGAGGGCTCCTGGAGAAGGGCCTCTCCCGCCGATCTCAGGGGGCAGCTGGGCATATAAGGATGTAAACGCTCCTTCAGGTAACCAGGACCCAAGCCGTTTAGGGCTATAGGTCATTACCAACACCTTGAATTGGGCCCAGACTTCAATGGGAAGCCAGTGAAGCTGACGGAGAACTGGAGTCATGTGAACATAACGTCCAGTCCCCGTCAGCAGCCTGGCAGCTCTATTTTGGACCAATTGAAGTATCCAGACCGTCTTCAAGGGTAGCCCCACGTAGAGCGCGTTACAGAAGTCCAGACGGGAAGTCACCAACGCATGTGTCACTGTCGCAAGGCAGTCGTTCTCCAGATAGGGGCGCAGCTGATGAATCAGCCGAAGCTGGAGGAAAGCGCTCCTCGCCACTGCTGTTACCTGAGCTTCCAGTGAAAGCTCCGGGTCGAGGAGCACTCCCAAGCTGCGGACCTTGTCCCTAAGAGGGAGTGCAACCCCGTTCAGGACAAGGTTCAATTCACCCTCTCCGAAGCCCGATCCGCCAACCAACAGGACCTCCGTCTTGTCTGGATTGAGCTTCAGTTTATTGGCCCTCATCCAGCCCATTACCTTGGCCAGGCACCGGTTCAGTACAGCCACTGCCTCACCTGGATTGGTGGAAAACGAGAGGTAGAGCTGGGTATCATCAGCGTACTGATGGTTCCGCAGCCCACACCTCCTGATGACCTCTCCCAGCGGTTTCATGTAGATGTTAAACAGCAAAGGGGACAAAATGGACCCCTGCGGTACTCCATGGCATAGCTGCCATGGCGCAGAGCCATAGTCCCCCAGCACCACCTTCTGGAACCGGCCATTGAGATAGGAGCGGAACCACTGCAAAGCAGTGCCTCCGACCCCCAATCCCGCAAGCCTATCCAGAAGGATACCATGGTCGATGGTATCGAAAGCCGCTGAGAGGTCCAGAAGAACCAACAGGGACGCACTCCCCCTGTCCTTCTCCCTGCACAGGTCATCGTACAGGGCGACCAAGGCAGATTCAGTACCGTACCCGGGTCTGAAGCCGGACTGCAATGGCTCCAGATAATCAGTTTCATCCAAGAGTGCTTGGAGTTGTCCCGCCACCACTAGTTCTAACACCTTGCCCAGAAACGGGATGTTGGCCACTGGTCTATAATTAGTGGCCATCTCTGGATCCAGTGACGCCTTCTTCAGGACTGGTCGGACTACCGCCTCCTTTAAAGGGGCAGGCACCCGACCCTCCCTCAGAGAAGCGTTAACCACTTCCAAGATCCAGGTTCCAATCCTGTGCTTGGAATCATTTATTAACCAAGACGGGCAAGGGTGCAAAAGGCAAGTGGTTGGACGTACTCACCCAAGCACCTTGTCCACGTCATCGGGCCGCAGTAACTGAAATTCATCCAATAAATCTGGACCAGACGGCAGCGTTGGTGTCTCCTTTGAAACCTCTGAATCAATACTGGTGTCCAGCTCGTGACGAATCTGAGCGATTTTCTCCCTGAAATGCCTGGCAAAGTCGTCACAGCGGGCCTTTGAGGGTGGAATCAGGTCTTCCTTTGGACCTGGACGAACCAGGCCTTGCACCACTCGAAAGAGCTCCACCGGACGGCATTGTGAGGAGGCAATGGAAGCGGAAAAGAATCTCTTTTTTGCCACCCTCACCGCCACAGCATAGGCCCGATAGTGGGCTCTTAAGTGTGTTCGGTCAGATTCATCTCGTGATTTCCTCCACCTACGCTCTAGTCGTCTCCCAACCTGCTTCATCGCCCTCAATTCAGGAGTATACCAAGGGGAAGAGCGGGCTCTGCCCGGTGGGAGAGGATGCTTAGGAGCAATCGTGTCTACAGCCCTGGTCATCTCCCCATTCCACAGTTCGACCAGAGCCTCGACAGGAGCACCCGTCTTGTCAGCCGGAAACTCCCCCAGGGCCTTCAGGAATCCTTCCGGATCCATCCAGCTCCGGGGGCGGACCCACATAATCGGGTCCGCACCCGTACAGAGGGAGAAGTCGCTCTCGAGCACAAACCTCACCAGGAAGTGATCTGACCATGACAAGGGAGTCAAGCATAAATTACTCACCCTCAGACCACCCTCTTCCTGCCCCGTCGAGAAAACCAGGTCCAGAGTGTGTCCCCGTTCATGGGTCGGGCCGGTGACATGTTGAGACAGCCCCATGGCCGTCATGGAGGCCATGAAGTCCTGAGCCGCCCCGGTCAGACTAGCCTCAGCATGGAGATTGAAGTCCCCCAGGACCAACATCCTGGGGGTCCTCAACACCAGGTCCGAGACAGTCTCCGTCAGCTCAGGCAGGTAGACTGTTGGGCAGAAGGGTGCACGGTACACCAACAGAATCCCCAGTCTGTCTCGGTCGCCCAACACCAAGTAGAGACACTCCAGCCCTGGTCTCGAAGGGACAGGAAGTCCCGTGAGATAGATGGAGGCTCGGTAAACCAAAGCGACCCCCCCTCCCCTCCCCTCCGGCCGTGAGCAGTGCTGGACCAGATACCCGGGCAGGCACACTTGGGAGAGGGCAACATCCCCCCCCCTCCCGCCCAGGTCTCCGTTATGCAGACCAGGTCGGCCCCCTCATCCACAATCAGGTCCTGGATGAGGGCAGATTTGTTATTGACCGACCTGGCATTAAGCAACAGCACCGTCAGGCTGGAGGGGCAACTGACGAGACTCCCTGGCACCCTCTGGCTGGGAGCAAAACCAGAAGTAGGGACAGGTGTCAGCCATCTGTCCCTCCTTCTTCTATGCGGACACGTTAAGCTCCCACCGCTGTTACGTCCCTTGCCCATAACCACCTCAATGGCGGCACCCGTGCGCTCCCCAGGAAACATAAGCGGCAGCATGGCCAGGGACGACTCCATAAAACGATTTAAAATACTACTAAAAAAAAAAAATGCGTATTATATCAACCTATACATCCTGTGCCAGAAGGACAAGCAACACTTAATGTGGAAACCAAATGAGACAAGGCTGCAAAAATAAGATGAATAAAAAAGCAATTGCTCAAATCATTGAGCTGAAGTACATTTGGGTAAATTAAATGTTCATCCATGTGACACCAGTATACCCTCCTTCTGTGCCACTTTTTATTTCAAGGCTCTATCATTATTTGCCTGCGATATGAACAGCAGAAATGGGGGAAGGTAACATTTTTGTGTCATTTTACATACAGGAATTTTGAATTATACCCTCACCTTTCTAATTCTCTGGCTCCACAGAGCATGAATCAGGAAAGAACAGCTTGAGAATATTTCTTGCTCACAGTTTCTATGCTAGTCCCTGTAGTATAATGGTACTTACTACTCTTCTTGGTGCTTATTTCAGGAGAAAGCAAGACTTCTGTATGAGGTGTACTGGGTGGAGGTGGAGGTGGTATCACAGGGCCAGAATCAGGACTCTTGATCACTGTGCCATCAGAAAATAGTATCTGGGGAACAACATAGTGAATTTTTTCATGTTTAAATCCATACAACCAATGCAAGTCACGCTTGGTGCTTGGGGGACATTATATGGGAAAAAACTTGGTTGCCCTCATGGATTCACAGTGGAAGCCTTGTTTCCTTTTTTTTCTACACAATGCAAGAGCTCACTATTAACCTCTCCTGCAAAGCAAGGACATTTCTGCCTCACTTTTCAATGGCTGCACAGCTAGTTGCTCCAAGCAACTATTCATTGATTCAGAAAGTAAATACATAAACACACACAAGGTAGGCCTTGGACCACCTCACACAATTTTCTTGCTGTGTGTATTTTGTGAACGAATTATGTTCTCAACTGCATATCAATCCAAGAGGTGAGGGATCAGATAAACTTGCCCAGGAAATCAGACTGAACAAATTTCTACTTCATCCGTGTACCAGATGGTACAGGTTTAGGGTTAGGGTTAGGTGGGGTCCCATTCCTTTTCAAGGAGAAAATTTGCAGTTTGGGGATGTGCTTTTATCTATCATTGTATGTCAGCTACAACCTCAGTGGGACAGATGGATTGATGTCAGCTCTGGGAGCATGAGGCTGCCTCAGAAGATGCTTCGGAAAATGCAGTTAGTGCAGGAAATGGCTGCTATAACTTATTAGGTGCTATGATCATTTTATGCTCTCTGCTTTGCCAACTTCTGTCCAATGGGATTTTCTGATATCACATTCAAACAGATATTTGTTCTGCTTTTTTGAAGTTTATGTTTAATTAAAATATTCCTAGTATATATATAATTTTAATTATTTTGTTTTGTTGAAACTTACAATAAAATTTACAATTAGGGACAACCACTTTCCATTCATTCCCATTGCTGTCTTTGTGGCAACCTAATAATTACATTTATAAAATCAGAATTCAAAACAGTAGATACATTAGGAGATGCACAGTAAATTTCCAAATGAGATGTTGAATGCACTAAGTAAATGGCCCAACTGCAATTAAATCATACAGGAGCACCATGAAAAGGACTTTGTAATAGGTTCTTTTCTTGGTACTCCTGTCATGCTTAAAAGCTTTCAACCATATAAACAAGGAAGACGGCATGGACTGAAGTTATAGAAATATTGCTTCTATGATGACTTTTAAATGTTGTAGAAGTGACCACAGGTTTCTGTTCAAGCGACTAGTGGGCTGCCAAATTATTTGCTCCCTCCTGGTAGAGAATTTTCACCCTACCCATAATCACAGTTCAAACATTCAGGCAATAGTGTCATTAAGTACAGTTAGGGCTAACAAAAGTTTCTGCTTGACAAATATTTTGCATTCCTGATATTTAGCACCGCTAGGAAAAAAAAAAACCCCAATCCAACTACATTTAAGACTACATCAAATGAAGTCGGTTAATATACCTGGGTGGATCCATCCAACATGTATTTTACAACAGTTCCTTGTCTGGTAATAACTCTAGATACTTCCTGTTCTACTGGTTTCTTCACTGCTTTCTGCAACTGTGAATGCTTCACTCTTTGTGGATAGCTCTGTCTAATAAGTATTTCAAAAGTATATTCCTTGACCTTGTCTGCATAGTCTTCCTCTGTTTCAACCTCAGCCTTGCCTTCATTGGACTCATTCCTTATGGCACTGTCCATTGCAGATACATCAGCGGCTCTTCGTTCACTTGATTTGTCTCTATTTACATAGGCCTTGTTTGCTATGGCTTCATTAGTCTGGAGTTGTTCCATTTTGGCCTCTTGTATTTTGATTTCATTCACCCTGGCCTCATCCAAGTTAGTCTCATCTATTTTGCTTCCTTCATCAGCAATCTTGGCCTTGGAACCTTTTTCTTCAGCTTAAACAAAGCAAAACATGTCTTCCATTAGTAAGTTTGCAATTATTGCAGCAACCATGTAGAGCTCACTGTTGTATAAAATGTCAGGACTGGTAAAAGAATGACAACAGGATATTGTCCCAAGTTTATTTGTAATTTTAATTAGAGTGAGGGGCACATCAGATGGATGGCAGATGTTCCATCAGTTTAAACATAGAAAGGGACATTATGCATGTGTGTGGGGGAATCAGTTTTAAAAGCAAAAGAGACATGAGGGTAAGAAATGCAGGACCTTCCCTGCAGTCACAATTTACCTCTGCAAACCAAGCACATTTCCAGCAGCAGTATTTAGTTGAAAGAAAGTACTGGGAGAAGCTGTGGAAGGCAAATCATAAGAGAGGGAAAAGTTCTGTTTTACCTACACACCCCTTTGCTTTTAAAATCAGACCCCTGTACCCTTCTTTCACACAACTGGGGCAGTTCTTTATGTTTAAAAAAACAATTGTAGTCATATGTACATTGGCCCTGAAAGTAAACATCTAAATGTCTCAAGTTTCACTGTTAAGTTTCATTTAGGAGCAATGGGAGGCAAGGAAACTGGCAAAATCCCACCCAGACCTTCAGAAATGTCTCCTTTGTGCTCATGCCTTTACTGCTGATATCAGATCCTGCCCTGGATCCTTGTGTTATGAGAATTTCTGAGAAATTATGTGTTACTGCTGTGCTTGCCCTACCACTAGACTAACAATGCCATGGGCCAACGATGTTTCTGCTCCCACTGACTGAATTTGTCTTCTCTTTCTGAAGCTCCTGTGACTTAGGTTATCACAGGAGTATAGTTGCCACAGCAGTGCTACTCCTCCACGTGCTAAGCGGCTCTGCACAACATAAGAGGTGTCTTCATGAGCTCCCATTCTATGGTCCATGGCTTCACACATTACCCTGGTGGCATGGAAAGGAGTGGCACTGTTATGACTCCCATGTTGATGGGATGATATGAGGACCCAGCCTTGATTGAGATCTCTGGGGATGGTGAGCAGCCCACACCTTCTCGCGCCACTCAGGCGATTCTAGAAATTGACAAGTGACTTTGTGGGTTGCAATTCCTGCTCTAAAGTTTAGGTGCTAGAAAAATATGACATTGGTTGCTTTTCTCTCAGTTCATCCTATGTTCATCCTAGAACATTTGAAGGCCACAACCATCTGGAAGAGGCTGAGAGAAAAATGCACATGATTGCCACATGATTGTGAGCATTTATTAAATAATACAGAAGCATGCACAAAAGAGTGGTTCACATGGCTCTCCTGTTAGACTTAAGGATATGATGGTTCATGGCCTCCCTCCTGACCGTATGTTACTTGAAGGGGTAAGTGTATTCATACTGTAGCAAGGGAAACTCAACCCAGGAGCACTGGCACTGAGTACTGGACCCTTTCCCCCTTCTCATAAATTGGCAAGCAAAAGAATCCACCATAGGAGTGAGGTGGGTAAATTTTCTTCCTCTCTTTGATCTAAATCTACTGAAAAATAGGAATCATCGAGGATCCTTCTTGTATTAAGGCAAGTTTGAATTGCTAGACTCACAACTCCTTCCTAGCTAGATTCTAGTTTTATATCCACCATGAATATGGTAAAATAATGTTAAAGGTAAAGGTAAATGTTTCCCCTTGACGTTACGTCCAGTCATGCCTAACTCTAGGGGGCAGTGCTCACTCCGTTTCCTAGCTGAGGGAGCCAGCGTTTGTCCGCAGACAGTCTCTGTGGTCATGTGGCCAGCATGACTAAACACTGAAGTGCATGGAACACTGTTACCTGCCCACTGAAGTGGTACCTTTTTATCTACTTGCATTTGCATGCTTTCGAACTGCAAGGTTGGCAGGAGCTGGGATGGAGCAAACTCACTCCATTGTGCAGATTCGAACCGGCGACCGTTCAATCAACCAGCCCAGCAGCACAGCGCCACCTGCAGTCCCTAAAATAACATTACATTCACACAATAACATACAGAACCTACCTGAGAACATTTCACCAAGAAAGGTCAACACCAATCCATTGGGACAGGATGCATTCAAATTATTGAAAAAACGGGCTTCTGGAATAGCTTCTGTTAGGAATGGCTCATCTGTTTCTAACTAGACAATGGAAAGTACACAGAAATGACATACCTTTACAAGCAATTGTAAACATATCTAGTTCATAATATTTGATGGAGCAATTATTTAACAGACTAATACAATGACAAGATATCATTTTACTGTACAAATTCTTCTTTAAAAACAAGTCTGCTTACATTACTATACCTCTATTAAATTAGTTTTCAAATAGGGTTAGCAGATACTTTCCTATTTTGAAGACATCAAAAATCCAAAATCTTGATCCCTTTGACCCATTTCTTTTTAAACAGCTGTTAAATCAGTTGCAAAGTTTGTGCTCATGCAGTAGTTGCTTATAATATACAATGCCAAAAATCATGATCATGATGTGCAATCCAGCTCAGAGAATGGGCAGCCTTGGATTCCAGCCAGCCACTCTTGCTGGGTTCAGATGTCAACACAACCCATAATATCACCCAGTAAGGATAACTGCTAATTAGGTGGCTCTCAACCAGCACATTCGGGACAGAAATAAGCCACAGTGGCTTATTTTCTCACTGTGATTGTGCAAAACTGCTCAGTATGTAGAATTGTGCTTTGTTTTGGTGCTCTGCACAGTGTGAGTAAATTCTTTGTGTACAGAAAAATACCGTGGGGAAACATAGGAAGATTAGAAGTGGGACATGAAAAACTGAATCTCTTTTAAAATTCAATGCATGAGGCAAGGAAATGGTGCTATAAAAAGTCTAATCCGGAAGAACCCTTCCAGATAAGGGGGCTCTGCCTACGTCTTGTATTTTCTGACTCCTTTCACCTTTGTTCTTTCTACAAACCTCCATCAAGGATGAGACAGCAGAAAAGCTATACACTTTCCTCTATCAGGAAGGTGTCAAGTTCAAACACTGACATCTCCAAGTAGGCCTGAAACTCCAGTCAGTGCAAGTAGTACTGGACAAGATGGACCCATGGTCTGACTCAGGATATGGTACCTTCCTAGGTTTCTAAGCTGCCTGAACCATATAGTTTCCTAGGTTTCTAAGTTACCTGAACTATATGGCAGCAACCATATAGTTTCTTTTTTATCTCAAATGTGAGTTTAATTTTTTCCCAATCCACTCATTCTCCATTGATTTTTCCTGCCCATTTTCCCACTTGTTCTCCCCTCCTCTTTTTTCTCCAGTTCTGTTTCCTCTGTCCTATACTACTCCACTTCTGTGTGTGCGTGCACACACACACACAGAAATGGAGAGGAAAGTGGGGGGGGGATTAAGTCTTCAAGAAGGGCTGGGCAGAATTACTTTGTTTCCCATTCTCATCCTCCCTCAATTCAGCCCAGTGGAATGGCTGGTGATGATCACAGCGCAGGGAACGCCAAATCTGAGACTGCAAGAATTAGGTTAGTTCTAAGCTCCAAGTTTGGAATAACTTGACAGTTGATTGTATTCCTGTGTATGCCCCAGCTCCACCTAGCATTAGCTGTCCTGCCTTCAATCCTACCAGCAGCCATGTGCACCAACCACCTCTGGATATTGAAAAAGTCTAAGAGAAGCTTTGCCTCCTATAGCTGCACATTTCTTTTGATCCACTGTGTCCGATTTAGATAAATAAGGTAAATCTGGGATGAGACGGCACATCATGAGTAAGAATCTCTCTTCTCAAAGCCTGTACTTCTCTGTCTCTTTAAGCAGCAGGATAGAAACTTGGTGGCAGTGTCTGTGTTTGGAAAATATTCATAGCTCTGCCTTGGAAATGGATAGCAAGGTGCTCACCATCACTCAAGGAGGATGCTACTGTTGTTGACGTATCTCAAAAGGGGCCAAAATCACACCATTGGTCTTGCACAAGATGTAGCTGTATAGCCACACTAGTGTGCACAGTTCCTTAGAGCTAAAATACCAATTTTAGAAAATTCCCTGCACCTTTTCTTGCTTTGAAGAATCTTCTGGTGATCCTGTCACTGTGAGACGAGAGCTCACTTTGGCAGATGGTACTGATTTAGCTGATTTTTCTTTACCAGACTTGTTAACCTTTCCTGCAGTCGAAACTGTAGCAGCAGAAACAGCTGAGGTTACAAAAGTAGAAGTGGGCACATTTACCGAAGGGATAGACAAAATGGCTGCTAAATCAGGATCCTTTTCCTCTGTAGAGGGTAGGGTGGGGTGAAGAATGGTTTGAATGAAACAGAAGAATAACAATGGTAAATGTGCTGCATTGTTGTGAACATTTCCAAGAGCTAAGGTTTTTTGTTTTTTTTTTTTAATGTTTGGTCAAAGTCAGGAGTTCTGAAATACAGCAGTTGGCTGCCTATGATGATGCTGGTCTGCCTTGTCAGTTGTAATCTGGATGTATGTTTCCATGACTGGCTGCAGCTAGGGATTTGCTTCTGGTGTGGGCTGGCAGTCCCAAATAGTCAGATACAAAAGATAGTCAGGTTCCAGATTAAGCAGAAAAAGAGGGCAGAATATTTATGTGGCTATGCAGGTTGCTGAGAAGCCAAGCTGAGAGCAATGTTCCACAGAGCAGGTCAGATGCATATGTATTTTAAAAAAATGTAAAGGTCTACATGCATTTTGAAATTGAATTCTAAAACACATTTAGCAATATAACCCAAGCCACTGATTTTTTTTCCATATGCATCAACACCTAGAGTGAAAATCAAATTTCATTGTAGTGCAGAACTGAATAGCAGTGACAAAGATCTTGCAGTGTAACTGACTATGTACTTCCTTTCACTTATTCTACCTGCTGCTTTTCCAGAAGATCCATAGCAACTAAAGGAAATATGGATTTCATTTTCTAAAGTTGCTGAAAACGATCCAAATTTGCTCACAGCTTTCTCTTGAGGAACTGAATTTTCTAAAAAAGAAGAAGAATGTACATTTGTATTTTAGACATCTGAACAGGATCATTTATCTATGACGACGGCTTCATTACTAAGGTCATGTGATGCTATTCCGTTCCGCAATGCGATCCACAATTATTCATACACATGCATACTGACACTTGGTGGGACCCTTCAGAGTAAACTAAATAAGGTAAGGCAAGTTACTTGGCTGCAACACTTGCCCGACTGATCATCTCTGAACTCACACATTTGAGTATTGCCTGCTCAGAGCAACATTCGGAACGTTGTAAAGCTGAGCAGACTTTTGGCAGGAGCCCATCCCCACTTTCCTCTGCACATGTTGCTAGGTGCAGCTCTTGCCTTGCAGTTTGTGCTGCCACAACAGAAGAAAAAAACTTAAGCAGGGTATGCAAGTGGGGAGGAGGGTGGATTGGGTGAGTTCACAGATGGCCAACTAAAGTTTCTGAATGCAATTACCATTTTCTCCTTATCAGTATTATATTATTTGCAAAGACTGACAAGAGCCAACACGCTTTCCACATTTACTTGTGATAGAGGGTCTAAACCCTGTTATGAATAGAATCCAAACGTAGAACAGAATCCAGCTTTTAACAATCTACAGGAGGTGGATTTCAGCATGTCCTGCTGGACAGACTTTCCTGAGGGTGCCCATCCAGGCATCTGACCAAGAAAGCTGCTGTCAAGCTGTCAGGACAGTGTTATTCCCACAGCTGAGGAGTGGGAGGACAGCAGAGCTTCCGGAGAGTCCTGAGGCTTGTCATGGACAAGATCAGAGTGGGGCAGAGGGCTGGAGACAGAGCGGGAGACACAGGCTCTTTGGGATGCTTGCCCTGTTGGCAAATTCCCATGGTCGCTCTGTGTGCTGCTCACATGCTGGCTCCCCAAGTGGCACAAACACAGAGCCACTTCAAAGCACCACTCCAACACAGGGCGGCAACCAGGCAGGAACGCCAAGCACTGCCGTGCCAAAGATCACTGCTCGTGGAGGAGGCATGGTTTGGTGCACCATTGCCAGGGATCATGTTGCCACAGCGAGGCATCAGAAAGCTGTGCGCCAACAAGACAGAAAGGGAGCACAGAGACAGCCAATCACTGTGCTGATGCCAGGAACTCTGCAGTTGTCAGGCAGATTTAGAGAGTGGACAAGTATGGGCAGAAGTGTCTGCTGCAGCCACAGCCACTTTTGCCACCCAAATCTATAGCAGAGACACAGAAACATGGCAGGTGGATCCACACGTACGGACAAGTGATGGTGAAGTGTGGAAACCTTACAACAAACTATTGCTTCTCTGCATGCTTTCAGGGAGAGGGAGGGGGAGAGTGGGAGAGAGTTTTACAATGATGCTCTTTAGTACTTTCCAAGAGCTTGTCAGAAATGAATCTGAAAAGAAGTTCTGTAGCCTGAACTAAACCATGGTTTGGCCAAGACATCTGAACCAGACCAGATGGCCAACCACAGCAGGCTGTTATTTTTCACACAGCTGGTCACTCTCTCACCTGACTTGGACTCTTGATCTTCCAGGGAGCCAAAACTTTCTTGTATATTTTTATTTTCTCTTGCACCTTCCTGGGGGTCTATGATATGAACAAAGAAACTGTGGTGGTCCTTTATCACCTTCACTTTGACCAAGGTTGCCCCTTGCAAAAAGAAGAGAAAAAATGGCAAAAGATGCATTCTTCTGCAGATAAAAATTTCACGAGAGCCAGGGTAGTGTAGTGGTTAAGAGAACCATAGAAACAGAGCAAAAAATCTTAAAGAAGAATCACCTTTTTCAAATATTATCTTTTCTGCCTGGATTTGCCCTCCATCAGTAGGAAATAGATATTGGATGGTCCCTGCAACTTGAATGGGATTCTCACCCATATTGTATCCAAGAAACTAGGAGAGAACAGTTATTTTTAAAAAGGTATAATCAGGTAGAAAAAAATATTGTTATATCAAACTAGGAAAATAGTCTAAAACATCCAATCAGCAAGATTTCCATGCTCAACTATTTTGTGACTAATTTCCCCCCTTAAAGTGTTAATTATCATACAGTCCCCTATTTAAAAAAAAGTTGTAGAGAACTGCAAGGTCATCATGTCCCTCTGCATCACCAGAACTAAACCCCATTTGGTTGAATGCAAAAGAGGATTTTAGAGATCTGGTGTTAAGAAGGATTTGGTCTTGAAACAAAAAGTTAAAAGAAGTAACCAGAGCAAAACTAGTACTGAGAGAGTTCACATAAGCAACCCTGTAAATATACCATCATATGCTGACTGTTCACTTATGCCAACATTTGATCATGCTTACTACACAGATTATTTCCTTGTCCCCCATTCCCCCTCCCACCAGCTGAGGCATATATGCCAGGTTACTAAAGTTGATGGATTTCCCCAGTCTGAGCTTGATGAAGGGCAACTGCAGAATAAAAGCCTTGTTTAGTAGGGAAGGTGCTCTGAGAAAAAGGAGGATGTCGAGAAGATCTGCCAGTCTTTTTGCCATCTCTTCTCTTTGAGTGAAAGAAAAGACTGATACACCTCTGCAGAAACCTCTGAAATACCACTGGGAATGAAAGGAAGTGCGAGAAAGGTTGGCTTTAACCCCTCCATGGGGAGGGGAAGACAAAGGCTCTTCACACATCTCAAAACAAACCCTTGGATGAACCAAATGCCTGCCTGGGTGGCACCATTTTTCTTACCTAAAAACATTTAAAGTTCGGGGAACAGAAGTCATGACTCTCTGCAGCTATTTCTCCCTTTGTTGTGGCTCATATTGCCTTAGGAGAAATGCCTGATATGCAGGGTAAATCTAGAAAGAAATTTACAAACCTGAAGGATTGTGCAAGGCACTACATTAATAAATAGTGAAGAAAGATGCAGAGTTCAATTGTTTTTTGCCTAGTTTGACCAAATTGGAACAAGGATATAATCCCTGTCAATATGTCTGTTGTGGAAATTGAAAGGAACTGTGTAAGAAGGCTGAATCCATGTCCCCTTGAATGTGCACACTGACAGTGAAGCTGCCCCCAAAATGCCACCAACATCTAGCAAGCTTTGAACTAAGACTCTATCCAAGCACAGAAACCATAAATGGAATGGACAAAGATAACAAAGCAAAACATGCTAAAACATTTACCTTAATTGTGAGGAAGAGTTAAACCAAGATACAGAGACAATGATAGCACTCAAAAGCAGGCTGTCTGTTCCAAATAGTACTCCTGCAGCAGTAAACTGTCTCACCTCATAATCTTTCTCTGGGGGCAAAGGAGGGATATTCTGTTTACTTTGTTTCTGTACTTTTGACTGGTCTTCAGAGTCTGGTGATTTAGCTGCCTCTGGTGATTTCGATGGTGATTTTGATTTCTCCTTGGAAGACTTCTTCTTGGATGCTTTTCCTTCCTCAGAGGCTGGTTGCTCCTTACTTTGCCCCTTTTTTTTGGCACTGGGTTTTTCCTTCTTCTCAGCTTTTTTTAATTCTTTCAGTCGTTCTTCCTCTAATAGTCGCTCCTGCTCTTCCTTCCAAGCCTATATAAAAAGGAAAGCTCAGAGTTGAAACTTAAGATGTAGAAGATTCCTGAATGGTTTTCCAACATATTTTTCTTTTACTGAAAGCAGCCACAGGCAAGCAGTGTGATCTGTGCTGTTGTACCCTCCATGGCTAACACCAACATCAGGGAATTATGTGTTTGTAGAGTTAATTGCCATTCCTGACACCCACAGCCATTTTTGGCAAAAGAAAAAGACATCAGGGATCCACAATGTGGATCTCCTATGGCTTATTTACTCTGGCCACCAGTTAATTATCATTCTGTTTCATTATGGAAACAATATGGAAGCTTAAAAAGTTATTTGTGAGCTTTTCTACAAGTGGATGTTAATTGGTTGTTAATCTGTAATATCTACTTTGGAGTTCATTGAAGAATTGAGATCCAAGCACGACACATGAGTTTCCTTTCTGATTTTCACATTCACAAGTAAATGCTACCAAAAATGCTTGTTAGACATAGAAACAAAATGGGAGGGTCATGCTATTGTCTGAAGAACCTGTAAATAATTGTGAGTAGGGAATATCAAGCACATGCAGAAAAGTACTATATTTCATGATAGGCTGAAGGATTTCTTCTGTTTTTTGCATTTCTTTTTTGGCGGGGAAGGCATAGGTTTAACTGTAGAAATTCGATCTATTTTAAGGAAAAAGTAATACAGTGGAACCTCGGCTCACGAATGCCTTGGTTCATGAACAAATTGGGTCATGAACAAAAATGTCTGAAAATTTTTGACTTGGGTCACAGACACCACTTTGGGTGGTGACCCAGATCGCAGCCATCTCCCCCGAGTGGGGAGATGGCCATGATTGCAGTTGCTTTCATGCAGGGAAGGTGTGCATAATCAGAGGCGCGCTCCTACAGGAAAGACAGGTGCAATCTCGGAGATCTCCCCACTCCCCCAACCAGCACGATTGCGGCCATCTCCTTGTCCCCTGCAACACAACCAAGATTGTGCCTGTCATCCCGGCATGCGCCCATCATCCTGGCGCGCTGGGGGGGTGGGGGGAGAGAGATGGGCGTGATTGCAGGCACACTGGAGGAGGAAGAGACGGGCGCAAATGGCGTGCTGGGGGGAGGAGAGATGGACGCGATCTTGGCCATCTCCCCCCCGCCCCCAGCACGATTGCGGCCATCTCCCCACTCAGGGGTGGCGGGGAGATGGCTGTGATCTTTGTTGTTGTCACTTTGCTTCACATTTTTCTGATTTAAAAAATGGTTACAGAATGGATTAACCTTATTTACATTGAACCTTATGGGGAAATTTAACTTGGCTCACAACCAATTTCGGTCATGACCAGAGTCCTGGAACAGATTAAGTTCATGAGCCAAGGAACCACTGTGCATAAAAAGAAATAGAAAAGAAACAATTATTAAAATAATAACATAATAAAGCAGCAACAAAGATTTAAAGTAACTTTAAAAGATAAAATAAGCTTGCATACTAGCTGACCCAATAAGGATATTGCTTAAAAACAGATTTTGGTTTTTTTCTTAACGGTCAAGCTATTATGGAAGATAAAACAGATAAAACACCTCCCCTTTTGGTATCATTTGCAAGAAGATAATAGTTGTTGGAAGATAATAGCTGTTCTTGGGCATTCACTGTGACATATGCATGCAGTCCTCCCTTTGGGAATACTGTAAGTAACTAGAGTTCATTTATTAGCCATACTTACATGTGTATACATACATACATACATACATACATACAAGGAGCACACTTCAGATTTGGCCAACTCTCATCCCAAATGAGAGCACACAAAAAAGTTGGTAGTAAGCATGAATATCAACTCTGAATTCCCTTCCCCCAGCCTACTAAGGACAGGGCATTCTTTTAAGACTGAGAGGCAATTAACACATCAGTGAAGGCAGAAGCCTTGTTATTTTATTTTTAACAATCAGACAAGAAATTAGAAGCAGGACAAAATCTGCTTATATCTGTTCAGTCACTGCGAGCCCTTAACAGCAATGGATAAACCCCAATCTGGCCCAGTTGTGCAGCACTATCTGCAGTCTCAGGCTGCACCAACAGCCAAATAATTGGGTAATTTCCAGGAATTTGATATATTTGTATATCAAGCCTCCCATGTACTCTCTCCACATAAGGAAAATACAAAGAGGATAGCATTTTGTGATGGTGCCAGCTTCTAATCACAGTGAATGGTCTGGTCAGGGCTCTCCAACCCTAGTGTTTTTGGGCAGCAAAGTTAAAATAATATCACAGGACCATTTCACTGCTCATGTTCTGCCTACCAGGGCTAGGATCATTAAAAGGTTTCTGTGAAATATGTGTGGCTAAGCAGGGTATAAATAGTTCTGAAAATAGCAGACAATCGACTCTTAAGTAAGAAACCTGCAAAGAAGGGGAGGTGCAGAGAATCATGTAGTAAGGGGGCCCTCAATTTTGGAGGTAGGGGAAAATGTGGATATACACTTTGGCCTCTAGGAGCACCAGCAACAAATGAAATGATCTGCAGATAGAAGTTTTTGTTCATGTGTTTACCTTAAGAGAGTCATCTCTGACAAAGATATTTTTTTCCTTCTCAACTAGAGGTTCAGGAGAAACGTCTACTTTACTTTTGGGAGGACCTTTTAGTATTGAGACAAGAATAATATATAAATATATATTACAGAAACATGAAAAATAATTCATTAAAAGGTCTATGTAACAAATACACTGTTAAACTTTAAAAGCATATAGAACTAAAGTACCCATATTCAGTATAATCAGTCTGATTGTGGCTATAATTCACCTCATATGCAACCTTATACCTGAACCCATAACATTCATTTAAAGACACACCTGCAGGAGTATCTAGGAGTGCCTCTTCCAACATAGTTGTGATGGTTCATAAGATAAAAATCCACAGTTGGGAAATAGCTTGATTAGGAAAGTAAGGAGTAACATGCCAATCTTCATATTAGTAAAGCCAGAGATTAATTTAAGGTATTGTACTAGATTAAAAATGTAATTGACACTAACAGAAGCCAAAAACCAAAACCAAAACCCCCTAGTTGTTGGAGAAGTGAAACCCCCAGAATACAAAATAACAGCCCAGAAACATTCTCTTAGAGCAATCACTTGAGGTGGTAATTATTAATCTTCAACACATTATTAGTTGCTCATAAAGGAATGTATGGAACAATACATCAATTTTACATCAATTTGTTAGAGTGTGAATTTGAAGAGTTAATGGGATTCCGTGACAACATATAGAGGAAAGTACTATGATTACTAGCACTCTGAGGCTCAATTCAAACATCATGACAATTGTTTTGACTATAGTTTAACCCCCAAACCACAATTTAGTACAGTTAGTAAAAAAATAAAGAAGGAATGGCAGGAATTTCTGAAACTCTAAAAGATTTTTATTAAGTAGAGCAAGCATGTTTGTTAGACTTTCTCTTGGAATGGAAGAAAGTAATTGATTAAGTTTACAGCAAAACATATTCAGTTTAACCAGCAGGAAATAACTCCACATTATGAGCAGCAGAGTAATGAAAAGGGAAACTAAAAAGTAAATAAGGCTATAATCCTGTAACAACTTACCTGTGAGTTAATGCCGTTGAATTTGAAAGTTCTTATGGATAGACACTTATAAACAATTGCTTGAGAAACTTTAAACAACTTACTTTTGGACTTCTTTGAGGCAGCACCTTTTTTGCCAGAAGTTGAGGGCTTTACATCCTCAGGTGGCTTTTCTGCTATCTCTTTAGCTAATCTAAGTGCTTCAAGTTCCTTAGCCATTTTTTCTTCCTGGTATTTGGCTTCTTCTCGTAGTATCCATTCATCAATAGAGCTAGCTACCAATTCCAGATAATTCCTGGAAGAAATATTTCTGCTTTTATCAACAAGAATGCAGGGTGATCAAGGATCTTTTCCTTCTCATTTTAAAATGTTAAACCTTTTTACTAGGTTACCTGCCATTTTGCATTTCAAATATTATAACATATTTTATCCTGCTCAACCAAGGGCTCATAAATCTTACCTAGAGCAAGTGAAGGATGGTGGCAGAGGATGCTATTTATACTAATTAGGTTTATTTCCCCCTTCTCAACACTGGGCTAATAGCCTAGCCTTGAAATAAGCTTGAGCTGTTGCTGCCATCAGGGCTTGAAGTTCCTGGAGGACTGCTTGGTATAGAAATAAGATTTTGAGGAACATGGCTATCTGGAGGGCTCCTTTTCCCTGTCTTTAAAAACAGTAAAGGTACAATCAAAATCAGCTACATCTTTTGTGGGAGAAGCATGGAGGGAACCTTTTTGTCCTCTACTGTATGCTAATAATCCTCCAAGTTTGGAAGATTGTGGGCAGCTACACCGGATTACACTGTAAACCTTTCTATTATTATTATTTGTCCTTAATCTGCAACTGAGACTGCCTCCAAGTGATCCTGAAACTGGTTTTGACACAAGAATGGATACTAGTTAGTATTCTCTAGTTGCATAAATAGAAGTTTCTCCTGAAAGCTATTTTGAAAACCATGGATACTGCTTTGAGCTATAGGATGTTTAAAGAGGCATTTGCCTGTAATATTGTATAAGGAGAGAGACTTCCTTTAGTGTCTTTTTTCTTGTCCAAGCCATTCAGGCCATTTTATTAGCCTAAATAAAAGCAATGAAGACTGGGAACTGAGGCTGGGAACAAAGCTGTAAGAACCATGGATGAAACTTTAAGCTTCAGTCCTCCCTCTGTGTCAGCCTATCAGTAGTTCACCAGTTGCTGCTGCATTTGAATGCATTTTGAAATGGCCAGGAAGTCAATTAATTTCTTCCAGTAACTAGAATTTTGTTACAAATATAGTAATATGGCTTAGGTTTGTTTCAGCTATTTGTTATGAAGAATTTCATCACAAAAGACTTGGAATGACAACTTGTGCAACTGCCACTGGTCTTAGAGGATTTGAGAGTAGCAACATGGCTTTGCTCATCAGCTGAATCAGGCTAGAGGAATGTTATGGTCCTGGCCAGGCAAACTAGGTAAAGAGATTCATAGGAGACCACCATTTGTGGCAAGTTTTTGGAATTAGCTTGTCTAACACTACAGACAGGGATGCACCTCTTCTGTTTGTCTTTCCCAGATGGATGGTCAGACATAATGCAGCAATCTGGCCTTAGTACAGTATCCGCACTGCTACAGTATATATCAAGACGACAGTTGGGCCACACATTACTGCCATGTGCCAAATTTGTTTATAATTCTGTTTACTCTTCTGCACAACGCATCTTCTGGAATTTTATTTATTTGTTTGTTTTTGTTAACAATGATTTCCATCCTCACTATTTTCCTGGCTCTTCCCTGCCAAAAGACATACCTGCAATAAGCAAACTTTTAAATAAATACCAAATTATCTCAAAGGTCTGCCAAGAGAACCTACAAGGACCATCCTGGCAAGGCTTAAAGGAGAATTTATATGACTTTTCATTAAATACAGTTGGAGAGCCACCCATCTCCAAAACTGGATCATCTGTTCTCCCCCATCATTATCACCTGTGTGCTGAACCTTCTGGCATTCCATATTCCCCTCCCTAATTCCATCAGAGTACATTCTGTTTTCCCTCAATCATTTATAATCCCTAACATTCCTTATACAAGCCCAGTGCAGACTGCCAGGAGAAGAAAATTGAGGCACAAGACATTCTGGATTCCAGAATACATCTCAACAACTCCAATACATTGTTGACTAGACAACTCCAATACATTGTTGACCAACTGAAACCAACCATATCCCACAGCTACTCCACCAGTTTCATAGATGCCATCAAGACCTCCATCCCTGCAGGGGCACAGTAACTGAGGGGAGGTTATTGTCATGTTCTATTCTGCCATGTTCAGACAACCTTTCTGAACTTCTTTTCATCTGAGGGTATATAGCCTAAGGGACACAGGTTTAGGCAAGATATCTAAGTGTCTTGGAGTTCTGCCTGTCTACACTTGAGCAAGAATATGGATCTCCTCATTTTGCTGGGCCCCCTAATGAGCTTGATCCCAGATCCTGCATATGCTGCTTGGTTCTTCCATTGTTTGGTAGATCTACTGGAGAGTGTATAATAGCACCTATTCCTGTGATATAACCAAGTCTGGAGTTTCTACAGCCATCCCAGACTGTATTCCATTTATCTGCCTCAGCAGAGCGACAATAAGTAGAGGCTTTCAGGGCTTTTACCACTAATTATGCCATAGGTGACTGCACAGGGTTGGGGGAGATGACTCCCTCACTGACAGAGGACATAGTTCCTATTCTAGGTCACTCAGATTAGCTCCCATGGTGAATGGGGAGAGTATGGCTAGAAGTGCCCTGTGAAGCTGAAAGTTTGCCTCAAGGTCACAAAAGTGGGTTGATTCTCTTTACTACAGGGAGAAACTGACTCATTTTCCACTGCCACTCCAAGTAAGACTGGCATGCTCCAAACAGGAATGGCACGCTCTGGGTGCCTGTGTGTTTCCACAAGCTCTTGTAGTATGGTACTTAGGTTCATGATGTGGCTAATTGGTTTCCACTGTGACAAGGCCAACCCCATTTGGGTTGGGAAGGTACCTATAGAAAAGAATACATGGTTTACAAGAATACATGTGTAGTGGCTTCTATAGGGCCACTATGCTTCAGAACTGTGCTGGAGTGATGCCTGTGTGACATTTTCCTCCCCCCCCCTTTTTTTTTTCTAAAGTCAACTGAAGAAAAGACTTAAGTGTGATCCTACAAGGAGCTCTCTCTGCTCTCAGTGGCAAACAAATGAAAGGACTTTGGTTCAGCCTGCCAATCTACAACAAAGGCAAGCAGGCATCTAGGCATCCAAAGGGGAGTGCGCTGCTGCTGCTGCTGAAAAGGGACACAGCCTTTCCTTTTGCTATCTCAGTGCTAACTGGTCTTTTCTTGGGCTTGAAAACTAAATGTACAAACAGTGAATTGCTCTCTTTGATGAACTATTTTTATTCAAAGCTAATCAAGCTTTATGTGAACCACCAGAGCATGCCATCCTCTTGTGAAAGCCAGAAGGAGGCTAGAGTGAGCCAGCCTGAGGATAACCAAATATTAGAGCTGAATCCTATTGGTTGCGGCATGCTATCATAGGGCTTTTTATACCACAGCAGTTTCTATTGGCAGTTATCAAATAATACAATTAATCATTCCTCATCATCGTAAGTCATCATAATATCCTTTTTGTGTGGTATTTCACACCTCTGTAATATTTGGAGAATTTACCTGAATCCAACATCAGAATGCAATGCAACATTCCAGGACTCCTGAAACTGATGGCGTTGGTTCATAGGATTGTGAAGGACTATCAGTAAAGAGTTATCTTGAGTGTGATAGTAAGAATCAATGCACCTGTAATTCTGGGTTGCATTGTGGAGAACCTGAAAATGAAAACAACCTTTTGTTAAAAGCCTGGCTGTAAAGATATTGGGAGAAAAGGACAGCATTTTTGGACAGTTTTAATACACAAAGCAGGTAACATGTACAGATACCCATTACCACCTCTTGGCTTTGCACTTTCAATAGAATAACTTGCCTGTATATGATAGCATAAAAATAAAAGGTAAAAAATTAAATAATAAAATAATTATAATTATATAAACAATTAAAACAATTAAAGGTAAATGAGATTTAATATAACATATATGACCAACTCTTCCACCTCAGCACAAAATACTTAAACATTCCAAAGAAAACAATAACAAAATCGTCAGAAACAAACTTAATTTTGGAGAAAATAAGTTAATTACTTTTTTTTTAAGCTGGAGCTCTAAAATTATATAGATATTTATGCAGTTACGCTATATGATGAGGAAGCTGCAGTAACAGAAGCTGGAAGCCTTCTCTCTGCTTTTCCACTATCTCCAAAATGCAAATATAGGCATATTCTACTTACCTTCATCAAAAAGTAACTGTGGTAACATTGTAGATGGACAGAAAAGGCAACTTCCCATACTTTGATGACAGGCATGAAATATCACTTATCAAGTGCAGATCTGAACCAGTGATAAAAAAATGAAATACACACTACCCTCTACTCATTTTGCTTCTATGGCATAAAAAGAAATACCTGGAAGAGGAGATGTGGTGGGAAATGTTCCGCAAAACTCCAGTCATTCAAACACCGCTGTTGGGTCTTCTGTATGGTTGTTAATTCTATGTCCAAAATTACCTTATGAAACACCACAGGGCAAATAACATTATCCTCAGTTAATAAGTCTGGGATAGAAGACATCACATACCAAGTGGCAGCATCTTTTTTTAAAACTTCAGAATCACATAATTCATTTTAAATTAGTCCACTTAAAATACATGCAGACATATTTCCACATTGGCATATCCATCCTACCAACATTATTGTGTTTTATATTTATTCATTCATTCATTCATTCAAACAATCTTTTCCCTACATAAGCTTGGTCTGGACTTGTGCAAAGCAATTCCAAGGAGCAAGCGACCACTTGAGGTAGAAGTATTAATGGAAAGTATCATTTGCCTCACCTAAAAATTTCACAAACACTTCCCAGAAAAATGATGTTCTCTGCATCCAATATGCTGACTTGTTTTGGGTATGATGACAATTCTAAAATGTATTCTGGGACTATCTCAATGGATGAACCCATAGTTCACACTGCCTTTTCAGAGAAACCATACTGTTAATTTTTTGGCTGAATAGAATCCATATCACTGCTTCAGAAACAAGAACCCATTCCATGCTCCTACCCTTCAAATTAGTCTGATGATAAAGCAAGTCTATAAATATAAATTCGCTTAACACTTGTACAGTTTTCAGCAATAAATTAAGCTGCTTCTGAAATCCTTTCTCCTATCAATATAACAGCCAGTATAAAAGCCAAAATCTGTGATCTGTCTGATACGGTGGTTCTGTGATGTAGGTTAAGTAGATCTGTGCTGTTGTTATCATCATTGTTGTTGCTGTTGCTGTTTTCATTTCTATACCACCCCACAGCCACAAAAACAGATGATAAAAACACAATAAAAATATAGAAAAATCAGAAAAAAGACACTGTCATGAGGTGAAGCTTTTCTCATGATCAATTAATTTCTAGTTTGAAACTCAGTCCACACTTGTTTGCTACTGGGAAACCTTTATGATGATTCAACTAAGTAGATATCATTTTGTGGGAGAGATTTTTTTTGGTCTCTATGGGACTAGTTTGATTACCTGAAGATACAGTATCTTGGGATTGTGGTGGTATAGCTCTAATAAAACGTCTACCTAGTGTGCAGCTGCTGTGAAGAAAGCAAATTCCATGTTGGACTTAGAAGTGGAATAAAAGCAAGTCTGCCAATATTGGACAGCCAGTGTGGTATATTGGTTAGAGTGTTGGACTGGGGAGATCTGGTCCACACTCACTGGGTGACTTTGGGTCAGTCACATACTCTCAGCCCAATCTACTTCACAGGGCACAAGGTTGCTCTCGTAAGCTACTTTGGATTTCTCACATGAAGAAAAAAGGTGGGATATAAATGAAATGTAACAACAGTAACAGCATTCTGCTCTTATACAAAATGATGGCACAGCCACATTTAGAATAGTCTGCACTGTTCCGATCACCACACCCTCAGAAGGTCTGAGAAAGGTGTCCAAAGGGCAACTGCAATGATCAAGGAACTGGAGCAACTCTCATTAGAAGAAAGGGCACAATGTTTTGAGCTGCTAGATTCAGAAAAATGGGGCGGAGGGGGGAGGAAGAATGATAAAAGCAGGTTGCTTACCTGTAACTGATGTTCTTCGAGTGGCCATCTGTGCAGTCACACATATGGGTGCTGCGCCTGCACAGTGCCTTTGGCCGGAGATTACAAGTTAACGGTTTTTTGGTGGGAAAGGTCTGCTCCCCCTCCCCCACAGCCTATAAAGAGCGGAGCGTCCGCCATTTCGTTCAGTCTTTGATGACTGGACGGACGCCCCCATGTGGAAAAAATTAGTTCTACCGTGAGCAGTTTTGGTACCAAGAAAAACAACGAACAATACTGGTACCAAGAAATAATGATAACATTTGGTACCGATGAAAGGTCCCGAGCGGGGCCGGCGGGTGGGTTGTGTGACTGCACAGATGGCCACTCGAAGAACATCAGTTACAGGTAAGCAACCTGCTTTTCTTCGTCGTGGCCTCTGTGCATCACACATATGGGTAGATTAACAAGCTTACCATAATGGAGGAGGAGAGGTGTCCTCAGCGAAGAACAGATGAAAGAACGGCTCTGCCGAAGGAACAATCCTGCCGAGCGTGGACGTCTAAGAGGTAATGCTTGGCGAAAGTGCAAGGATTCGCCCAAGTAGCAGCTCTACATACATCGTCAATCGGTATTCCCGATGCGAAGGCAGATGAGGCAGCCACAGCCCTAGTCAAATGGCCTCGAGGGGCTGTGGGCAAGTCGATGTTAGCCAGTTGGTAAGACAAAGTGATAGCATGAACTATGCACTTAGAAAGTCTCTGCAGAGTGACGGGGTGCCTTGGTCCCTGGTAGCATATTTAACGAAAAGTCTATGTGAACGTCGAATAGATTCCGTCCTGGATCTGTAGAAGGCTAAACAGCGCCGAACGTCAAGTGAATGTAATGACCTTTCTAACGGAGTAGACGGAGCCAGAAAAAAGGCAGGTAAAATAATATCTTGTCCCATATGAAAGGGTGTGGACACCTTAGGCAGAAAAGATGGATTGAGCCGCAGGACAACCTTTTCTCTATGAAAATTGAGATAAGGTGGGTCTACGTGTAGAGCGCAGAGCTCGCTGGCCCTCCGGGCTGAGGTAACCGCAACTAGGAATGCTGTTTTCCACGAGACAAGACATAAATCGATTGTTGCCAATGGTCCGAAAGGAGCTCTCGTAAGCACTTGCAGAACAACAGAGAGACTCCAGGTGGGCATTATTGGTCTGATCGATGGGTTCAGATTATAAAGTCCCTTCAGAAACCTTTTAATAGTAGGTTGAGAGAAAATGGACGAGCCGTCCACCATACCACGATGATAGGCGATTGCAGCCGTATACACTTTAATCGAAGATGGTTTCAGTCCAGAGTGGTGTAGTTTATTTATTTATTTTATTTATTAAAACATTTTATGCCGCCCCATTCGCCTCGGGGCGGCTTACAACATAGATAACTTCTAAGAGGAACTGAAGAATTTGATGTATCAATGATGTAAATGGAGAGAATGAACGAGAGTTGGCAAAGGTGGAGAAATGCTTTCATTTAGCTGCGTGAGACTTCCGTGTAGAAGGCTTTAAAGTGGAGTCCAATATGTATTGAATGTCCGGATGAAAGGTTGTCACATTCGATGGCACAATAGTCGGGTCCGACAGTGCTGGAGCAGCGCTGCCTCCAGAGGATTTGAAGGTTGCAACTTGTAGTGGATTCGAAGGTAGGATTCGAACCACTTGAAGTAGTCGTCAGTGTAGATGTAACGAAGTCAGTAGTGAATTCAAAGGTAGGATTCGAACCACTTGAAGTAGTCGTCAGTATAGACGTAACGAAGTCAGCTATCGGATTCGCCACGCTGTTAGTTTCAATGATAATATATCTGGGTGGCGAAGTGCACCGTCCTGCTGGGTTATCAGGTACGGGAGCGGTGGAAGATGAAGGTATTCCCCGTGAGAAATGTCCAGCAGTGTGGGAAACCAAGGTTGGCGTGGCCACCAAGGAGTAATTAGTATCCCTGTGGCCCGATCGCAAACAATCTTTGTTATGACTCCCATCACCAGAGGAATCGGTGGGAAGGTGTAGAAATTCAGGTTGTTCCATGGAATCATGAAGGCGTCCCCTAGGGATTCGTACCCGATTCCCGCTCTAACAGAAAGTCGCACACACCTTGTTCTGTTGGGTGGCAAACAAGTCCACGTCGGGAAACCCCCAGTGATGAAAAAGGTCCTCGTGTGTCTGGGGGTCTAGTTCCCATTCGTGAAAGATGAGCATGCGCCTGCTGAGAAGGTCCGCTTCCACGTTGTCCATACTGGCCAGATGGACTGCTATTATCGTAATGTCTCTTGAAATGCACCACTCCCAGATCTGCATAGAAAGTCTGGCCAGGGTTGGAGACTTCGTCCCACCTTGCTTGTTCAGACAAAAAACAGTGACTATGTTGTCTGACGTTATCTGAACAACCCGATGTTGAAGAACATCTTCAAAAGAGCGTAGGGCTTTGAATACGGCCAACAATTCCAGGAAGTTGATATGATTCGTGGATTCCTGATGAGTCCACGTGCCCTGAGTATACAGGCCGAAGCATACCGCTCCCCAACCCAGAAGAGACGCATCGGTACTGACTGTTATCGATGGGCCCTGGGGCCTGAAGGGGACCCCAGCAGTCAGATTGTCCGGGACCAACCACCATAGTAGGGAATGGAATATCGAGGATGGGACTCGAAGCAGTTTCGACGGTGGATCTCTCTGTGGGTGGAACACTTTGTTGAAAAATAGCTGCAAAGCACGGAGTCGCAGTCTGGCGTGTGGCACCACTGCAATGGTGGAAGCCATATGTCCTAGAAGCCTCTGGATGGACTTCGCCGGAACCGATCTGTCTCGTCGCATTCGATGAACATGGCGAGCGAGAGTCAGTTGTCTGTCCCGAGGGAGGAACGACTTTTCCAACATCGAATTCAAGTGGGCTCCGATGAACGTAAGCTTCTGTACCAGAAGGAGAGAAGATTTCTCAGTATTAATGCAAAGGCCCAGGTCGTCCAATAAGGCGCAGGTAATACGGATAGAAGTGAGAAGCGCTTCCCTGGACCTGGAGACTAGGAGCCAGTCATCAAGGTAAGGGTAAACTTGTATGCCCTGGAGGTGTAGGTAAGCGCAGACAGGGGCCATGCATTTAGTAAACACTCTCGAAGCAGTGGCCAAACTGAAGGGTAGAACCATGAATTCGTAGAAATTGGAGGCAACAGCAAAGCGAAGGAAACACCTACATTTGGGATGGATTGCAATATGGAAATAGGCGTCCTTCAAGTCCAATGAGGCGAACCAATCCTCTTTCCTAAGCAGCGGCAAAATATTTTGGAAGGTGGTCATTCGAAACGTCCTCGTCACAATGCATCGATTCAGACTACATAAGTCTAAAATCGGAAGTAGGCCACCATCCAGTTTGGGAACTGTAAAATATCTAGAATAGAATCCGTGAAGGCCGTCATATTGAGTTACTTGACGAATCGCTCCTTTACGAAGAAGTTGTTGTATTTCATCAAGCAGTACCGGCAAGCAAGATGTAAACCGGATCGGACTCGATGGAGGAACGGTATCGAATTCTATCCTATAGCCGTGCTGTATGATGGACAATACCCACCAATCAGATATGATGGACTCCCAAATGGGGAGTCGGCTTCGCAGACGGTCCCCAGATGAGAGGGGTGGGTATAGGATAGGGTAGAGGAATGGTTCGCCAGTCCCGTCAACGCTGCCTCCTGTCGTCATATCGGTGGCGGCCCTGTTGGTAGCGTTGTTGGGGCTGTTGTCGATGGCATTGCTGCTGTTGTTGCTGCCTGTGCTGAGGCTGTTGCCTGGAATGGTAAGGCTGTCTGTAGGGCAGATAGGTCCATGCCCACTTACGCCTCGGTTGCGACTGGAGCTCCATCTGTCGGGCCGTCATGCGGGACTCATGAAGTTTTTTGAGTTTATGATGTCTTCGAATGGAAAAGCCCGGACCCGTCAAAGGGCATTTCCTCGATACACCGCTTGGTCTCTTCGGGGAAGTTGGCGCTCCTCAGCCACGCATGCCTATGAAGAGAGACGGCACCAACCAAGGCCCTTGAGTTGGTGTCCACATGGTGCCTGGCTGTGGACAGCTGTTGGACTGCGACGTGCATCGCCTCCTTGATTAGCACTTTGGACAAGTCGCTTTGTTGGTCTGGGAGAGCTGAGACGACGTTGTGGAGGCGTTGCATTATAAAATACTGGTATCTTGCCAACATCGCCTCACAGTTCGAGATACGCAGCCCCAAGCCTGAAGCTGCGTAGACCCTCCTGGCCAGGGAGCCGATCTTGCAGCCTCGTTGTCTCGTGCAGCAGTGTGGCCTCTTGCCTCTCTACCCTGGGAGGACTCCAACACAACCGAGTTCGGCTTGGGGTGTCGGAGGAGGAATGGTATGTCCTCCTCCTGAACCCGGTACATGGCTTCGTACCTCCGCAATGTTGGTTGAGGGTGAGAGGGCAAGTCCCAGGGCTGCGTCATTGCCTGCCGGAGGGTGGTGATCAGGGGCAGGACGATGGAGGTGGACTGCTCCCTGCGGACGACGTCATAAAATTTATCCGTCGACGGTCCTGGGTGCTGGATGACGTCGATATCCAGGGACTGGACAAGCCTGGACATCAGCTCCATGAAAGAGACGTGGGACTCGTCCGGTGACGCAAGGCCCTGGGAGGTCACTGCAACATCGGGAGAGGTGGAACTGACGTCCAAGTTGTCGGAGTCCGCGCCGTAATACAGAGGGGCCGAAGAAGAGGACTCCACCGGCGAGACGGACTGGCTGCTTTCCTCCCGGGGAACCGGGGATGTGCGCCTCGGATCCAGGGGCAGCGGGTGATCGTGAGAGCGTGGTGGGGACCAATCCCTCGGCACAGGATAGTACCCGGTTGAGTATGGCTCGCCCCAGGATGGATAGTAGGAGCGACGCAGTCCTCGGATCGCTGCTCCCTGGAGTGACTCCAGTGGGCCTTGGGCGGGGATCCGACCACATCCGCCTCCATCGTGGCCATGGGCATAGGCATGGGTGACCTAGCCCTGGGGGGAGAGTCTTGAATTTCCCCATCAGAGATCGACCCCCGCTGAAGAGGTGGAAGTGGCTTGGTAGGGAGGTCAGCCACACGACGAGGAGACCCTTGAGGGGTGACCCTCATGGCTGCCTGGAGTACCGGCTCAGGTGGGGTCAGTACAGTGGTTGCTGCTGGTACCAACGCTGCCATCAAACCCGAGTCGCGGTGTCGTGGCCGCTCCGGATCCCTCGACTTCTGGGTTGGTTTAGGAGGCTTCTCTTTCCTGGCCTTCTTAGCTGATTTATCAGCACCAGCATGCTTGCGCATCTCACGTTTCTTTTTGGGAGAAGTGGATGGGGCCCTCAAGGTAGAGGCACCTTCGTCCGACGGGCGCGAGGGTGGGACTACCGTAGCTCGGCCAGGCTTCGGAGCGGCGACGAGTGGTTCAGACTGCATAAGAGCTCGATCCCACAGGAGCCTCCGGAGGCGGTTCTCCTGATTTTTCCTGGCCTGCTTAGAGAAGGCCAGGCAGTGGGAGCACTTGTCGGTCCTATGCCCCTCCCCCAAGCAGAGGAGGCATAGGTCGTGCGGGTCAGATGGAGACATCTTCGACCCGCATTCCGCGCATTTGCGGAAAGCTGCTCACTGCGCCATTGCAAGAAGAGGAAAAAAGAAGACCGTGCAGAGGGTAAGAATATATTTTTGGGTTTTTTTATATTTTTTTATTATAGAAGAAGGTAGAACGGTGAAACGATAGAACTATAGAAGTAACAAGAACTAACAAGAACTATAGAGATAACAAGAACTAACAGGGATATAAAACTGGGAGTTTAACAAAGAAGAGGAAAATAGGCTACAAGTAACAATCAAAGCGATAGTCAAAAGCGGCACGAGGCACAGCGAACAGCGGTTGCAAAGACTGAACAAAATGGCGGACACTCCACTCTTTATAGGCTGTGGGGGAGGGGGAGTGGACCTTTCCCACCAAAAAACCGTTAGACTGTAATCTCCGGCCAAAGGCACTGCGCAGGCACAGCACCCATATGTGTGATGCACAGAGGCCACGACAAAGAATGGGTGAGAATATGAAAACATATTTGATGATTCTCATTAAAAATTGGATTATTTTATTTCAGAGAATATTTTGGACTGTAGGATCCTATTTTTCTTTTGCTGGTATACAGTATAGAAACCTTAAGATACGAGACTTTCAGCTATTTAAGAGTTCCATCTACTGCGTATCATTTTAAAAATGGAAAACACACAGGAATGTTCACTAATGATAATTCACACATATAACCCATCTTTGTATCACTCTATAATGCATATTTTATTCTAATTGCAGTGTTTCTTACGTTATTTTCAAGAGAACCATTGAGACCACTTCCATGATCGCTGGAAATGCAATCTGGAAAATATACATAAAAGATACATTTTAAAAATTCAGGTACTTCACATTTTGCTACCCTGTTGCCTTACTTGCCTCGACTAAGGTTGTGGGTGGCACAGCCTTCACGTGCCGTGTCCTTCAGCATCACCTCTATGCATAATTAGAGCATTGCCTTATTCCTCTCACTTGGCATTCTTTCCTTTGGATGAAGCATGGTTAGACATGTCCACATGAAGGTTTTGGAACAGCATGTTAAACAGAAGGGGTGTTTGGCAGACAGAGGCCATCCTTCCATGGCCAGTAACGCTGGCAGTCAGGTTAAGAGCAGAGTCCCTGCATCAGGCGGCCTTGGTTCTTTAGGACTGGGGCGCCTAGTGGAGATTCTTCTCTTTACATGTGCCCAACATACAAGCTCTTCTTCCAAGAAGCACTGGGGAACTTCACATAGTGTGGAAAGCAGCACTGATGGCCCTGATGCTAACTTCACACATTCATTTTGAATGCCTAAAGCAAGCAACCATTGAGCAATTCCCCACTTTTCCTCCTCCTCTTCATTTAATCTAGGATGCAGATAGAACTGACCTGGGGCTTTAAAAGAACTCTAACAGCAGAACTCTGTTGAAGTCCCAGTGGCCTGGAGCTGGGAGAACCAAAATTGAGAAGGTTTTCTTCCACTTGGGAGGACTACAGCACAGTGAATTTGAATTGCGTGCTTACTGTGATGAATAGGAGCAGCAACCCAATAAAGGACACCCTGGTCCACTGAAAAAAAGGTAATATTTAGGGTTGGCTTTCTCCAAATCCTGTACTTCTCAGATACAATTCAGAGCTCATGTCATTACTGGCTGAACAGTCATAATTCCCTTTCCTTAGCATGATCCCAGCTGCTTAACATTGAGTTCAATGAACAGTAAATAATGGGGAAAGTAAATATGGCCAACTGGGGGGGGGCAAGTTGGCAGTGACTGCTTCCTGCTTCTCATCTCCTCTGATCCCCCCACGCCATGCACAATGTTTTAATGCATTCATGTTGACAGATAAATGTCCCTTACCTGATGTGTCGAGGTTATTTTCTTCCAATTTCTTTTTGCTGCTGAATTCTTGTCTCAGCTGTTTAGCAAATCTAGCTGGATTATCCCATGGGATATAAGAAACCTCATAATCACCACCAAGCATTATGCCAGAACTTTCCAGTTGTCCAGAATTATGTGCCCTTGTTAGCCTCATACTTTCAAAAGTAAACACTTTAAAGGCTCGTTCTACTTCCGCCCAGTTCATTTGTTCTGCAGGAAAATCAAGGCATAAAAAACCTTGTAGTTCATTTGTCTTTGGCATTCCATCTAACAGATTTTTGAAAAAAAAAACTCAAAGAGTTTTCTGTTACGAAGAACTTACTTATGGATATTGATCATTTTCACAAAAAATGACCCTAACATTAAAAAATAATAATGTATTGCTTATACAAAAATCTTATGGGTTGGGTTAGAGCACCGCAGAAGCAGAAGCTGACTTGCACTGCAGAAGCAGAAGAAAAATCTTTCCTGTGCCTGGTAACTGGAGCAGAGTTACTGTGGCAAGAAACCTCTCACTATCACTTATGGAAGATGCACATTTAGATCAAAATGTTATACATCAGACAAAGAAGCAGGAAGCAATTCAACAGCTCTCAATAGCAACCTCTTAGAACGATGAGTTGGCACCCTCTGGTAAGTTGTTCATAAAGCAGTCAGTAACTATGGAATCCTGTACATGTGTACTCAGAAGCAACTTCCACAGATTTCAGTGGGGTTTAATCTGGTGTGAGTGGGTACAGAATTGTAAGCCAAGGGAATAATTTTACCATTGGTGCAATAGTGCATGAGTTCATGAATCCTGGCAAGGCGTTTAGTATTGTTTCCTGGTGGAGGAAGAGGGAATTTAAGAAGATCCATCAAAGGCAGCTTGTTCATCATTTCATCTTCAACCCTTGCTGGGTCTAAACAATCTTGTACCTGACATAGAAAGAAAGTTATGAATTTTTACTAATGGCATGATATGTCATATTGAGAGACAGTATGGTGGAGTGGTTAAGAGTGCGAGTCTGGGACTCGAGCAATCTGGGGTCTAGTCACCACTTGGCCATGGAGCCAACTGCGTGATTTTGGGCCAGTAATAGACTCTCAGCCCACCCTACCTCACAGGGTTGTTGTAGGAATAAGATTGGGAGCAGGAGAAGAATGATGTAATCCACTTTGAGTTTGGTGTAAGAAAAAATGGGCTATAAGTCAAATAAATAAATATAAAATACCCTATATAAGAATATTTTGGAACATAAACATTTAACTGAAAACCAGCCCTTTGAACTTTTGGCCAGGGCACCAAATCCTACATATGCTTGCTAGCTGTTCTGCATATGCTGTTGTGAAATTGTGGGACTATTGAATCCACTGTTTGCTGATATCATCTACCTTCTATGTGTTGGCACAAGTTTTAGAAGCAGGCTGTAAAGCAATATGGAAGTCACACAAATATTTCCTTAAAGAAAATACATCAGAGTCAGTTCAATAACTGCAGAAAGTATTTTCTTCAACATGATGCATTCGTCTGTTGGGTGACAGTAGAAACAATACAACCAGTTCACATATCACAGCTGCTAATTGTGGGTTATTTATTATTAGCCAGTTACCTTTTCTGTACAAAGCTTCCATTCAAAGGTTTATGAGCATAATGTCCAAACCCAGAAAAATTGGTTGTTCAGAAGTGAAACAACAATCCATGGGTTAATTGCTGGACTGCTTAGCCCCTGGATTTGTATGTCACACAACCTTCTATCAGGCAGATTTAAGGTTGTTTACAGAAACCAGAAATGACTGGAAGGTTGCACATGCCCCCATAAATTGGGGATTAAATAACTCATGATTTGTTGCCATGACTGGTGAACTAGGCCAACAGACTTGTTTACTGCCATATAAAAATAAGCATCAAGAATCAACTTAAAGTATTCATATAAAATACAGTTTGCAAATCAGTTTGATAGTGCTATGGTTTGGCCTTATGTCTGAACTGGCAAACGTGACTTGAAACCAGTTGATAGTGTTAAACTATCAGATTTATATCAGTATGGATTTCATTTTTGCAGGGAGACCAAATTTGGTTGCAATCTGGGCAATGCCTTGAGTCCTGCCCATGTTATTCCTAGTCATTTTTCTCTGTGTCCAAAGATCCACTATTTCCATATATCTTACTGATGAAAAAACCCATCCAAATCAAACTTCACCATACCTTTAGGAAGTGCAACTTCTGAGACAAACTATCATGATAGTTCAATATAAGAGGCCATTTGACAGCTTGCGTGTTTTCTTCATTTTTAGGGTAAAATGAGTTGTATAAATTCTGTTATATAAAAGAAAAATACATTTAAAATAATACAAATTTGTTTGTCAAAGAAACTTAATTCTGGGCAATACAAACCATTTTTTCAGTCTCAGAAAGGGCAAGTGAAGGCAGGATGGAAACAATATGACTTGCAATGGTATGATCCAGCCCATCTTCACGTGGCTCTGGAATCACCAGACTTGGTGGTATAAGGTTTTCTTCTGATGCAACAACCTGGCACAAGATATAATATTTATTTCACAAGACCACTGCACGTGTTTAACCTGCAAGTTACAGCAACTGCAGATACAGAGCCTGTATTAACAATGTGTTGGAGATACTATTTGTTAGAGTGTTTGACTCAGTGAAGTAGCATTGAAGGGGCAGATGTCTGCTCTAACCTACGCACTTACAAAGGATAAACAATTTACCTCTAGCTATCCTGCACTGATCAGTGGGCTGGACTAGATGACTTTCAAGATCCCTTCCAATTCTATCATTCTGTGTAGATATAGGTTGCCAGCTAGGTACTTGCAATGTGGAATGGTAACTTCAGCTGCATCATAGTGTCCATTGAACAGACTTTGTTTTTATTCTAATGAAGACATCTAACGAAGAGCATGATCCTAACGGCTGCAATTTCCCTGCCTTTTGGAGCTTCAGCAAACATGAAAAACCCTTTATGAACATAACTGCAACATCCAGCAGTAAATCAGGAGAACTCAAAAACTGTGGAGACATGAGCCTCACCCGAGCTGATTCCTGCTTCCAATAAAAACTCTCAAATGTGGCATATAACAATTATTTCTGTAACATCCAAATAGGTTATTTGTGGGTTTAAAAAACCCAGTTCATGTGTTAACTTGGGGTTGTTTAACTCAGGAATAACCCCAAGTTCTACTGCTTGGACATCATGAAAATAATATCCAATGTAGCATGTAGAATGGATTTCCACTGTGTCTGACCAGTGAACTGAAGGACCATATTCTGTTGCTTTAGTTCCAAAAGTAGCCTGGGATATGTGGAAAGTCCCACAGAATTTGACATCAACCCAATCACTATTCTTGAATAAATTGAAAAGTGTGCTTACCTGTTGCAACATGCAATGTAGTATTAAGGCAACAGAAATAATCTCATCAGGGACTGTGTTTAAGAGATCATCGTAGTACCTCATGTCCACATCTGTAATAAAGAAGTAATATATTCTTTAATCAAAAGAAAATTATAAATAACTTATTCAAACCAATTAGCTAAGTATAGATACAGATAAATGGAACACCAGAATGCTGTTATGAATTTCTTTCCTGGAGCAGAAGCCTAACAGAACAAGCTTCTGAAAGCTGTAAAAGACCAAGTTAATTTCAGAATTAATGACGTATCCAGTCTGGAAATCATGCTGACTTCCAAGTAGGTCAGACATACAGCTGACAGGGCACTTAGCCCCCATTATGCTAAAGTAAACTGATGCCAGAAAGGCCATCCTCAAGGTCAAAACTTGAGAGAGGCAGACTTAGTGGTTCATCGTTGTGGGCATGAGTGCAGATAAACCATGAATTCAGCTGCCCCAGGAACATGGGGGCAGGCTGCAACACTTTCCTCTGATGTACAGCTGATGGCTGATCAGTGGGGCTTTCAGAGGGGCAGGTTGCCCCTATGTGGTTTAGACTATAGAAGCTTCCAACCTCTAGATGGGTGGAATTTCAATACCAATGACCTGCCCACGGAGTTTTATGGATTCCGAGGGCTTTTTGGTCTTCCTTGTGAATTCTCATGCTGATAAGAGTCCTGCTTGCACTTTTCTTATTTCTGTAAATTGAGGATGGCTTGGGTTCTGTGTATAAAAGTGGACTTTAAGGACCTGTTTCTTATATCTTCCATCCAGGATAGGTACACAATCTTCATAATGCTTGCATATTTATAAAGATGGAAAAGACAGAGTTAAATGGTGTTCAGTGACAACAGAACTAAATATAACTATCACTGCCTTCTGGGGTTAGTGTTACTTACCCAGTTGTGTGCAGAACACCATGGCAGAATAGAACTCCACCCATTGTGAACAACTTCAGGACGGCAAAAGGGCCATCACATACCAGCACCTGCAAATCATTCTCTCTGGAAAACTGAGGTTTACAAGAGTACACTACTGAACCCCACTGGTGATTCTCCATTAATCAGACCTTCTTTCCCACTGACCCTCAATAGTGTACTGTGACTAAAGCTCAAGAACATGGGAGTGGCTAGGACTGTAATCTGATGGGCATGCCATAAGATTTAAAAGCCTTGCTTGGTTTGTAGAGTAATCACTGCTATTTTCCCTGCAATGTTATACATTCTACCCCAAAATAAATAGCAAGTGTTGACAACAAGCCTTTGTCTTGGTGCAGTGCAAATAGGAAATACTTACTTCAGAAGTTGTGCTAGCTATATTCTCAGGTTCCAGGTTGAGCCGCTACTCCTACTCTTTTATCTCAAAGAGAACCATTCCTGCTGCTCTCAGTTTTACACATGTTTTTTGTCTGTTTCCCCAAACTACTGAAAAATAATTGCCCTTTCTAATAGCAATGTTTGGGAAATTATATTTTGCACATACCTGTTGTTAAAACTGGGGGCGCAACAGGCTCTTCTGTCACCTGTTTTTTCCTTGAAGGAGTAGTTGGAGCAGCAAGTTGCACCTAATGCAACAAAACACTGGTTTTAAAAATGACTGTAGAACATTCTTACATCCTAATCAGCCAAGTACTGCTGAAGTATTGGGGGGATATTACCTTAAATTAGTTGTCATTATTGCTTTTTACTAAAGAGTTCAAACTCACTGGCTCTCTGGATATGTGTACTGTGCACTTTTTCACTAGCATTACCCTAACACCTTGCCACAAGAGTAGATTTTATCTCAGAGAGAAGCAGCTTGAAAAGCTGCCGGGGCATTGGTACATCATGTTGAATGGGGCAGAAGTCAGTGTGTATGTGGGTCCTTGAAAGGAGCTGACAGAAGTGGTTCCTTGTCTCTATCATAACAGGCAAATACTTCCCTAATTGCCTTATCACCAAGTAGCCAATGAACACATGAGGGTGCCATTTGTTGATAAGTGCCACCAAGTTATCTCTGACTTGCAGTGATCCAATTAATGAAAGCCCTCCAAAATGTCCTTCTTATGAGAGCTCAGTTCAGCTCTTCCAAGTTCAAGGCTGTGGCTTGCTTTATAGAATCCCAGAATAGTAGAGTTGGAAGTGGTCAGTTAAACCATACCTCTCAGATGGCAGTCCAATTTCACCTTGAATACTTCTAGTGGGAGAGCCCATAACCTCCCCAGGTAGTCGGTTCCATTGTCATACTGCTCTGACAGTGAGGACATTTTTCCTGGTATCTAGCTGGAATCTGGTTTCCTGTAACTTAAGTCCTTTATTCTGTGTCCTGCACTCTTGAATGATCAAGAGTTTTTTATCCTATCTCTTTGTGACAGCCTTTCTAGTACTTTTAGAGTGCTATCATATCACCCCTCACTCTACTCTTCCCAAGGTGAAATATGCCCAGTTCTCTCAATCTTTCCTCAGAAGACTTAGTTTCCAGTCCCTGAATCATCCTTGGTGCCCTATGAAAAGCAGAGTGAGGGGAAAAATCACCCTGCAATTCTAATCTTGTCAGATATGTGCAAGAAAAACATGGAGAATGAGAGGCAGAAGAAAAGAGAAATGCAAGAAAAACATGGACAGGATCAAAGTTGGGTACATTGAATGCAGAAACAGATTGAAAAATGGTAGGCAGTAGGAAAATCAAGGTAAAAACAGCAAACATTCATGAAATGGAGGGTGATGGAGATGGACAACAGAGTGAGAAGGCAAAAGGAGAGAGGCAGTGACAGACTGAAAGATGGACAGTGGGATGTGAGGACAAGGAGTAAAAAAGCAAAAGTTAGCAACAGATTGAAAGCACAGAGTAGGCAGTAGAGCAAACAAGAGGCTGAGGCCAAGGGCAGAAAGCATGGCCACCTGAGAAAGCCTGGAGCATGGTCTCTAACCTCAGCAGCTAATTTGCTCTTCTTCTCTACTAGAGGGACATTAATAAATTTGGTGGATTTCAAGTAGTGCTGATGCTGTCTTTTCCAATCCAGGCAGTCATACATTAAGCATGCTACACTTTCAAAAAGGTCCGTTCCAAATTCAAGCTATACAAAAGAAAAGTATAAAGATTAGGCTTATAATATGCAGAGTCAGTCAAACACAGTAAGCCTCTAAGCAATAATTACAAATCTAACCTAACAACAAAAAGAACATAATCTTGTCCTATTCAGTCGTAATACATCTTACTACTAATATTCCCTCCCTCCCCGCCCCAAAATAGATTTTCATAATGGGAGAGTTGCAAAGAAGATGGAAATTGTAATGCTTTGATAGGTCTCTTTGAGTGCCTTTCCCAAGCTGGTTTCCTCCAATTGTTTTGAACTACAATGTCTAGCATTCCTAACCAGTAGGCCATACTAACAGACTGATGGGAGTTGAAACCCCAAGCATACTGAGGACACCCAATTAAGGAAGACTACCATATCAAACCATATGTTTATGCCACCAAAGACCAGAATTCCAAAATCAATGACAGCTAAAGTAAATGCCTTCCCTTTACCCAATCATCCATTGCGGGCAATTCTGCATGACAGATTTTGTTTTACAAATGATGCATAGCTGGATGCAATTCCACACTTCTGGGCAACCCACTAACATTAAAATTGCATGTATTTCCTAGGCAGTTGGTATCCCCTCCCTGCACCATACTGTTGGACTACCTCTGACTGTAACCAGCTGTCCTTCTTGTCCGCAGACTTTACTTGTTGCATTTAAACATGGTTCATTTAGATAACAACTTCAGGCCATCCAAATTTGTGATGTGTTCTCTTATCAGAGGCCACAGCCATCCTCATATATTATCTGATATCAGGTTCACATAAATGCCTGACCATTTCCAAGGCATGTCATATGATTTCCAAGCTTAATTTGTTCATTTACAAAATCACAGTCTACATTAGGTGACATTAACTGGCATAAGTCTGGACCAAATCCTTCCCCCTCATAAGGCATCATCTTCCCCTCCCCCCATTCCCCAAACTTTAAAGAGGAAAAGTTGTGGTGAATGATTAGCATTTTTGAGAATGGAATTTGGTAGCAAGCCATGGGGAGAATGCTTGAATGGTGAACTCCTTTAGTCAAAACGGCCATTTAAGTAGAATGAATTACTGCTGACAAAAGATCTAGTTTCACATTTATAATTTATTAGCAAAGTCTATTGTCCCTTAGCAAAAGATTTTCTCTCCTCTGACTTTTCCACATTTTTTGAGTAACAGACTGCAATTAAAATGGCCTTGTTTGTTGTATTCACCCTTTGATAGATGCACCTTTGGCAGCAATTACAGCTGTGGGTTGTCTTATTCTTGCACAAAGTACATAAACCAGTAAGTCATGTGTAAAGAAGCAAAACTCTACCCGCACAGCACGCATGTTAGCGGCATGTGCACAACCCAGCCTCAGGGGCTCATTGTGACTTATTTCCTGCTGGATCCCCGTGCAAACACTTGGTGTGGATTGGGCTTTAGACAAAGTGAAATCAGGCCAGGGCCCAGAGAACAAAGTTGGGAAAATCTGATGGTTTCCCACCCTCAAACTGGATTCTTCATACATTACTACTTAACACTCTTTCATAAAATCCAGTTTTGTGGAGCATCTGGGTCAATTACATACAACAGCAATCCAATTCAATTGGATTGAATTGGATTGGATCACAATTGAATTGGATCACAGGTTTCCAGGGACAAGAACTTTAAATTACTTTTGTATTTAATTACCAGTCATCCGCCAACACAATTGTGTGTTCTGATGCCCAACCCACCAGGACAGAGGAATGCTAGTTTGCCATGTAGTACATAAACCTGTTCTGCCTGGTAAATCAGCAAAGGAAGAGGCAGAGAATAGGACTAGGATGTATATACAAAGTTCAAGCCAGAGTGGACCTTATCAGGTCATGCCTCTAGTTCTATGGCATGAGGTTGAATTTAGGAAACCAAATCGGAAGCAGTAGATCTCAGAAAATATATCCCTCTCAACTATGGATGCATGAGAAGTTTATTTCAGTTCATTTTTTTAACCAGGATATGAACAATTCATACCATCCACACCAAACTCAAGACTCAGAAAAAAATCAGTAGCCTGTAGATTTCCAAGCTTGCAATGTGATTTATGCACCTAAAGAAATGTTTTTGACAGCATGCATCTATTTTAAAAATGTACACTTTAAAATGTACACAAATATACTTTAATCAATGGAAGAAGAATGTATATATTTCTGAGATGTACACAACTGATTCTTACATTACACTGTAATGTAGTGGTTGAGAGTTCTGGACTGGGATTCAGGTGAACTGAATTCTATTTCCAGTTAGCCATGAAACTCACTGGGCGACTTTGGGCCAGTCACAGACTCAGCCTAACCTACCTCACAGGGTGGTTGTTGTGAGGATAAGAGGGAGAGGAGGTAAACATTGTAAGATGCCTTGGGTTCCTTGCAAGAGGAAGAAAGGTGGGATATATATCAATAATAATACTGATACTCTTGAAAGAAGTTGCTTGGATTTTCATGTGGGAAAGCCCTGAGACTGATGCAGATTCAAGTCAGAATGATCTACAAGATGGAATTTGGGGAAGTCCGGTGAGCTAATTTTTCCTGATGTGCAAATTCTTACATGCAGCCAAGTGACAGCTACCTTGCTAGATGCATCTTCACTCACCATGCTACAACAGCTGCAGCATAGAGGCCATCACAAGTAGGCATCATAGAATCATGGAAGGTTTGGAAGGGGCCTACAAGAACATTGAGTCCAGCCCTTGGATGAAGCATAGCCAAGCTTCCCCTCCTTCTGCTGTCTTTTATCTAACAAAATAGTGCCAAGAGTGTGAGCTGAACTTGGAGCAGAGTGGCTCTATGATGAATTGGACCTGTTCTCAGGGCTCAGATTATTATCTGCTCCACTCAAGGTTAAGATACAAATGCTTTCCAACGCACTATTGGCCTTTACCCAAAACAGGTGCTTCTTATAAAAGAGGAGATTACTAACCATCATGTCACTGTTACTCCAGTCAGCAGGAAAGGTAGACTCATGAACTAGGTGAAAGAGTCGAGCAATCTGAAAAAGATTTGATCCTGGTTTCCCACTGTTCAGAATTGGTTCTAAATATTTCCAGAAGATTTCCAGGTCTTTAACAGCTTTTTCTTTCTTCTTTTTTTCAGCTTCTACAACTAGAATTGCACCAACTTTAGCATATCTGTATACCCACTGCAACTATGAAACATACTTTCAGAACACAATGGCAAAAACAGAAAGTCAACATCAGCTTGCTATATTGGCCAACTTCACACATAATGATAAGCCACCTTGAAAAAAATGCTGACTTAGCTGCTAACAGACAAATCTTCTCTGTTTGCTATGTTTTGTTTCATCCTTGATCTTCCTACCTGTTCCTAGCATACATCCCAATGATCTTTTTGGCAGAAGTGTTTTAAAGTGTAAAAATTTCTTAAATCTGCTGCATCTGTGTTCTGTGCATTGTATGCAGGTATAGTAGGTGAAAAATGCAAATAGCTGAGAATTTGTTTCTTCTCTAACCCCTTTCACTTTGAGGGAAATTAATGCATGTTAATGCTGATGTGCACAAATTAATGCATCTATTCGCCGATGCACACAAATCTCCCCAAAGGTGAGGGAAAAAATTAAAAAGTACAACTCTTCCTACCATGAAGAAACATGGTGAACATTCTTCATGGTGAAGAAACATGTATTTTTACCCTTCAACCAAGGTTAAAATAGTTGCAAATTAAGAATTTTATACACATTTCCTTAGATGGTTTCTGCTCAAATTGTGCAATGCTCCCATTCAAGTAGAGTAAGTAGCTATCACAACCCCAAAGGGGAACTGGGCACCTGGTGGTGCCAGCCTGACATACACCTAGTGAAACTCTGAGGGAGCAAGTGGAGTAAGTCTTTTGCTGCTCTTGCCAAATGACTCTTGGTGCTATCCAGGCACCAAACATCTTGACAGGTTCACCCTGAACAGCTCACAAGAAACCATGGGTCCTCAACCTGGCTTATACTTGGTTAACAAACTGCAATGAATCCACCATGCTGAATATGGATGTAGTGGCAAGCCACTGCTTTGAAGCAGGATGAGTGGAGTGGGCTTAGTTAATACCATGAAGATGGAGTGAAACCGGGACGGAATCAATGTTTTGGAGTTTAAGATTCTTTGAAGACAAGATATGGTCGGGAATACACTATCTGATTTCCCCTTTCAACATTAAGCCCATTATTTGGATCTCATTGACCACTACTGGAGAATCTTGGGAATAGATACAGAGCATGGAAGATTAACGTTGGCAAAGAGAGAGATAGGTAAGAGAGCCATCTGTTGCTGCTAAGAAGACACAGATGTCTCCTTTGTCTCTCGTCTTCTTCGAAACAGAGAAAGAGGGTAGCTTGGGCTTTGGTTGCCTTGCCAACAGCAACTTCAGTCCCAGTGTAAAGCTATGGGTCCAGGCGACAGAATGAAAGCTCTCAGTTCAGGGATGTGGACACCATTGGTGACAAGGTTAGACCTGTGATTGCTTCTGAGGTTGAATTTAAGCTTGCACCAAGAGATGTTCTGGCCATGCCAGAAGAGTCTGCCAGCTTGTTAATATCTACTTGATTCACAGTGGCAGAGGGGTCATGAGGAACAATACTGATCTGACAGGGGCAGTAAAAGAAATAATAAATATAGTGGTGACATTATTTTTTAGCCTAGCTTGTGCCCTGGCAGGATAAGAGCAAGGAGAAATTCTCTCACGATACTGCTGCTGAGCAGGAAGATGACTTCAATTGAGGTGTATACTGAGTGGGCACTCTGCCTACTAAAATGCTAGTCTAGTTCTAGAATATTGTGAAAATAGGTTTTATACAGACACAGAACCATGTATGGGACCACAGTGATAGCAACAGAATTCTAAAATAGCCTTGAAGTATGGCCTGAAAAAGAAATGAGGAACTCAAGAACAAACCATAGATATCTCAATGATATTCAAGTTATAACGACATGCATGAAAAACACTATTAAGCATTAAGCTGTTGTCTGGTTTAGAGGCAGAGAATGCCTGGTAAGTGTGTCATTCTATTCCAATATGTTAACACAAGTGGAGACCTAATATAATTCACAGGGTTGCAGAGTTTGCACATGTACACACACCCATTCACAAACAAAATATGGGTTACACACACTTGTACTACAGTAATCAGAGTGGATGCGGAAGGGCAAGGAAAACTTTCTCTCTTTTCAGTCCCCTCCACCAACATCTTCCCTGACCTTTCTCTCTCACACATTTGGTGAGGGGGCTGGACAAAAGGAAACTCTTTCTTTCTGCCCTCTTTCCTCAATGCCCACCTCTCCTCTAGCTTCTCTCTCACACATACTTACATATACACACACAGTAAAAGAAGCCCTTTTCTCTCCTATGAACCTATGAGCAGGGGGAATCATCTCTCTCTGTCTGAAGCTCTTCTTTTTCTTCTGTTCTATTTGCCCATCACTCTCCACACACAAAGAAGAACGTCCCGCCTTCTTTCTACTCTGTGTCTCACATATGTAGCCCAATTGTCCTCCTTTCCTTGCACTTATCCCTTACCTGGTGTTTGGGAATTGTTATTGCTGCTGCACCACCTCAGGAAATCCTGTACCACATCAAGGACATAGAATAGAATATTCTTTCTTTTCTCATTGGCTCTCTGAAGCCATACAAAGTAGAAGCAGCTAACGGTTGCTACTGCTGTCAGACCGCACATGTGATCTGTCAGATCCACAACATGCCAGTAACTGGATACAGACCAAGTCATAGTGCAGGGCATCTAGATGCTGGTGGCTACTTCCCCCTACTCAGACATACACAATTCCATCCTTTAATATCTGCTCTGTGATGAGTGTGTCTGTACTAATTTGAGCTGCTGGTTTCTTTCAAGACTCTAAGGATAGAATGCACATGAGAACTATAAATATTTTGTATTATATTTATATAATATTTGACTTAGGGAGGTAGTTAGTAGGGGGGTTAGGGAGGAGGGGCAGTTTTTCTGCAAGGATCCTGCCCAACTTCACTACTCCTGCTATTTTTTGTTTTCAGTCATCTTGAAGTGGACTAACTGAGCTCAGAAATGAGATATAGACTTAAGTCCATAAAAACCTCAAGTAGGAACAATGGGCTATGTTATTAAAGTAATAAAGTGTTCTAACAATAAAGACATATAAAACAAAATAGGAACAAGAGTAACAGTAAAGGCTTATGTTCATACCAAGTGCATGCTATTAGTTCTCAACTCACCTTCTGCTGAGAGAAGTTGCTCTTCCTGTAGAGAAACTGCTTCCAGGTAAGTCAGGAGAGGGTTGTAGTTGTCAGAAGAAATCTTAATGACACATCCAACATTGATCCCAAGATCAGATAGCACATGCAAAAGTTGAGGGTAGTGAAAACCACAAATGATGAAATAATACTGAGCACCATCATCTGGTTCGTCATCTGTTCAAAACATCAAATGAAGCCCACTGACATTATTAAAGTATATTATTGAGAATATATATACATTGACAGTTTCAGTTGGCAAAACAATTTGAAGCGAGTTAATGTGTGAGAGGTGTGAGAGTTGATTCAGACCACTTTTAAGCCTTTCTGCAGCCTTTATATCTAGCTGTATTTAACTCCAGTAGTTTTGAGCATATTGATAAATAAACGTCCCTCCCAAGAACAACCATAGCTGAGATCTCCCTTCAGAAAGATATTTCTGTGGCTGAAACTTGTTTCTCTTTGCTCATGGATCTAGACACCTGAAGGGCTCCTTCTACTAGGTTAGACTCTTAAAGGAAAACAAAGTCACTGACTTTTACTTTACCATTTATTTTGGCCTGTTAAGTGACAAAACCTGGGTCAAGCAGATCGATGAGGTGGTGAAACTGGGGTTCCCCAGTACAAGTCAAAGACGCTCCCATGGTCAAATGAGGGAAAGGAATTATCTTGGTATTTGAGGCTTAAAGGCAAACATTCTTGCGTTAGTTCAGTCTTTCATCTTGGATACAAACTATGAGAGAACAAATTTTAGCCTCCCAGTGATTTCCTTGGTGCAAAATGTGCTTCTACCCTACACCTGAGCTGCACTGATTTTGGACCAGTCATCACAGTAACTCCTCAAGGAATAAAGAACTTGTTAAAACCTCAAATGAAGCTTGCTTCCATCACTGGGTAGCTGAACTAAGAGTGCTGGCACCTAGGGGTCATAATGCTCATTTAAGGAAGAGAAAGGGCACATAAGAGCCAGCAGCAATGATTAATGATTACTATCTCCAAAAGCCATCATGGGGAAGCCATGGTCTTGGTCAGCACTGAAGTGTATGAAGATGTTTACACTGTATCAGCTAAAGATGATGCAAAGAAGCTCTGTTTAGAGATGAATGGGGTAGCTGCAAAACAAAGTATTAACACGCACTCTGATCTTAGGTAAGTTTATTTGGTTACAGGATTTTAGTTGCTTTGGTTGTAAGAAAAAAAACTGGGGTAAATCCCAGTGGGTTCTTATTCCATATTAAATGGACATGGGATTGGAGTTTTAAGCCACTCTTCATACCCTCCAATTCATACATTTAGAAGTTTGTTCACCGGGATGTGTTTCCATCATAAAAATCTTGCTTGAAATTATTTGGCACAACTTAACATGTAGACGTGCACATCTTGTTTTTCACAAATAAAGACTACTATTGTGAATCTTTTTGCAATGAAGTGATTGAATCTCAAGGATGCCCCGCTGAAATATTGGGGAAAAAAAGCCTTTTATCTGATTCACTTAGATTAAATAGTTTGTATAGGGGTATATTGGCACAGAATGAAAGGCAGAAGAAGCGCAGGCATTCCTTATGTTATTGCTGAGGTTTTCTTAGCAAGCCTGCCACAATTTATATTTGGTAGATGAAATTAGGATAATTTTTCCTGTTTTGCTTCTCTTCCTTCTTTTTGCCTTTCTTCTCCCGCTGCATGCGGTGGCACGAGCAATGCCCCAAGGAGACTCCACAGTGGTGTCCTGCAACCACTGCAACAGCTGCACACTAGTACCCCTATTACAGGAAAAAGTGAGAGCACTGGAGCAGCGAGTATCCACCCTCTGGACAATAAAATAGAAACATAGAAACAGAGCAAGTCAGAAGGGGTCTCCCAGGCCATCTAGTCTGACCTCCGGCACCAGCCGGCTCCGCTCACAACATGCCCACCATGTGCACGTCCAGCCTGTCCTTGAACACCCGCACCAATGGGGCCTCAACGACCTCTCGTGGAAGACCATTCCACACCCTCGGGGTCCTGACTGTCAGGAAGTGCTTCCTGGCATCCAAACGGAACCTTGGCTCCCTGAGCTTTGCTCCGTTGGAGCGCATTCTGCCTTCCTCTGCAGGGGAGAACAGGTCTCTACCCATCTCCATGTGACATCCCCTCACATACCTGTATGTCGCCAACATATCCCCTCTGAGTCTCCTCTTCTCCAGGCTGAAGAGACCCAGTTCCCTCAGTCTCGCCTCATACGGCATCCCCTGCAAACCGGCCACCAACCTTGTGGTCCTACGCTGCACTGACTCCAACCTGGCTATATCCTTTCTGTAATGAGGGGCCCAAAACTGAACACAATACTCCAATTGCGGGCGCACCAGAGTTGTGTAGAGTGGTAATAATACCTCTCTTATCTAGAAGCCACACTTCTGGCTATGCAACCAAGGGTGGCGTTCACCCTCTTGACCACCGCATCACACTGCTGACTCATGTTTAGCCTGCAGTCAACCAGTACCCCGAGGTCCCTTTCGTAAGTGCTGTTCTCCAGCCACTTGTCACCTAACCTGTACTTATGACAGCTATTCCTATGCCCCAAGTGCAAGACCTTGCACTTATCCACATTGAACGCCATCCTGTTGTCTCCTGCCCACTTCCATAGTCTGTCCAGATCCTTTTGGATCTGGAGCACCTGCTCCTCAGTTGTGGCCACTGCTCCAGTTTTAGTGTCGTCTGCGAATTTGATCAGCAGACCATTCATCCCTTCTTCCATGTCGTTAATGAAAAGATTAAACAGAATCGGCCCCAGGACAGAGCCCTGGGGGACCCCACTTGTCACTGGCCGCCATCCCGATGATTCCCCACTAATGGTTACTTTCTGCTTTCAGTCAGTCAACCATGCCCTAATCCACTGGACAGTGCTTTGGTGTATCCCAAAACTCCTCAGTTTCTCCACCAGGATATCGTGGGGCACTTTGTCAAAGGCCTTGCTGAAATCCAGGTATACCACATCCACTGCATCCCCTCCATCTAGCCATCGCAAAACCTTGTCATAGAATTCCACAAGGTTTGTCTGGCAGGACCTGTTTTTGCGGAAGCCGTGTTGTGCAGCTGTCAGCCTCCCTTCCCTATCTAGCATCACTAGATCTCTCTCTATTATGAGCCTTTCCATTGTTTTTCCTACAATGGATGTAAGACTAACCGGTCTATAATTCCCCATGTCCTTTCTATTACCCTTTTTGAAAATTGAGACCACTGATGTCACCCTCCAGTCCTCTGGAACTTCACCCGTTCTCCATGAGGTCTCAAAAATGGAGGCCAGCGGGCATGAGAGAACCCGTCAACTCTCTAAATACTCTCAGGTATAACCCATCAGGGCCTGGCACCTTTGTAATGTCCAATGCCCTGAGGAGCCCCTCAACTTCAAGTGGGGTGACTCTAATCTGTGCCCCTAAGTCCGCAGCCTCATCTAATCTCCTATGCGGATATCCCCCGTCCTGCTTTGGGGAGAACACAGAGCCAAAATAGTCATTTAGCATCTGTGCCTGTTCCCTCATATCAGTCACTGGATCTCCTTCCTCCTTATTTAGTGGTCCCACCACTTGTCTCCCCTTTCTCTTCCTATTTACATGTTGAAAGAAGCCCTTTTTGTTGCTCTTGATATTCTTGGCAAGTCTCAGCTCATAATCAGCCTTAGCCTTGCGAAGAATCCTTCTGCAATGGGCCTCCTCCTCCTGGTATACCCTTTAGTCTATTTCCCCCAGTACCCATTTCCTACCGAGGTTCCTCTTTCGTCTAATCTCTCTAACCACCTCCTTTCGCATCCATGGCGGCACTCTCCTCCACCTCCCCACCTTAGTGACTAGAGGTATCGTCAAGGCTTGCGCCTCCAAAACCTCCCTTTTGAGTGCTATCCATCCCTCCTCAACTCGCTTACCTTCCAGTAACCTATCCCAGGAGACCTTCCCCAGTCTGGCCTTCAGTTGGCCAAAGTTGGCCCTCTTGAAGTCCCAGCTTCTAGTGCTCGACCTGCTGCACGTCCCCAGTTCCCTGATCTCAAAGCAAAGGATGGAGTGATCACTCGCATCCAGAGCTCCCCTAATCTGTACTTCATCTATCAGCTCCTCCCTATTGGTCAAGACCAAGTCAAGGATGTTTCCCCCCCTCGTCGCCTCTTGGACCCTGTGTGTGGAAAACCCTCCCTCTATAGCTTCTAGGAAGCAACGTGACCTGGCTGTCACCGCCGAGTGAGTCTCCCAAGTAATATCCGGGAGACTGAAATCTCCCATAATTACTGTGTCTCTCCCCCAAGATATCCTTAGAATCTGGCCTGTCAGGACATCATCCAGGGTCTCAAGTTGACCTGGAGGGCAATAACATACCCCCACTGTCAGGTCTCTTTCTCTGTCAAAACCCCTAAGTTTCACCCAGACTGCCTCTATCAAATCCCCATCTGTGCTGCATTCTATCTCACTGCATCCTATCCCTTCCCTGATGTATAAAGCCATGCCCCCCACCTCTCTTTCCCTTCCTGTCCTTTCTAAAAAGATGATACCCTTCTATGTTCACATTGCAGACTTGCCTTTCATCCCACCAAGTTTCTGTGATTCCCACCAGATCATACCCTCCTATTCCCAGGAGAGCTTCAAGCTCTTCCTGCTTATTACCCATGCTCCTAGCATTGGTGTACATGTACCTCAACTCCTCCTTTCCTTGGAGTTCCCAGCCTCCTCCTTCCTCCCATCCTCCCTGATACCTGGCCCCTCTCTGTAGGAGTCCTGTCAGTCCCTGCAGTATGTCTAAAACCCTGCTCCCAGAGCCCTGATCCTCCCCCCACACTTGTCCAGTGCGGACAGGTTCCAGGGGGGCCTGAACCCCCCCCCCCGGCTCAGTTTAAAGTCTTCCGAACGAAGCTCGCTAGAGCATCTCCAAAGGACCTTTTCCCCATCCTCGTGAGGTGTAACCTGTCCCTTGCCAGAAGTCCATTGACAAGAAAACGAGTGCCGTGGTCGAGGAACCTGAAGCGTTCCTTCTGGCACCACACGGAATGTAGGGCACGGAATAATCAATTCAAGTTATGGCAACCCAGATTCAGGCTGGACACCAGGAAAAGCTTCCTCACTGTCAAAGCAATACCACAGTGGAACCAGCTGTCTAGAAAGGTGGTAGGCTCTCCCACACTAGAGACATTCAAAAAGAAACTGGACAGCCATCTGAGTGGGATGGTGTAACATGGTGTCCTGTAACAGCAGGGGGTTGGATTTGATGGCCTTCATGGCCCCTTCCAACTCTTCTATTCTATGATTCTTTATTTCATATTGTGGCTTTCTGAGGAATGGCACAAATGGCTAATAAGAGAAGTATTACTCCTGTTTTCGTGTGTGCAGAAAAATCCAAGGACCACCCTGTTTTTCAAATGTTCACTTTCAGCACATGAAAGGCTCTAAACATGCTGTCTTCTACTGCTGACTTTGTAGTAACCAACTCAGACTTAGCACAAACACCAGCAGTGAAAGCCATGAAGAAGTCTTTATAAATGAGAACACAGCTTTTGTGTGACCCCCTTCTAAGAATATGTTATTAGAATAGAGGAACTAGTCATGTGAAATAGATATAAAAGATAGAACTGCTTGGTTTAATAACCCTATGGTTACTGGCTTCATGCATTTTAATTTATTACATTTTATATAATATGCACGTAAGTTTGCACTTTTCATTGGGTCAAGACTGATATCAGCAAACTGTTAGTATAACTCTGGGTTTACCTAGATTTGCAAAACAGCTCAAAAAAAGTCACCCTGAAGTTATTTTTGAGAAGGTGTACCACAAATTTATGTTTTACGCACCAATGTATTTATCAAGATTATCATCTTCTCCACGTCGTTTAAGCTTGGTATCTTTTTTAATGGCACTTGCTGACACATTTGGTGAATCTGTTGCCTTTTTTCCTTTCCCTCCTTTCCCAGCAGACTTGGCACTGGCAGGCTTCTCCTTCTTGCTTCCAGCTTTCCCTTTCCCTTTCCCCTTTTCTTCTTTCTCCTTGTCCTGGTCCTCAGTGACCTACCAAATTAAGGAAACATCAGGCATGTCTTATGTATGTTATGGGGAGAGGTATTAATATCATAGGGAAACCTTTACCTTTTTAAAATTTTATTTTATATGTATTTCTGAAATCAACACTGGTTATGGATAATGAGCAATGAATGATGCATTAGTTTGAAGTACAGAGAGATGTGCAGGGGAAAAAAACTACTCCAATTTTACCTCAAAAACCAAAACAATGCAATGAAAGGTGGGGGGGACTAAGGAATTCCACAGCTTTTGACTATTTTTTCCCCTTCTGATTTTTAGGATTCTCTTTCCCATCCCTACACAGCTACATATTATATATAGGATCAAATCATTGCTTACGACAAGCCTCAAAATGTAGTTTTTGATTAATAAGGTGTTTATTTTACTTTTCTGTCTAAGAAAGTTTGCTACAAAATGAAGAGAGAAAGATCAGGTTTTCAGGGAGTCCAGTGGCACCCATGCCCATTTTAACTGGCATTTAAACTGGGTACATGATGCTTTGGCTTTGAGAGAGGTAAATGGAGCTGTCCTATAGGGGGCCAGACCACTAGTTCTTCTTGCCTGTTAGTGCCTGTTCTGACTGGCAGAAACTTTCCAAGTCTCAGAGAGACATCTTCCCAGCTTTGGTATCAGAGATGTTGAGGACTGAACTTGGAACATACAAAGTATGTATCTTACCACTAAAGAATTAGATATTATTCTTCTCCATATTCCAACCTGCGGTCCTCCAACCTGCCTGTTTACTGCATCACCCTCAAGGCACTTCCCCCCCAGGCCCACACTGTTCTTCCTGCCTCAAGCAGCACCATCTACTGCTGTTTTCCCTTTCCCTCTCTTACAAAACACACAATAGCAACATGGTCTCTCCTGGTCTTATCCTCCATACCAGCATTTTGGCCATTCTGGGTACCTTGTTAGCCAGCAGAGCTCATGTCCCCATCCCACTCAGCTTTTTCACGCCCCCTCTCCATGCATCACCATGCTGAAGGCTATGTATGTGTGTAAGTCAGATAAGGCAGCTGTATGGACGGGTGCAGGAGATGTCTGGCCTGCTTTTGGAAACAAGGCGGGGAAAGGAGAGTAAAAGGCCTGGCATTTTTGCAAAAAGGATGCAAAGTGTTTTATATACTGCACATTTCTACAGGCTCCATATCAAGGCTCCTCCAAGTGGCTTTCCAGGTTACTGGTGAGGTTGCTTCTTCAGGCAAAAACATTCTTCCTTCCTCAACAAGAGCTGGCTTCTCTTTTTGCCTTACTTGCTTTTCCTTTCCACTCCAACCCACTCCAGCTAGGAGTCTTCTCATGCGTCTGTGACTGCAGAAGCCAGTGAGTGGCCCCTTGGGTTCAGAGGGAAGGAGTACTTTTCTAGCAGGAAAGCTTATGGGATTCCCCTTCCCACATCTTCCTCTAGCCAAGTTCCCTTCCCCCTTGGTGCCATTTCGCTTCTCATGATTGAGGCTTGGCTGCCAGGCAGTGATGTGTATGTGTATCCTGCATACAATTTGAAGCCAACTTAGTGGCATGCCCTCTGCTCCAGGTGGGAGGCTGCCCTTTCATTTGCTCTTTCCCTCTAACTGCCCTTTTTTGGAGGGCCCCCAATTTTTAAAGTATTAGCATGTGTAGATTTAAACCTCAAAGCAGTGTGTTTATTAAGAAAGAAATCTTGTAGTATTCAATGTACTTAGCAGTATGACTCTGCCATCTGGTAAGTCAGATTCCATTTTTTTAAAAAAAATCTTCCTCGCCTGTGCATATGGCCCAATATTTAAGACAACTTAGAGGCTGACGTCTCTTTTCCTCTTTGCCATGGTCACAATGAAAATTCCCAGCTAACAGCAGCCAGAGTGGGGTGGATTTGACGGGAAAGGGAAGAGTTGGACCCCTAAAACTATACTTCTCATATTTTTCTTTACTGAAGGATAATATTGAAACTCTGCAGCTGCTGCGTTACTAAAAATTCTGTAAGATGCCTGCAAAAGAAAGTGCTGATTTAAAGAAATGAAAAATTGCATATGAACTCCATCTCTTTCATGACAAATGGACTACTGAGTACTTCTTTGTTTTAAACAAGGATAAAGCAGAAACTGTCTCAGTATTAAAAGAGTGCAATTTTAAAGGGCACTTTGAATCCTGTCACAAGAGATATTCAATATATCAAGGAGCGGTATGAGTGAACAAGATAAATTCTCATTAAAAAGCAATGTTTTTGTAGCAAAATAGTTTTAAAAAACACATTGAGGAGAACTTGTCAACATGAGGACCAGCTATCATGTTGCTAAATGTACTACTAGGGGTAATAGGCCATTCATGGAGGGTGAATTTGTTAAGAAGTGCATGGTTAAAGTATCAACCACTAATATTTATCAGGACAGATTCCAGCTTCAGAATTACCGAACAATTGTGTGCACTGCAGAGTTTGAAAGGCAGAAAACATATTCTTGAAGGTGTGTGAATCAGTAGAAAATTTTGGTCTAAGTTGGGATAAATTGAAAAGCATCACAACTGATGGTGCAAGAAATATGGTAGGAAGTAAAACTGGTGTAGTTGCAAGAATCAATGAAGAGATATTGAAATTAAACAGTACTCTTCCCATGCAATTTCACTGCATCATCCATCAGCTAGCCTTGTGCAGCAAGATTCTACAATGGGAAAGTGTGATGATTGCTGTATGCACCATTAATTAATTAGGCATCATCGCCTTACTCATCATCAGTTTCAAAATTTTCTCTCAGAGATAAATGCAGAATATGAGATAGATTGTAGTATGCAGAAGTCAGGTGGCTTAGCAGAGACAAAGTCCTCAAATGTTTTTTAGTCTTCATCATGAAGTTGATGTCCTGATCAACCCTGGATGGATTTTTGATTTGGCTTTCTTAACTGCTATCACAGAACATCTGAACACATCGAACTAAGTTTGCAGGGGAAAGAAAAGCTTGTGTGTGATGCATATTCTGAATTGAAAGCTTTTGAAACAAAACTAAACATCTTTTGTGAAGCAAGTTAGTGAAAGTAACTTCTCAAACTTCTCCTGCCGCAATGAACTAAAATTTGAGAAGGATGGGAATTTAAAATTCAACGTTCAATGACACATGAAAGTACTGAACCTCTTACAGGTAGAATTCCAGAACAAATTCACTGATTGCCATAAGCATGGAAAGGAAATAAAAATCTTAAAGAATCCATCTGAAGTATAAGTAACAGAATCCATTTGAAGATACAAGTCTGTTAAATTTCTATTTTGTTCTACCTGATATATTTATCAATCTAAAGAAATTTACTGCAGGCATGTTCATGGTCTTTGGCAACACGTACATCTGTGAACAAACGTTTTCCAAGATGAAAATTGTGAAATCCAAGTGTAGGTCAAGACTTATACTTAAAATGTTATGTAAATGTTTAACTATGTTTATCACAGAGCTTGACTTGGACATTAATGCCTCGGCTAACAGAAAACAGCCAGAAAAATCACACTGACTAGATGAGCATGTGAAGTTATATAAAAAGATTCTACAATAAAATATTATTCCAAAATGGAACATTTCTTTATTTCTTCATTGACTTCTGAATGTTTACTTAAATCAGCAGGTTAATAATTTTGTTACATTTTGATTTAAGATGTAGCTCTCTTTAGGCACTGGGCACCCTAATGAAGCCCCTTTGTCCCAGAAGGTCGGGGATCACTGCTATAGCTTGCTAGCACTTGCCATTTGGTTTGACTTTTAAAAGGAGCACATCAGCATCCCTTTTTGAATGGTATAATACTTGAGATGATGAATACTTTAACTCTAAATAATTATAAGAATTTAAAAAATTAAACCTTGCTTTAATCAAGCCAGAGCATTATCTATCTCATACAGGTATGTCAACCAATGCAGAAAGAGTAATATCAGTCTGTAAATGTAACTATGACCAATGCAAAGAGTTCTAAGGAATATGCTTTTAATACAAATTGTATTTTGTCTTCTACTTGACTAATACCACAATCCTATAAATGTCTACTCAGAAGGAAATGCTCCTGAATTAATGACTTACTCACAAGTAAGTATATATAGGATTGCAGGCTAAAATACCTTCTTTTCAGCAGCCCTTCTCTGCAGATCCTTCTGTTTGATACAAAGCATCTCATATTTAATTAACTTTCCAATCAAAGTTATAGGAAGTGGCTCCCCAGAATCCATAACATTTTTTGCTGCCTCTATCACCTGCAAAGAGAAACAGAATTATAAGAGGTTAAGTATCCATTTCAGTACCCTACACAAAAGGTCTAGCTATTCCAGCCCTAAAAGGAGTGCTTCTGCTTCGTGCTAACCTGCAGCCTCTCCAGAGGCCTGTACAAGCGCAGACACCATCTCAGATAATCTTGCAATAAGGATCACTAAACCTTGGTTATTGCACGCCTCAGCAAGATTTGTTCCAATGGCACACATGCACACACAGGACCTATTGCTCAGGTTCCCCATAGAGGATTGCCTGCTTCCAGTAATGGGGTGGCCCATGTGAGGACAGAACCCTAAAATAGGCTCACCATCAGATACCCAGCAGTAATGTGCAAGATAAGCCTCTGGACACATCCGGAACAATGGCATAAACTGGTTAATGATACTCTGTACAACCTTCTAATCACTACTGAATCAATCCAGCAGAAAAGTCACCAGGACTTGGCAACATGCGAGTACTAAAACTATGGGTACAGGAGTCACACACGAGAAATAAACCTTGGCCTGTAGGTATGCAGAATGTTTAACAATTCCACATGGATTCTGTTCCCTGGCCAGGGCATGGATTTTGGGCACAAGTTGTCAGCTCCAGGACATAACCAGCAGGCACCCTTGACCAAAACACTGGGGCCAGGGATGATGGAGGTAGAAGGGCTCGACAGTGTCAGATACCTAGCTGGAAGGACCCTCAGAGGCAAAGGTTAGGGAAGGAACAGACAAGTGATGACTATATGCAACTAGAGACAGAAACTGAGCCAAGAATACAAAGCAGCCATCACAAAATGCTGTAATGTTGAGACAAAACTGAGTAGGACTAGAAAGCCTTTTACAAGACCTCTTGTGGCTCCAAGTTGGTCTGCATGATTACACTGGCCCTAAGCCAGTGAGCACCAACAGGTTCAATGCTAATCCATATTAATTCTGGAAGTACTTGCAGAATGAATCAGGCTACCTTCTCTACCAGGCCACCAGAGGAAACTGCATGAAATTACAGATCCTGACATTGCCTCAAGGAACAAAACAACACGAGTGGCTACAAGTATTACTAGGCACCCTGACTGAGCTGGGGTGCTCAGTTGCCATTTGCTGTTCTGCCTCAGGCAGGAAAATGTGTCCTGGGGCCAGCCCTAGACATGGCTACAGAAACCTCTGGAGTGTGAAAAAGTGGTTGAAGACATTATGCAGGATCTGTGTGTGGGGAAACATGTCCAGAATTATATCAAAGTGACTATGTGATCCTAAATGTAATTACATGATGTTACATGGGATGGTTTAACTTGGAGTCTTGCAATAGCAGGGGACTGGACCTTCAGGCTCCCTTCCAGTCTATTATTCTATGATAGTATGATCATCTGAATTCCATGAGGTTTATTCCCAGGTAAGTGTAGGTATTATTTGAGTCTTACTCCGTAGTAAAGGTATCTAGAGCTACAATGTGCCTTATCCTCCTTGAACATTCCTCCACTATCTGGCTCTAGAGAGAACCCTGAAATTGGTATCTTTGGTAATTTCAAACTGAAACAGACAAAAATAAAAGTATCTATGCTAGTCCACAAAAAATGAAAACCAAAAATCCACAGTTGGGCAATGCCTTTATTAGAAATTTTAGTTGGCCCCAATAAAGATCCTAATAAAGGTGTCCAAAGGTATTTCATTTTAATTCTTTAAAGAGTTGCACAATGATCAGCTTGCTTGAGAATTATATTTCATTTATTTTTGCACTTGTATCCACCAAACTATTCCAAAAGGAATCTCTAAGCAGCTTACAACAGGTAATCAAAATTATAATATATTAAAATGCTAAAACATTAAAGCCAATGATATATAAAACAACAACAATTTAACAATGGTCATTCAAAGCTGTTACCAAGTGAGGGGACAACCATATACAACAACATATTAAAAGCAATTTAAAATCAATTATTAAAATGTTTGAAGAAAAATGTTTTTTCCCTGGTTCTAAAAAGAGAGCAATGTTGGCACCAGAAGAATTTCTCTGGGAAGCCTCTTCCACAAATGGGGAGCAACCACTAAGAAGGGTCTTCTTCTATTTGCCATCCCTCTCCCCTCCTTGAGGGATGACTCTTACAGAAGGGCCTCCTGTCCAGATTTTAACAGGGAAGTAGGAATATATAGGAGAAGGCTGCCTTTTAGGTAGCCTGGTCCCAAGCTTTATATGTTAAAACAAGCACTTTAAATTGGACTGGCAACTAATGTAATTTATACAGAATTGCTGTTATGTAAGCCCGTGAATTGGCGCCTGTTACTAAGCATGTGGCCTAGTTTTGGACCAGGTGAATTTGCTGGCCCATCTTCAAAGCCAGCCCCACAAAAAGCACCTTACAGTAATCTAACCTGGTTACTTCTAGGAACGGTGGACATTTGCTGCCTAAAAGCGTGACTTATTATATTCTACAATATATTCCCACATTCTCCTTGCCAGCCTGCCATGTTCAGTTTGCAATTTATTGGGAAGTAATTAAGGTCCCACAGAGCTATTTGCTGGTGCCAGGCACTCCACCCTTGCCATTTGGATATGGACCTAAAACAACTAAGAAAAAGGGTGTGTGAATAGAGGGTAAGTCTAAACAAGAACAAATCGGGACATTGCTTTCAGGACAGATCTGAGCAATCAAGATAAATTAGCTCCCCTTCTATAATATTTAAATTATAGCAATTATTTAATATTATGAATATATTTTTGCATACTCAACTTTTCGGATTTTTTAGTCCATGCGTCTGTGCTCGGAATCTTTAAGTACCCAGCTCTGGCAGCTCACAAGATAAATTGATCTACTAAATATTTTTGCTAGTGACCCTCACCTATTTCATGTACCACCTTTTAAAATATTTCAATAACACACTGGAATTTAGGATTATTGTACTGCCCAATAATTACAAGAACTGTTCAGTCTTGTTTTTGCTTTGCTTTAATGTCTCACATTAAAGTCTTGATTTAAGTGTTGATTTTCCAGTTCATTTGCCCATGTTTGACGTGCCTACATCTCTCCTAGATACAGTGTTATTGTAGAAATATATTGATATCACTACTTAAATAGAATGCACATGTTTCAATGAATGTTTTTACAACTACAATTTACAAATAAAAATGAATAATTACAGTGAAATTTATATTCTAGACAGCTAAGTTTAAAACATGTTGTAGACATAAGTAAAATATTAAAAACTTGATTTTTATGTATGCATAGAGAATAAAACAGGTGCAAAAGTCTCAATTCAGGCATTACATCAAATCCAAAACATGATGAAAGATGTTTGGCTTGAGTTATCAAGCCATCAGAGGCTATTGCTGCTTTTTTAACAAGTCACTACAATTAGAAAGTGCTGTTAAGATGGAAAAATAAAGTTCAAAAATTATAAGCCAGGATTCCTCTGTCCACTAGAGATTCAAACCATTATTTGAACTCTAAACTATGGTTAGTGCAAACCATGATTTGATATGGTCCCTACAATGGACCAGCCAGTAAGCTCAAAGAGGGCACACAAACACATCTGAGAAGGCCATACACACAGGCCCTGGCTCTTGTTTCTTCATGCATGACATTCCTGTCCTCTCCTGACCAAGCTACATTGAATGGTGAAGTTTGAAGAGTGGTTCTACTTGTGTTCAAGTAAACATGATAACAATGCCATCTTCAGACTATGCCACTTAATGTGGCAAGGTTGGGGACTGAAGGGGCTTGTCCAGCATGCTGAACAAGCATACATGCAGACATAGGGGCAAAGGCAGTGTGTACAATCCCATTTACAGAGGTATCTCAGCTCACGAACGCCCCAGTTCACAACCAAATCAGGTAGCGAACAAAAATTTCATAAAAATTTTGATTCAGGTCATGAACTCCGCATTGGGTGGCAACCGTGATCACAGCCATTTCCTCATCCTACCCCCGAATAGGGAGATGGCCACAATCGCGGTCACACTCGTGCAGGGAAGACAGGCATGATCGAGGTTGGGCGGGGGGGTGGCCCCGATTGTGCTGGGGGGGGGGGTAGGAGATGGCCAGATCGTGCCCGTCTTTCCTGCATGAGTGCGCCCATGATTGCGCCCATCTTTCCTGCCAAGCGCAGCCGTGATCTCGCCCATCTCCCCTCCCCAAGTGTGCCCGTGATTGCACCTGTCTCCCCCCCCCCCAAGTGCACCTGGGATCGCGCCTGTCTATGGCCACAATTGCAGTTGTGCTGGGGAGGGCAGGGGGTAGATGGCTGCGCTCATGCTCAGGGTGAGCAGGGGGAGATGGTCACGATCTTTGTTGCTCTTTGTCACTTTGCTACAAATTTTTCTGATTAAAAAAATAGTTACAGAACGGATTAACTTTATTTAGATTGAAAAATCTAGATTGAATGAATTAACCTTATTTAATTTTATTTAGATTCCCTTATGGGGAAATTTGACTTGGCTCATGACCAATTTGGGTCATTACCAGAGTCCTGGAACGGATTAAGTTCATGAGCCAAGGTATCACTGTATTCACTGATTGGTTTGATTTGCACTTTGCCTTTCTGCAAAGGGAAAATGGAACTTAGCTTGCAAGCAGAAATAAACCTTGATTAAAACAAGAATGAAACAAATGCTTAAAAACACAGCAACAGATTTTTTAAAAAATTAAATCACTGGATCTTCTTACCTGCCAAAGTCCTGCCTGAATAAAAAGGACTTTACTTGCTAGCAAAAGGACAGCACAAAAGGAACAAAGATAGCCTTTCTTAACATGCAGTTACACAGCCTGGGAACAGCCACGGAGAAAGACACCAAACATGCCTCTGAAGGAATCAGTCTTGAAAGGAGGACCTCTTCAAAACAACTTAAGACCCAGGCAAGTTCATATGAGAGAAGGTCTTACAGGTAACCTGGTCCCAAGATATATAGAGCCCTATAGGTCATGACCAGGTTTTATTTTAATCAAAATAGAACTCTCTATAGGAGAATTATATGAGCTGCCTGCATCCGTTAAAAGGAAAAACACAGGAAATAAATATAATAATAAATAACCAGCACTTTGAACTCTGCCTGAAAATAGACTAAATGGTTAATATAACTGTTGTAACAAGGAAGTCACATGCTTCATATAACTGGCTTCAGTCAACAGTCTAGACCAGTTGAAGTTTTTGAACAGTTTTCAAAGCCTCAGTAGTCCAATCAGGATTTAAATGTGTGATCATGACCAGATCAGACACGTCTAGAAATGGGCAGGACTGGTGCAGTAGGCCAGGCAAGCAAACTCCTGGCTACCACTGACATCTGGACATCAAGGTTCAGAGCAGAGTCCAAGGTACATTCAAACAACATGCCTGAATCTTAAGAGGGAGTCTAGCCTTCAACACAGGTTGAATCCCTAATTCCCTGATCTGCCTTTCAACTAACCAGAAGCAGCTCTGTCACATCTGAGTTAAACATAAATTAGTTGCTGCCATCCAGACCATTGCCAACACAAATTTAGAACCAGAACAGCTTCCTTAGATTTGGATGGAAAGGAAAGATAGAATTGGATGTCATCAAGCCTCCAAACTCTGGACAATCTGTCCCAGTAGTTTAATGTATACTTTAAATGGCCAAACTAACCAGAAAATATCCAATACAGTAGGGTTTGGGGAAAGGAGGTCTTAACCACCACCTCTTTTAAGCAAGACCATACCACAAAAAGGCGTTCACTACTCCCTTATCCACTCAGACAGTCCCTGTCACCCCACCAAATGGTTTTATAAGCTAGGAAGGATAAGGGAGAAGTGGTAGGCCTCACTCCTCTGATGATCAAATTGAAAAGTACCTAGGGTAACAAGGCAAGTAGGGGTCCATGCCCTTAACATGGGTTTACATACCTTATTTGGTCTTAACAGAGACTGAGCTGAGCTTAAATCTAAGCAAGTTCAAACTGAACATGTCCAATGGATATTCAATTCTGCATTGTCCTCCTTGGATTACTAATCTGCCTTGCTTTGGACCCTGAAATGGGTGGTACACTATAAACTGCTCTTGACACTCATCACCTCGATAATATGACTTAAAATGATACAGCATACATCTTTCAATATTAGCTCTTGTATTTCATTTATGAAACACCTCATAAGTAATTTTCCCTAGATAATCTTCCCCCTCAGTTGCTTTTTGGCAAGAATACTTTTTCTCTTTCTATTGAAAACAATTTAGTGGACACCTCAGAATGGCCTTGTGGGTGCCACTGCACCTACAGGCACTGCATTAAAAACTCCAGGTGTGGTGGCTCATAGGTCAAAACCTAGCAGAAACCTTCAAAGAAACCTAGTGGGAGCCTTCAAAGCCAGCCCACATACTATGGCTACCAGGGCATATAGCATTGACCCAGGCTATCCACCTCCAGACAGTCATAGCTGTGATGTTATCTGAAGCTGATAAAAGGTGCTCCATGCCACAGAGGCCACTTGATTTTCTGATTACAATAATGAATTCGGAATCGATTCCAAGCCACACAGACATTTAAGGGTATTTAGATGCAGCTATGATGCAAACAGCCCTAATCAATTAGGAAGCAAAGGACATTTGAAAATATAGTCCTTATAAAAGCATCTGATTCTGCAAAGACTTTGAATAATTAATCTGAGCAATGGTAATAAAACTTGCTTCCACTCACTTCATAATACAGAGGTGTTTCTTTTTCTTTCTCTTTTATCTTCTTTGTTTTTGCATCTCCAGCTTCGGTAATCTACAAGAAATACAAGGTGATAAACCAATATATCATGATTTATTTTAGGCCTTTGTTTTTAATACTCTAATATTGTTAATGTAAGATATGTTGGCTCCCCAAGACTTGGAAAAACTGTGGTATGCTTACCTTTTTCCTGCTTGAACAGCAGGCTTCCAATTACAAACTGATTTTGAAACTCTTCTTTGTTTCAAAAGTGAGTTACCATGTACAAGGGTAAGGCAGGAATGGCTGTCATTTGAGTAACAGAAGTCCTTGGGCACACAGAAAGAGCTATTCTTACTTCCTAGTCTTAACCTTTTATGCAGAGTGCAGAAAAACTAATTAGGACTTCAGTCCTATGCATACTCACCCAAAAGCCCTTTGAGTTGAATTCAATGGGGCTTACATTTGAATAAACAAGATCAAACTGCATGTTAGGCATTTAAAACTAGTGTGAACAAAGCCCTAGTACTGCATCTAATAACACAACAGTAATACAGAATTTGCCAATTGACATTTCAGTTCTTACTCTAATGAAAGAGACAATTCGTAGTAACACCACAATATACTTCCAGTGGACACTGCAACTAAGCATCTACTTGTGTCCAACTGTTGTAGTACATCAAAGTCATTAAAAATGAATAGATAAGTATGAATACCAAACCTTCCACAGAACATCTGCAGGGTGGTAAGGAAAAATGAGTCTGTAAAAGGTATTATCAGTGCATAACTGGAGGTCATACTTGTTGTATAATTGTTGAAGGTTTTATAGTTTACATGAATATATAGAAATATTTTTGTGCTTTCATTCCATAAGGGAGTATTTCTTTAAGGATAAAGACTGTGGCATAGGCATGCAGTTTATGGCTGAACCATGTAACAGAAAATTAGATTGAGTAAAGACAAAAATATGACCTATCTTTATTATAAGATATTGTGACAGGAATCAGTAGGACGTACTCAGTACAGTATTTTTGCCTTAGGCATTTTACTCAGGTCTCAGTAACATCCAGTTTTCCTCCTGCTGCCAGACTCAGCACACAGAAAAGCCTCATTGACCAAGTTATTGTTGTGAGCCGCCCCGAGGCTTCGGCGAATGGGGTGGCATAGAAGCTTGCTAAATAAATAAATAAAATAAGTCACCTCTAGCCCTCAAATTCTGCCTCCCAGCCAATGTCTGCTTGCTTGCTCTCCCCTTTATGGCAGACATACCCTCAAAATTGTATGGCAATGAGACCAACACTCCTCTGTAATCCCCCTTAATATCAGCTCTACCACAATTTGGATTTTATGTTAGCAGCAAAAGCCCCACAATTCTAGGTACCTGTGCTAATATTCCTTCCCAAGACACAACACTGAAGAGCTTCCGTTGCGGCACCTGCACAGCAAGGGAGAGGGCCTTCGTGTGAAGTTCATCCTCAACTTGATTCCCAACAACTAAGGCAATACTGGGATTCCAATTTTCCTGTCCCAAAACAAACAAAAGCCATTGCATTTACATTCAAGAAGTATATTATCACTTTAATACATTCAGTAGATTTTCCATGATTACAATCCAGATTTAGTCAAATAAAATGGCTCTCCACCACCAGGTGGCAATATTATACCACAGAGTAAACACTTTTCTTGTTACATCTAATGCTAACAAAATTCAGTGATGGTTTTGTTATTTGGATAAGATGTAAACGCGCTTGTTCTGGCAAGGAAAAACAATAAAATGAAGCAAAGATCAATGAAGAAATTGTTACCATATACTGTACACCACAAGACACCCTGGAACACATGGAATTTTATATTAATCTTTGGTAGGCAATGAGAAATTATGGTTTATTACTTTACAATGAACAGGATGATATATGTCCCATGAGAATATAAGCTGTTCAAGGAGAATAGCCTTATTGTGGAATAGTTTGTCTCTTCTTTGGAGCCCTTCAGAGATTTCTTCTTTGTTTTCAGAAGTCAGCACATAAATGTAGTTCTTAACCCCTATCCCAAGGGCACTCCAAAAAGTGACATCAGACACAGCAGAATTCAAACAATAACCATCAACCCTACTGTTAATAGCAATTGTTTTAATTAACACACCTCAAGGAATGTTCATTATATTAGCCAACGGACACTTTATTAATAAGGGATAGTTTAGGTTATTTCCTGTTTTCTACAGAGAAAATAAAGTACACCCCCAGACCCATGTGGTCGGCACCACTGCAACCATCCCCACCCACACAGCTGCTTTGCTGGCCTACCTCTGCACTCACTTCAGAAGCCCTAAGGAAGCAAGAGAGGGGTGACTGTAGTAGTGGGTGCATATTGGGGTGGGGGGGTGGTCAGAAGCAGAGGGAGTCCAAGGATAAGCTGAGTACAGTGGCAGGAAGGAAACCGTGAACCAGGGAGAAAAAGGTAAGCACTGAGAGGTGAAAGGAAGGAAATCACTGGGTGTGGGGGGGGGGATAGGTAGGCTGGCTAGGAGGAAATGAATCAAGAACAGGGAGAAAGAAGAATTAAAGAGAGGTGGTAAGAAAAAGAAATCCCAACTGCAGGGGAGGCAGGAACAGGCGAAAGAGAATCCAGCGTGGCGGGTGGGGAAGGACAAGAGAATCCTGCAGAAGTGGCAATGTGTCCTTGGGCCCGGGCACAAAAGGGTTGCCTACCCCTGAATTAGACATATGTCTCATTAAAATCGCTTGTGAGGTTGGATGCTTACATTTACCTAATGATTTGGCTGAATGAGTTTGGCCCAAATAGCCAGAATCCAGCTGCACGTGAAAATGCAGATCTTCACTCCCATGTTTCCTCTATATAGCCTGTCAAAGTTTGGTTCAAGTTGTAACAGCAATGTGAAAAAAAGAGTAATTGACCTGAATCATGCTGCCCCAAGCCTAGATGTCTGTACCATTATCTGTAAAGTGATCATAAATATCAGCTTAGTGCAAGTATCATTAGGATTATTCAACAATAAATGGAATTTAACAATCTTGAGGGATTTAAGGCCCCCTTTTTTTCTTCAGGCAATATCTTGTAAGAATCAGTAGTGAGCATTGCTTTAAAGCAAGTTCCAGTAATTAACCCATTGTTCCACCTGAAGAACAATGATTTATTAACTTGATTTAATATAGGACTCATCTTTCTGCCAAAATTGGTGCTCAAAGTGTCTAACAATAAAATACAACTTAAAAACAAAACCTTAATGAAAATATAACAAGCAGATCTGTAAAAACACAATCTAAAAAATAAGAATGAAAGAGAGACACTTGATTTGGAATAGCATGGTATCAAGTTATTGTTTTTTTCTTCGTAGTGTTGCCAAATGTTATAAGGGATTCCAGCATCCCACCTGAAACCACCTCCACCAACTGAGGCAGGAATATTGATGGGTAGCAGGATGAGCAGCACATCAATAGAATATCTGATATGTGTCTTAAGATTGCTACCTAACTGAACAGATTTCCTGGAGAGTAAGACTAAATCACAAAAGATGACAGCAATCCTCTCTTTGTGACCCTCCAGTCTGTCTTGGTGGTTCATAATGTTTGAGATAATTTTAAATAGTTCCTCTACCCACTGGTACTCAAGATGATAGACAAATTTCAGATAAAAAGAGAAAAGGTACTGTAACAATAAAATGAAACAGGTACTAGAAAATATATTGCAATAAATTTAGAAAGCAGCGCTAGAATCCATTAAAGACTCCACAGAATAATATAGTTCTCATCGTTTGACTAAAGCATAATAAAGAGAGGATAGTCTGGTAACCCTAGGGATGGCGTTCCATATGTTAGGGTGCTGCTATAGAAATGACTGTTTCAAATGCCCACCAACCTAGCTTCTCTGGGTAGTGGGACATTCATATATTCATTCCCAACATTTATATCCTGGAAAGTCTTCCAAGAACAGCTTACAAAAACAAATCTTGAACTCAGGCTTATAATCTAAAAATATGACACAAAGGGAAAAAGGAATGAGGAAAATCAGGTTTTAATGTTATATTCTTTTTCAATGGCCAGATGTAACAATTGTTACACTGTGATGCAGCTGTCTGTTGTTGGTCTTCTGACCGTGACCAACTGGAATAGCAAAGCAACAAGCAGCCAAAACTTGCAGGTGTCTTAGTTAAGCCTGCTTCCAGTTGCCTCTTCTTCTATGGTATAATGAAATGCCTGCTGGATGACAGTTGAGTGAAATGCAAATCCTGATGAAGCTGGCTTCTCAGGAGCGCAGATGGTGGCCCTGCATTCCTTCTCTGCCCTTGGTACAACGTATGGATTAGCACGTATCAGGACCTCTGATGATAATCACAAATTTTAGGCCAGTTTATGGGGGAGGCATGGAGTGATGGTGGAAGTGGGATGGTTTTTCAGATATCCTGGCTCCAAGAGGTTTAGGACTTTCTGAGTATGAACATGTGCCCTCTGTTCAGGAAAAAAATAGCTGGTAGCCAATGAAGTTGATCTAAGGCTAGTATTATGTTATTTTTATATGCTGACTTTTTCCTTAAAAGACCACATAGAGGCTTACATAATCCTTCTCTCAAGCATGCAAAGCTCTCCACTCCCTGCAGGTTCCAGGGAATGGAAACATTAGGGTTCCAGGTTCTTCTTCTTGTTCCTGAATCTGTCACCGATCAGCTATCTGACAAGGAAGAAGGCAAAGCGAATTTGCTTCTCGTTCCTGCCTAATCTTCTTTCTTCCTTTTTCTCCCCTCTTCAACCTAGATCTTTTTCTCCCTTTCCTTGCTTTCTCTTCCCTCTACCCCTTTGTGTTGGTATTTTCCCCTCCCTCCTAGCCTCTACATTTGCTATTTATCTCCCCCTCACACCTCTTACCCTCAATGTTTCTCCTCCTTCCTAGCCCCACTCTTTCTCATACTGTTTTTCCCTCCCACCTACTTCCTAGTCTTGCTTGTTCTCTCCCTCTTGCCCATTTATCTCACATCTTTCTTCTCCTGTTAACAGAGGTGCCAGGTGGGAAACTGAGGGCTGAACATAGAGCTGAAGTAAGAAAAAACTTTGAGTTGAGGCTGAGGGCATTTTTCTTTGAGTTGTGGGAAAGGGATATTTAGAAATTTTATCTTTCAGTTCCTTGTGTAAATTATCTCTTTTGACTAGTCAAGACTCTAAGGCAGCCATTATGTGACCAGCTGCACCCTATATGGGAGCCTTTTTTGGTGGTGTTCACAGCAGTTTCTTATATTCTCAGATCTGCCCTTGGGTTCAAAAACATTGGAAATAACTGAAAGAGATGATGCTTTTGGAAATAGCCATTAGGAGATACAGAGTGAAGTGCTATTAGCATATTGCTGACACCCTACTCCATTTCTTTCTAACACCTGGACTGCGCATCTGGACCAGCAGTGGGCTGAACCAGAGTAAGAATCCTAGCAATCTGGAGGCTCTGTGGATGAATGATCCTTGTTTCTGGAAAATGGGTCATTGGCCTGCTCTGCATGGATGGAGGGGCAGCTGAAGAAGGTGGAGTGCAGTCTGGGGCTGCACATTGATCCAGCACTATCACTGGAAGCACACATGTTGTTTCTTATGAGTTCTGGCAAATAAGACATTTATGGTCATGTGAAGAAATTTTAACTTGACCATGGTGGGCTACATATTGATAACCTTAATACTGAATTATTATAATGTACTGTACATGAAGCTACCTTTAAGGTTACAGTTTGTATAGAATGTTGCAAAGAAAATAGAAGCAGGCACTGCTTCTCACTGCATATTGCACCTATGCTGAGGAAACTGCACTGGCTGCCTGTATGATGCTGCTAGGCCAGATTTAAGCTTTAAATACTTATTTCTAGAGTCCTGAATTCAGGATCCAGATACTGGGGTTTGCCAGATTTCTTATCAACCTGCTTCAAGAGACATCTTCCTAGCAGTAACCCAAGATTGTGGTGGTTTGGTCCATCACGGCTCAGAACAGGGCCTTTAGTATTCCAATGCCTGGCCTCTAGAACTCCCTACCTGCATGTTAGGCAGGCACCCACCTTAGTTTTCAGTGCATATAAAAAAATAATTTTTCCAGTAGGCATTTCCAGGAAGAGAATCTTCTAATTTAACACTTTGTTTTAGAAATCTCTTTAATCTAGATGTCATTTATGTATGTATTGCTATAATGTGTCTACATTACTAGTTTAGTTTAAAAGGAAAGAAAAAAGACAGGCTCTGCCTATCCTGCTCTAGAAATCCCAACAATTCTATATTGTTCATGAACAGCAGTAATGAAATATAGCATAATTCAGCAATTTTACAAAATGCTTCACATACAATGGCTGAACCCAGGAAAGGACTGTTCTGCTTAAGTCTCACTGAAATTAATAAAATATTGTTGTAAGTATGGTATATTATGCCCCTCCCCCATATTATAGAAAGGGGTGTGAGGCAAAAAGATTAGTGATTTGCATATGCACTAATCATTGGAAGAACTGGGCATATCTAAGAACACCAATTGCGACTGAATTTAGGCACGCTGAATTCTGCACAGCTGCTCACGAACGAATGCGTGGTTGAGACACGATCTGCATTGGGACTTTCACTGCACTTTCATTTACCCTGTTATTTGAGGCTTGAGCCACCCATTGGCTCAGTCCTGACACAGAAACTCTCAGGGTTATTGGCACAATCCAATGCACATTTACAGGAGAGTAAGATCTAATGTGTTCAATAAGGCTTAACTCCAAGGTAAGTGTACACCTGCCTTGGGCTACTATCCTAGTCATGCTTTCCTAAAAGGAAACCCATAATACAAAGATGGAGGCTTACTTCTGAACAAAATAAGATCTGGCACGTTAGCCTTCGTGATCTCAGTTAAAACCCGCGTCTACCTGTGTCTGTTACAGAGGAAAATTTAATTTCCCTCAAGATACGGAAAGCTGAATTTCTGATAGATTTCACTGGGCAAATAAAGCAGGCGCACACCTATTTCCATGTAGCAAACACGTGTGCGCGCGCCGCCAACGCACCTCTTCCAAGCGAGCAGTCACCAGCCCGGCATCCCAGTTCTTGGAGCCAGTCCCTGTGGGCGCAGGGGTCACACCGCCACCGCTCTTGGGCCGCTTTGGAGCCATCGGAAATTTTGGGGGCAGAAACCCAAACGGTCCGCGTAGGGCCGGGAAGCCGCCTGGTCACCTTAGCAACCGGCGTCCGGTGCCCGTCTGCGCATGCGCCCTCAAACTCGCGCCGCCTGCGTCTCCCAGGCGACGGAGCGGCCTGTCCTGGGCCGGGTAGGGCGCCTCTCCCTTCGAGGATAGCTTCTCTGTTGCCGCACCGTAGGCGGCGGCGAGGGTAGGGCTCGTTCTTCCCAGGCCTGTTAGGAGACGCTGGAAGGGGGCTTCGATGGCAGAAGAGGAGCACGCTGTTGCTGGGGCGTCGGGCGTCGCTTTGCCTGCCTCCTTGGTGTCGGGAGCAAGGGCAGTGATACCGGTGCTCAAGAAGGGCATCAAAGACCTCGCAGGCTGAATTTATTATCGAGACTGTGTTTTCTTTAATTAAAGAATTTGAAGGCGGTAAATGAAAAAGTCAGATTATCGTTGTGCGGGACGGGGTTGCCCAACTTTGGCTTCTTTCACACTTTGCAGTTTTCTCTGAAGTTGGCGTTCTCTGTGCGTATTTTCCCTCTACCTTATATCTGGTCAGGAAAAACAGAAAAAGTAGGCGAGGCATTAACCTGGCAACTGTGAATGGGCAAAGTGCTCTTGTTGCATCTGGATAGACAAGAGTAGCCCAAATCCTGTAGGCCCTGGTGATGAAGCTCCAGTATAGGATTGCATTCTTAGACTTTTTTCCTATTTATTAAGTTTAAACAATTTACCTTAAAGGTAAATATGATTTATCACATTTGTTTGTCACTTTGCATTCCAAAAGCAGCCTTGAAACAATTTACACTCAGTAATCAATAATAAACAATTCCAAATCAATATAAGCCATAGTCGGCACAATAATACAAATAAACTCAATAAAATATAACAACACTTGAATGAAAAAAATATTCAATTTACCTTGAGATAAATTAAGTTAATTTTAGGAAACAAATGCTTCCAAAAATCTAAACAGTTACTTTTCCTCTTACATTATTCAAACAATCCACTCAGAATTAATGTTGCCATTGCCTAATTTACTATATAAAATATTTTCTATAATTAAATAATTATTTAATTATGTTCAATTAATTTAACTGATGAACAGCCAAATGCATGCCAATTATACACAGCATCTCAATAGATGATGATGATGATTCTCCACCTGTCTTCCTCTTGCAAGGAACCCAAAACAGCTTACCAGGTGTTTATCCTTATTTAAACCTTTTGAGATAGGCTATTCTGAGACCTGCTTAAAGTCTCCTAGTGAATTTTATGGCTGAGTGTGCAGTAGAACATGGATCTCCTGAGTCTCATTGTAACACTCTAACCAGTATGTCACACTGACTCACAGATAATGATGCTATGCTGGCCACTAAAGAGCAATAAAAGTGCAGTTCTGTCAATTGCACTGTTGATGAGCAAAAGCTCCTGAAGCTTCTGGTCATCCAGTGCAGGGCAGGAGGAACAGCAGACAACAACAATCTTCACCTCCATATCCTGCCTTGCAGTTTTCACCTGAAGGGTCTTTTAGCCACTCCTGTGGGGGCACTTCAAATGAGAAGGAAAGAAGGATTGAGGTTCCTTTGGATAAATCATATCATGGCCAATCCAGTTTCTTCCTGGCACTGTTCATCAGAATATTCCCTTTCCTCTTCATCAAAGGTCACTGTTCTGACCTCAGTAGGCAGCCAATGCAGTTCTTTCTGCCTAGATTGCAAGGGGGTGGGAGAGGACAGTCAGATCTTTGATTCCCCTTTCCAATGTCAGAGTACTGTCTCCAATCTTAGAAGGGGAATCTGAAGAATCCTATGGACCAGAGACTCCCCCCACTCTCCAGCTATAGAATTGCTCTCTTTAAATATCTGGTCTCCATTGCTCCACCCAAATGTTGCATGCTGTTTCAATTGCAAGTGCTTTCATTGTTTAATTTCCCCAAAGTACTGAGACCTTGCTCCAAAGTATTAATATTTGTTATTCTGTCAGTACTTGGAGGTCTCTGGACTTAAAATTATAATTTCTATTTTTATCCTAAAGTTAGTCCTTCCTTTGGCTAGACACTTTCCATTTTTTTCAAATCAAAGTGATCAACTTGTGGCTCTCCAGATGTTTTAGCCTACCATTCCCATCATCTAGTGGTGGTGGCAGAAACATAGCAAGTCAGAAGGGGCCTCCTGGGCCATCTAGCCTGACCCCTGGTACAAGCCAGCTCAGCTCATATAATGTCCAACATGTGGATGTCCAATCTTTCCTTGAACACTGATGAGGCCTCCACCACCTTCCATGGAAGCCCATTTCATATTCTAGTGGTTCTAACCGTCGGGAAGTACTTCCTGACATCCAGCCTAAAACCTGGTTCCTTTAGCTTTGCCCCATTGGATTTGTCCTTCCCTCCAGCACAGAGGAGAACAGATCATGACCCTTAACCATGCAGAGATCAGCAACAGATCCCAGTTGGTGTTTATCAAGGGTCTGCGAGCTACAGCGGGGGTCTGTAACCAATTCTGCAACTTACTTAAGTGGTTCTGATACTTGACCAACAGATGAAGCCCTGGAACTTCCCAGACCCTGACAAGTGGTCATCTGCACCTTTGACTGGAGAACTGTCCAGTCAGTACAGCAGATCAGATGCTTCCACCTAGAGAAATATGTATCCTTTTCAGTCACTAGTGTGTATGACTGCTCCGCTTCGTGCCACAAACTAAAGAGAAGACCTTGAGGTGGTGACATGTACCATATCAGGCTTCCCTCTTGCTACTGAAGAGTAGACTTTTTAAGTACTAGGAGAAGATGCCCTCACTAGTCTCTGTGCTTTGGATGGTGACAGCAGATTTGGCCTCCCCATCTGCGTCTGAAGAGGTTATTCTCAAGCAGCAGATGGGGATGAGATCTCTGTCCCAGCACAGAACAGCAGCATGGAGCGGAGTTCAGAAAAGACTTTGCCATATCCCCTATTGCAGTTCAGGGCAAGAGTGCTGTTTGAACAACGGGGACTCTGGTAGATGCAGTGAGTCAAAATTGGCTCTTGCGGTCTCAGCTGTCAGAGGAGCCTCCCCATGGTGTCCCCTGAGATTTGGTGGAAGGAACAAGGGGGAAGGAGGCAGGGGAGAGAGCACAGTACCCAAGTTGAGTCTGATTGTCTGATAGCATCATCATGGGTTCTGGCAACCCATCATGGTAATTTAGCATGATGGGTTGCTATTACACGCAGACCAGATTTGTGGAGTTGTTTGCTGATTATTTATTTGTTTAGTACTCTCTATATTTCTCCCAGAACAAAAATTCTATCTTGTTTGTCTCAGTGTACTATTACAATAATTGATAGATGCATACTTCCTTCAGATGAGTATGAAAATATATCCTATCATGTTACATTATTTGCAATGGCAGCTAAGCAAATCTGAGCAAGTTTTCTGAAGAAAATGTTAGGGCTTTGCAAAACTGACTCTAATCTGAGTAAGCTTGGAAGTTTTTATGAAGGTTTTATTTTAGTTATGTGTTTCACCTTAAATGAAAATTGGAAAGCTCAGTTACTCATGTTTCACATTTTTGTCTTTTCTTAGTTTTTTATTGCAATGGTCTATGGCTATAAGCAGTACACATTTTTATTGGTATCAGCCTTACAGCTTGTCTAATATTTTGTGCTAGTTAAAGCTGCATGGGCAGGAAGACCATGGCAGAGAGTAGCAGCAGGAATATCTTAACATTAGTATACTAGGATGCATGATTTTACTGTAGCTGAAGTTCATTGATCTAGATTTTCTCCACTGTAATGTGTTGCATTATGTTTTTTGGAACACTTGATACATAGTAATGCCTTGCTGACCAGAGGTTACCACTCCAGCGGGGCAACCAGTGAAAGTACCTTTACATTTTCTATTCCTAGTTATGGTTAGAATCTACCAGAAAAATCATTATTGTTTTTTTATTTCCAATTTAAGGTCTATATCTGTCTTGCTGAAGGAATCTATGCAGACAGACTCTCTGTTGCACAAATTCAAGAATCATCTGGCATTCATTCACTTGGTAGGTGGCTCATTTCTTATGCTCCTTTCTAGCACTTTCTCTCTCCTGCTCTGGCACTTAGTCTACATTTCCTGGGATAAAGAATCTTTTCTTGCTTTCCCTTCTTGAATCACCTTTCATTCCATCATAGAGAAGTCAGTTGCCTTGCCTTTCCCCTGGTGTAATAATTGCAGCTTTCTAGACAGCTTCCATTCAGGATGAAGCCAAATTACATGCTTAGCTCTGTCTTTCTGCTTAGCACATTCACATACTCTTGAATGTGAATACAATTTTCAGTTCTTTAAATAAATAGAGTCATTTGTGTATTATGTTTACATCCTGCTTTTTTCCTGCAAGGAACCCAAGGCAGTTTACATAATACTCCTCTCCTTTTTATCTTCACAACATGCCTTGTGAGGTAAGTTTGGCTCAGATCCAATCTCTGGTCCAAACTGCCCCCACTGAGTTTCATGGCTGAGTGGAAACCAGAACCCAGATCTCCTGAGCCCAGTTCTGACACTGTCACCACTAAATGACATTGTATCTCCATGATTATTATGGTTCTAGATTGCTCATGGAAAGATAAAATTATCCATTTTATCTTTATGCATACTATAGAAACATGATTAAATGTTTCACTGTTACATCTATTTTACCCTGTACTGTTTCTACATATATGCACTTTTAGCTTGGGGTCAGCATTGTTCTCTCAATTACAGGCCAAAAACATAGCAAAGAATTTGAGACTTGCCTTCTATGTCATGAAGTGAGTCTACCATCTTTTCTTGGTCATGCTTGGATTATTTCTCCAGGACATTATTCCAAAATCAATAGTAGGTTCAGTCTAAATTTGAAAGTTGCAGTGTCTGCACAGAAGGATGCTGGGAGGTTTTGCCTTATAATATATCTAGCAAATTACAAATCCAAATGGGACTCACACAAAACCAGTATTCTGGAGCTCTTGGCATGCCTTGGAAGAAGAGTGA